TGACGACCGAAGGAGTGTAGTTTGAGCACTAAAGTTGAGCAATGACAAAATAACAGCCCTCTGTGATTGCATGATTGAAAGTTGTATTACTCCATTTTATTTAAGACCTCTTCAGTCTGAAGTTGTCTTAAATAAAGACGAAACGTTACAATAAATTCAATTTTACAATTTTTAGTCTATTTCTATGGTTCAAATTAAAACTTTATGTTGGGCATTAATTTTTATTACAGGAATTCGATTTCCGCTCGGCAAGTCCCTCGCTACTAATCCATTTTCAGTATAGGCTAGTATGATTTGTAAAGGCATAGACCATTAGTATTTTAGAGTTATTTTGCGAAATTGTCTAAGCAGGGAGGGAAAATTACATTTTATCTTAGGAGAGACAGCTGTAGTATTTATAGTGCAATCGCCTTTATTTGCAAGTGTAACATAAATTGACACTTATTTTCGATTTCATGACATTGTTCATGAGACATTTATGTTTTAATTTCTGCTTTATTCAATTTTTTTCTAGTTTAGTCGTAAAGTAAAATTATAATAATGAAAGCGTACGTTTAAAGCAAAATTAAAATGAAATTTTTCTCGTAACTTAAAGAAATAGTAATTACAACTTTGACAGTTTGAAATATTCAAACGAAATATTTGTTGTTTTTTTATGATTTTAATAAATTTGATCTACATTTCTCTTACCCTCGTATGGCGTTAATAAAACTAGATTTTCCAACGCCTGAGTTGCCTGTCACCCCAATCTTGATTTCTACATCTTTCCAACGGCCTAGTTGTGTTCTAAAAAAATCTTCGATACCGGAGACACCGTGTTCCTCGACATAACCTTTTACCTCTTCCATGGAAACAAGTTCCCACTCTTCATCATCCATGTTTTCTACGAAATTAGGTGTTGAACGTCTTCGCTGCTTACTCAAATGTTTTGCGGATAATGAGCAAAATAACGAAAGTGAAGAAGATTTCCAGGAATTCCCCTTTTGATTACAAGACAGAAATTGTTATGACGTTATATCCGGTTATGTATAATTGTTGAGTGCAATAACAGGAAGTCGAAAGTAGCTTCCGAACTCCGCCACTACAACGTATTTGCACTTGAAGTAGCTAATTTTTATACTTTGTGGAAAGTTTTGTTTCAATAAATTATTGTCATTTTGGTGTCCTGCAAAAACATTCCATCCTTCATGAGTAAATTGAGACTATCTTTTGTCTTGCAAGTGTGCTACTCTCAAATATTTTCTATCTTTCTTTTTACAAAAACGAAAGTCGATGCTACCAATTATATCAGTATAATTGACGGTTATTTACCATTCCTATTTTGTGGCGACGGTTGAACTCCGCTAAATTATTCTTTACGATACATTGTACTCTATGTCTATGATGCTGATTTAGATTCCAGTTTAGTTCATGACATGATAAAGTTGCAACTGGTTTTGTGAATCTTGCACGTCGCCCAGGCAATATTCCTTTGATTATGTCGAATGGATGCAGCAACTCAAGCCTGATGAATAACGAAATTTATTCTCTTGCAATGTTTACCTCATACATATATTGCTCACTCACTCAGACTATATCTTCAACCCATTCACAACAAAACATCACTCAAAATTTTGCTAAGTCTATTGGTTACCAAAAATTATAATTATAGAGAATTTGTCTCTCTGTCAATAGAACAATCAAATAATATAACTTATTTCCAGCACTGGTATTTGTCTGGTAATATTTTAGGTCCATTTATAAGGGCAATCAGTTTATGATCAAAATGCATTATTAATTCTTTAACAACAATGAGTGGTTTATTGATCTTTAAAAAGGCAGATGATCAAAATTTCCAGTTGACTGAAAACGGAATTTTAATTGCCATGCTCACAAATTATTTACATAAAAAGAGAAGTATGGTATTTTTAAAGTCTCAAATGTTAATACTTTTGATAACATTTATATCTCAGCAAAAATTTACTCATGATAACAACATCGCTAGAAAACGTGTTAGTCAATGTCCAAATCATCAACAGATTTTATATTGGCTTGATGAAGAAACTCGAGAGCAGCTTTCTCCGATTGAGACACACAACTTTGTAAGAACAAATACGTTGAAGTAAACGATATTCCTCCAGCAATCACTGAACCAATAATTGGCACGAATCGCACCATTTCTTCAACTGTAGAACTGGTTGCGTAGGTGGCCATTATTTTGGCAAGTTGTGCTGCACTTGTAGTGCATAATTGGCGAACAAGGTTTTGCTGGGCTGGTGTCAACATGTTGAATTCTTGCGAGTTTTCATCTGGCAAACCAAGTTGAAATTTGTAGAAATTCATTTCCCTTGTTATAAGTGTGACATCAACTGCAATAGACAATCCAGGTAAAGGTACCAATGCACCAACTGCTGATGCTGTTGCTATCATCCAAATTCTACCTGAAACGTTTCAAGTTGAAAAACGTATCAGTTTGTTGACCTTGATATAGTTCTTTTCATGCTGTTTACTAAATTATAACTGTGTGTAGGATCCTAACGGCAACAAATTTTTACAGAAGGTAAACTCTAAGATGGCAACAAGTTAACTATCAGACGTAAGGTGTGTCACATACCTCGAAGAACATCGGCTTTTCGCTTTAGAATGTCAGTAGAAAGGCTAGTTAGCACACCTAAGGACAAAGTGAGACATTCTCGTTGTCGAAACGGCAGAACGTCGAGAATAGACTGGGTTAAAAGTGCGAAATCCCATTTGGTAGGATGATGGTTACTGATAAGAAACACTTTATCTTCGTTCAATCCATGACGGATGCCTTGAAAATTTTTCCAACAATCAGTACGAATCTTCTTCAACATTTCTTCTTCTTTGAACGCTTTCTTTCGTTTCTCGTTGTTGTAATCCACATCGATGTGAGTACGAATGAAAAAGAAAGACTTGTCGATAGAGATAACTTTTTTCGCTAGAATCAGATCATTTTGAGTGAATCGTCCCCTGGTGAAAACCAAGAAGGTGTCGTACTTCTCCAAGTTTACTTTTTCACAGTACGTGGGTAAATCAGGATAGTTGGGTGTTCCAATGCCGGGAAGATCCCAGAAAATAATTTTGGGATTTGTTGGATGAGGATATGATGTCGCCATCATAGTTGTCTCTGTCACTCCAGTTTCTGCTGCGTCTTCATCGTCTTCTCGAAGTCTATAATTAAGAATTATAGCTGTAATTTAGATGTTCTGTTCATTTAAAGTCCAGTTAGCGAAATGCTCATCTAGCTGTAATTTGGCATTTATAATGCTTACTATTAATATTACTTCTTGTATAAGGTATTGGGGCTTGGGCTCAGTCGCTTGCCGCAATTTTGTATGAGGGAATATAAGTGGAGGAGAAGAAAAATTTTCCATGTGAACTACTCGTTTCTCCGCTTTTTCCGTAGGTGAGAAATGCAGTAGTGAACAGGTATGACGACCGAAGGCGTGTAGTTTGAGCACTAAAGTTGAGCAATGACAAAATAACAGCCCTTTGTGATTGCATGAGTGAAAGTTGTATTAATCCATTTTATTTAAGACATCTTCAGTCTGAAGTTGTCTTAAATAAAGACGAAACGTTACAATAAATTCGATGTTACAATTTTTAGTCTATTTCTATGGTTCAAATTAAAACTTTATGTTGGGCATTAATTTTTATTACACGAATTCGATTTCCGCTCGGCAAGTCTCTCGCTACTAATCCATTTTCAGTGTAGGCTAGTATGATTTATAATGGCATAGACCATTAGTATTTTAGAGTTATTTTGCGAAATTGTCTAAGCAGGGAGAGAAAATTACATTTTATCTTAGGAGGGACAGCTGTAGCATTTATAGTGGAATCGCCTTTATTTGCAAGTGTAACATAAATTGACACTTATTTATTTTCGATTTCATGACATTGTTCATGAGACATTTATGTTTTAATTTCTGTTTTATTCAATTTTTTCCTAGTTTAGTCGTAAAGAAAAATTATAATAATGAAAGCGTGCGTTTAAAGCAAAATTAAAATGAAATTTTTCTCGTAACTTAAAGAAATAGTAATTACAACTTTGACAGTTTGAAAGATTCAAACGAAATATTTGTTTTCTTATGATTGTAATAAATTTGATCTACATTTCTCTTACCCTCGTATGGCGTTAATAAAACTAGATTTTCCAACGCCTGAGTTGCCTGTCACCCCAATATTTATTTCTACATCTTTCCAACGGCCTAGTTTTGTTTTAAAAAAATCTTCGATACCGGAGACACCGTGTTCCTCGACATAACCTTTTACGTCTTCCATAAAAACATGTTCCCACGAGTTATCATCCATATTCTTCAGGAAAAATTGACGTTTAATTCTTTCGCTGCTAGCTCGAATGGTGTACAAATGGAAACCAACACGAAAGTGACACAAGTGAATATATAGATTTCCAGGAATTCCCCTTTCATTCCGAGGCGGAAATTGTGTTATGACGTCCTGACGTACTGCATGGCTGGGTAGTACAGGAATTGCAGTTCCGGAAATTATAAATAGCCTCTCTCCCTACGAGCGGTCGTGCTGGTCGTGGCTCGGCTGTCTCTCTCCTCCACAAGCTGCAGCTCCAACACCGATTAGAAAGAGCGTTCAAGGAAGAGGGGAGGGAAAGGGTAATTTACTCCTGACCCCGGGTCCCAAATGAAAAAAGGAGGCAAAGGAAAGAGAAATGATCGAAAGCTGTAAAATGTGTCCATGGGTAACAGAGAAAGTCCCCCCCCCCAGACAGAAAGTTCGTTTTGAATTATGATGTTTGCATTATCTTCAAACTTTGGCTACAGAAATTAATTTCATATTTTACTCGTTTTTCCATCATTGATATGACAACATAAGAATTAAAAATCACTCTCTCAATTTGTTTACTACTGTTAGTATCTGCGATTTTCACTTTACTAGGAAAATCAGCCGGAAATAATAAATCCATGGGCTTCTGTGAACGCACATATTTTCTGAGGATGCGCGTGCGTGTTTTATTTCCTATCAATTTCCTTTGAAAACATGCAAACAGATTTCTTTGAGATAGATTTTACGCGAAGTACTTATCAATGAACATTAGAAAGAGAAGCATGACTTTTTGGGAGCAACTGCAATCATTGCAAGGCGATGGTCAAGCGAAGATTGGCGAGCTTTTGGGCAAATATTCGTTAGAGCTTGAAGTACAATCTCATTTGGCCGCTTGGCTTGAAAATCAACCTTGGTGAGTTAACTTTACAATTTTTTATTTTTTTAATTTGCTCATTGCGTTGCTAATCATATTTCAATTATTCTCTTTCATGTTTCGTAAAAATCATTCTTCGGGGATTTAAATAATGAGCTTCTGTTGCGGATTTTATAATGTATCAAATTTGCTGAATAATTGTTCTTAGAACATTTTATTGTTATTTAAACGCGCTTGTGGCTGTTAATAGTTATGTTTGCAATTGTTTAACGATATTTTCATGGTTCTTGTGCCTTTTTGTTTTGTTATCTTGTCGATCGAGTTTTTAACATCTCTCTTTGGATGAGAACAACTCACGACGAACATGCAACATTGCCAAGGTTAACTAGGGTGAATATCTTTGAGAGTAGTTTTGAACCTGTAATCTTAGACGTGTTTTATCGAGAAGACCACAAAAAGTTTTCTCTTGCGTAAATGAACGAGAATTTCCGTGTAAACATTTTCATGTTTTTTTGTTAGACATGATAGTAAACATTACTAGGAATAACAGGAAATTGAAAATGACATAATTCCGGGGGGCGGGACGTTTGTTTCTTCTTTCTTCGCATGCACGTTTTGTGTCTTTGGAGCACTTTGGAGACGTACAAAGTGTTGTACACACAAGCTGTCAATTTACTGTCATACGTCATGAAACTTGATAGTATGGGATTTTTTTGGACTGTTGTTGATGACAATCATAATCAATTTGATGAAAATATCAGAATGAAAATCAACCAACAATTTTGACTGTTTTTGTGTGCAGGAGTGATGCTGTTGATAGCAATGTACCTGAACAAGAACAAAAAGCAAAGGAGCTCTTACAAAATCTTGTTGAGGCTCTTAGACATAAATCCAAACAGGTATTTGATGTGTTGGTATGTGTTATACATTGACCTATCTTTTGCAATGAGACATCATGTGAAGATTCAGTACATTGTAAACTTTATTGTTTCCAGTAAATTAGGTAATGATGTAGAAGGCCAATTTCTTGAATGTTTTTTTAGTGAACACAGATTTCCATGTAGGACTAACACAACCAACTTGAATTTCAAGTTGCTTAATTGAACAAGCCTATTTTTTAGGTGGAAAATGTTGGCAGACCATTGGAAGCCATGATATTGGTGAATAAACTTAAAGAAACTGCAAACAATGTTGAGGTTAATGCTCAAATTTGCAATTAAGAAATCAATTTTTTTCACTGCTTTATAACATGGTCTTTATGATTTTAGATGAAATATAGAAATAATGTGACTAGTCTTGCTATCACAATACAGCAACTTCTTTTTGAAGAATCACAGTTATTAATGGCTCAGGTGTGCACCTCCAGATTTACCTTCAAAACAAGTATCTACTGTTTATTCTGTTGTTTGTTTTAATTTTGTAGTTTAATTTTACATTATAAAATTTGTATAGGAACAATTAGTCAATGGGATGGATGGAACGGAGGAGGCTCGACAATCTGAGTTTATTGCAAATGTACTTTCACAAAATTCTCAGGTATGTAGATATGCTTCATGTAATTTTAGTTTATAGTAATTAAAGGGAAACAATAATTTACTTCTTAATAATTACTGCACATGCATTAATTAGGAAATGGAGAATGCTGTAAAGAGTTTGGAACAAGAGAAAGAAAGTTATGTCATTCAGTTTGAGGAAAGAAGAAATAAATTGGTAAGACATTCGTTCATGTGTTACGTTGGTTTTTATTAGTCTTAAACATTGGCGACTAAAGTTGGGCATAATTTTATTCTTTTTCCAAAGTTGTCTTGGAAGGAAAGTATAGAGAGCTTCAAAATAGCTCTTTAGCTGATTCAACCAAGGTAAGACCAAGTAATTTTCAATGGAAACTGTGTTTTGTGACCATCCCTCACTATCTATCATTTTTAATAAATGAGGCATGCATGCTTACAGCTTCCTTTTTAAAGTAAATTGTTCAAAATTAACTGATTATTGGTTGCATTAAACAATGGTCTAACCTTCATAACCTCGACCTTTCAACCTCAAACTGAAAAAGACAAGGGTCTCATAAAAAGACAGGTTGCATAACAAAAGTTTCACTATATTTAAATCCATGTTAAGTTTTATGTTGATTTCTGACATTTTTTGAGATAGAAATTGTCATTTCTATTTTATAGGAAGAAAGTCTTCAGCGTTGTCGAGGGGATATGGAGAAACTTTGGGCCGCCATCAAGCGAAGAACTACTTTCTTGTCGAAATGTAAGTATGGTTTGACTCGCAGAGCTACAAAGTTTGACATTGATATAAAATGCAGGAACAATAGTTTAAGTAGCTGTGCTTGAAATTAGTAAAACAACCTTTATACATCATAATGTATCAACTTGTATACATCATTCATTGCATGTATTGCAAAGGTTCAGTGTGTCAAGATTTATAAGACTTCAGTGTATCAAGGTCATTATAATGTTTCATTGGTAAAATGATTGTTTTACTAAGTAGAACTATTGCATTTTATAGGAAGCTATTGAGAAGCTGAAAGTTCAACTGGAACACTTTCAAGAGTATCAGAAAAGTATATTAACTGAGATTTGCAATTGGAAATATCAGCAAAAATTGGCTCATTGTGGTTATCCTGAACCTGGAACTTTGGACGAAGTAAAGAAACAGAAAGAAATCATCAGAGAACTTTAAAATTGCCATGGATATCACCATAGTAAACAACATGCATTTTTTTGACAGTTGTGAAGCTCTGGCCAAGCTTGAATGGCGTGGCTACACACATACATCACAGGTATGTAAATCTTTTCAGGCAATTTTAATAACTTGAGTGATAATAACCATTAAATGTACATGCCCTTGCTTTTTTCCTACCTGAAGCACATTGCTTTAAAGATAGTTATTGCTCATATATGTCTAATGGAAGAAAAGCAGTTTTTGATTTTCGTAACATACAATTGTTGAACGACTCCATGAGTTAAGTGAAGTGGGTTTACGTATTAAAGGCAAAAATAGGTGAATGTTGAATGACTAGAGTATAGTCTTGTGAGTTAATTAAAGACATTAAAAATGTTCACATGAAATTTTATATTTGCTTATAAAGGTTGAGAATCTTTTTCTACAAGTGTTGCAAAACAATCCAATGGAACTCAATAGAATGACAGAACTAAAGAACGCGTATAAAAATCTTCTTACTCAGCTTATTCAGGGGTAAGAAAGATTTAAAAATGAGTTTTGTTTAAAACAATTAACATAAATTTTCATGGCAAGTTGTATGTCACATTCTGTGCAAAAGAATTAGCTATAGCTCACTTGACAAAATAATTGTCGCTACTTGAGTAGCAAATTATGACTAAAGAAAACTGCTCAGAAAATAAATCACTTTGTTTGGATTTGTTTTGAACAATGGCCAGTGGGAATTTATGTTAATTATTGCTCATTAGTTTGCAATGATAACGTTTATGTGCGTTGATCATCTTCAACACTAAAGATGTGTGATTGACTCCAGTTTTTACTTGATACAATAAATATGAATAATAGTAATGATGGTAGACTGCATCTCAAACATTTCTACTTTACGTTTTTTATTTCTGCAAAAATGCACTAACAGTAATAAAGTCACTTGAAAACGAGTTAGTCAAGATCTAAGTTGTCCACGTATTTTATCATTACTTGATCAAGGAATCCTAAAGCTACACTTTCCATCTGAGACACACAATTTCGTAAAAAAAAATACGTTGAACAAAACGATATTTCCTCGGTAATCGCAGAACCAATAACTGGCACGAACCGTGCAAACTCTTCAACTGTAGAACTGGTTGCATAGGTAGCCATTATTGTTGCAAGTTGTGTTGCACTTGTAAAGCATAATTGGCGAACTTTCTCTTGATGGGATGGCGTCAACATGTTGAATTCATGCGAGTTTTCATCTGGCAAACCAAGCTGTGATTTATAGAAATTCACTTCGCTTGCGATAAGAGGAAGATCAACGGCAATAGACAATCCAGGTAAAGGTACCAATGCACCAACTGCTGATGCTGTTGCTATCTTCCAAATTCGGCCTAAAACATATGACTATTAAGGTTCATATAGAAAACATACCAGTTTTTAGCTTTTGCGCTTAGACTTAGAATCCTAGGATGCTATGCAACAGTAATTTTCTTTTTACAGGGGGAATTTCAACATCAATTAAAAACACGAAAGACATACCTCGAAGAACATCAGCTTTTCGTTTCAGAATGTCAGTAGAAAGGCTGGTCAGCACACCTGTCGGAAATTTTGTAAATAAATTATGATTGTTATTTGAGATTAGGAACTTATCGTTAAAGCGGAAAAAGGAACTTATGATTATTGAGTATTTTAGAAGGGTCCAATTAAGACGGTATTGTCTTTTGTTCATGCCTGTGAACGAGTAAGGAGCATGAATTGGAATTAATGTATAACTTTGACTTGAAAATTAAATTGATGACATTTTGAGAATTGTGTTTGACTGCGCGCTAGCTTTGGATAGTATACAGTCCCATAGAGAATCGGCCGACGCATAACTGCTTTGTGCTAACGTGCAAGGGAGAAATTTGCTACACGTGGTCCTTCGAGTCGGAGCTTTTATTTATTGGAAAGAACAATGGAAGAGTTAATGAAAAAGAAACAAGTGCGCGCAGGACATAGAAGATCGGCGAGAAAAATCGCCAGTAAATTGAAAGACAAAATAAGAGGAACAGACGGTGAGATCGATAGAAATGAATTGAAACAATTACGAGACGGGTTAAATGATAAAATTGCAACATTGAAAGTCTTTGATGAAACGGTTATCGAACTCCGGAGCGAAATAATCGAAGAAAATGTGGAAGAAGAACTGGGTAAAGAAATAGAAGATGCGGATGAGATACTAGCGGAATTCGAGAGACTAATTTTGGATTCAAACGATATCATCGAGGAGTCAATTCCACCAGTTGAAACGGCAACAAGGACATTGAACGACACATTGAATAGCAGTTCGAGTAGTGAGACGCAAAGAGTTATTCGAGCAAAACTCCCAAAGCTGGAAGTAAAGAAATTTAGCGGACGGTCACATGAATAGCAAGAGTTTTGGGATTCGTTCGACAGTGCGGTGAATAGCAATGATGGATTGGCGGACGTAGACAAGTTTGCGTACTTGAGGAGTTATTTACTCGAGCCCGCAAGATCGACAATATCGGGATTTGCGTTAACTTCGGCGAACTATCACGAAGCAGTAGAATTATTGAAAGGTAGATCCAGAAAAGCACACATCCAGGACCTGATGAATGTTAAATCCATAACGGACGAAGAAGATATCGACAAGCTACGGCAGTTAACGATACCTGCGAGACGAACAACCGTGGGTTAAAGGCCCTAGGAGTGGACGAAGCCGCGTATTCAGCAATCGTAGTACCAGAAGTTATTGCGAAGTTATCGGACGCCTTTCGATTGAAGATTACAAGAGGCCACGATTTCGCTGAGTGGTCAATGAAAGATGCGTTGAATGCGATTCTTAAAGAGTTAGAGCTTCGAGAAGCTCACAAGCCGATCAGAGAAAGGAGCAAGGGAAATGACGGGGAGAAACAACAAGAAAGATCGAGACATTATAGACAAATCGGGTCGGCGTCACGCAAAACACGAAGGTCGCAACGAGGGGTCAACAAACGGATAAAGCAGCACGAAACTGCGTTTCGGGGAACACAGACCGGAGGAATGTAAGAAAGTCATTAATGTAAATGAGAGAAAACAGCTGATTCGTAAGTACGGAAGATGTTTTATTTGCTTGAAGAAAGGACATGTCAGTAAAAATTGTAATAATAATAATAAATGTAATGCATGTGGGAAGGCACACCATGGGTCAATTTGTGAAACCAATGGGATTCTTTCAGGCGATGTTCAAACCAACCATTCTATTTTGGGATCTCATTGTAGGGTAGAATTACAGACAGCACAGGCTTTTATTAAGGGAGATAAGGGAAGTGTTAGAGTCAGAGTCTTATTTGATTCAGGAAGTCACAAGTCATTTGTGAAAAGAAAGATAATACAGAGAGCAGGTATTCAGTCTATTAGAAAGGAATGGGTAGAAATCAAATCATTTGGTCAAGAGAAGGCTGAAGGTAAATTGCGAGAAGTGTTTCAATTAGAGTTGACTTCAGTTACATGGGGAGAGAGTGTGAATATTGAAGCATATAGTGTGGACTGTATATCTTAACTTAGAAATGAACATGTGGAGTTGAGAAAAAGGGATTATTCTCATTTAAAAGGTCTGTGGTTTTCAGATGTTTGCAAGGATAAGGATGTTTTGGAAATTGAGGTTTTGGTCGGAGCTGATTATCTTTGGTGGTTTCAGGAAGGAAATGTTTTTCGGGGACGGGTAGATGAACCGGTGGCTGTGTCTACTAAATTAGGCCCATGAAAGCTAGAAGCGATTTAGATAACTTGCACACTCAAGTAAACTTCATTGCTCATGAAAGCTCTAGCAATTTAAATTTGGATGGGAATGTCAATCGCTTGTGGGATTTTGAAACTATAGGAATAGTTAAAGAGGACGAGATTCACAAGTCTTTGAAGGATTCTATTGTGTTTAATGGTATTAGATACAGTGTTAAATTGCCTTGGAAGGAAGGACATAGATTAGATTCTACAAATTTTAATGTAAGCTTGAAAAGATTAAAAGGTCAGTTAGTCCGGCTGAAGAAAGAACCAGACATTTTGGATGAGTATGACAAGAAAATCAAGGATCAGTTGAGTAGTGGTGTTATATAACCAGTCATAGAATTAGAGCAAGCCGATAAAATACATTACCTACCACATCATGCAGTTGTTCATAAAGATGCAAAGACAACCAAGGTACGAGTTGTTTATGATGCGTCATGTAAAGAGTCACCAAAAGATTCCTTGCTTAATGACTGTTTGCATGTGGGACCAAAATTAGCACCATTGTTATTTCACATTTTGATAAGGTTTAGGGAGAAAAGAGTTGCGTTAGTGGCAGACATTGAAAAAGCATTTTTGTACATTGCAGTTGACACTTTGGACAGGGATTGCCTAAGATTTTTATGGGTAGATGATGTGAATAGTGAAAGGGTAAGACCTGTGGAATACCGGTTTTGTAGAGTAGTGTTTGGGGTTAATTGCTCTCCATTTTCGTTGAATGCAATGTTACAGTATCATTTAGACTCATTCATGGAAGTAGATAGAGAATTTGTTAGGAAACTCAAAGACAGCTTTTATGTAGGATGACCTTGTGTCAGGTGATCAATCGAGGAAAGCAGCAATCATGTTATATGAGAAAGCAATTAAGCAAATGGCTGCAGGGGGATTTAAGCTTAGAAAGTGGCTCAGTAATGATGTGCGTGTTCTTAAAGAAATAGAAAGGAGAGAAGGAAGCAATTTAGAAGGGAGAAAAGTAGATGTAGTTATGAAGAATGTGGTTGATGATCAAACTTACGCAAAAGCATCTGTTGGGGAAAATAGTAGTAGTGGAAGTTTTGAGAAGGTACTGGGATTGGGATGGGTGTGTAAATCAGATCAATTTGTGTTTTGCCAGTGGAAATTGGCTGAAAGAGCAAAAACACTCATTCCTAGTAAACGAAACATGCTAAGTGTACTTGCAGGATTATTTGACCCCTTGGGTATTGTAAGCCCAATCATAGTTTGTGTTAAGTTATTGTTTCAGGAGTTGTGTATTGAGAACATTGAATGGGATAAAGAGTAGGATGGTGACAGGAGGAAATGGTGGGAGGTGTGGATAGAAGAGTTAGAGCAAGTAAGGGACTTAGTAGTGACGAGATGTGTTTATGGTAGTTTGATTGGTGAGACAAAGTGTTATTTGCATGGGTATGCAGATGCCAGCCTGAAGGCATACTGTGCAGTAATATATTTCGTAAGAGAACTAAATGGGGCTTATCATGTAGAATTGCTTACTGCGAAAACGAGGATAGCGCCATTGAAATCGCAGACCATTCCCAGATTAGAACTTATGTCGGCTGGGATACTGGCAGTGTTAATGGACACGGTTAAGTCAGCGTTGGGAGGATACGTACAGTTTATAGGAACATACTATTGCTTAGACAGTATGACTGCAATGTGCTGGATCAGTAATAAGGGAGAATGGAAACAATTTGTACGCCATAGAGTTAACGAAATTTGAAAATTGAGCAGAAAGGATGATTGGAGACATTGCCCAGGTGTAGAGAACCTAGCTGACTTAGGTTCTAGGGAGTTGCAGCATCGCAATTAAAGGGAAGTGAGCTTTGGTGGAAAGGACCAAGGTGGTTGTCAGGTCCACAGTGCAAATGGCCAAGGGAAAAAGAGGTTAAGGATACAGAAGAAAGTCTTGCTGAGGTAAAAAGGATTGCATTAGTTGCAACACAGGTAGTAGAGAGTGCAGTGAAGTTTGGAGGTTTTAGTGATATATTAAGACTTGTAAGGGTCATGGCATTTGTTCAACGGTTTGTAGACAATTTGAAGGCAAAAGTTAAGCATGAGGCAGGGAATACGGGAGCATTGAGAGTATCAGAGCTGGTGATAGCAGAGCAAGTGTTGATAAAATGGGCTCAAAAGGAAGTAAGGAAACGTAGTGATTATGAGCAAATAGTCAGACAATTGAACATAGTGGAGCGTAATGGGATGATTAGATGTAAGGGTAGACTTGGCAATTCAGAGTTAGAGTTAGAAGCGACGGAACCAATTTTATTGCCTAAGGATCACCACTTAACAGAATTAATCATTAAAGATTGCCATAGGAAGGTTCACCTTATTGGGGTGAGAGCCACCTTAGCTCAGCTACGCAGCAAATTTTGGATGCCTCGAGGTAGACAGATTGTGAAAAGAGTGATTGGTAATTGTATGATTTGTAGAAGACATCAAGGCCAGGCTTACAAAACACCAGTGCAAGCAGGTCTGCCAGACTTTAGAGTACAATATTCCCCTCCCTTTTCTAAGGTAGGTGTGGATTTTGCGGGACCATTGTTTGCAAAAGAAGGTGGGCAGATGTTTAAGGTGTACATTGCATTATTTTCTTGCTGTGTGACAAGAGCAATTCATCTTGACTCAGTTTTAGTGCACGTTGTTTTTTGAATTGCATGCGAAGGTTCACCGCTAGAAGGGGAACACCTTCGCTAATGGTTTCGGACAATGCCAAGACGTTTAAAGCAACTGAGAAAGCATTGAAGGAGATTTATGATAGCAAGGAGGTGAAATCATTTTTGGAAGGTAATAGGTTGGTGTGGAAATTTAATTTGGCAAGGACACCTTGGTGGGGTGGATTTTTTGAAAGAATGGTAGCGTTGGTGAAAGGTTGCCTGAGGAAGTTATTGGGTAATGCTAAATTGAATAGGGAAGAACTGTTGACGACATTAGTTGAGGTAGAAGGTACGTTAAACTCCAGACCATTGACGTATGTGTACGATGATGAAGTAAATGTGGATGTACTGACTCCTTCCCATCTCATGTTTGGAAGACGATTAACATCTATTCCAGACGAGGAAGTTCAAAACGCTATTAGGGATGAAGATGAAGGAGAGATAAAACGTTGGTTTAGATATTTAGCGAAATTGAGGACACATTTTTGGTCAAGGTGGAAGAAGGAGTACTTAACAAATTTAAGAGAATACCATAAGGTCGGAAAAGTGAAGGGTAGTTTTTGTCCAAAAGTAGGTGATGTCGTTCTTGTTTTTGACGAAAGTTTAAAAAGAAGGTTTTGGAAAACAGCGAGAATTGAGAGGTTAGTCGTAGGAAAGGATGATATAGTCAGAGGAGCAGAAGTCAGAGTTGTCAGTAAAGGAAGGCTTCAGTATATAAGTAGGCCTCTGCAAAAATTGTATCCACTTGAGATAGGTGTAAGGGTACATGATAACGGAGTGCAAGGTAGTGAGATATTAGAGGATAGAGAAAAGGAGAGCATGGCAGGAAGTAACAGAAGACCCAGAAGGGCTGCAGCTGTGGATGCATGTTGGCGAACAAAAGTTATGTTTGACCCTAAAGGCTCAAAGGGGGGAGTGTGTCGGAAATTATGTAAATAAATTATGATTGTTATTTGAGACTAGGAACTTATCGTTAAAGCGGAAAAAGGAACTTATGATTATTGAGTATTTTAGAAGGGTCCAATTAAGACGGCATTGTCTTTTGTTGATGCCTGTGAACGAGTAAGGAGCATGAATTGGAATTGATGACATTTTGAGAATTGTGTTTGACTGCGCGCTAGCTTTAGATAGTATACAGTCCCATAGAGAACCGACGGACGCATAACTGCTTTGTGCTAACATGCAAGGGAGAAATTTGCTACAACACCTAAGGACAAAGTGAGACACTCTCGTTGTCGAAACGGCAGAACGTCGAGAATAGACTGGGTTAAACGTGCGAAATCCCATTTGGTAGGATGGTGGTTACTGATAAGAAACACTTTATTTTCGTTCAATCCATGACGGACGCCTTGAAAATTTTTCCAACAATCAGTGCGAATCTTCTTCAACATTTCTTCTTCTTTGAACGCTTTCTTTCGTTTCTCGTTGTTGTAATCCACATCGATGTGTGTGCGAATGAAAAAGAAAGACTTGTCGATAGAGATAACTTTTTTCGCCAGAATCAGATCATTTTGAGTGAATCGTCCCCTGGTGAAAATCAAGAAGGTGTCGTACTTCTCCAAGTTTACTTTTTCACAGTACGTGGGTAAATCAGGATAGTTGGGTGTTCCAATGCCGGGAAGATCCCAGAAAATAATTTTGGGATTTGTTGGATGAGGATATGATATCGCCATCAAAGTTGTCTCTGTCACTCCAGTTTCTGCTGCGTCTTCATCGTCTTCTCGAAGTCTTTAATTAAGAAATATAGCTGTAATTTAGATGTTCTGTTCATTTAAAGTCCAGTTAGCGAAATGCTCGTCTAGCTGTAATTTGGTATTGATAATGCTTACTATTGATATTACTTATTGTATAAGGTATTGGGGCTTGGGCTCAGTCGCTTGCCGCAATTTTGTATGAGGGAACATAAGTGGAGGAGAAGAAAAATTTTCCATGTGAAGTACTCGTTTCTCCGCTTTTTCCGTAGGTGAGAAATGCTATAGTGAACAGGTATGACGACCGAAGGAGTGTAGTTTGAGCACTAAAGTTGAGCAATGACAAAATAACAGCCCTCTGTGATTGCATGATTGAAAGTTGTATTACTCCATTTTATTTAAGACCTCTTCAGTCTGAAGTTGTCTTAAATAAAGACGAAACGTTACAATAAATTCAATTTTACAATTTTTAGTCTATTTCTATGGTTCAAATTAAAACTTTATGTGAAAGAATGTTATATGCAGTGCGGTGTTTGAAATTAAATGAAGATATGATCTTCGCACTTTGCTGGACAATTTAAGCAATTGTCTCACGAACCTGAAAAAAATTCAGGTGACTCAACGGGATTCGAACCCATGACCTCTGCCATCGCAATTGCTTAAAGGAGTAGACAGAACTTAACACAACTTTCACTCATATGAAAGTGTATATTGTTCTTACCTCTCTCGCGAAATCCTAGGTTTCCAATTCAAATTTAACTCGAGAAATAATGCCTTAAATGTGTGTATTTTTGCCTCTTGTTCGATCGCCATTGTGTACATGCAAGCGAAGCTGCAGTCAAGCAGCGGTTTTTCGTCGTTACGTCACTGCGCGGTGATTGTTGTCAACATTGGACAAAATATACTAGCAAAAGTAGAAATTACGCATAGGCATATTCATAGTTGCATTTTATTTTCTAAGTTTTTAAATTATTTTGCGCAATGGATTCGGATTACTCAAACGATTCCTCTAGTAATTATTCTGGAAGCAGTGTTTCAAACTACGAAGAAATGATTAACGATCAAAACATGATTCAACCATATGCTTATGAGCCGATTGAAACAGACTCAAGCGACGAGCCTATGGACGACTCCGACGAAGTTCAGCTGTTGTAACAATGAATGAAGACTCAGCACAATTTGAGGGAATAGATACTCCGGACTGTATTATAGATAATCCTGTTTTTCGAAATCTTTGTTTAAACTATTGGGTATTACGACTGGCATGGAGTGAGTACAAACAACACTATGGTTCAAGAGCTGAAGAAGGACCTGAACACAAAAGACAAAGACATGTGGCTTACAGGCAACTGGTTCGATGGTGTTGGAATGTATTGGGCAAGGAAATTAGAGTACCACTACCATCTTGTGCTGTTAGCTGCATTCGAGCACATTTCCAACCACCAGGTCTAGAAGAGGACTTTGTCTTTGAGGGTTTTAAATTCGCTGATGAATAATAATGGTAATTTAAATTATTATAGCCATATTCATAAGTATCGTTAGTGATGAATTACTAATAAATAAAAATATAAATTGGATTTAGTAAATGAACAATAAATACAAATTATAATGGCCAAGCCAAACCAATTCTTTATTTGTGCTATGGAAGGATTTTGGTGTACATAATTGAAAAGTGCCTTTGCTAATGAATTTGCATAGCAAAACAAAAAATTGGGCTACTTTACTATTAGAGATTCTCCTTGGGCTACTTTACTATTAGAGATTCTCCTTGGGCTACTTTACTATTAGAGATTCTCCTTGGGCTACTTTACTATTAGAGATTCTCCTTGGGCTACTTTACTATTAGAGATTCTCCTTGGGCTACTTTACTATTAGAGATTCTCCTTGGGCTACTTTACTATTAGAGATTCTCCTTGGGCTACTTTACTATTAGAGATTCTACTTTACTATTAGAGAACACGATATTATATCGCTTTTTCCCTTGCTGCTTTCCACATTGAACTTGTGCTTGTTTTCTGCCAGTGTTTACATAGTGGTCTATCACTGCCAACTTGGTTCTTGCAAGCATACCTTTGTAGGAAAAGCACTTTTAATAAAGTATTTTCCCTCCTTGCACTTGTGCTTATCGTGTTCCCAAAAGGGCGAAAAAATTGGGTAGCCAAGCCAATTATGGCAAGTAAGTCATATTCTTTTGTGCAAGGTATGATGGAAGATGTCTGCTGTTTTAATGTAAAAAATGTACATAACAAGATTTCTTTACCAGCAAACATTCCAAGAAATATTGCATCTATAGAAAAACCAAACGAAGAAAGTGTTATACAAGCACACAAATCAAGAATGGGTAAATAGTCCCCCAAAAATAGTTATGTACCTATATATCAATATTTATAATTAATAATAAGAGAATCTGTAATAGTAAAGTAGCCCAATTTTTTGTTTTGCTATGCAAATTCATTAGCAAAGGCATATTTCAATTATGTACACCAAAATCCTTCCATAGCACAAATAAAGAATTGGTTTGGCTTGGCCATTATAATTTGTATTTATTGTTCATTTACTAAATCCAATTTATATTTTTATTTATTAGTAATTCATCACTAACGATACTTATAAATATGGCTATAATAATTTAAATTACCATTATTATTCATCAGCGAATTTAAAACCCTCAAAGACAAAGTCCTCTTCTAGACCTGGTGGTTGGAAATGTGCTCGAATGCAGCTAACAGCACAAGATGGTAGTGGTACTCTAATTTCCTTGCCCAATACATTCCAACACCATCGAACCAGTTGCCTGTAAGCCACATGTCTTAGTCTTTTGTGTTCAGGTCCTTCTTCAGCTCTTGAACCATAGTGTTGTTTGTACTCACTCCATGCCAGTCGTAATACCCAATAGTTTAAACAAAGATTTCGAAAAACAGGATTATCTATAATACAGTCCGGAGTATCTATTCCCTCAAATTGTGCTGAGTCTTCATTCATTGTTACAACAGCTGAACTTCGTCGGAGTCGTCCATAGGCTCGTCGCTTGAGTCTGTTTCAATCGGCTCATAAGCATATGGTTGAATCATGTTTTGATCGTTAATCATTTCTTCGTAGTTTGAAACACTGCTTCCAGAATAATTACTAGAGGAATCGTTTGAGTAATCCGAATCCATTGCGCAAAATAATTTAAAAACTTAGAAAATAAAATGCAACTATGAATATGCCTATGCGTAATTTCTACTTTTGCTAGTATATTTTGTCCAATGTTGACAACGATCACCGCGCAGTGACGTAACGACGAAAAACCGCTGCTTGACTGCAGCTTCGCTTGCATGTACACAATGGCGATCGAACAAGAGGCAAAAATACACACATTTAAGGCATTATTTCTCGAGTTAAATTTGAATTGGAAACCTAGGATTTCGCGAGAGAGGTAAGAACAATATAAACTTTCATATGAGGGAAAGTTGTGTTAAGGTCTGACTACTCCTTTAAATTGTCCAGCAAAGTACGAAGATCATATCTTCATTTAATTTAAAACTTTATGTTGGGCATTAATTTTTATTACACAAATTCGATTTCCGCTCGGCAAGTCTCTCGCTACTAGTCCATTTTCAGTATAGGCTAGTATGATTTGTAATGGCATAGACCATTTGTATTTTAGAGTTATTTTGCGAAATTGTCTAAGCAGGGAGGGAAAATTACATTTTATCTTAGGAGAGACAGCTGTAGCATTTATAGTGGAATCGCCTTTATTTGCAAGTGTAACATAAATTGACACTTATTTATTTTCGATTTCATGACATTGTTCATGAGACATTTATGTTTTAATTTCTGTTTTATTCAATTTTTTTCTAGTTTAGTCGTAAAGAAAAATTATAATAATGAAAGCGTACGTTTAAAGCAAAATTAAAATGAAATTTTTCTCGTAACTTTAAGAAATAGTAATTATAACTTTGACAGTTTGAAATATTCAAACGAAATATTTGTTTTCTTATGATAGTAATAAATTTGATCTACATTTCTCTTACCCTCGTATGGCGTTAATAAAACTAGATTTTCCAACGCCTGAGTTGCCTGTCACCCCAATCTTGATTTCTACATCTTTCCAACGGCCTAGTTGTGTTTTAAAAAAATCTTCGATACCGGAGACACCGTGATCCTTGACATAACCTTTTACATCTTCCATGTAAACAAGTCCCCACTCTTCATCATCCATGTTTTCTACGAACTTAGGTGTTGAACGTCTTCGCTGCTTACTCAAATGTTCTACGGATAATGAGCAAAATAACGAAAGTGAAGAAGATTTCCAGGAATTCCCCTTTTGATTACAAGACAGAAATTGTTATGACGTTATATCCGGTTATGTATAATTGTTGAGTGCAATAACAGGAACTCGAAAGTAGCTTCCGCAACTCTGCTACTACAAAGTATTTGCACTTGAAGTAGCTAATTTTTATACTATGTGGAAAGTTTTGTTTCAATGAATTATTGTCATTTTGGCGTCCTGCAAAAACATTCCATCCTTCATGAGTAAATTGGTCTTACAAGTGTGCTACTTTCAAATATTTTCTATCTTTCTTTTAACAAAAACGAAAGTCGATGCTACCAATTATATCAGTATAATTGACGATTATTTACCATTCCTATTTTGTGGTGATGGTTGAACTCCGCTTAATTATTCTTTTCGATACATTGTACTCTATGTCTATGATGCTAATTTAGATTCCAGTTTAGTTCATGACATGATAAAGTTGCAACTGGTTTTGTGAATCTTGCCCGTCGCCCAGGCAATATTCCTTTGATTATGTCGAATGGATGCAGCAACTCAAGCCTGACGAATAACGAAGTTTATTCTCTTGCAATGTTTACCTCATACATATATTGCTCACTCCCTCAAACTATATCTTCAACCCATTCACAACAAAACATCACTCAAAATTTTTCTAAGTCTACGGTGGCCCGTATCTGCAATTCACAATTTAATTTGTCAATGCACAAACATTGCCTTAAATTCAAAATCAATGTGTTTGATACAAAAATAATGTGCTGAATGCACAAAAAATTTGCCACGATGCAAATTAAAATAAAAGTTATAAAAAAATTAAATATTGCAATGCAAAATAAAACTGACCAAATGCACAAAACCAGTTATCGCAATGCAAAATCAAAGTTCAATAAGAAAGCCTACCGGTCATATCTACGGGAGACTGGGAACAAGAAATCTTAACCGGGGGGTAACAATAAAAGGATTTTTGTTTATTGCCTTGTAGATTTAAATTAATACCAACAACCAGCTCCTAAAGGCGAAGACGATTTAATTAAGAACTATTTCACGCAAAGTTTTGCATATGAAAAATCCTGCTTCTCTTAAGACGATATCATGATATTGATATGTCTTTGCGAACTTTACACCCAAGACTTCGATCGCTTGGCTTACGAAGAAAAAACATTGAGTTTGATTTCAACAGTGTTAGTTTATGTGTTTGTGGTCTTTTATCTTGTTTACTTTATTGCAAATCTTTGTCTTTTCAAGCTAATTTTCCCAACACTGCTGAAATGTTTTCTAACTTTTTTACATGGTGTTTGCCATGTTTTATGGAAACTTTTAAAGCCCTGCATTTCTTAAATATTTAAATAGTGAATTTGCCATGGGAAAAATTTTTATGCCATGGGAAAATTTTCAGTTGCAAGAAGCAAACATCCAACAACATGTAAACAGTGCCTTTGCAGAATGTTCAGACTGGCGTATTGAGATGATGGCTTACCATCATCTCTTAAACTAGAGAATAAAGACCATTTTGTGAAAGAAGTCATAGAATACTTTGTTGTGATCAAATGCAAGCCAATGCTTGATCAGCTACTTGATGGGTTGAAATATTACAATGTCAGTGCTGAGTAATGAGTTGTTTATCATGTAAGATAAAAGTCACCAATATCTAGCTTTGTATTCAATTTCAAATCATTTTTTCTATAGACTAATTTGCTACAATGTGGTAAAAATTTTTTGTGTAGGTGTCGGAACGACTTAGAGCACATAAAGGCATGGCACAACACATTTTCATATTTGACCCAGATGATAAACTGGATGTGAAAAAGCTGCTTAAAATTTTAAAACCAAATTTACCACCAACAGGAAATATAAGGAGGCAATCAGAGGAAATGGTGATGCAAAATTTATTTTATTTCTAAAAGCCGCAGAAGGTTAAAACATGTTTCCCTTATTTTAATACTGCTCTAATTCTCATGCTTCAGTAATATACATATATATATTATAATTATAATGTATATAATAATATATCCCGGTGATAGCCGGGAGGGCACATTGTTATACACTTTATATTATAATTATATATACATATATATACTGTGTCTCCTAATCAATTTCGACTCATGAACCACTGCCATTATCTAATAAGTTAATTATTAATTGCCTCCATGTCCATGATAATGTGTTTTTGTATGACACTGAAGGTTTTTGTAAAGGAAGAATTTTGTTTTAATTAGGAGGTACATTATTGCAAGAATTGGCTGACGAAGAAATTGAGCTTACAGAAGAAGAAAAAAAGTATATCCATTGGTAACACCAAGCCACATGTTAATGTTTACAACTGGTGCTGCAAATGTCCCTTCAACTGGCTTTGAACCAAAAATTTCAATTGTTTTTGTTTGTGATGACAAGAAAATGATTCCAAGTGCACAGACATGCTCTAACACCCTTAATATTTATGTAAATGAACACACACAAAAGGGCAAGCTATTGCACTATCTCTGAATGGAGCCATTTTTTTCAAAACTATAAAAAAGTTTGTGCAACTGAAACAGCCTTAACATTAATATTATTTAACATTTGTGAGCATTCAACATTTATTAAGCAAGTAATTGTGTTCATATTATGGGCAGTCATGCTTTTTGTCTTTTTTACACTTTTTACAGCTATTGAAAAATTTGTTAACTGAATAAACTTTGTGCATTTTTATGTAGTTTTAACTGAAATCTTGTTCCTGAGCAATCTTGCACAAGCTATGATATCTAGCCAATGCCTGCCTCCAATTTTCTGGTTTTAATAAACCTAATTGTTCTCCAATAGTTTGGAAGTATTCTTGAATAGCACCATCTTCTTCATATTCATTACAATATTGAATCATTTCTTGAAGTTGCTCATCAGAAACTGGCTTGAGTTGAGGTGATCAAATGCCTGTGTACACTTGGGCAGAAAAAATAGTTCATCTGGCAGTCCTTCAACTGTGTCAAATCTTGACTTTTATATAAAGTGAGAGTTACAGTGTCGCATAACAGAGTTGAAATCTTTTTGCAAAATATCAGAGAAACTGTATCACAAGCATTCCTTTTCCATCTCAGAAGATATGTCCAAGACACCAGTTTCAATAAAATCTATAAAGAAATTCATCCACCAGTTACTTCTGTGCTTTCTTAAGAATGACCACCAGGACTAAATGCGCTGATTTGCTGGTGATGAGCCATATCTATGTGCCTTAACACTAGCCAATTTATCTTCACACATACTTCTTAAATATGCCTGCCTTGCAGACATGATAACGTTTTAGTGCTGTTATCTGTTCGTAATAGAGTTGGACAACCCTGATACTAGTTACAGTGTCTGAGAAATGCTTTCCTGTTACTGTAGGATCATTATTTGTTCTGCATACTTTCAACCACAGTATCTTACGACTATATCCGTCGATACATCCATGCACCGGAAAGCCGTATGGTTTGAGCTTATCTTGCCATCCACGTGCCAAACATAATATGATAAATGATAAATTCGTCGATGAAGAGTGCCAGACTTCCTTAAGTTTACCCCTTCTGGGTCCAGTTCTTTCACCAAAAGTCTGACCGTCTCGCGAGGAACCTGCATCCCTTCTAGCTTCAAGGTATGAGTAATGCAACGATAACCACTGGAATTTCCAGGTCCATCGAGTTCCTACCGAATACGCTGGCGAACACTGTTGAAATCAAACTCATGTTTTTTCTTCGTAAGCCAAGCGATCGAAGTCTTGTGTGTAAAGTTCGCAAAGACATATTAATATCATGATATCGTCTTAAGAGAAGCAGGATTTTTCATATGCAAAACTTTGCGTGAAATAGTTCTTAATTAAATCGTCTTCGCCTTTAGGAGCTTCTTCGTTTTCCTGATTTTTATTTTGTGGTTGTTGGTATTAATTTTAATTTACAAGGCAATAAACAAAAATCCTTTTATTGTCACCCCCCGGTTAAGATTTCTTGTTCCCAGTCTCCCGTAGATATGACCGGTAGGCTTTCTCATTGAACTTTCATTTTGCATTGCGATAACTGGTTTTGTGCATTTGGTCAGTTTTATTTTGCATTGCAATATTTAATTTTTTTATAACTTTTATTTTAATTTGCATCGTGGCAAATTTTTTGTGCATTCAGCACATTATTTTGTATCAAACACATTGATTTTGAATTTAAGGCAATGTTTGTGCATTGACAAATTAAATTGTGAATTACAGATACGGGCCACCGTATAAGTCTATTGGTTAACAAAAATTATAATAATTTATAGAGAATTTGTTTGTCTCTCTTTCAATAGAACAATCAAATAGTATAACTTATTTCCAGCACTGGTATTTGTCTGGTAATATTTTCGGTCCATTTATAAGGGCAATCAGTTTATGATCAAAATGCATTATTAATTCTATAACAACGAGTGGTTTATTGATCTTTAAAAAGGCAGATGATCAAAATGTCCAGTTGACTGAAAACGGAATTTTAATTGCCATACTCACAAATTATTTACATAAAAAGAAAAGTATGGTATTTTTATAGTCTCAAACGTTAATACTTTTGATAACATTTCTATCTCAGCAAAAATTTACTCATGATAACAACATCGCTAGAAAACGTGTTAGTCAATGTCCAAATCATCAACAGATTTTATATTGGCTTGATGAAGAAACTCGAGAGCCGCTTTCTCCGATTGAGACACACAACTTTGTAAGAACAAATACGTTGAAGTAAACGATATTCCTCCAGCAATCACTGAACCAATAATTGGCACGAATCGCACCATTTCTTCAACTGTAGAACTGGTTGCGTAGGTGGCCATTATTTTTGCAAGTTGTGCTGCACTTGTAGTACATAATTGGCGAACAAGGTTTTGCTGGGCTGGTGTCAACATGTTGAATTCTTGCGAGTTTTCATCTGGCAAACCAAGTTGAGATTTGTAAAAATTCATTTCCGTTGTTATAAGTGTGACATCAACTGCAATAGACAATCCAGGTAAAGGTACCAATGCACCAACTGCTGATGCTGTTGCTATCATCCAAATTCTACCTGAAACATTTCAAGTTGAAAAACGTATCAGTTTGTTGGCTTTTTTAATAAAGTAATGTGAAATTTACTTATATTTTTTGAATTAAACATAGATGTGTTAGTTACATACTGTTGCATTAACAAGGAGAAGGTTTGCATCAAGCATTAAAGTTTTTTGTTCATAATTGTGACAAGCTTTGCAATCATTGTTTGCTTGCAATTTCATAATGTAGGATATGTTTGTTGGCCTTTACTAAATTATAACTGTGTGTAGGATCCTAACGGCAACCAATTTTTACAGAAGGTAAACTCTAAGATGGAAAGAAGTTAACTATCAGACGTAAGGTGTGTCACATACCTCGAAGAACATCAGCTTTTCGCTTTAGAATGTCAGTAGAAAGGCTAGTCAGTACACCTAAGGACAAAGTGAGACATTCTCGTTGTCGAAACGGCAGAACGTCAAGAATAGACTGGGTCAAATGTGCAAAATCCCATCTGGTTGGATAGTGATTACTGATCAAAAAGACTTCGTTTTCATTCAACCCATGATCGAAATTTTGAAAATTTTCCCAGCAGTTTGTGCGAATCTTCTCCAACATTTTTGCCTCGTCGAACGCTTTCCTTCTTTTCTCGCTGTTGTAATCCACGTCGATGTGAGTACGAATGAAAAAGAAAGACTTGTTGAGATCTTTCACTTTCTTTGCCAGAATCAGATCATTTTGAGTGAATCGCTTCATGGTAAAAATGAGGAAAGTGTCGTACTTCTCCAAGTTTACTTTTTCACAGTACGTGGGTAAATCAGGATAGTTGGGTGTTCCAATGCCGGGAAGATCCCAGAAAAAAATTTTGGGATTTGTTGGATGAGGATATGATGTCGCCATCATAGTTGTCTCTGTCACTCCAGTTTCTGCTGCGCCTTCATCGTCTTCTCGAAGTCTATAATTATGGAATATAGCTGTAATTTGATGTTCTGTTCATTTAAAGTCCAGTTAGCGAAATGCTCGTCTAGCTTTAAGTTGGTATTGATAATGCATACTATTAATATTACTTCTTGTATAAGGTATTGGGGCTTGGGCTCAGTCGCTTGCCGCAATTTTGTATGAGGGAACATAAGTGGAGGAGAAGAAATATTTTCCATGTGAACTACTCGTTTCTCCGCTTTTTCCGTAGGTGAGAAATGCTGTAGTAAACAGGTATGACGACCAAAGGAGTGTAATTTGAGCACTAAAGTTGAGCAATGACAAAATAACAGCCCTCTGTGATTGCATATTGAATGTTGTATTAATCCATTTTATTTAAGACATGTTCAGTCTGAAGTTGTCTTAAATAAAGACGAAACGTTACAATAAATTCCATTTTACAATTTTTAGTCTATTTCTATGGTTCAAATTAAAACTTTATGTTGGGCATTAATTTTTATTACAGGAATTCGATTTCCGCTCGGCAAGTCCCTCGCTACTAATCCATTTTCAGTATAGGCTAGTATGATTTGTAATGGCATAGACCATTAGTATTTTAGAGTTATTTTGCGAAATTGTCTAAGCAGGGAGGGAAAATTACATTTTATCTTAGGAGAGACAGCTGTAGTATTTATAGTGGAATCGCCTTTATTTGCAAGTGTAACATAAATTGACACTTATTTTCGATTTCATGACATTGTTCATGAGACATTTATGTTTTAATTTTTGTTTTATTCAATTTTTTTCTAGTTTAGCCGTAAAGAAAAATTATAATAATGAAAGCGTACGTTTAAAGCAAAATTAAATGAAATTTTTCTCGTAACTTAAAGAAATAGTAATTACAACTTTGACAGTTTGAAATATTCAAACGAAATATTTGTTGTTTTTTTATGATTGTAATAAATTTGATCTACATTTCTCTTACCCTCGTATGGCGTTAATAAAACTAGATTTTCCAACGCCTGAGTTGCCTGTCACCCCAATATTGACTTCTACATCTTTCCAACGGCCTAGTTTCGTTTTAAAAAAATCTTCGATACCGGAGACACCGTGTTCCTCGACATAACCTTTTACGTCTTCCATAAAAACATGTTCCCACGAGTTATCATCCATATTCTATAGGAAAAATTGACGTTTAATTCCTTCGCTGCTAGCTTGAATGGTGTACAAATGGAAACCAACACGAAAGTGACACAAGTAAATATATAGATTTCCAGGAATTCCCCTTTCATTCCGAGGCGGAAATTGTGTTATGACGTCCTGACGTACTGCATATCTGGGTAGTACAGGAATTGCAGTTCCGGAAGTTGTAAATAGCCTCTCTCCCTGCGAGCGGTAGTGCTGGTCGTGGCTCGGCTGTCTCTCTCCTCCACAAGCTGCAGCTCCAACACCGATTAGAAAGAGCGTTCAAGGAAGAGGGGAGGGAAAGGGTAATTTACTCCTGACCCCGGGTCCCAAATGAAAAAAGGAGGCAAAGGAAAGAGAAATGATCGAAAGCTGTAAAATGTGTCCATGGGTAACAGAGAAAGTCCCCAGACAGAAAGTTCGTTTTGAATTATGATGTTTGCATTATCTTCAAACTTTGTCTACAGAAATTAATTTCATATTTTACTCGTTTTTCCATCATTGATATGACAACATAAGAATTAAAAATCACTCTCTCAATTTGTTTACTACTGTTAGTATCTGCGATTTTCACTCTACTAGGAAAATCAGCCGGAAATAATAATTCCATGGGCTTCTGTGAACGCACATATTTTCTGAGGATGCGCGTGCGTGTTTTATTTCCTATCAATTTCCTTTGAAAACATGCAAACAAATTTCTTTGAGATAGATTTTACGCGAAGTACTCTTCAAAGAACATTAGAAAGAGAAGCATGACTTTTTGGGAGCAACTGCAATCATTGCAAGGCGATGGTCAAGCGAAGATTGGCGAGCTTTTGGGCAAATATTCGTTAGAGCTTGAAGTACAATCTCATTTGGCCGCTTGGCTTGAAAATCAACCTTGGTGAGTTAATTTTACAGTTTTTTATTTTTTTAATTTGCTCATTGCGTTCCTAATCATATTTCAATTATTCTCTTTCATGTTTCGTAAAAATCATTCTTCGGGGATTTAAATAATGAGCTTCTGTTGTGGATTTTATAATGTATCAAATTTGCTGAATAATTGTTCTTAGAATATTTTATTGTTATTTAAACGCGCTTGTGGCTGTTAATAGTTATGTTTGCAATTGTTTAACGATATTTGCATGGTTCTCGTGCCTTTTTGTTTTGTTATCTTGTCGATTGAAAGTTTTTAACATCTCTCCTTGGATGAGAACAACTCACGACGAACGTGCAACATTGCCAAGGTTAACTAGGGTGAATATCTTTGAGAATAGTTTTCAACCTGCAATCTTAGACGTGTTTTATCGAGAAGACCACAAAAAGTTTTATTTTGCGTAAATGAACGAGAATTTCCGTGTAAACATTTTCATGTTTTTTTGTTAGACATGATAGTAAACATTACTAGGAATAACAGGAAATTAAAAATGACATAATTCCGGGGGGCGGACGTTTGTTTCTTTCTTCTCATGCACGTTTTGTGTCTTTGGAGCACTTTGGAGACATACGAAGTATTTTACACACAAGCTGTCAATTTACTGTCATACGTCATGAAACTTATATAGTATTTGATTTTTTTGAACTGTTGTTGATGACAATCATAATCACTTTGATGAAAATATCAGAATGAAAATCAAACAACAATTTTGACTGTTTTTGTGTGTAGGAGTGATGCTGTTGATAGCAATGTACCTGAACAAGAACAAAAAGCAAAGGAGCTCTTACAAAGTCTTGTTGAGGCTCTTAGACAGAAGTCCAAACAGGTATTTTATTTATTGGTATGTGTTATACATTAATCTATCTTTTGCAATGAGACATCATGTGAAGATTCAGTACATTGTAAACTTTATTGTTTCCAGTAAATTAGATAATGATGTAGAAGGCCAATTTCTTGAATGTTTTTTTAGTGAACACAGATTTCCATGTAGGACTAAAACAACCAATTCGAATTTCAAGTTGCTTTATTGAACAAGCCTATTTTTTAGGTGGAAAATGTTGGCAGACCATTGGAAGCCATGATATTGGTGAATAAACTTAAAGAAACTGCAAACAATGTTGAGGTTAATGCTCAAAATTTCAAATTTTTAAGAAATCAATTTTTTTCACTGCTTTATAACGTGGTCTTTATGATTTTAGATGAAATATAGAAATAATGTGACTAGTCTTGCTATCACAATACAGCAACTTCTTTTTGAAGAATCACAGTTATTAATGGCTCAGGTGTGCGCCTCCAGATTTATCTTCAAAACAAATATCTACTTTTTATTCTGTTGTTTGTTTTAATTTTGTAGTTTAATTCTACATTGTAAAATTTGTATAGGAACAATTAGTCAATGGGATGGATGGAACGGAGGAGGCTCGACAATCTGAGTTTATTGCAAATGTACTTTCACAAAATTCTCAGGTATGTAGATATGCTTCATGTAATTTTAGTTTATAGTGATTAAAGGGAAACAATAATTTGCTTGTTAATAATTACTGCGCATGCATTAATTAGGAAATGGAGAATGCTGTAAAGAGTTTGGAACAAGAGAAAGAAAGTTATGTCATTCAGTTTGAGGAAACAAGAAATAAAATTGGTAAGACATTCGTTCATGTGTTACATTGGTTTTTATTAGTCGTAAACATTGGCAACTAAAGTTGGGCATAATTTTATTCTTTTTCCAAAGTTGTCTTGGAAGGAAAGTATAGAGAGCTTCAAAATAGCTCTTTAGCTGATTCAACCAAGGTAAGACCAAGTAATTTTCAATGGAAACTGTGTTTTGTGACCATCCCTCACTGTCTATCATTTTTAATAAATGAGGCATGCATGCTTACAGCTTCCTTTTTAAAGTAAATTGTTCAAAATTAACTGATTGTTGGTTGCATTAAACAATGGTCTAACCTTCATAACCTCGACCGTTCAACCTCAAACTCAAAAAGACAAGGGTCTCATAAATAAACAGGTTGCATAACAAAAGTTTCACTATATTTAAATCCATGTAAAGTTTTATGTTGATTTCTGACATTTTTTGAGATAGAAATTGTCATTTCTATTTTATAGGAAGAAAGTCTTCAGCGTTGTCGAGGGGATATGGAGAAACTTTGGGCCGCCATCAAGCTACATGCTGAAGAACTACTTTCTTGTCGAAATGTAAGTATAGTTTGACTCGCAGAGCTACAAAGTTTGACATAGTTTAAGTAGCTGTGCTTGGAATTAGTAAAACAACCTTTATACATCTTAATGTATCAACTTGTGTACATCAATCATTGCATGTATTGCAAAGGTTCAGTGTGTCAAGATTTATAAGACTTCAGTGTATCAAGGTCATTATAATGTTTCATTGGTAAAATGATTGTTTTACTAAGTAGAACTATTGCATTTTATAGGAAACTATTGAGAAGCTGAAAGTTCAACTGGAACACTTTCAAGAGTATCAGAAAAGTATATTAACTGAGATTTGCAATTGGAAATATCAGCAAAAATTGGCTCATTGTGGTTATCCTGAACCTGGAACTTTGGACGAAGTAAAGAAACAGTAAGAAATCATCAGAGAACTTTAAAATTGCCATGGATATCACCATAGTAAACAACAAGCATTTTTTTGACAGTTGTGAAGCTCTGGCCGAACTTGAATGGCGTGGATACACACATACATCACAGGTATGTAAATCTTTTCAGGCAATTTTAATAACTTGAGTGATATTAACCATTATATGTACATGCCCTTGCTTTTTTCCTACCTGAAGCACAATGCTTTAAAGATAGTTATTGCTCATATATGTCTAATGGAAGAAAAGCTGTTTTTGAGTTTCGTAACATACAACTGTTGAACGACTCCATGAGTTAAGTGAAGTGGGTTTACGTATTAAAGGCAAAAATAGGTGAATGTTGAATGACTAGAGTATATTCATGTGAGTTTATGAAAGCCATTAAAAATGTTCACATGAAATTTTATATTTGCTTATAAAGGTTGAGAATCTTTTTCTACAAGTGTTGCAAAACAATCCAATGGAACTCAATAGAATGACAGAACTAAAGAACGCGTATAAAAATCTTCTTACTCAGCTTATTCAGGGGTAAGAAAGATTTAAAATGAATTTTGTTTAGGACAATTAACATAAATTTTCATGGCAAGTGGTATGTCACATTCCGTGCAAAAGAATTAGCTATAGCTCACTTGACAAAATAATTGTCGCTACTTAAGTAGCAAATTATGACTAAAGTAAACTGCTCAGAAAATAAATCACTTTGTTTGGATTTGTTTTGAACAATGGCCAGTGGGAATTTATGTAAATTATTGCTCATTAGTTTGCAATGATAACGTATATGTGCGTTGATCATCTTCAACACTAAAGATGTGTGATTGACTCCAGTTTTTGGGCATGCACTTCCTTCATACATGAATCTACTTGCGAAATTCCTCCGTCGATTCTTCATATTTTACTTTTTTTTTATTTTTCATCTTCGATATTTTCACTGTTGATGTAAACGCAAACTTGTTTTCATATAAATTGTACTCTTTCTAGTGCTTTCATTATTGAAAAACAGCCACCACAGGTGTTAAAAACTCAGACAAAATTCACGTCAACTGTGAGGTTGGTAAGATGTAACAATGAATTGATGAAAAAGTTTTAAATGAGGTTAAGAAATTATTCTACTGATGCTTTCACTATGAACTTTTTACTCTCGGGTTATTCTTCATGTCATTATTTTTTATTTAGTGTAAGGTTATAAGGAACATGTATGGCGTTCGCGGCTGTGTACATTGTGTTCTTTTACGTTTCCAATTTTCGAACTACAGCATTTACGTAACCTATACGCGTTCTGTGATTCTTTAAAAAAATTATTATCATTTGTCTCGTGCCTGCAATTGAATATTTTGGAAAAAGCACAAGATTCACTTAGATTTACGCTAATTAAAACTTGTGTTATTTTTTTCACTTTTTTCGTTTAATTTTTTTCTATCAAACCTACATTACGAGTTTTAAGCGGACAAAGTCTTTGTTTTGTAGACATCTTATCGGCAGCAAGTTGAACATGCAAATGAGCAAACCTGAAGTCACAGCGACAATAATTACGTAAGTAGAATCTTGACAGTGGTTCTTTAATTGTAGCAATCGTAGCTTGTTGATTGCCATATTGGAAGGCCATGCCTTAAATTCATGAATTGGAATTATTGTTTCAGGGAAAGACAAGCTGAGGAATTGCACAGAACAGGAACCTGGTGCGTGTATTGAAAATCACGGTTGCTTTGAATATTTATAGAAAATTTTACGAATGTTTAATGTTGGTAATCTTCAACAGGAAATCTCAAGGTCAAGATGAAATTCTCAATAATAAAAAAGTAAACTGGATTTGCTTATTAATTACTTTAATTACTTTTAAATTAATAATTAATTACTTTTCAATGCTCGTGCAGAAGCGAAAGCAATTTAACAAAGGATCACTGGAAATGCTTGAATTGATGTTTGATGTTTTGTTGTGGTTTCGTCTTAGGTAATGGAATATGTTTTGGAGAAAGATTCAGTTGTCGCGGAGTTTAAAAATATGGTAAGCAATCGTAACAAATTTAGCAATTCATTCCTCCTACTGTATCAATTAACAACGTTGTCTTAACTGCTCTTTAGTCTTTAAAGAAAGTGTGCCGGCAAGGGAAAAAGAATACAGAGGTAGTAATGACTTGATTTTTAATACCTTGATTTCATAATTGTCTTTGTTGAAACATCTAATTTTCTGCTGAACTTTGTAGCGTGTCATGGACGAAAAGTCAACTTTGGTTTTTCAAGCTCAGCTTCACATTGGAGGAGAAAAGTTTTCTGTAATGGTACGTCTTTGTTTGTGTCAGATGGAGTTTGAAGAGGAAGAAACTAACTTATATGAAACGATTATTAAGAAAAGTGACGATAGTATGATTATTTTTTAGCAACTTTCGTTACCAGTCTCAGTCATTGTTCACGGCAATCAACAACCAGAGGCTGAGGGAACTATTTTCTGGGATAATGCATTCTCTGTTATTGTGAGTTAAAAATATCATTTGTCATCAATACAATGGCATTTGAATTGAAAAATAAAACATGCTAAGTAGAAAACATTACTTTTTTCATAACTACGTAGGAACGAGTTCCTTTTGAAGTATGTGAAGTGGTTACATGGTTACAATTTACGCTGGCTTTAAATATGCGTTGGACAATGGCGAATGGTCATCCTCTGAATGATAATCATCTTGATTATCTTGCGTCCAAGCTGTATGGTGGTGTGTACATTTTTCTGAATTTTGCACTTTTCTATCCAACCCCCGTCAACATTAGACACAAGCATGCTTCGAAAGTTTAGTATCTCTATGTAATGTATTTTAAGCGATACATACGTCCACTGTGGTTATTTTTTTAAAATTGAGCTAAGCATCGACGTTTAATTACCTTGCGTATACTGTTTTTTATAGATGAAATATGTTTCTTCGGTCGTGTGACGGATTTTCCTCACGGAAGACACATGTTTCCATTTGTTTTATTTCAAATTCATTTTTAGATAAACCAATGCTGGAAGGTTACAGCAATCACCAGCTGAAGAAAGAACATTTTAATAAGGTTACAACTACGTAGTTCATAGCTAGCGAGTAGTTTGTAGCATGATGACTGAAGTTTTGGTGCTTATAAAGGACAACTTACCGGATAGACAGTTTTCGTTTTGGATATGGTTCTACTCTATTCTGGATCTGGTCAAAAAGAACTTTCCTCAGGAATGGCAGGAAGGGTAATTTGTATTTTGACCTTTTTTGGCCAACAAGATTTTAAGCTGGTTATCGTCTGCCGTTGGTAACTGTTCTTTGGAATATTTGCACATATTTTAGCCTTGTTTTGGGATTCATCAGTAAAGATGAAGCAAGAGAGATTTTACTTCAAAAACCTGTCGGAACCTTCCTGCTACGATTCAGTGATGGAATTCTTGGTGGAATATCTGTCGCTTACGTTCTTCTGAATGAGCAAGGTTTGGTCTTCTAATATCTGTTACTGTTGCAATTTATTGCTGTAGTATGTTCCATGTGAAATCTAATTATTCACGTGTCGCAATCCAATTATTCACGTGTCACAGGCATGCTTGATGTTTGGAATATTGAACCGTGGAGCTATAAAGATCTGGGACGTCGAAATTTATCCGATCGGTATTTGTAACATATTAATCGATCTATCTTTTGTAACAAGCAATGTGTTTTTTTTTATCTTACAATTATTTTCGGTGAAATTTTTAGTATCAAGGACTTGGAAGAACTACAGTATTTATATCCAGACGTACCCAAAGATGACGCTTTTGGAAAATTTTATACTAAAATCGAAGGTATTTTCCATTTGTATAATCGTTGTTGGTATGTATGTTGTTTAGTACATATATGAGAAAAACTTTCATAAATGGTTTTTGTCAGTGTAATCTCACCTAGCTGTTCCTTCGTTATACCAACGTAAGAATTTTTACCTCGTCTAGAAAGCTTATTTTGAAATGATTTATGTTTTCCTAATTGCAGAACGACCTCACGATAGTCCCTTTGATTACGTCAAATCTAATTTGACCTGTAACGTTCCAAGGTATGTACAGTACGCCTGCATGTTGATTAATCACTTTTATTTTCATACGCATACAGTTACGATTCTTACGATTCTAACTAAAAGGCCTTACGTCTGTTACTTACGAATCAAATTATTGAATTTATAAGCAGTATTCTTGAATTCATCGTTCCTACCTACTTTATCATTATTTAGAGCACATCGACAACAAAGGAATGGTATTGGGTCCCCTATGCCCATGGTGGGTAGTCCTGACTCCTTTATGGATCCAAATTCACCGTTAGCAGTAAGTATTTTGATTTGCTAAATTTTTAATAAATAAAATGAAATTAATGGATAAGTAAGTAAGTCTGAAATTTCTGCACTTATTTCTGCGCAAGTGGCAGCCAATCTCATTGACGTTAAAAAGCGAAATTCTTCGAATTCGGTTTTGCAAGTCTTGATTTCAGACTCAACAAATGTTTTAATTTTCCACAAAGCTTGTTTATTTCCCAGCGTTCATAAACTCCTGTGTATTTTTTGCCATCTAATTCTTCGTAGTAATTTTTTTTCTTTCAAAACAGAGTGAAACTTTTCTGTCGGTTAGCTTAGCAAAGGGCATAGACAATCAAAATAGTACTACAGCAAAAATCGACTTCACCTCCATCGTGTTTCCGGATATTCAAGATATTGAAGGTGTGATGGACATAAACCTTGATCAAATTATGGAGAATTTAAATGTGGCTACCTGACGAACTTACTTACAATAAAGATGATAACTGGTGTTCTCCCTTGTTCCCAGCAACAAGCCACGTGCCATGTAAAATTATTTTAAAAGCTGGTCTTCTATATTTCGTCGCTTGCATTACCAGCACGCTCTTATACGTAGTAATTAAGTAAACTAAATTTTAGTGAATACCTGTTTTTTATTTATGTATCATTTTTGAAGCCAAAATAATCAATGTAGCTGAAATTTTGTTTTAATTAAAATCTTTTACACTAAAGTTGATGTAATACTAATATACTGGTATTCATATCTGAGTGGAAGCAAATTGTTCAAAACAAGCAATTCGTTCGATTGTTTTTTACGGGACTGTCCGGACATATTAAGTCGCCTAGGAACAGTTAAGATTCGGGGCCCTTTCAGTGCTCATAGCACACTTTATAAATCTCCTTACTCCTTTCTTTGCCTCCTTTTTACATTTAGGCTCTTTTTAAGCTGGTCCTGAGCAAAATGCTCTCTTTGCCCTTTTCCACTACACGTACCTGGCATTAGTGATGTAATGTGTGACTTGTAAGAGTACGCTATCATGTTTTGGTGATCCCATTTAGTGGATAGAAGAGCTAAATTTTTGCTGCTTTTTGCAATCAGATTTTAGAACTTCACTTATTTATCGAGGCGTTTATGTGATTTCAGTATTAGCCATCGTGGGTTGGTCGGACGTAGCTGGATTTAGCCCGAAATAGTGGTTGTCCCAATTTGTTCCTTCCTGTGCATGCGTTCCAGTGCTACCTCGGAGTTCTCGATGATGGGAAATAGTTGAGATGAATGAATATGATGGCGCCAAAGTTAAATTTTGAATCGGCAATGAAAACTAAAAACTTTAAAACGACAACTTCTAAAAGCGCTTTGACGCTTTCTCGTTGTAATTTATGTAGTTACTCGGAGTTAAAGGTACTTTCCATCTCCATTTCTTCGTTATAAAATGAAGTAAGTAAAGATTGTCTTTCTTCTACAGGCTGTACTGCCTGTACACATCTCTTTAAATTTTGAGTCAAAACAATGCCAATAAAGTTTATGAAATTTAAAATTCCATACGCGAAAAAGGTATATCTAGATCCAATGGCATGAATAATAATGCCACCAAATATTGCTCCGCCACCTACACCTAGTCCCCAATAAATCCCAGATAAAATTCCTTGAGTTGTGTTGGAAATTCCTGTATTTGTACCAATGTAAGAAACTGCTATTGCCCATGTGAGCGTTGTTGACACACCATGGAAGAGTTCTATTGGTATAACTAACCAAGGATTTGTTATAACACCATATAAAATAAACCTTGTAGTTGAATACAACAATCCAATGTATAATACACGGTTATGACCCAACTTCAATATTGCAAAGCTGGCAGTTTGATATGATATAACCTCAGATAAACATTGTATAGCAGCAATTATGCTGAAAAGAAATTGTGTTCCACCTAGATCTTGAAGATGCCAGAAAAGGAATGTTTGGAGAATACCCCAAGAGCTCCCAAATTGCTGAATGGTTATCAGAAATATGAGAGATTCAAATGTTACCATAGTTTGTAATTGCCGAGCCAAAGTAGTAGCTTCACTGTTCCTTTGGTCAAATTGGATGTACGATGCAGGAATAAATGTAAGCAGCATTATTATAGCAAATGCATAAAAGGAAAGTTTATAGTCAATATGTTCCGGTACATTGCAATGTGATTGTTCTTTAACAGTGCTTACTAGAGATCCAACAAAAAATGATGAAATACCCCAACCTAGTGCACCCCACTGACGTTGTTTTCCGTAAAACTCCCTTTTCTCACCTGCAAGAATATATTTAAAATAAATTCAACATTTATCAAATTCATAGACATTAGCAAACTCATTTTATGTTCTTTTGTGCATGATGGCAGTTGAAAAAATCTGCCTAGCTCATTGTTGATAAAAACTTTCTAGGTTATTCATTTAATGCAACTACATTGTACTACAATTTATTGTAACCTTTAAAAAGTAACTCAAGAAGAATGAACTTTTTAAAGTTAAATAATTGGTAGTACTTCATGTTGTATTCATGATATGAAGTAAGCCAACGAAAATGAGCTTTCGTGTCACCATGGCAACAGCCAATATATTTTGAATGCATTCAATGAAATGGCTGATAAAAAATGGCGGGTAAAGAAAAATCAAAATAGCGAAAATATGGAAGGAAATTTTAGAAGAAAATAAAATGACGTTGTTCTGCCTATCCGGGAAATTTCATAAAAAATCGCTTCGTGAACTGCCTGTAACTAACGATCAAGGCCGCGAGAAAAACTTTAAAGCCTGGGGCAGAGATTACTCCTATGAGCCTATGACGTCATCTTTATAAACATTTGCGATAACGAGATGTAAAGTACTTCAATTTAAGGGGATTTAAAGTTTAAAGAGCAAGCCGTTTAATTACAAACTATATTAACTTATCTTGAAATTGAAAAACAACAATAATTATCTTAATGTTACATCTTATCACAAATGACTTCCCTGCCTCCCGTTCTTCTCGCCTACCCGGTAACGATATGCATTTATTTTGCTCACAGGAGATCGTGTAACTATCAACTATCAGTTGCAACTGCTTACCGTATACTTACTTACCTAAAACTTGTAGTGTTGCTGTATCTGTAAAGGGTACGGTTGGTGCTGCCATGGAGTTTCCTATGATTGTGATGATTAGCAAAATGGTGAAAATTTTACAGTTGTTTTGTGTAACGATATCATCATTTGTCGTCTTCAAGTTAAGTATTGAGTCAAGGGACCATGGATCATGGCCCATGGCGGTTCCTTCAGTAATTTTTCTTTCCATCATTCCCTCCCTGAATGTTTTTTCAATCTTCGAGATCATTTTCCAGGTTCTGTTGGTTTTAGGTTTTTGTTTCTTCAACTTTATAGTAGGTTTGGAAATCATTTTCATAATCTTGTGCAAATCTGCTTGTGGTTTATCGATGACAGTTTCGTTTCGTAGAAAGCCATTTACCGCCACAATTGCTTTGTCGATGATAGTTTCGTTTCTTAGAAAGCCATTTGCCGCCACAATTGCTTTGTCAAATACTGTAAGAGATCCGTTGTCGCGACACGGTGTTGTGTGGGAATTTCCTTTCACCAAAGACAACGAAAAGTTTGAAAAAAGCCATGAAGCCAATGAGATGAAAAATATCAGCTTTATTTTTCCATATTTATCCCCAATGATCCCCCAGGCAGAACTGCTCACAAGCTGTAGGACAGGTCTTAAACCGATCAAAACTCCCGTTTGTCGGGCTGACAATTGCTGTTGCTTGTAAAATATTGCTAGGTATGGAAAGAGTGAACCAACGGCTGAAAAGAAGAAAAAATAGAACAGTTTGTAAGGTATCAACGTTTTGTTGATCTTTGAGCATTTCGAACAAGTCTCTTCTGGTATTTCATTCACATTTCTTTCTTCGCTTGATTGGCTTTCTTCGTCTGTTGTGTTTATATCCATTATAGATACTTGTTCCTGCAAATATTCAGTGAATCCAGCATTTCTGATTTCCTTTAGTAGTTTTCCTACGTATTTAAAGATACTTTATCTTCGACATGAATACATCAAAAATGGATACTTTTGCCTCATGATCTTTAATTTGTGTAACGGGTACCAGTCCCTGGCAACAATGTTTATTCTTTATAGAATGCTTTTGTTCTTTTCTTCAAAACAATTGCCAATAATTAAACAGATGGAGCTTTGGAAAAATCTTATATATAGTTGAACACCTCGTCGAAATATACTTCTATAGAGTAGAAACTGATGCTTAAGCTATTGGTTAGCTACATCCGTTCTCATTTTCTTTAAAATCTTGTCATCTGAAAATCTATGGGCATGCACATATAAGAAAAGTGATGAAAGAAAGGGCTGTTTTATTTTTCATTTTATATTATAAAACGTTAATTCGTAAAAAAACATCATTTTTATCTATTCATAAAACTAGTGAAGATACGGCTCTATACATTGCTCAATTATTTCGGCCATTTTGTCATAACCAATTGGATTCAAATGGATATGATCATTCCAGTACAATTTTTGCAATTGTTCTGGAAGTGTACTTCGTGGTAATTTATAAGCAAGATCACAAAGTACTGTTGTATCTTGAACTTGAGTTGCATATCGTCTCAATGCTGCATTTACAGCCAATCTCATGTTACGTATTAATTGAAATGCAGGCCAAAGTTCATATGCAGTTTCAGGAATTGTCATTAATACTGTTCTTGCTCCATGGAGTTTTGCTATCTCATGTAATTTTTCAATATCTTTAACAATCTTTGGGCTCCAAACACTTATCAACTGTTGTGTGAAGTCTTCATCATCTCCGAAGTTTTTAACATGGGCAACATCATTGGTTCCTCCAAGAATAAGTATCCAATCATAGCGCAAACCTTCATTCAAAACTTTGGGCAATCGTTTAACCATACCACCGTGAACCATTTCTCCGATCATACCTCTGCTTTCAACATGATACTTATTAACACCTTTTGTGTTTAGTAATTGATTCAATCTTATTCCGTAAGGATGTTTTCCTTTACCATGATTGTAGAATCCACTTGTTAGACTATCTCCAAAACATAATATGTTAATTGTTTGTGGCAATTCAACAAATGATGGATTTCTACTTGAAGAGTACGGTGAATAAAAATACGAGTTTTTCCTGTACATTTGTGATTGTGGTTGTTGAATGAAACTTTTCATCGGTTTTGTTTTAATTTCAGGCATAGCTTTTGGAATATATGATCTCTGTACGTTTTCTTGTTTTGGATTTGTTCCTGTTCCATAATTACCTTTTCCGGGAACAAATGAATTCTGCGAAAACTGCGTTGGCATCGAATTTATGAAATAGTTTTCTAATTGTACTCTTTGCTTTCTCTGCTGCTGCTGCTGTTGTCGTTGTTGTTGTTGCAGATGGTTTTGTTGTAAGTATTGTTGCTGGAGTTGGATTTTTTTCGTCTCCTGCTGTTCTGTTTGCTCATATATTTTTTGTGGAAGAAATTGCTTTTGTTGAAAGAGTTGACGTTGTTGTTGGATTGTTTGTGTCTGTTTCTGTTGTTGCTGATATGGTTGTTGCTGATTTTGCTTTTGTTGTTCCTGGTATTGTTGTAGTTGTTGCTTTTGCAGTTGCTGTTGTTGTCGCTGTTGTAGTTGTTGCTTTTGCAGTTGTTGTTGTTGTCGCTGTTGTAGTTGTTGCTTTTGCAGTTGCTGTTGTTGTCGCTGTTGTAGTTGTTGCTTTAGCAGTTGCTGTTGTACTTGCTGTTGTTGTCGCTGTTGTAGTTGTTGCTTTTGCAGTTGCTGTTGTTGTCGCTGTTGTAGTTGTTGCTTTAGCAGTTGCTGTTGTTGTCGCTGTTGTAGTTGTTGCTTTAGCAGTTGCTGTTGTTTTTGTTGGTGGTTTTGTTGCTCGTGTGATATATGGGTTGGATTTTGTTGCAACTGGTTCTTCGATGTGGATTTAGTGAAGAGAAATGGCGACGATGATGAAAATATCTGAGTAGAGCTCACTGTTGGCTGTTTTGTTTGCGCAGATGCTGTAGTAGAAATACCAGTGAAATCGACCGGCGATTTTCCATCTACTGCATGATGTTCTTCAAAAAATTTCTCTAATATCCTTGCAAACTGTGATTGTAATTTTTTTCCTGTATCAGTTGGTGCTTTTGTTGCTTTATTTGTGGAAACAGTTGGTGTTATTGCGCTTAGAGGAAATGTATGTAAAAGATCGCTTGGAGGATTTGGCTTATTTTGATTAAATGAAGTTCTTGAGTTCTGCAAACGTTGAGAATTTGAGTTCTCTTTTTGTTGTTGTATTTTATGATTGACAAGAGCACCATTGTCTGTGATTTTATAACCTTTTGAAAAAAGTTGTTCCTTTAATATAGCTTCAAAAATTGAATCTGGAATGCTGCTATTTTTGCCGGTTTCATGACTATCTACCTCATGACGTAATTTCTCTTCAGGATCATTGTGCTTGTTGTGAAAATTATCATTGAGTTCGCCGTCAATGTTGTTGGGTAGAAACTTTGTTTTTTCTTGAAGATGATTTGATTTGTAGTGAAATTTTGGAATATTGTCATTGTCAAGTTCATCATCTAAATCATCATCCTGTTTGTCATTTGCAAATTCTTGGTTGTGTTTGTCGTCTTTAAACGTTTCTCGATTCTTTGGTTTTCTATCATTTTTAAGATAATCAGTTTCAAATCCAGTATCGTCAATGTCATCGATATCATCGATATCTAAGTCGTCATTTCTATAAACAAACTTTTTCTTGTCACTGGAAATACTCGAAGATAATTGTTTTCTGTCAGTATTAATGTTCTTCACCTTTTCTCTAAACCTATTTTTATGTATGCGAGTTGTTACTGTTCTGTCGCCAGTTTTGTGTTTTCTTAAATCATTGATTTTGTGCTTTTTGTCGATTTTCTTATACGACTTTCCATGTTCGTGTTCAGTTTCATCGTGATCCATGACGTCATCTTTACCGTTATTTATGACATCATTTATACGTTCATCATTTTCATTGCTGTGTGTGTGCGGTCCTTTCATTTTCCGCATTTTTCCTTTCTTTATGTATTTTTGCCTGTGCATAAATTTTCTTTGCTTCTGGTGAGAAATATATTTCTTACCTAATCTACTTTGACGTAGATCTAAAGATGTCTGAGTTAAAGTTTTAAATGAACCATTATGTGTTCTAAGGTGGTAATAAAGTCTTTCAGTTTCCGAAGAGTTACGTCCACACAAGAAAACTATATAAAAATCGTGGCCGTTTTTCATGTTCGATTTCTTAAGAAATATTTTACCATTTGTAATGGACTGTAATTTTTGACAAACTCTCTTTTGTTCTTCTGGATTTTCCTTTTTATTATCATCAATTATGTCATCGTCGTCACTGTCTTCTGAAAAGCGTTTAAAACGTCTATGTCTACTCCTATGTCTTTTAACATATCGACAAGAAAACAATGTATATTTGTATTTCTTCGTTTTGTGCAAGTAGTGCTTTTCCAAATGGACTTTGCCTATGGGAACAGATAATTTTAAATGCTTGCAATGCTTTATGGGATTCATTTTCAGTTCCCATTTTCCACGTCTATTTTTCTTTGATGTCAAGTAATGATTTTCAGTGTCAGATTGTCGAAGTGCTTGTTTGCTTTTTTCATTCAACTTTTGATGTAAATGCTTTAATCGATGATTTTTTTCAATTCTTGTTATCTGGATGTATTTCCTTTTCTTCATTTTCTTGTTTAAATTTTTATTTTTTGTACTTGATGGTTTTTTTATGCGTTTTTTTAACATATGATGTTTTGGTACTATCTTATGAACTTTACCATTGTGGTTATTTTTATCTTTTATCTTTTTAAGTTTACCTTTGCCATTTTTACCCTTTTTGTGTGGCTTTATTTTCTTCGTCCCTGTTTTTGATTTCTTCGTTTTTGTTTTTGATTTCTTCGTCTTTGTTTTTGATTTCTTCGTTTTTGTTTTTGATTTCTTCGTCTTTGTTTTTGATTTCTTCGTTTTTGTTTTTGATTTCTTCGTCTTTGTTTTTGATTTCTTCGTCTTTGTTTTTGATTTTTTAGATTTCCCTTTTCTTTTAAATTTGTGAGAGTTGTGACCGCGTTTTTCGTCTTGAGTGTTCAAAGGCCATCTGTGAACATGATATTCAGAGCTGTGATCATTGTTTGATTTTGCTTTCTGAGAATTCCCTCCCGTTGTGTTCATACTTTTGCCCTGAGTTATATCATTGGCCTCCTTTTGTTCATTCCATTCCCTTTGCTCATTCCATTCATTTGTTTCGTAGTTGTTGTAAAGGTTATTCCAACTTGTTGGTGATATGATATCATTCCCATTCTCAAGACTGTTATCATTTTCTTTTATCCAACCGAATCCACTCCCTGGCTCGTTTACCCAGTTTTTTATCGTACCATAGTTATCTAAGGTCCCAGGATTACCTTTCCAATTATCCCAAAGATTTCGCCAGTTTGAAGTCGGTTGATTTAAATCACCTCTCGATAACCATTCATTTGGATCGACATTGTAAGCATTATTGTAAATGTTTGAGTCAGATGAACCATACCCTGTTGTTCCTATGTATCCCCAATTCTCGTCAACACCTGAATTGTACCAATGCTCTCCATTAAATGAACCTTGATCTGGAATGTTTTCAACGTTTAACGGTGGATGATTCTTGTTTGTCAAAACAGAAAATGGACTTTGAGTACTTTTCTGATAAAGTTCTTTACCCATTTCCCCTAAATGTTGAATGTGTGTTTTTGGCCTTTCATAAATACGAGATTTCTTCTCTCGTTCCTCATCGAATTCCTTAACACGTGAAGAGTTTTGAGACCATGTGGTAAAGATGTTAGTGTTAGGCCGTTTTGTGGAAAATGTCTTAGCAGTTGATGAGCCACCAGTTTTGTATTGAGAACCGGATGACGTGGCGGTCACATTCTGTTTCTTGGAGTGGTGTCGAACGTTAAAGCTGGGCAGTGAAACTAGCTTGCGAATTATGTAGAGCAGTATTAACAAAAAGAGTAAAATGATTGTGTAGAAGATTACCGAATGAGAAAATTTTTGGCAAGTAAAAATGCCTAGTACTTTTGAACAATTTAAACCAACATTGCTGCAATCCTGTTTTGATGTATTTGCTTTACATTGTCTTTTTTTCGTGTTGTCCAATGTATCATATCGAGACTTTTTTCCCGTTACATTTTCTGATACCATTACCTGCCGATCTCTTCCTATGAAAATTTGATTTAAGGTTATTTTTGTCAGTTTGCAGCTTGATTGGTGGATTTACATAATTTTCTGTCTGCTCACAAGCTTGCTTAACTCAACCAAAATATTTTTTAAAAAAATCTTGTTTTGGGTGGGGACCGGTTAGGTTACGAAAACAATCTTAGACAAAGCTAATAAATTGTGTATTTAATGTAGGAATTTAGCTGACACGACAGAAGCTATTTTAATGTGCACTTGACACAAATCTTGTACTCTCTCATAGAAAAAACTCGTGCTATGTAACTTTTTTAAAAGATATTATTGTCTCTCATTTTAGCTTTGAGATATGTTTTCGTGCATGATATTCACGCATGATAGTTCCATTTTATGACAATAATATTCATCTGTATAATGGGAAATGTTGTTTAATAAACAAAGCAAAATGGAAACTTTAAGAAGATTAATTGGTTAAATCTTCACATTTTCGATAAGATTGTACTGTCGTATTTATTGATGTGTTGAAAATGTCCCTAAATCGTTTGCTTAACCTGCCTGGCAAAATATCTTAACATTAAAAGTCCGCATGGAAAATCTTAGAAAGAAATCACATTACAGTTTAAGTATTGTTTAGAATAAAAAACGAGCGTCTCGTCCTGTTTAAAGTGACCTGGATTTTCTTATCGATTAACAATTGATCATAATGTTTGTTTTATCGTATTGTTACGGATGTGTGATTAACTTAATACGCGTTCAGTAAAAATATATACGTTACTAACTATGCATGCATTTTTGTGTTCGATAGACTTATAAAATACACTTCATCATTATGTAATGGCGTACTTACATGACATTTACAGCAGGATATTCTCCTTTGATAAGAAGCAAAGAAATTCTAAACACCGTTGTAACCTGTTGAGATAGTTTAATCGTAAGATATGATGCATCAGAGCGCAGATATTGTTATTACTCGAAGTCTAAAATCGTTGATACAGAGAAAATATTTTGTTTCAGCAAATATTCTTTTTGCAATTGACCAGTAATTATTATACATTCAGTTATTTCAAAGAGAAAAGATAAACACATTTCTTAGGTGTGGCGTTATGATAGAAGTTGATGTCATGTTGGCATCTTGGCTTCTTTTCACGTGAACTTTTGTTGTGTGACGTATTGGCTCTTTCTCACGTGGCCCTATGTTGTGTGACGTATTGCCTTTTTCTCACGTGACTTTATGTTGCGTGACGTATTTTTGTTGCTCTTGTTAAACTTGTTAATGCGTTTGCATTCAAAACTCATCGCCGGAGTACATTACTAAGTCTAAACCAACTATTGTGCGCATTAAGTTTGTTTAGACTTTGTAAATTTTGTACACAAACGAAGTTCGTTCAGCTTAACGATACCAAGGTATTTTTCATTAGACATTACATTTTTTTAATTATGCATCCAAACGTATAGCCGATCGGCACCATCACCAAATGAAATGTGTACAAACTTTTCGAAAATTTCGCATGTAAAGGGTTAACAGAAATGTGCCGCATGCTTACAAAATGAACAGTGGCGATGAAATTTAACGTTAACACCTAAGTTGACTGTTCATATTTATCTTTGAACCTAGATAGCCCAACCCTAACTCTAAACAAAACTATACAAGTACGACAAATTCGTTTTAAAACAACAGACGTATAAGTTAGCAGGTACTACTTTTATTTATTCTGACTTCACATTCATTCTTCTTTCATAAATCACGATGTGACTGGTACATTTATTGCTTGTATTCACTGCAACAAGGTTTAAATGCTAATATATTCAATGAATTTATCATCTGTTACAAAAGAACAACGCAACTCAATAGTTCGCGTCGAAAATATTTATCTTTTTAAGAGGGATGTGTGATTATTTGATTGTGACAGTTTTATTTTAAAGCCATAGTCGAAAAATATGTCCTATCCGAGGGAATGAAAAAATAAGCAGACTTGTACAAAATGATGAAAGGAGAAAAGGACATCGATGAAGATCTAGAAGTTATTTCATTACTGGAGGAGAAAGAAAATGGCGATGAAACATGTGATGATGATAAATGTGTACGTTCACAATACATCTCTTCGAAACTTTTTTACTTTTTCTTTTTTTCTGCTCAAGGATCATTGGTTCCTTATATTTCACTCTATTATAAGCAACTAAAGTTGACCGCTGCCCAAGCAGGAATTGTTACTGGCGCCAAAATGTACGTTGCCTTTCTTGTTATCCCATTATGGAGTTTTATGATTGATAAATTCAAAATTGGCAAACCTGTGTTTATTACGTCTTCAACCGCCTTGATAATAACTATGTTAACCATATCCTTGGCTCCTGGCAAAATCTGTGCTACAGAGCAGAAGACAACAAGAGAAAATTGGTTACCAGGTCTAAGTCAAACATCTAATATATCTTCCGAGCATTCAAATCTTGAGTCCAACTATCAACGTATTGTACTGAAAACTACAGCTTTTGATCATACTGATCTTTTCCTGTTTCTGCTGCTTGTGACAATTTGTGGAACAATATTTTCCTGTCCGTGCTTGAGCTTAGCCGATTCTGGTACAGTAGATCTTTTGGCCCAAAACTCCGAAACACATAAATATGGAAAACAGCGTTTGTGGGGCTCTATTGGTAATGGATTGGCTGCGTTTATTGTTGGCATTTCTATAAGTCAAACAAATCTTTGTCCTGGTGAAAATAGAAAGATCAATTACTACATATGCTTCTACATTTTTGCGATGCTTATGTTTCTGGCTCTCGTTTCTGGCAGCAGGCTTAAGTTCAATTTAAGAACTAAATCTAGTCGAGGAACAATCGAGGTCTGCAAGTCTCTTTGTCAGGTGTTGATGAGTTTTGAATATTTTATATTTCTGTTTACCGTCTTCTTTGATGGGGTTGCAATGTCCTTCATTAAAGCATTTTTGTTTTGGTTCTTAAAAGATATTGGAGGCAGCCAGATATTGTTCAGTGTGATTAAAGCAGTCAATTCCTCCTTGGAGGTTCTTGTGTACTTCTTATCTTCCTATTTAATTCAACGTCTGGGAACTGTTCGAGTGCTGTGTATTGGTTTGCTTTGTTATGTCGTTCGGTTCTCATTTTATACATTTTTGACAAACCCATGGTTTGTTCTTGTTGTTGAACCGCTGTCCGGCATCACTACAGCCGCACTCTGGGCTGCAATTATGTCTCATGTTGGTACGACAGCTCATGATAATTCAGTGGTAACACTTCAAGGTAAGAAACACATAATCCATTCTGAACTACGTATGGGAACATATATGTACATATGTGTACATGTTCGAGTTGATCTGAAAATAATGGCCATTTGTGATGTCATTTCAATCTCTACAAGTCAAACAAGTATTTGATAATACTTAAGTCTTCTGTGACTTTTTTTAACTAATATTAGGATGAAAGATGAAAGTCATGCTATGATATTTGAATTTTTCTTTCTTATTTTTATAAACACTCATTGTCCTCTCAATGATAACGTGGTATATTATTGTACCTTGACATACACCGTGGTATATATGATTATTCCCATGATGATAACGTGGCTTACCAAATAATTCTCTATTCTTGTCTGATAAGTATGTCAATTTATATACATACAGGAGTTATTCACTGTATTCATTGGGGTCTTGGACATGGTACTGGTACCGTTATTGGAGGAGTTCTTATACATAACATTGGAGCGAGATATACGTTTGCATTGTTCGCCATTGTTAGTTTACTTAACTTCTTTCTGTACATACCTGTCCTGTATGGTAAACGATCATCAAAGAGATCAAACCCATAGCCATTAACAGACGAAAGAAGAAGAGTTTGCTTTCTTATCAGTAATATCGAACTTACTATTTTGAAATATAGATGAAAATGAATTTTGAATAGTAAAACATTAACTATCGTTGTTGACCGATTTGCCTTTAATAAATATTAAATACTAAATGTCGTTTTTATTTATATAACGTCTTTGTTATTTTTTATCTTTAATTTGGGTCTTATCCAAATCACTTGTGTCATCGCTACGAACGAGCGCCTCTTCAGCATCATCTATGCTTTCATAGCAACTAATGTCAGGCTCCTTACCAAACATGTCAATCAAAATATAGACTAACAAGATCAACAAACACATTATACCAAATATCACAAAAGTTGCTGGGGCTCCAAGCCTGTGAACCAATAGTCCACCAATGATCTCTCCAGCACCGTATCCTAGACCCCAATGTACTCCGTGAAGTATGCACTGCATTGTGGTCTTTGCTCCTGGTTTGGAGTTTTTACTAACGTAGGATAGACAAGCTGCCCATACAGCTGCAGTTGTTATCCCGGGTAAAATTTCAACCGGTAAAACGTACCACGGATTTTTGATAATTGCGTAATACAGAAGTCTTACGGAGTAACATATCAAACCAAGGTATAGAACTCTAGCATGTCCAATACACTTGATCAACTTTGAGGAGAGAAAATACATGCTGACTTCGGCGAAGCAATTCACTGCTGAAATTAAACTGAACAGTAGCTGTGGTCCACCGAGGTCTTTTAAATGCCAAAATAAAAATGTTTTTATGAAAGCCATCAAGAAACCGAGGTAAAGAGCTGTGAATAGGAACATCAAATATTTTGTGTTTCGTAATGCTTGCAGACCAACTAGAAGACCAACTTTCTTAACTTCGGTCTTTTTATCATCGCTAAATTGAAATTTTGTTGCTATCAATAGTGCTGTGACCATAAGACCGGCGAACGTATAAAAACATGGTATAAAGTCGACAACTTCCACTCGTTTATTTTTATCACATTTGTGTGTTGTTTTTAGTGATGCTCCAACAACTGACGCACCCAGTCCCCAGCCGATCGATCCTGTTAACCTCTGCATTCCATATTTATGAGTATTGGTCCCCAGCAACTGCATGGTTGCCGTATCGACCAATGCCAGTGATGGGGATGATATTAGTGTACCGAAAAATGTGATTAAAAATAATGTTATAAAACATTTATCACTATCGATGTATGTTCTTTCGACCGTTTTTAAGTTCGTTATCACGTTTAAAGGCCACGGATTTCCTTCTGTGAAAGCGTTTTCAACAACTCTGCGATATGCTTGTTCATTGTCTTCCACCATCTTATCGATTTCTGGTTCGGGCATTTCCGTGTCTAAATCGGTTACTCTGCTTATTTTTTCAGTTTCATTGCAAAGCTTGTGCGTCAATATCTTACGTTGAATCGGTGGTGGAACAAGGCTCATTGAAAATGTCGCTATAATCAGAGCAATCAGGGAAATTATTAAGACCAAACGACTTTTGTTGAAACGATCAACTATGACACCCCAAAGGGGTATTACGAGGAAGTTTACAAACGGTTTTAGTCCCATTAATATTCCAACTTGAGTCGGCGTGAGTAGTAATTGCTTGAAGTATAGAGCCAAATATGGAAGTAATGATCCCCATCCAGAAAAGAAGAGAAAATAGAAGAGTTTAGGAGCTAAAAGGGATCTATTAACTCTGGGACAGCATTTTTTTCCTCGTTCATCGTCGTTTTCATCCTGATCGCTCTCGACCATAGTCACAAATTCATTTTCTCTGCTTGTATTGTTTTTGATTTACAACTTATTTGGAGATTTTTTATATATGAATTATTCGTCCGTTTATCTTTTAACCTGGTTTAACACAATGACCACCTGACAAACGTGCGCAATTTTTCGAACAAAACAACATTTACTTGTGATGAGACTGAGTATTAATGAACACGACAGACTATTATTTTGACTTGATACTGGGTGTATTAAAAAGTTTGTTTTGGATATCTAGGCTTAGTAAGATATATTCAAATCCAGTCTTAAACACACATGCACCCTGTGATATTTTGCTAGCGAGTTGGTTATTGGAGAATCGTCATCTAATTCATCCTTCCTATCTTGACTTATTCTTGATCTTTTTTATAAAATGATACATCGTTTTGAATCCTTACGACATCTTTTCACAAAGAATGATCAATCGTTTTGAATCTTCAAAACTATCCCTGTTTTTTGCTTCTCACCTGTTCAATATGATATTTAGCTCTTGGAAAAATCAAAGACAAGAATCAAGTACCTGCAGGTACCTGAAAGACTCCACACTTTGACTGAAATGGGTCTATCTTTTATGGCATATATATTGCATATTCCATGTTTATAATCGCATAGGAAACATTTTCATTGGTCTCAACTTAACTTACGTACATGGAACTTTGTAATTACGGCGAGAAAGACCACATTGATCCTGAAAATAAATATTCATCATCGAATTGCGAGAAGGAGGAAACAAAAGAAGAGACGAACAATGATTATGGATGCTATCATGGCGGCACTGATAAACAACTTCTTGTCTCGAAATTATTTTATTTATTCTTTTTCTCAGCTTTTGGTTGTGTTTCTCCTTACCTTGCTTTGTACTTTAAGCAAATTTTCATCTCGCCTCGACAGCTTGGAATAATTGTGTCAATTCGCTCGTTTGTTCAGTTCATATTTGCGCCGATCCTTAGCTCCTTAGCTGAACGATACAACAAAAGGTTGTGTGTCATCCTTATTGCTATTCTAGCATACACAGCTTGCTATGTAACAATACCCTTTATCCCATCGGATGAAAAACCATCTGCATGTAAATCCAAAGAGTCCGAAGATATTCCAGTGAACAGCAGCGCTCATTTGTCTTCATTCTCAACGTTAAATGAAGTATCGATGTCTATAAATTCACCTCGAAGTGATGAAGGAGACGACTATTATTATTTACCATGGTCTCTGTTTTATGCTCCACCTGTAGACAAGAAGTCTGAAAGAATGCATGCGGTTAAATTTTCTGTAACCGATGCTAACCAACACTTGGCAGATACATCACCTCTTTATCTTTCTGTGCTTTTGGTCATAACTATAAGCTACATGTTTGGTTCTCCTGCTCAGACATTGGCCGACATTGCCACGTTACAGTCCTTAGGAGCCGGACGTAGCCATGAATACGGACGGCAGGCGTTATTTGGATCATTTGGTTATGGAATTGTTTCGTTTGTAGTTGGAGCCTCCATAAGCGAAATGCAAGTTGAGAATCCTTGTAGTGGATCCATGGATACGAACTACTTGCCATGTTTTATATGTTTCGGTGTACTTATGCTGATGTGCTTTGTCGTAGCAACTGGCTTTCGATTCAATGTGAATGAAAACGTCAACGTCCAAGAAGATAACCCTCGAAAAGGGAAAAAAAATAATGTTGTAACGTTTGAGTTAGTTATGTTCATATTTGTTGTATTTTTCTGCGGAACTGCCTCGGGATTTCTGGGAACTTTCCTATTATGGCATATTCATGAATTAGGTGGTTCACAGTTGTTATTCAGTTTTGTGATATTGTTCAATTCTGCAGCAGAAGTTCTTATTTATCATGTTTCAAATCGACTTATCACAGTTCTTGGTTATCGTCGTGTTCTTTATATAGGATTAATTTGCTATGGGATACGCTTTTTTTACTACTCATACTGTGAAAGACCTTGGCTTTTTCTTCCAATTGAACTTATCCACGGAATTACTTCGGCTGCTGTATGGTCAGCATTCGTGTATTACGTCAGCAACGATTCCAGCAATTACACCACCCTTCAAGGAGTGGTAAGTGGTGTTTACGGAGGACTCGGTTATGCGACTGGTGGGTTAATTGGGGGTCTATTGGTTCATGAGTTAGGAACAAATGCCGCCTTTCAAATGTTTGGAGAAGCGTGCCTGGTCATTTTATGTTTTTTTATAATTACTAATATTGTTGGAGACAAGCACGCAAAAACACAACTATGTTCTTCAAGTGGAAACGACGATAATAAAAAAAGTACAGATTAGATATAGTGTTTGATTATTAAAATTATCTAGTTACCTTTTGTAATGTCTTTAGATTAAAAATGTATTTAAATTGAAATGCAAGTTTCCATTATGTTTTGGCCTGTAAAGCCATGCCCTTAAATACTTATCCGCTCTTTTACCCATTTTTGATAACATTCATTTTGATAACTGATATTTTACATCAAAATGATAAGTGATTTTACCAGAACTTGTATCATACGTCCATGTATTATATCCTATTGCGTATGAAAAAACATTTGAAAAGTCTGCCGAGAAAATTGCAATACTGCAAGATCATCTTATTTTTAATCGATTGTTTTTGATTCTGTTCGCGCTATCAAAATATTTTAAAATGTAAACTAGTCTTTTTTGTTTTAGCTTTAACTTGTGGTTTGGTTTTAGGCTGTTTAGGCGGCAGTTTAAGCCATTAGTTCCAATTTAGAGGAACCTTTCTAAATTTTAAAGACATGTATTGATACAAAAGAATGGTTGAAGCATGTTTGAAAGCGCTTTCAAACGAAAAAGGTTTTTTTAGGTTGATCGTTTTAAAATTTTACACCTAGCGGTTTTTGAAACAATAATATAAATACGCACTAATAATTCTTACACCAAGTAGTACATGGTCGATCAACTATAACACGCTTCGATTTATGCATGGTCCATTGGAAATATTTTTTGAGCTTTACGATTGTCCGCTTGCCACCTGTGCATACAGTACGGTTGAATAAATTGCTTTTCTCGTTTAACATATTTGTACTTAGAATTATTTTCATCGTCAAGATTATCTTTTATTTCTGCCAAAAATATTGTTAAAATGTACGAGTGAAATCAGGTGGGTTATTTATTTTATTTTCATTCGACAATAAATAGACAGATGATGTTTGTGAACTTTTTATAAGTTATATATTTTTATCAATTAATTGATTATATTATTTATATATAATTTTATTAAATGAAATATGTAATATAATTGTAACGCTGTGCATAAGGTAGACGTATTTTTATTTGTATGGCCATGCTAGAATATATGTTTGTCGATACATATAAAATTATATAAATTCCTTTCATGCAGATAAAACTTCTCAATGGATTTCTTGTGCTGGTTGGTCTTATTCGAAACAATCACAATTGTCCTTGGTAAATTACATTTATACTCTATCTTTGACTGTCAAGAAGACAATTATGTATTTATTGTTTTGTTCATGTATGGTTTCATAAAGTGCATAATTATTTGATCTGCAAAAATAGATGAAATACTCATTTTAAATGATAAATTTTTCCTTTTATAAAAGTTAGAAACACATTCTGTTTGTCTGTTATGTATTTTTATCTTTAAAGTAAATATATCTTCATGTTTTAAAACTTTTAAAAAACAGGCAAAAACGCCTTTCACGGCGATCGCAAAAGAAACGCATATCGACGGCAAATGATAATTCCAAACAAATTTATTCCATTGCTGAAAGAATCTTCTCTTTTAAAATCACGATCAAAAAACGATGTATCCGAGTTTCTAAAACCGAAGCTGTTTAATGAAGAAACTGGTAAAACAAGACAAAGCCTTATGAATGCAATGGGAATGAATGATGGGTCACCTACGATGGGCCTAGATAGCATGTCTATGGGACAAATTGCAGGGATGCCAAACATGGAAAACAAGTTGCTTTCTTTGGCAGACAATAATCGTTTTGGGAAAGTTCCAGATGGAATGCCTGGCGCAATAAATGATCAGATGTCTTCAATCAATGGTATAGGAGGCATTGATGGAATGAATGGTGGTATGGAAGGAATGAATGGTGGTATGATAGGAATGAGTGGTGGTATAGAAGGCATGAATGGTGGTATGCAAGGAATGAATGGTGGCGGTATGCAAGGAATGAATGGTGGTATGCAAGGAACGAATTTTGGAAATTTACTGAATGGTTTAAATGAAAACAATGCGATAAACTCCATGAGTAATGTTGGTTCTAATGGTATGTTGTCAGCTGTCAATCAACTTCCTTCAGGGGGGGACACACAATCATTTGGGCCTGGCGGATTTGCTAACACAGATGTTTTGGCGATGATGAATCAAATTGTCGGTAAAGAAATGCCGAGTGATTCTCCTATAAATCCTGCCTCTAAATCGGAACAATTGTGGAATGTATTACAAAAAAGCTTTAATAAACATAAAGAGGTCGCACAGTCTAAAACTAATTCTCAAGCAAGAACTAATCTTCACTCTGACCAGCAATTTCCTATTTCAACATTTTTACCAACCAACAACCCTTCTTCCTCTCCTATAACAGCCAATCCAAATATTGAATCTGTCTTGCAAAACCAGAGGTCCGTCTCACCGATCTATAACCTTACCAGGCTGTCTAAAGCTTCTCTCAGCACAAAAGCGACGAACGAAATTAAGTCAGTCAATAAGTTCCCTGGCAACATTCTAAAGATTGATTCGTCAACAGCTGAAAAAAACATCCCTATGAATTTATCAAATAAGAATATCCAAGTAGCAAGCACAACTGTTAAGCCCACGGAAAGTTTTGTTGATAAAGATCAACCGCTATCCGATGACATGGTAAAATTTCTCAAAGGACTAAAATTTGTCGTTTCTCAAGAGTCTGGTAGTGATGTTATATTGGGAAAAATGTTGTCCAGTCATCGATCTTCTATTTTGAGAAACGTCAAGGAAGAAAATGCAGCCATGAAGAATTTTGTTTCTTCGTCTAAAATGAATCATCACCTTATCAAAGATTCACCTGAGAATTTAAAGACGATAAATGCGTTTTACAAACAAGTCGCGCACAGAGCTCGTCTCCTTAAACGTATAATAGAAAATGAAGATAAGAAAGAATATCTTGAAGCTGCTAACGTTTTGGAGAAAACTGCAAGACTTTTGAAAGATTCTGTTGCAAAGAAAAGCGCTGAAATTGCCATTACATCCATTCGAAGAATTCTTAAATTGAGAAATTACGATCGCAAGCATCCTGCGAGTGAAAAAAACGTCTTAAACCGAACGAGTGGAATCCATATGACACATGCTCTTTCTCAGAAGTTTCTCGAGGCGGCTCGAGTGCTTGCTACCGCGAGAAATGAATTAACAGATCCCGTTGCGAAGAAAGTTGCCGAGATTGGAATAGCCTGTATATTCAAAGTTATCATCTTAAATCAGCGTTTCTCGTCTAAGAAATATTCAGTATCTTTGAACATTATAAAAGATGATGTTGCAGATCTGTATTTGAGGAGCATTTCTGGACAATTTAACAGAAAAAATGTGATTGCTGCGAGAGAAGTTGCGCAGAAACTTAAAATCGTATCTAATGTTCAGCATCTATAATGACTGATGCCTTTTTGCAGGAAATAAAAAGTATTATCCATGCTGTGTCGTATTATGGGTCACGTGACATTTGCCAACGACGTTGTTTACATGAAAACATGGGTTTACTTAGCCTGCAAAAAACGTTGAAAAGAAAGGGGAGTCTATATCCACCCGTGACTTTTGCAAATGGAATTCCGGCCTTCTGTTTGAGAACTGTAAGAGATTTGTTCATCATTTGTTATTTAACATACGAATGCTTGGCATAATATAATGAGGCTGCGATCGTCATTGCTATGATATTTAAACATTTGCGTATTAAACTAACGTCGACAATACTAAGTAAACAATAAATAAATAGATGTGGGAATTGTTTGTTGAAGTATTTTCAATTACTCTATTGCTGTCTTTTTTAATTAGTGTCTTTACAAATTTTGTTTGCATATTCCTATTGTGCGCATGCGCATTTCAGTCCTTCACAACTTTCATGCCGTTCACAATTATCTCGATTTTACTCCTACTCACCTTTTATATTGAACAAAGAAATACCGCCATATTTTAATTACGTAAAGAATGCGTTAAATCATGTTTTGTTTTACTTCATGAATCTAAATGATTTATGAATAAAATTGTTTGGTTCGCCAACAAATGCGTCAACTCATTGACATTATTAATTTCTCAACTTCATCTTGTGGCGTGTGTTTCATATATGTTTCCTAACAGCAAAACAATGTTTTTGTTGATTGCATTGCATAATTTGTTGTGTCTACCAAAGAGTGCCATTTTTTTAGGTTATGTAAACGCTTTCTGTGTAGAAATCTCTTTAAATAGTGTAAGAAAAATTACTCATGAACAAGCAATATTTTCATAAATTTTTTTACTTTTGTTGACTTTAGCAGCCAACTTTTACTTTAACAGAAGCCAATTTTCCCCTTTATTGTTTGGTTTTTTGAAAAGTTGTAGAGCATACTTCAATTTAAACTTTTGGCAATAATAGCTTGTGCTCTATTTTTAATGGCTTTATGAGTTCTCTGAGAAACAAACCCATTGATTATCGTGTGAAATCTAATACATTCTGCTCATTTCCCTATAGATGTTGAACGATTGATCGCATAGCAATATATATACAAGAAATTTTTACATATATTCCCCTCTGATTCATATTTCAATGTTATTGATCAAAACTGCTCAATAGAAAATCGAAGGAAGCGCTGTTGTTTATAATTTGCGACCAACTACAATCACACGATAACTTAAATGAGGAATAGCGCCTTGAAAGCATTTAATTGACATCATTTTTTAACAAACTATATATATTTTATGTTATTTATAGTTGCATGATTTCTAACCACGTTCCATTTATGTTTAGTACGTGGTAGTGTACTGACATTTTTGTTTGCACTTCAAGCGTGTTTGCAAGCATGATTGTTATTTTATTCATCGTAACCAAATTTAACTTGAACAAATATGCTTTTTTCGGATTTAATTGTTTCTTGACGTCTTGAAAAATTGATCGCATTCTCATTTCAGAAGCAATTCCGAAGAAGAGTGTAATAGGCAACCCGCCGATTTTTGCCATGTTTAATTAATACATATGGTCAGTAATTGTTTAGGATATGTCGGTATAGTGATTAACCACCACTCCTATTTATTCATGCTTGCTTGTATTTAATATATTATTTTATAAAATAAACACAATAAAACGCGTGCGTGTATTGGTCTAGAGCCGTGTTTGCATTAGCCTGTGCAAAAGAGATCGGAGCTCAACCAATCAAATCAATCAATAAATCAAAGAGAATTTGCAAATCGATCATGAGTATATTTTAGAGGGGAATTAAAACGTTTCTTTTAAGTTTGCCTGTTTCGCATTGTTGTTATTTTATAAAAGAAACGAAAGATGTTTGCTGTGTTTGCACAGGCTTATGCAAACCTTGGTGACTTTTTTGAGAACTCTCGAGAAGGTGCAACCCTCGATCTTCGGTCTCGGGCTTGCACTGATCAGCTCCCGAGTTCTCCCAAAGGTTTCCTCGGTTTGCATAAGCAGTTACATTCACTTTAGAGAAATTTATGATTATTTTCGGATTATTGAACTTCTGTACAAGCATTTAGCTACTACGATTTATTATCAACTGTATTGTTTTGTTCTTCATTATTAGCCAAGTATATATACATCATAGTACACATGCATATGTACACACATGTATACATGTATACATATGTGCATGTATGTGTATGTATGTACATATATGTATACATAGCTACAACACGATGGTTAATTTGCCAAATGTATATTGGCGATTTTTTCCTATTTTTTTATGTTTTTCGGTTTATTTTTAATTTCTCATTATTTATCAAATAATTTGCGGTAATAATGTGGTTTCAAACAATGTTCTTGCTTTACGTAAACTCTGTCAACACGCTATTGTTTTTCAGACAAATCTTCAATTGAATTTGATGTTTATTGTGAGATAACATGTATAAAAAGTATGCAATTTTCCGAGCTTTATTGATACTTATGCACATTTTGTATGATTGCGTATAAGTGTTCTTCTCGCTTCTCTTTACCGAAAATATATTATTCAAAAGTTAATTGCGTTGCAGACCAGTTTAAATGAAGTCATTTATGATACAATCAGAGTGTTTATCTTGTATTTTCAAATTGCAGCTGTTTTTCTGATTGTCTTCGGCGCAAAACAACCCTAGCTCTAAAATGTCGACATGCTTTTCAATTAACACCTTACCGACAAATTGTTGTTATTATTCATATCCTATCAGCTGTATAAAGAGATGCATTAGAAGAAATCAGAGAGTGCAGAACTCATCGGCAAATCTCGCAAACACTTCATTTTATCTTCAATTATTATCGAGTCGACAATACTTAACTATGATTTATAGTATCGCATCAAATCTCACAAAAAGTGTGCTATCTGTTACAAGAAATGACACAGAATCCAACAACATTTTCTTTAACATATGGTCCTCTGTCTTTTTTATCATACTTTTCTTAAACTTAAGTGGTAACTCGCTCGTGATTGTCGTCATTGCGAAAGATAAAAAATTCCATAGTATGATGAACTGTCTTTTTGCAAACATGGCGTTTTCTGATTTTCTTGCTGGCATCTTTGCATTTCTGTGGTACCTGGCGAACTATATTGATCCAGCATGGCTAAACGAGTGGATCTGTCGGTTAGTAGCAGCGAATACAATTACCGTGCTTAGTGGAATTGTCTCCATTTTCTCCCTTACTGCTATTACACTGGAAAGATACCGCGCTATATTAAAACCTTTAGAGCACAGGATGTCCTGGTGCAGATTAAAACTTATTCTTTTTGTTATTTGGTTTTTCAGTGGGATCTGTTCTTTGCCTTATTTTATATTCATAAAATTTGTTGACGCTCAGAATCAAAATAGATGCATGTTTTTGCTTGGAGAATGGGAAAAACAGCTTCTTACCATTTTGATGTTTGCCTTCGTTTATGCTTGCCCAAACATCATCATTTGCTCAGCATACGCTAAAATTGTCAAGCATCTTTGGTTTAATAAAGAAAACGAAGAAATGCAAGAATCACACAAGGCCTTGTTACAATCCAGAAAAAAAATCACTAAATTACTTGGTTTCGTTTTGATCGTTTTCAATTTATGTGTGTTGCCTAACTTTGCGATTGCCGATTTCATGTTGAGCTTCGGTGCAACTGGCTATGGACATGCTGTCTCTTTTATTGGATTTCTTATCCAATTTGTTTCTACATGTGTCAATCCTTTGATATTTTTCATTCAAAGCAAACAATTCCGCAATCGTCTTTTTGGCATCCTTTTTTGTCGAAATAAGCGAATAAATCGATGGTCTGAGCTACGAGTAACCGTTGTATCAACGAAATCTCAGGTTGGATCCATTAGCAAGCATTGTCAAACTGCTGTTTGATTTATGAAAGTATATATATGAATTACTATGTTTAACTATTATTCTGGTATTGACAGCATGTTATACTTCTATATGAGATTAATGGTATGCATTCAGTTCAATAAATATTCCCTGGAGGATGTTCTCCTTTGGTTGAAAAGACGCAGTTAAATACAAATATTTATCTGGGTATATGAAAACAAAATTAATGAGATGCACATGTATAGGAATTATTTCATTTTAGCCGATAGCATTTGCTTTAGAAATTTTATGTGACTAAAAGAACGATAGGCCATCCACTTTTCTTAATCTCTTGCATATATTTGACTGTAACATTCAATATAAGGAAATGTTTCAACAGTGATGATAAATGAGTAAAATTTAACGATTTTCAGTTCTATATGAATGTTAAACCATGAAATCTTTATGGGAATTAGGTTGATTTGAATAAAGTTCAACGTCTCGTGAGTTGAGAGGATTTTGTTTAATAATAATAATAATTGTGATTTGGAAAGATATGAAACAACACAATGACGAAACAGTCAAAAATCTACCCCGTCATCTTTATGTTCTGAATTCAAATTTAAACATAAAATTTCCAGTCAATCGCAAATCTTGCTGACTTGTTATTTTATTGTTCTGCTTTCCTGCTGAAACTTTTTGTGTATATTTGTTTGACACAGGCTTCAAATGTGTTAGTTGCTGGTTTTCTTTTTGTTGCGATGAACATTTTTAATTTTTGATTTTTTCTTTCCATTTTCTTCGTTGTGATCATAACCGAGTACGTCATCTTCCTCAATCACGTGATCATTAAAGTTTGGATTCTGTCTTCTGGGACTGTAATAGTTATTCTCATATTGATCTGTTATGTCTCGAAGGTTTTGATAGGGCATTAACTGATACCTGTCCATTGCACCTCGGTCTATGTGTATTTCATCCACATTTGATGTTTGAAGAGCTGGGTTTTGCAGTGGATAATGTTGTATTGGAGTGGATCCGATGAAACTGAATAAAAAATAATCAATCCCTTCTTTCAGTTCCTGCATAAATGTGCTCATAAAGAGCAATACGGAATTATGTGACACCCCCCCTCTCGCAATCCAGAATGGAAAATGTGTTGCAACTGGGAGAACTCGAGAGCTGATCAGCGCAAGCCCGAGACCGAAGGTCGAGGGTAGCACCTGCTCGAGAGTTCTCACAAACGTCTCCAAGGTTTGCAAAAGCCAGTGCAAACACGAAAAACATCTTTTATTTCTTTTATAAATAACAATAATGTGAAACAGACAAATTTAAAGTAAACGTTTTAATTTTTCCTCTAAAATGTATTCATGTTCGATTTGCAAATTCTCTTTGACTGATTGATTGTTATGATTGATTTGATGGGTTGAGCTCGGATGTGTTTTGCACAGGCTAATGCAAACACAGCTCTAGACCAATCAGCGCACGCGTTTCATTGCGTTTATATTATAAAACTGACGCAAAAATTCATAATGAAATGAAATTCATAATGAAATTATGGAATGTTTACCTTTTGTATGATGAAAGATCTCCATTCAAAGGCATATTAAAATTATTTCCCATAAGTCTATCAACACCTCTATTCAAAGGTGAATTAAAATTATTTCCCAGAAGCCTTTCAACACCTCCATTCAAAGGTGAATTAAAATTATTTCCACGAGGCCCATCATCTCTTTCATTAAAAGGTGTATTAAAATTATTTCCAAGTTGCCAATTACCATTGCCAATTTGTATATTGTGAAACGAATTGTCCGGTTGTAATGCGATTCTTTCTTCATTTTGAGCGAACTGTCGTTCAGATGTTAAAGGCAGCCCGGAAACTGGATAATTTTTCATCTCTGTTTGGGCCATTAATGGTTGAGTGACATCAACAGGCGTCTGTAGACTTTGTATTGGTGATATATTGGGAACGTTGGCTTCAGTATTCAGTACTAGTGGTGATTGTAGTAAATTTGGGTTTTCTTTCGTTTCTATTGTATTCACATTGTTTGTTAGCATTTTTGTAGCCATCTTTATATTATCATTTTCCTTATCTGCTTTGGGTTTTTCGCTTTGTATTGTAGAATCACTCATGGTATAAACTGAAGCGTTAATAACACCACTAATTTTTGTTTTACTAGATTCATTTTTATGTTTGTTTTGAATGTTTTCCAATTTTTTTCTTTTTTGATTTTCGAACAGAACTTCTTTGACCTTTTCCAAAAAAAATTCTTCAGCTTTTTGCAAGACTTTTGAAATATTTTTGCGGGATTCCTTCTTCATTAAGTTTGATGAAGTAAGCTTCGATATAATATTCTGTTGCATTTTTTTGAGATCTTGTTCTACGTTCTCTTTTGTCACATTTGTGTGGTTGACGGGAATCAAATGATTTTTTATCGAATTTTCATTAATTTTTTGTGTTTGTAGACGATAGGAGTTCTTTCCTTGAGTGGATTTTAATTCATCACTTTCATTTTGGAGTTTAACACGTTTTCGCCGGAAGCTATCTGAGATTGCCTCAGTTAAGTTTCTGTTGAGATCTTTAAATGGATTGTTTATATCATCTATAAAGTCAGACAATCTAGTATTGCTCACAGCGGTCGCTTTCGGATCATCCAATTTTGGAAAATGAAGTGCTCTAGCTTCATTCCTCCTTCCAATAACATTTGAGTCCGTTAATTTCCTATTTGTTGTATCATTGCTGAAATTAATTGTGACAGTTTTCGTAGTCAAGCTTGGAGTAAGGTTTTTGTTTTCATCTTGACTTTGTGTTCCTTGATCTCCAATCTTCACTCCAATGTCAGCTTTGTTGGCATTGTTTGACGAGAATAATGAATCACCAATATTGACAGGTTTTTCGTTCTTATAAACGAAGAGGTCAAAATTTTTGTTCTTGTTTCTTGTTTCCTTCTCTTCAGGCATGCTCACAATGGTTGAAATATTCCTTGAACTGCTAAGTTTATTTGAACTTTTTGACGTAACTCTTTTTGATGTAACATAAGGGTAAGGCTTATTTTTTGACTTTTGGTCTCTGTTTTTCTTATCCAACAATATTCCTTGCGAATATCGTTTATTTGCCTCACGTTTGCCACTGATCATCTCCAGTTTGTTTGACATTGATTGAATTGATAATTTTTTTTTCAACGTTTGAAGACGGTTCAGTTTTGCCTCTTCGTTTAACATATTTGACAGAAGCTTGTCTGTGCTTAAATCGAATTTTTTTCTGTTTTGGTCTTTGTGGAAAATGGATGTCACATGCCTCTGTTTTCGCTCTAGTGGATATTTTCTTCTTTGCATTAAATTTTCTGAAATTTTATGACTAACATTTTTACTGTTCAAATGTTTTTCCTCTTTCCGTAAAATAAAAGAAAAATTATGCGTAAGTTTTTCCAGTTTTGACAGTTTTTTCTCTTCAGCTGCTTCGAGTGACCTAAGATATGAGAAACGAGCTTGTTCGTAATAATACCTTGCTTTTGCTTCACTAGACACTTTCTTTATTGGTTGTAAAATATTTGATCTTTGCTCAAAATTTGGGATACTTTTTCTCTCGTGATGATCCAAAGATGACTTCGATTTGTTATTCGTAGCGTTGAAATGTTTCTCTGCTTTATTCGTAGTATTGAAATACTTCACATAACGGTGTGTTTTCTCTTTAGCTCTACTTTTCATGTTCTTCAACGCTCTTTGTAGTTGAAGAAGTAATTCTTTTTTGTTCATGTGTGGTTGTCGTGGAAAAAGAAATTATCATTATAATGACATATTACACAATAAGCATTATAATCATTATTTTTGCTATACTACCTTGCTGTTTTTCTTGTTCTGTTGAGTTCCGTAGAAGAACCGTTTCATTCCGGACTGAATAATGTGGCGAAACAACGTTTTTCTCTTTTATCTTTCGGTCTTTCAATAAATGTATTAAATGAAATAAAATATTCATTTTTGCGTCTTTTTCCACTGGTTTTTCATAATGATCATCTTCTGTTAAGGATATATCAGAAACACTAAAAAATATCTGTGGTCTAAACATGAAGATGTGCATTTAAACTGAAATCATTTGTATTTTCTTAATGAAGCAAAGATGAATTATTGTTATGCAGGTTATAATGGCACTTGGTGTTATCCATTGACGTAATATAATATAAACCTGTAAGAATTATACACTCACCAGATGTCTTTACAACGTGAACGAGTATCACAGCTAATACACTAGTCGTTAAAAACAGCATTTCTCTTCTCGTTTCAGTTTAGTCTTCTATATCAAATGGTTTTTAGTATCAATTGATTAAATATGATCCTTAAGATCCATTAGTCTATTCACTAATTTTCTCATTAATTTGAGCATCAATTGATACCACTCATTGCTGACTGTACAAAGGCGTCTATAATGTTTCTTACTCAAGTATATATATTTTATAATGGACTTTCAGTCTTACTTGAATAAACCAAAATAGTTAAATAGCTATAAGCTGACATATGACAACATGCCAATGAAAAAAAAACAAATTTTCATGTCAGTTTATCATGAAGATATTCATGGTTCAATGGATGATTACCTACCGTTACATAAAAAATCATTCTTTTGTTGTAAATTTTTGTTATTATTATTACAAGTAATTACGAACATCGTTCGCTGGCTTATTTTTCAGTTTCAAAAAGTAATGAAAATATAGATTTCTCTCGAAAAGAAATGATGTTATTTTACTCACTTCATTATTTATTCAATAACAACAAAGACTTCATTCATAGTGATTGGTATGATTATCTCTTTGTGTGTGAGTCAAGCCTATTTTTTGTATTGAAAAAACTTTCCATTTTACTGATAATTATATAATTTTATGCAGAATCTGTAATGATCCCATCAAGTCACTATGATCAAGACACACAAATGAACTTTAGTATTAACATTTCATGGAAAATTTTGGGCATTTCTTTGTTTCATTTGTTAAAAGAATAATCTGAACTGGGACTTTAATGTAATTCATTTAAGTGTATCACCTGCTATGAAAAATTTCAATACCAGTTGACAGCTTATATAAACACGTTTTGATGTTTTGTAATAGAGAAAAGAATAAATAAACGAAGTTCAATTTTCAAATCAACCTTTCGAAAATTATAATGATGTTTCATTTTGTTCTTTGTAAGTTGCTTTTTCTTGTCATCATTTTAATGTTCAGTTTCATTTTTATTTTTACGAACGAATTTTTAAGTTTATTATAGTATTTACTTTCGAATTTGCTGATTGCATAATTCTATTTGTTATAGACGGTGACTAATTTTGCTGCTTTGGATTTTCAATTTCAATGGATACATTTGACGGTGGGATTTAATTGTATAATGGTAGAATAAGCGAAAAATCACGATGATAAGATTGCTGTTGATTGTAACATCATTGACAATCGTTCATGTGTGCTTGTCAGTCACAGGTAAAATTCTTCATCCTTATTTTGATGATACACCTGATAAGTTTAAAACAACGCAACTAATGCAAAGTAATCGAAGTTAGAATAAATTTTTTCATACGTAAAAATTTTATAGAACACGACTTTCCGACTATTCACCCCTATTACTAAAATTAAAATCACGCCATCCAAATTACTAAAAGTATGTTTTTCATCACTTAGAAAGCATAAAACTCGGATTTTTTTATTTAAAACTAAATTTTTCAATAACTTTTGATTTATACATAGTTCTACTGTTTGCTTTCATTATAGATGATTGTACGAGTAACAAAAAGGAAAAGCACTTGCCTTATTTACATCATATTTCCGAATTTAGAAAGAGAAGTAAGGTTTCAGGTAAAATACTTTGTAAAAAATGGTCAAAATCAGAACCCGTTATACAAGATTCAGTTCTTGGGCTGCATGGCCTATTGCACGCCAGATCCCAAAGAAAATTTCAAGAAAACACTACTACAGCTGGAAACAATCAATCGCTAAAAAATGATACATTTCAAAAGTCGAAAAGTGATTTGGGATCAAAACGTTCAAGTTCCACTCTCCATGATATCAAATTGAGAAAAGAAACAATAAGCATGCTGCACAAAATCGTTGAAAAATATTTTCCTGGTGGCAATCTTACAGTAGAGCAGAAGATAAAAGCGTTGAAGTTTCTTGGAAAGTTAATGAAAATGAAAAAGGGAGAAAAGAATTCCGACTTTAAAATATTGTTGAAATCTTTGTCTGCTTCTGAATCTGACATATCATCAAACTCAATGCGAAAGCCTGGGAAGAATGATGAGTCAGCAAAAAATTACAAAACATCCTCAAGCAATGATGGAGATATATATGCCAATATTGCTAGTGGGCCAGATATCCCTAAACTTCCACCTTTGATCAATGAAAAAGATCCTGATCATGCGCACTCCAAAATTATGCCTGTTGGTCTGCAACCTGTATCTGAAGGGACACCAGGTAAGATATATTTTTAAAATAATCTTTCATTTGATAAAAAAAAATGATGAAATATAACCTGAATAGTATAACCATTTACAATACTGTTATTGCTACTAATATCATTTTGACTGCAGTTAACAATGTCCGTTTGTTTAAAAAATGTTAAAAAATGTTAAATGTATAGATGAAATGTTGAGCCCAATGACTGGGACAAATGGTATAAGTGATAATTATAATGGGAAAATAAGTGTAAGCCAGTCTCCATTTGGTCGCTATGAAAACAATATGGGACTTGATGGAACCTATAGAAACATCAACGGACTTTATGGAAATGAAATGGATCGTTCTGTAATGTCAGACATGATTGATAATGAAGGATACACTCGTGATCGTTTGCCTTATCCAAAGAGTTATGCAGCAAGGCTGCCACATTGGCATTCATATTATGATGATGATGATGATGATGATGATGATGACGAAAACTACAATGACGATACTGATGATCCTGAAGATGAAGGCCGGAATGATGAAGATGATGATGATGATGATGAACATGATCGAGAAAGGTCTTATGTTTATCATCATCATTTTTATGACGATTATGACGAAAGCGATGATGGTGATATTGATGACATAAGATTTGCAAAAAAATTTGATAAAAGAAATAAGATTTCCAAGAGTTCTCGTCAGAGACAAAAAAATGAAAAATTGAAAACCCAGGCTACTCAAGTTTCAAAATGACTACGAAAAAAACAGTTTTGTATAAATTAATGTTTCACACCAGGGAAAAATACCTAACGTACTGTACTTTAAAAATGTATTATATTTAACCAAAATTTACGTGAATTCTGTCATATAATAATGACATTTTTCTTCTCCAGCATGTCTGTATTTTTCGCATTGAAACATATAGGCAAGCACACAATTTCTAAAATTACAAAATGTTTAAACTAATATGAATTTTCAATAAAAAAGGGTAAACTTTACACATGGAAAATTTAAAGAAAAATTATTGTTTTAGAAGAAGAATCATGCAGATGTCCTGTCTTACAAAGTCAGAGGAATGTTTTTAGCATGTACTTATACTGATGTAATTGTAGTTGACTTTATTTCTAAATAAGAAATATTCAACCCGTCAATCTTAACTTGGGCAATGGGCCTGATAATTTTGCCAACTTGTTCACTTCTTCAATAAGTTTTTCTCTTTGTTTTTGAAGACTATCCTTTGATTTGTGACTATTTTGAATTACGTCTGCCACTTTTTTTGACTGTTTGATGTATTGCTCATCATTGCCGTACAGTACACCGCAGGTGTGTCTAATCGTGTTAATTTGCTTTGTTGCGTGTCTTGATATTTTGTTGAATTTCCTACAAATCTTGTGTAACACAGTAGTTTTCTTTACTCCTGGTATCTCTTGACTCTCTGTCAAGAGAAGGCATTTTCTATGTTGCTATTTTTGGAAATTAATAACATGACAAAGCCAGGCTCTATTCTTCGTGTGCACGCTACGTCATGGCCGCCATGTTAGATTGTTTAACAAAGGAATTTCCTTACTTAAAATCATGACATTCTACAAATATTGACATTGTATAAAAAATTTGTAATATTCTCACCAACGTTTATCTTGTTATCCAAAACGTTTCTTAGGTTATCTAATGAAAGAGCAGACATGTTTGTCTCCATACTCGTAGAATGTTATATGTTTTCTAATGGGAGATGAGAAAACATCCCAGGCAGCCAAAGTGAGCCTGCCAGTTCGTACACACACCCTCAGGAAAGTTGTGTTGTGTAGTCATGCACACAATTAAAATACTTACCTGTTTCATTGCCCTTTGTTTCCAGGGTCACGACCAAAAGCATTTGAAAAAGAAACCATTTGTTATTCTTTGCTTTAAGCATTGTCTGAATAAATATTTTTTATGAATCGGGGTTAGATTATGGGTTTCAAAAATAACTTGTTTCATTTTAAATAATATGTCGGAACAAGCCCCGCGTATTGCGAAAGTTTCATAAAATAGTTTCGTGGTTGTTTGTAAATTTACAAGCATAATGATTGTTGACATTTATTTTGAAAAAGATAGACGATGTGAAGGTAATTTTTAAAAACATATAGCTCACAAAGAGCACAAATAGTTTATTACCTTTACCTTAAAAAATTGAAAGTGATGATTTTGACGCTTTTAAGAAATGTAGCGACCATGCATGCATCTATTTAGAGTACATCAGTTAAATGTTGCAAGTGTAACCAATATATTTTTGTGGTCGTTAGCGTTCTTCTATAATCCTGTCTTCTTGCCTTTAATTTGAAATGTGATCCCCCATCTTGATGTGTAAATTGGTGTCATCAATTGCATTTTTTTGGTACCTGCTGTGTCGAATTGGTCTTACTGTTTAATCGTAGCAGTAACTAAATCAAAGTTATCTATTCGTTCACATTTCTTGTATTAAAAATACGTTAGTGAGATTGATGAGCAATGTGTTCAGCGCTCTACAATATTTAGGCATTGACCTGATAAGATTTACTCTGTTATTCTTTCATGCACTGACAACAATTAAAAGAAGTAATTTTAAACATGTGATCTTTTTGATTCACCGAAGTTTTACACAGGAGCGTACGAATGGTTTTGTTGTCTTAACTGAAATACTTTTTTGCCTATACCGTATCATCACTAAGATAAAGACAAATTTTTTCTGCAAGTATCGAAAATTCGACTCATGGATCAACGAACATCAATAAATATGTCGTCATCACACGTTTCTAACTTTTGTCACATTTGATGAAAAATAAATTGGTATATTGAATCTTAGAAAGATTTCTTTGCAGTATTCAAATCCTTGCATTTAATTCGAGGTTTTTTTAATTTGAATTAAATTTAAAGGTCAGATAGTTGAATGGTATTAAAAATTTATGATTGTGTTTAATGATGGGAATTTTGTCGATAGTCCATCTAATAGCAAATTATTTTTCTGATCTTTGAAAATCTAATTTAAATTTGATTACGGGTATATGCTTTTGCTTCACACATTTTTATTAGATTACCTTTTTCAAGATCAAAATAAAAAGTAAACTCTAATTCTGTTTTTATAATTTTATCTTGCAGGTTGTTTGTTGTGACTAACAGGTCCTCAGTTCAGCCCATTTTAAAATGGAGTCTTTACTCTTTTTGAAGTTGTTAATCTTGCTGTCTACCAGAGGATGTGAGTATAAAATCAGAACGTGAATTCAACATATTTTGACACGTAAAAATATTAGTAAATTTTTCCCATATTTTCTTCAATAGGTCATTTTTGTTTTAAAAAAACAAATAAATTAAAATTGTGTTTATAATACTCGTTGAACTAAATGCTGATGAAAAAGAACATTCCCAACTAGTTTAAGGAGCTGTCTATATTAAGCGAGTTGTCCCGACTAATATTGGCTTTATAAAAGCGTCCAAGCTCAAAAAAACTGAACTTATTTAGAAAATTCACGTTTCAACAAGGTTAACCGACATTACCTAACTCATACGATCAGCTCATGAAATTTTTTTTCGAATGCATGGAATGCTTGTTTTATTAAACATAGTGAGCCCATGTTTAAATGTTTTTTATGTCACCTAATTTTTTTCAAACATCGTCTTTAAATCACTATCTTATCTCATGCCAATGATATTTGCAATAAACATATAACAGCTGCCGCCCCTATGTTGTTGATTTATTATATGTTTAATATTGTTTTTGGACAATGATCTGTTAACTGTTTTTTTTATACATTACAGTGTTAACACTAGAGCCATTATCTGGAAAATCAGGAGCAGATCAGGGTGATATATACTTTTACTTTTATTGATTTTGAGAACATATATTCTTATGATTGTTTTATAAATGTTTAATTACTGCATTCAATGAAAACAGAATTTCCATCTTCCATTATTTTCGTACATATGAAGTTCGTGAAGCCGTGCATCAAGCTGAAGAAGCAGCAAGAAAAGCTGCTGAAGATTCTGCAAAACATGGCGATAACAGTGCTGAACTGAGAGTTGCTGCAATAAGAGAAAAACTTGCATCACAAAGAGAAGCAAAACAACGTTTACATGCAAAACAAAACTTAAATGTAACTCAAAGCTCATTAAGAAAATGGGAACACCCAATGAGTTAAGTGACATCATTACAATTGATCATTTGTTACCAATCATTTATTATCAATCATTGTTATTAATCATTTGTTACCAATCATTTGTTATTAATCATTTGTTACCAATCATTTGTTATAAATCATTTGCTATCAATCATTTGTTACCAATCATTTGTTATTAATCATTGTTATTAATCATTCGTTTAATGTTTTAATTGCCAAACAAGTTTTACTCAAGTAGTTGGTATTGTCTACTATTAATTTCCTTGTATTGATGTAAGTCAAAATCATGTGAATACAACCTCATGTGGAATTGTACTTCCCAGACCATACCAAATTATCTTTATGAAATTTTTTGTGCTATATGCGTGATCATCAGAGAAATTGATACATTAATTGCATGAACACTAAAATCCTAGAACATGCGTATTACTATGTATATTTCTGAAAATTCTATCCACGAATTTTGTACATTCTACAGTTGAAATATAGAATTCAGTTTGTGTCATTTCTTCTGTATTTTTTTCCTTTTTGTATAACAGGGAAATTACAAAACAACACAAAACAATTTGCAAATGCTAAACACCACATTAAGATATCACCAATGTCTCATCGTCAGATGACAAATCCTGCTCATCGGTATGTAGATTTAAAATATGTTCATCTTGCTTTTCTTTGTTTGATGTCCACACTTCATCTGTTAAAACGAAAAACGAGTAAGAGATTGAGTTTTGTGTCTATTGATGATTTTGCCTATGGATTTATGCTCAGCTCATTAAAAGCAATTTAGATCAATAGAAAACACTATCATACAATAAAATGGTTTCATCCTTTAAAATATTTATCATAATCTTTCATGATAAATTAGTCAAACCAGTGGAAAAATATGTTATCATTTATACGAAATCAACAATTAAATTAGCGAAGCACTTGTATTAAGAATTAAGAGTTTCAAAAGTTTCAGAGTCTTGATGTTTCAATAACAACTATTTTTTCTTTTCCAGAAATGTTGTATTCAAAACAAATTAAGTTGTGTGTTGTGATCTATAGCAAAGATTAAAAATATGTGTGAGACACATTTATACCATGAACATGTGTTTTACGTTTATAGAAATTCATACTCACATATGATCAACTTGAATGATCTGACAAATGGCATAACACAAAATACATATAAAGAAGATACTGCCTTGGAGGATAGACTGGCCTTAGAGGCTGAAGAAGAGAAAAAAATTGGATCACAGTATGACGATGATCACGATTACTCAATTTCTAGATCTCTCTCAAATGGCGATGCTGCTCAGGTTGGTCTGTAGACACACGTGTAGAGTATAGAGCTATGATGAACACTTTCCCTATCCTTTGAAAAAAAATGGCTTTCTTCATAATAAAACACATAAAACATATCTTTATTTGGCAAAAAATATGTTATTGGTAAACATGAAAACATATTCAAATTTTTATTTGCAAAATCCTCAAACATTTTTTAAGTATTGGCTAAAGCAAACCTGAGGCGTTGAAATCTATTTGTGCAAAGGGTTTTTGTTTTCTCAAGTTGATTTCAAAACATTGCTATTAGCGTCTTCGCAGTAAACCGGAAATATTACAAGATATTAATTATTGATTTTTTTTATTTATAATATTCAATAATATTCATTTTTTCCTTTCAAAGAGTATTCAAAATCAAGTAGCACAGGAAAGTGCCAGAGAGTTGAAAGAAATTCAAGCACAAATCAACGCTGAATCACAAAATTCCCTGGGCAAAACCACCATGGGTGATACTTTTCCCATGTTTCAACATTCACCTTCAGGGTCTAGACAAAGACAGCAGAACGCTCAGGCGCAAAATGGGTTTTTGAATCTACAAACAGGTTAAGAATGACGAAATAATACGTTTGAGTAAGACATTTTTCAATAAAGTTTTCCCATATTTTTACTTTCAACAATAAAACCAGGCACTAGTGAAAGAATTCTATCGACTTAATCTTTTCTTAAATTTTCTTTGAAAAAATTATGGTTTTGTCCATTATCATCTTCAGTGACGTGTTTCGATACACTTTGTCATTGCTTGATGTATGTTTTGTGAATTCAAAGGTTTGTTTGATTTTTTTTTGAAGTCATAACGTATTAATAAAATATATTATAGATTATAGCCAGGCTTCAATGAATGCCGAAGGAATGAACAACGAACCATCGACATTTAACGCGGAAGAGGGAAATGCAATAAGTCCAAAATTGCTTTCTGAAATCGATGCAATGGGACAAACACAAGAAAATTTGGGATCAAACCCAATAGCAACATTTTCTATGCCTAATCTTGGTCAAACTGAACAAATGAGTGATGGTGTGGCTACTATGGAAGGACCCCAAGCAGGTGGGGCAAAATTGTGCTTATAATTATAGAAAGTATGCATAACTTAAATAGGTAACGATCGACTAGCTTCAAATGAATTTCAAATCATACTTTAGTTTTCCATTGAAAATATATTTTGTTTGTTCATTTGATACAAGAAATAATTCTTCGATATTTTTTATATATATAGACATGATCCAACCTGGCACGTCAACTTCAGCAACTGGGGCAGATCAAAGATCTGTAATGTCTAATAATTTAGAGGGTCTTGGAAGGCCAGCTGGCTATATTATGCAAGGTGGATACCTTGGGATGAATAGTGATAATGGTGGATTAAGGATGAAACAAAATGTATATGGGGGAGGAAGGATGAAAAAGGTTTGTAATTTCTGTCGCTAAGTTTTGACTGTGGGACAATTATCATTTTCTATTATTTTCTTACGTTAATTTTTTCATTACTTCATGTTGTGTAAGGCATGCATGGTCTTCACTTGGGAAATAAACAGAAAATACTGGCAAATTACATCATAAGAAGAACAAAGAGTTTTGATAATCTTGAGCTTATGCCTTATGTTTGTGTTTATGTCGCTAGTGAGACCAGGCTTCTTAGTACCATAAGTACTTTTCCGTCAATTGAAGTTGTACTTTTGCAATTTCTTTATTTGAAATATAAATACATAATGAATGTGTGGTGTTTCTTTTCTTATTTTTTTGTAGTCGGAAATTGAGATAATAAAGGAACCATTTTGAAGATTGGGACACCACTTTAATATTGAAATACTTGATCAATATGCGACATGTACATATAGTGAGTGAGTGTAAATTCCATCCTGAATGGAATATTTAATTGCATTATAAAGGATTAAAATAATCTTTGAGATGTGATTAGTGATTTTGAAGATCACGACAACAAAAAAAGTAAACGTCAGTTCCCTGAAAGCCAATATTACAAAGAAATAGAAATTATGCTTTCTACGTTTTTAACATTTTATGTTAGTTTTTGAAAGCGGAAGGTATATTTCTAAATTGCTCGTTGCGAGTGAAAGATATATACTCGTCTTCATTGCAAATAAGCATGTCTTCTGACTATTACAAAACTTTTGTAGATTTCGGTAAGTGTTCTTTTACATATTTCCAGCAAGATGTTTCGTCGGGCCATTTTTGTATGCTTTGTCACGGCGTCGCAATAATTTGATGTTACAATCATCCTATCCGCGGTAGACATTGGCTACTTTAGTTGCACACTGTACATTAGTATTAGAAAGTTGAACATTTTCTTTTAAGCTATTATTTATAATCTACTTAATATGTATAAGTTTTTTGCTATTCGCGTAATTTATTATTTCTCTGACTATTATTAATATAATAATGTTGTTCAGACGTCAACATTTTGTTACGTCCAGAATTAAATTGAATTAAATCTATTAGAGTGAATACGCTAAAAATTGTACATGTTTCACATAACTTCGGAGCAACAGAGCAAAAGAAATATTCATGATAAGTTATATTTGGTTTGTTATTCAATTTATTTTTTCATGTTTTTAATAGTGTTCAAAAAAGCATTGATAAAGCTTACGATGGTCTGATTCTACTAATGTTTTTTTTAATAAAAATTGCATAAAAATATTGCCTGGTTTTGAATGAAAATGTTTGTAAATGAGTATTCAAAATAAGTTAAATGATTTGAATTTGCGTGGGATTTTGTCTTCAGTTACTAAGCATTTTATTTTCACACGTAAAACTTTTTATGAATTTGAATAAAACTGTTATCTTGCTTTTGTCAACATCCCACGCACACAGCTGCCATAACAGCCTGTGTTATATTAATTTTGAGGATTTTTGATGTTGAAATTCATTAAACTCCGTCAGCTTTTTCAAGTCGTTGATGATTAGAAAAGAGTGAAAAAGTTGAAAGTGGATTAAATGAACGAACATGTTGCGCTGGTAAGTGATATATGTATGAAATTTTGACTAACCGGACATAAATATGCAAATTTTTTTTGTTGCATAATGAACAAAACAATACTTTGAACAGATGCTTTGCAATTTCTACTTGCTCTTCGGAAAGGTTTCGCGAAAGTGGCTCCACGATACCCTCAGTTATAACTTATTAGGATGCTTGATTACATGTGATATATTTCAAATAACGGCAAAATGAATCAAACGTCCTTCGCAGATTATTAAATACGGTGAGTTCCCAAGCCAAGCACTACTTTAATTCACGTTTGTGATGTAATACAGTTTTAGTATCATTAAATTATGAATGTCTTTGTCTTGTCATAGTATAAACGTTTCTATGTATAAAGCATCTATATAAGTATCGGTATTGTCGAAGATATACAAGTCAGTGAAAATGTTTTGTAAAATTTTACTAAATCCATCACGACGTCATGAGTCAACTACATGTAATTTGATGGCAATTCTACGTTTCTTATTTACCAAAACAGAAGGTGATATAAGCCGTGCAAGACTCATAGTTGTGTAAAAAACAAGAATTTTGTAACATATTTGATTAAAAAATTTTAGCCACCATCTGTGAAACAGTATTTCCTGTAATTTTGAAATTAGAGTCTTATACGATGTTTGCCGACCATATGAGAGCCTCGATTAACTTACGTCTGTGTTCAAATAAAATACAGAAAATTTCAATCAAAATAACGCGTATATTGTTACTATTAACAACTATCGATTTATTTCTGTTGAAAATATTGGGCACAAAACCAGGATTAATAATGATGTATATGTTCAGTAGACTATCTTCTGTGGAAAACTTACAATTTTGTTTATCATTAATTTCGACTGCCCCTTCAGATTGGGGAATAGTTAGGTTGGTCAAAATGTACTACAGCAACTATAATTTAAAATTCAAATACTTGAGTACTATACGTAGTACTATGGAATGAGGTCAATACTATTAAAGAACGAAGTTTTGAAACTTGAAGTACTTTTAAAGGTGTTTTCAAATTTAAATGCATGTGCTTAACTATTTTAATGTATTTTAATTTAGTTCGACAGGCGGACAGTTCGTCGCAGTCGAAAGCTTGTCCAAAACAAGTGTTAATAACCGTGCATTGACATGATTGACAGCCAGCAATTATAATTTTTTCTATTTTTTGTTTGGTATGAATAGATTATGATAGATCTAAAGAACAGAGTGTGATGGATTCAAGTGAAGGACGATTATTCATTGAAGATAAAGATGAAGAGCTTCCTCCTCTTTATGATGCAGTTACAGAACAAAATGACGCAGATAATAAGTCGTTTTGGACTTGTTGTGTAATCAATCGAACCTTATTGCCATTTAAAGCATTTTATTATTTCTTTTATGGAGCTATAGGATCTCTTTTTCCTTTTCTTGCACTTTACTACAAGCATCTTTGGCTTTCTCCTACACAAACAGGTGTTCTCGTTGGCTTAAGACTTTTCGTTCAAATGTTTACAACACCATTGTGGGCAGTACTGGCTGACAGATTCCACGCAAAGAAAATTGTCTTATTCATTGGTCTTTGTGGCTGGCTCTTTGCAAATACTTCGATTTTATTGGTTCCTCCTGGAAGAAAGCCATTAAGCTGTAGTGAAAACTCAAATAAAACATACTTACAAAAGAGATTATTTCCATTGTCTACTTCAAACGACTTTAATGGAAGTGATCAAAATGATAAACATTTATTACCAAATGTAAAGAATCATCCTGCATTTGCCATCAAATATGACTCACTTGTTGCCTCAGAAATTGAAAATTTTGATGAAAATTCAAACCTTGATATCAAACGATCATTTTTCAGCAAAGGTAGGGAAAGTCGTTCTATCGATACTCGGCATACTTTCTTCTATCTCTTCATCATCATTTTTGTTGGCAATCTGTTCTCTGCTCCCGCACAAACTATGGCAAACACAGCAATGCTGCAAACACTTGAAGATGACAGTCATAAATATGGTATTCAAAGATGTTTTGGTTCGATTGGATGGGGAGCTTCTGCGTTTTTAGTTGGCATGCTCGTGAGTATGAATCATGACAGAAGACTTGCTTGCACCTGGCTTGATGACATCAATTACACTCCGTGCTTCTATGCGTTTGGTGCGTTTATGCTTTGTGCGTTGTTCGTTGCAACGACTTTCAAGTATAAGAAAGAAAACGATAGAAAAAAAACTGATAAAAAATCTTCGATATCGGTAGACTGTCGTCAAATGGACTATTTGACAATGTTTGTCTGTTTCGTTGTATTTATTGCTGGTTTCAATATGGGATTTATTCAAACTTTCTTGTTCTGGCATTTGCAGTCACTAGGTGGTAACCAACATCTTTTCAGTATCATACTTGCTTTTAACGCCATTGGCGAAATGATTGGTTTCATCCTGTCAGTCAAACTTATTTCAAGGTTTGGTCATCTAAATGTATTGGCTTTGGGAATTTTCGCGTATGCAGTGCGTTGCACTGTTTATGGCATAGTTAAAAATGCCTGGTTGGTTTTATTCGTTGAATATCTAAAGGCATTTACATCTTCAGCCGTGTGGTCAGCTGCAATGTCTTATGTAGGTGACACGAGTACTACAGGATCCTCGTTGTCCTCTATTGTACACACCTTGTACTGGGGGCTTGGTTATGGGGGAGGAAGTATATTAGGTGGAGTATTTATGCAAGTATTGGAAGCAAGAACAACATTTCTTGGTTTAGCTGTCATCAGTCTTCTTGTAGTAATTCTCATCTTGATGATTAATCATCATAATTGTTGTCCAAAAAGAAAAAGAGAAGTTTACTTACCAGTTGGAAGTGAAGAAGAAGAAGATGGGGACAATTAGATAAAATTCGAATTCTCGAAAGAGGAGAATAATATATAGAGGTAGAATATACATAGCAATAGCAGATATTAAAATATGACTATAAAAATATTCACATAAAGGGAATAAAATATTGCTGTATTTACAGTGTGCTTTTTGTTTTGAGGTCAGTGTAACTTTTTTTGTATTCATGCCAGTGTGCTAAACTTTTCTACTCTATCACGTCTTTTTCATAATAACTGTCGACTCGGAAGGTTTTTTTTACTTTACAAAGATTTTCATTATGACTGTTGAAACTCCCCACACAAGCCTTTGGTAAATAATGCTTAAAACAAAAACCATATGAATTATGCATATAGCCTCTGAATGCATTGAAACGATATGAGATATTTGTTGTTTTGCATATGAAAATATCCAGTTTTAAATCCGGTATCTTTCATATTTTAAGCCTTAACAACAGATGTAGAGCATGTTATGTCACCATAAATTATTATTTGCTACTAAAATAAAATCATATGAAAGAGTGAACTCATTCAAGCCAAAGTTTCAGGTTCAATTTAAATACTCCACTTCATGATATCTTTATGATTTTTAATTGTAAAGATGTTGAATATCGACGAATTTAGTTATCATTGTTATGCAGCCTTAATTAATTAACAACATATTTAATCAAGAACTTTGCTTTTATTTTTGTTACTATGCTACTACAACCAATATTAAATTGATTCAGTCTAACGGAATTGAATTAAGTGTTAGAACAGCTTGTGAAAGACAATATTATTTGTCTTTGTTATAAATAATTTATTCAAATGTGCAAAAGTACATTGCTGACAAGCATTATGCTTCATTAATAAGGTCAAACATAATTAAGAAAATAACTTTGTTATAACTCTTTTCGTTTCTTAACATCTTTCAATTCATGTGAAGTAAATCAATACAGAATGGCTCAGTCAAATATTCCGAATCTTCATCCAATCCAACTAAAGAGAAACACGGAGTTAAACATGAAAGATGATGATATGTCGCTATTGTTTCAACAGACAGTGAATAGAGAAGATGGCGAAGCGGAAAGTCGACAAAAAAGCTCATGTTGTTCACCTTTTACTGATCCCGAACTTAATGTCTATAAACTGTTTTATTTCCTCTTTTATGCTGCATCAGCTCTTTTCGCTTATCTACCTCTTTACTACAAAAATTCGCTTCTCTTAGACCATCATCACATTGGTATATTGATGGGAATTAGGCCATTTTGTGCCTTTCTTAGCGCCCCCGTGCTCGGCGGCTTTGCTGATAAATTCAACAAATACAAATCAATCTTATTCACGGGTCTCATGGCGTACATTATTATATACTTATCAATAACATTTGTAGACGGAGTTCCTAAAAATTGTGGTGATGAAGTCGTTGGGAACATTACTAACACGACGCCAGTAGTCAAAGGAGCTGAGGCAAAAGCCAATCCGGTGTTGGAAGTTAATGAAAAAGACAAATTTTCGCAGTTACTTGCCGACATAATTAGTAAGAGAAGCAAAGCTACAGAATTACAAAACCAGGGACAGTCTACGTCGCTAAACATCAAGGAATCAAAATCACAAACCTGGAAAAGTTTTGACATACCTAGGTATTATAGTGAAGATGAAAATTATTTACGAAAAATAAAAGTTGTGTTCAAGAATGATGAAGATCATATACTGACAAATAATGACAAGACAATCATTACAGAAATCGTCAGCAATTCAACAAAGGTAAAAGCAAAATCAATCTTTCATTGAATTAAGACATAATAATATGATTCTCAATACATAATAGTTCATTTTGCGTGGGATGCTTTTTCATTGTATTTATTTTAAAATTATTATATATTATTATTGATGTAGTACTTTAGTTCATATATCAACTACTCAAAAGTAGTTGTTCTTAAGTAAGAAGAAAATATTGCTGCCTTATAGATATGATGTTGAGCACTTTACGTCCCTTAAAACTATTCAATTATGTATTGATATATAATATATTCATATAGAAATAAGCCAAATGTCACATCCAGTGTTATCGTGTTTTAAATAAATGTATTCTTTGACCAAATATTGCTGCAGGAAAAAGACCATTACGACAAGTATTGGTTAGATGCCCCAGAGACTGCTGGAGAAGATGCGTGGCCAATTGATGTTTATCGCAAAGAACGACCAAATCATATTTCAAAAGAAGACGCGAACACCCGTCGTCACATCTTCCTGACATTATTAATATTAATGTTGATTGCTGATGTGATAGGTGCGCCTATTCTCAGTCTGACTGATACGGCAACTTTGCAGACTTTGAAGAAACAGCCTTACAAATATGGTCATCAAATAGCCTGGGCTGCGGTTGGTTTTGGAGTGATGTCAATAACTGCCGGCAGTGTTTTGCACTATACTGTATCAGAAGAAGACGAAGTCAATGATTGCCCAGAAAAAACAGCAACGAGATACAAGCCGGTGTTTTATAGCTGTTGCAGTTTGCTACTTCTTGCATTGTTCGCGTCATGTAAATTTCGTTTCAAGACGTACGAGGGGAAAAATGCGAGAGGTTTTTTTTTCGCTTTTTTCAAGTATTTCAACAACCTTGACTACATTTTATTTGCATTTCTTGCTTTCTTCACTGGTCTTGGAACAGGCTTGACGGAAAGTTTTCTGTTTGTGCATCTTATTCATATCGGAGCTACACCTTTGCTATTGGTTGTCACAACAGCAGTTCAAAGCATCTCAAAGGTGACATTCTTCTGCCTCACACCGACATTAATCCTTAAATACGGATATTTTCCTATCATTTACGCAGGAATGTTCACTAGTGTCGTCACATTTTTCTATTACTCATTTCTTGTTGCTCCGTGGATGGTTGTACCAATAGAAATTCTCTCAGGTATTTCTCAGTCATGTGTATGGGCAGCATTGGTAAGTTATGTTGGTGCACCTCCAAAGATTGGTGCTACTTTACAAGGAATTGTTCATTCACTTCACATTGGTCTGGGAAGAGGAATTGGTGGATTTTTTGGTGGAATGATACTTCTTCATTATGGTTTTTCTATTTTATTTCGATCTTTTAGTCTGTGCATTATCGTTGTTCTTATAATTGTTTGCCTAGTTCGTTATCGTAGAGAAAATGATGTTGAACCAATTTGGTCAAAACTTTGGGACTATTCTCCGGTGGCCCCTTACGAATCATTTTATGACAAAGAGTAAAGTTAATTATAGTTTAATGCCTAATTATATAGATATATTTGTACACATTTGAAAATCGGTACATCCCATGCATTTTATTATTTATAGAAATTTCTATTATAAATAATTGTAATAAATAATTTTATTGAGCTTTCGACTGGGTGCGTCGAGCCTTTTTGAGGGCTTCTTGTATTCTGAAGGCTTGAAGCACCGAGCCGAAAGCTCAATAAAATTATTAATCACAATCCGGAGAAATTTCTGCAATAAATAATATATGTTTAAATATATTTATAAATAGACGTTCCAGAATCCACTTTATGATTGTTACTAATGTGTCAAACACAATGAAATGTAAATTTTACATATCAGTATTGTTGGAGTTTTAAAACGAGCCTTCATATTCTGCCTACAAAAATTTCAGCCTAAGATCATTCAATTTAACATGGCATATACTTGACATCAAAATATGTCAAGTTCTTTTCATGGATAAAAAAGTCGTTAGTTTCTAAAAGACGATATGGGCGATATTTAAAAAGTCGTTATTTTCTAAAAAGAAACCTCAATTTTGCAAAAGAAACCTGATTCTGAATTGTTATACACTACGCATGCAAATAATGTTCCCCTTTACTCTTAGATATAAGCTTGCAAGTTAAAGAAGCTTGTCCTATTTCAGGCACCATATGACGAAATATACATCGAATTGTCACCAAAGCTAAAAATGCATACAATTTTTTCGTTCCTTTGAGACACTAATCAGAAACAGGAAACACAGTATGTGGGGATCCAGAGGGGGTACAGAGGTGCACACCCTCACCTAAGCTCAGATAGTTTGTTTATAATGATATTTTGTCAATGAATATGTATTTTAACGTTACCAAATGTAGCACCTGAATTCTTGGATCCACTTTAGCAGTGGTTGCACGCAAGTTTTTAACCCTGACATGTAAATTTTTGAACAAGTGTCTTTAATCGCTTCTTTAGAAATCTATAGTTATTCACAGTAAGTGAATAAAGAAAAATTAACATACCAGGACTCAATGTTATTTACATGTCGAAGACAGTGTTGAGGTGTTTAATTCCAGTTACATTGGGGAGGTCACCCGTCACCTTTGCACATGAATTAAAGAGCGCAAAACTACGGACAAAAAACACACAAATTCAGAGACCTACTGTCGTCACGACACTGCAATCCTGCTTTCACATTTTAGAAACTGCTCACACTCGTTTCGCCCTTAAACTCAGAAAAGCCCTTTATATCGAGAAACGTTAACCTAACCTGAACAAACTCAGAGCTATAATCTAAAGCATTCAGTATTTTTAAAGTTTTGTTACAAAATCATAAATGTCATAAATCTATACGAAAATAAACACGGGAAAATGTATTTAATAAGTAGAAAGAATTTTTACAACTGAACACTTCACTCACTGATTATCATTTCATTGATTGACTACCAAACTTATTTTTATATAAATTTGTAAAGTACTCATACACTGTAAATCAATTACATTGACTTTACGAATCCAGCATGAATGATCTATGAAATATTTGATAATATGAACTACATATTGTGCATTAATGCTATCTACAATCTTCCAGGAGACTGAAATCTAAAGAGTGATAGAGATTTGATCATTTCCATTCAGTTTGTTTGCTGCGGTAGTTCTGGTAAACCAAATTCATCAACTTTTATTCCATCCTAAATGGTAAAAACAATATAAGACCATGACAGGTTTAAAAAAATTATGCAGTTTTTTCATTAATATACAGAAAAATTGTTTTCAAGTATTTTTACCTGCTCAGATAGATAAGTATTATATCAATCAGGAAACAAGTGTATTTCATTGGGGAGTTTAACTATTTTATTTCAAATACACATTACCTTAGTTCCTCCAGGTTCAGGAAGATCTGTGTCAGGAACAGTTGGTGCTTTTTCAGCTTCATCCAAATATGAAGTATCTTCATCAAAAGCAAGATCATCGCCCAAGGCATCTAGTTCTAATAAAAAAATTTTGAAAAAAATTTGACTATAGAATTAATAATTTTTATAGCAGTGAGAATAGTCACACTATGTTTTTTACAATGTCTTCCTTAAATCTACGACTTCTAAGTTTCTAATACTAGTAAATGTGAACAACTGATCATGATGCAATAATTTTTCAAAATACCTTTGTCACAATCAACTAATACCTGCTTCTAGGTCATCTTCATCCAAGTCTGGTGTACCATACTGTCTTCCTAATGCCTCTTGTACTTCGTTTGCTTGATCAAGCATATCTGACAGATCATCTTGCAAGTCCTGGATAAGAATATAAATATGATTTAGAACTATATAGATATTTAGTAATTTAGAACTCTGTTGTTTTTTTTGAAAGGAAAAAGATTTCATTGATATTAACACCAAATTTTTATGAAGATAAGCAGACCTCTATTTTATCAATGTCAACTTTCTTGTATTCTTTCTTCATTTCTTTCAATCCTGTTTTCATTGCATCCACCTTGTTTTAAAACACAAAAAAAAACCATTATAGTAAATTTCAGAAGTATCAGTAGGCTGACATCAGTTAATAAGATTTACCGTAGTTTTTGTATCTTTTAAAGTTTGGGTGGCAAAATTTGTCTGCTCCATATTGAAAGATTGTTGTCTTAAATTCTCTAGTTGGCTTTCATACCTGAAAAAGAAATGGAAGTAAACTTGATGACCAGTGATTCTATTGCTTTATGCTGACCACAAAGTGATAAAGAGATAACAAAAGTCTAATTCTTTATAATTTGTCAAATGTTTAAAAGCTTACATTTTCTTTTGCTTCAGGACTTTCATTGCTCTTTGTTTGACCATATTCTATTACAAAAATAAACATTTGTTGATGTTTGAAACGATAACTAAATTTCAACTAGTATCAATGATACCTTCGATGGGCCTTCTCTCATTTTTTTCATCTGATCTTTATATTTTTTCAATTCCATGTCAAGCTTAGAAATCTTTTTCTCAATAGATTCACCCCGACTGTCAACCTTTACCCATACAAAAAAAACAAGATTTAAAACGCTATCAAACACTTTATAATTATTAATAATTTTCTTGTACATTTTACTTGAGTAAAAAATATGTCAACTTACATTGGCAATACAATCTGTCAAATTAGGTGGAGGCTCTTTTGGCTTTGATTTTCCAAATATTCTGTTCATTTTTGTTCAGTTCAAACGTTCACGATGACAGCAATTCTATCGTAGGTACCTATCTACAACCAATGCTTTTGAATCGATTTTACTCTTGAGTTAAAAATAGTCAAGTATGTCATAGACTTGTGTTGTGGCTATTTACTTGTAGTCATCAAACACGTCTTGTCGTCGTTTGTCGGTTGTCGTCGCTATTGTCCGTCGTCACTTCGGACACGTCATTGTTTGTGTTATAGTTGTGACGTAACATTTCCAACCTAGGCAACCAGTTGTAAAGGTGGTTTAAAAATTGCCAGCGCCAAGGCCAACTTCGGCTTACTCCCAGAAAACCTGCCATAAGTATCTTCATCATAGTGAGTAAATAAACTGACAGAGGAGTTTTGTAACTTTTGTGTCGAAGGCACTCAGTGGTGGTGACAAGTGCGCAATAATAGAAATTTTCCTTAGTGTCTGGCTCGAATCTCAAAAACAAAGAATGCCGTTTTTTGCATCTCGCTTTTATTCGCCTTTTCTTGAGAGAAGGCTTTTCATCAGATCAGAAAAAAACTCCACTTAAAAGCATTTGAAAGCCATGTGACGGTCTATCAAAGGCTGCCTGTCAATTTGCGGGCACAAGGCATGTTGTTGCATGTTTCATGAAGTATTAGCAAATCCTTATGTCGACATTTTGTATTTTTATTCCTCGCTTTCCGTTTGCCTTGTGTACTTTCCTATCTCAAGGAATCTTATATATAACTTTGTTTTAATATGGAAGAAATTCCAGTGGAGTATAATATCATTATCGAAGCATTGAATTCCGCTATTCAAAACCAACAGCAGTCGGAAGAAAGAGGAAATGTGAACAATTTTGAATTTGTAGTTATAAATGGCGAAGAGCAAAATGAAGGTTCGGTGGTTTCTAGTGAAGAAAGAGTTCAATCTACTGTTGCTGGACAAACAGAGAATAATCACATCACCATTGAGTCCATTCCTTGTGAGAATTCCGAACCTACTCCTGATGTGCTGGTGACTAGTGCTAATAATGTTGGAACAGTTCAAGTAGGACAAGCAATTCTTTCGAAGGAGAAAAATGCTGGTACGTTTTTTGGTTGCTAATTAAATTTATGGTTTTCGAGTTTGTAGTGACGAAATTAAAAAGTATTACAAGTTAATAAAGCTTCTCAATTCGCCATCTTAGCAAGTTTAACAAATCATGAAAAAACACTTCAATTGAGTGAGGATCATGGTAGTGGATGTGCTCAACCAAGATTCAATGACCTGGAAACCTTATTGGCTCATGAAATCACTCACTCAGGCGAGAAAGGCATGCATAATAATGAGGAATTTCAAAGGTAACTTTATTATTAAATTTGTATTTATCTCTACTAACAATTTTCTATCTACTTTTGAAACATTCTGTATTAAGAATTTCCTATCAACATATCGTATTCCTAAAGAATGTGCCAACATTAAGCATAATCACATGTTAGATGTTGGGCTGAAAATGTGTGAAGTACACTGCAAACCAAAAGAACTTATGCCCACCTAAGTTTATGTAATGACATTTTAAAATATTTATCAACTAAGATTTTTGACCAATTTAGTTTGAATGAATAAAAATGAAGAAATGTATGGCTAGTTTTACTTAAAACCATGCAAGACTGGAAATTCTACCACCTACAAAGAAACAAATATACATACAGACATGTCAGTCAGAGCTATCCTCTTGCTTGCTCCATCTTCCATAAACCTGTTTCAAATATGACATGTTTTTATCTGTTTTCTAATTTTCCTGACCAAAGAGGGAAATTTCCTTTTTCAGCATGGAAGGCATGAGTATTGAAGCAACTGTACATTGTGATAAAAGTAGCTTGGATATCTCAACAACAGTTATCAGCGGTAGTGTGGGCAAAGCCTTGAAGTGTCAAGTTTGCGGGGAAGAGTTTGAGAAACAGACAAAACTAAAGAAACATTTAAAGTCACATGGTGTTAATTTGATAAAATATCAGTGCGATGTCTGTGAGAAATTCTTTAATGTGGAAAGTGCTCTTATTGTTCACAAGAGAAAACATACCGGAGAAAAACCACACACTTGCGATCAATGTGGCAGGATGTTCTCACAAATTGGAAACTTAAATCGTCATAAAATAACTCACACAGACTATAAACCATATCAATGTGAGACCTGTGAGAAACGTTTTAATCGACTTGATCTTTTGAAAGCTCACAAGAAAATCCATGCAATGAGAGAGAATGGTTTTCCTTGTAATTTTTGTACAGAGGTATTTTCCCTCATGCAGGATTTAAAATCCCATAAAAAGTCAGCACATCCCGTTCTTCGCTGCAAATCCTGCAAGTCAAAATTCTATGATCCAGTTCAGTTTGAGAAACATATGAAAGCTCATCGCCGAGACCATCCATACAAATGTAACATATGTGAAATGTGTTATGCTGACGCAGCTAGTCTTGTTAGTCACATCGAGGCTCATGTAAAAAAAGAACTTGTATGTGAAATCTGTGGTAAAGTATTTGATAAGTTAGGCTCCATGAAGCAACATATGAGGAAACATACAGGGGAAAGACCGTTCGTTTGCGATATTTGTGGAATGAGCTTCAGTCAAATTGGCAATATGCGTCGTCATAGAGACAATCATTCGGACGAGAGACCTCTTAAATGTTCATTTTGTCCAAAGACGTTCAAAAGAAAGGATTTGATGAAAACTCACGAAAAAGTTCATTTGCCAAAAAATTTACGTCATAAAAAACTGGATAAATCTGATTCTTCAGCCAGTAAGGTAAACAGTGTCTCTTGCTCAGATATCAATGTAGTCACTAGCAATTCAACTGGCCAGAATCTTCCACCCTCTGATGTGGAGGCAACAAGTGTAACAGCTCAAAGTACCCTAGCTCCAATGCTGATACAAACTGAAGAAAATAACGAGCAGAATAATATGAACTCAAGCAATGAAGAATGCCAACCGATGATTGAAGGTACAAATTCTTCGAGTTGTGTCGGTGGAGAAAATCCAATTTTTGTCGTGCTTGAAGGTGGTAATGGGAATCATCAAGCAAGTCTAAGTGAAGTTGTTAGTATTGAGGAAAAGGAAAATACTCAATCTCAGGAAGATCTGATGATTGTAGGAAACAACAATCATGCTCATAATGAACAAAGAAGTCAAGATTTTCATATACAAATTCACCATTCAAATAACGGAGAAAACTGTCACAGTACAGATGCATTGACTGAACATATAAGAATACACGAAGGTTCAGCAAGTCTGTCTTCAAACACCAATCCAAGGAACTGTACTTCTAAAACAACTGTTTTGAAAAAGCAACATGTTTGTGATGTTTGTAACAGACAATTTCAACAACAGAGTGCTTTAATAATTCATAAAAGAACCCATACAGGCGAAAGACCGTACGCTTGCGATCAATGTGATTTAAAGTTTGCTCAACGTGGAAATTTGATTCGTCATCAACGTAAACATACAGGAGTGAAACCGTTCAAATGTCAGAAATGCGATAAATGTTTTCATCGAAAAGATTTTTTGAAACTCCACGAACTTAAATGTTCTGCTGTTTTACAATCATAATGAAGTAATTATTTGTGTTACAATTTTTAATATAACACTTGCTTTCGTGGAATGTTTGTAATAATTCTTAATCCTTGCTAAGGACTGTGTAATAGATTGACTTCAATTTTTTTTTAAAAAAATTAAAAATATTGGTATTGGCAGTTATGATTTGTCAACCATTATCTTCAATATGTTTGTCAAGGACAACGCTTAAAACGCTAGGATTCGCTGAGTGAAATGAAGTGTGTGTATGGGAAAAGATACTATTTTGGTGCAGGGTGTGCACGCACTCAAAAAAATAATCTCGAGCAACCCCCAAAAAAAATTCTAAAATGGCATAACGTACTGTAGACGATTAATACAACAGTATTAGAGGCTATGGAATTTTACAGTAAGACTGTGTCGAGATAGAACTTCTCAGTTTCATTTCAAAGGTAATTCCATATTTTAGACATTGAAGTATTAAAGTTGACATAAATTACTAAATGCATGTAAATAATCTTAAAAAAGGTAATAGCACATTCATTACGCAAGGTTCGCACTCCTGAAAACCTAAAAATCTACGATAGTCCAGCTTTAGCTAGATTACGATTCATCCCTCATAGAAAATCTGCACCCCTCCAGTCAAATAAGCGTTGATCCGCCCCTGTTTCATTGTTTGTGTTGTTTTATTGTTTAATCAATACTTTTTTAACAAATTGTTGATATTTTTTATGACTAATACCAGGGATTTGGCAAATGCTTGCTCATTTTGGAGTCCAAGAGACTCAAGTCGCAGCGTCGTGTTTTAGTAGCCCTCAGTTCAATAGAGTGAATCTATGAGGCCAGAAATACGATCTACGTTTGGAGTATCTACAATTCTTTTACTCCTGTACAATAACTGTTTACGCGTTAATAGTATTTTAGTTGAGTGATTGTTTTTCTTTGTATTAGGGTTATCAGCATTTTTAAAAATCACACAATTCCAATTAAAAGATTTGTCGACAATCGCTTTTTAATCCCTTCTATGTCCTAGCTACGTCTTCTCGAGCTGTGTCAACTTCTTTAAATGTAATTAATACACTCCTCTGTCTTCTCCTCAGTCATGTTTTCCTACTTGTCATTTGAAACCTGAAAGCAGTTGCCTAACTTGCCTCTTAAAAATGTGTGCTTCAGTTCTGAAATTGATGAAACCAGGAATCTATCTGTCATTAAGGAAGTGCTTTGAACTGTTTCGTTATTCAACGAAACGTGCCATCTCTCATTAATTTAATATAATTATAAACTATCATGCGTCGATCAGCAACTTTTTGCCTCAAATTGTTTCCACCATTTTGCTTTTCTGTAGTTGCTTTTACATACATATTACCTGTTTCACAAGGTTGCGATTTGCATGGCTATGAAGGTTTTAACGGACCGTGGAACATGATTGATCATATGATCCTTGATATGTTCCACTATCTCCAAAGAGTTTATGAAGAAGGATTAGCCACTATCTATGATTAAGTAATCACTGTTTTTTAATGCTTCCAATAAAGATGTTTATTTTTTCACAGGAACTATCCTCATTGAGTGGCTTCTCGTCGTCACTTTGGCGGATTGTTGGACAAGGTCCCCAACTAATGCGCGGTTACAAAGTCGTGCAATATTTATTAGGCAAATAACTTCCAGAAGAAGCAGAAGAAAGCGGCGAATTTAAAGTTTTATCAATCAATTTGGATAAAACATGCTGTTCAATGACTGAATGTGTGAATAATCAGATCTTTCGATGAGGTAAGCAGTATAACGGAGTAATATAGTTTCTTCCTTTTCCTGTTTCTTCGAAGAAGAACTGTGGATTTTGCCTTATTATACAAAGCCAATTCAAACAGTGTCAGAGGCGCCTGAGTTCAAAACCTGTGCTCTTTAACTTCTTCAATTGTTTTTATTGGTAATATGAAAATTATTCATTCTTAAGTATTATCCTGGCGAATTACCACAATGCTTTTCTAAAATTGTAATTTGAAATATTTCTATGGCTAACTTCATCATGCGTTTCGGCTTCCGCTCCATGCAAAGTTAGAACAGCGAACGATGAATTTTGGCTTTTGTTAAACAAAATATCAGACAAATGCTTTTATAACTGCACGGAATCTATTTTTAATATAAAGTGATACTGGACTATCATCAACAGATGCATATTTTTTCTGAACTCAAACACATCTTTGCTTGTCTTTTTGCTTTTAAAAGTAATACTCAATCATTCATGGCAGCTTCTGTAGTGAACCAGAATGCCACAAGCATTATCGAGAAAGTCAAGCGTTCGTATTTGGCTGATAATTAAATTATACTTTGAGCTTTCAAACTAGCATGTTTTTGCTTTCAAATTCTATTACTGAGTGGCTGAATAAACTGCAACTTTATTGGGTATAATAAAACGTTTTAGCGTGAACTTCGCATTATATAAACATGCGTTTGTGTGTATATTGTGCGAAATACACTATTCAGTGCAATTACAAGTTAATTATCGTAGAGATGATTTTCTTGTAAATTGTTTGTGCACAAATTGAGTTTAGACGTGAAATATCTTTTTGCAAAATTACGTTTGAATGAAAAAAAATGAATGATACGTCGTATGTGCTCATAACTTGTGGACTAGAGAGAGCACCTGCGATTTGTATAAAATTTGAATATTGCAGAGACAACAACTCATTAGAATAAAAACTGCATAATTATGTAAAGTTGCTTAATGTAAAACATAATATTACTTATCGTGTAAAAAAACTTAACTGGCTGGCAGTTGAAGCAGTTGAAGCTTGATCATAGATTTACGGCAGTTTAGTCCTAAGATTAGAGATATTTCATTTCAAATTCCTATACCTACATGAATGGACAAAGAACTCATTTTCAACTTATTGCGAATGGATTCGGTTATAATGACCTTAGAGGTGTAGCTGTTTGCCATCGCACGATATGATAGAAATTCCTTTTCCTTGAATGCGGTGGAATTTTTGATGAGAGGCAATATTATCAATTTTTCATGCCGTCTTTTGTCTCCAGTTTCCTCCTGTCTCTCAACATCTCACTACGTACCGAGCTAGGATAGCTGCTACACTGAAGCACTTGAACGTCGAGACAGAATGACGCTGTAGTCTGAAGTACTTGACGTTTTTCGTTACGAAAAACTCCTGTAGCTAGTGAAGCCATGTTTTTCGGAGGCCCGCTGTCTTCAATGCTAACTCATCGTCTAAAACAATAATGGCGATCATCGCAAGGAAAGGAATTAGAACGAACTAGAAGGCCACTTTCCTGTAGTAGATGGTTTTCCTTTTGCGAAAATTATTGGTGTCTTTTTCATTAATTTTTAGAATGGGAACATTGCATTCCCTAAATTGTTAAGTAACTTCAACCCAAGTTATAATGTATAGCCTCTATATCATACCTTCTTCCAGTTTTTAGTTGCCAAAAGTGCATGATGTCACTAAGGATAGGCTTTGTCATTTTTTGTAGTTCAAGCAGTGAGCTAGAATTCTCTTGTTGCCAAGCATGCTGTTAAGACAACAGTGTTAACCAGTCTTTTACCACAAGAAGACTTAAGAATAAGAAACTTATCATAGGAAGTTAAGAGTTAAGAATAACAAACTATGTTTGTGATCGAAGTATTTGTACTCGAGCTCTCGACTCTAGGACATTTATGTTGGTTCACATGACATGGCCGCCAGAAAATTGGTTCATTGTGTTAAATGCTTAGAGTTCAGGCGTATTTCATTATGACGTTGCTAAGTATATAATCTTTTGACACCATTTCCGTTGGCTTTTGACTCGATATTTCGGTCATTTTAATGCAGGAAACAGTTTATTAAATTCTTAAAAAAGATGTTAGCATTCATTCGATCTAAAGCAAACGTTCAAAGGTGCAGTTCGTGGCACCAAAGTAAAAGAGTTGGGTTGAATTAGGCGACTTACAGGAACAACGATTCAACGATGAGAAAATCTGATATACGTGGGCTGACATCAACATCAAGTTCTTTTGAAATGAACTTTGATAATTTTAAAGCGAAACGTCGAAAAGCGTTGGGTGGAAAATATTTTTCAAATGTCAAACAGTTCTTTAACGGCTATAAAAGTCGTGTCAGAAATAAAAGAGATAGGTATGAAAGCATTTTTATTTCAGTTGAACTATTCATGGACAAGTCATCCTCATGACTGTTGACATGATATTTTGTACTTGTGGACAGTAAATGTTCACTTCCTTAATGTCGATTGCGCTCATAAATTTTATTTATTATATCACCCCCATCACAGCATTGTGTATACATTTAATCTCGTTCACCATTGTTATTAGACTCGAAGCAGTTTAAAGTTTGCAATGGAAGTTAGAAACTGGGTGTTTGATTATTAAAATATCGTTTTGGTCTAGTAGCTAATTGAGTACTTCTTAATGTTTTCATGGAGTAATTATTCACGACATCAGTATTTTTAGACTACTCGAGAGCACAGGTAATAAAATGGCACTTTAGACATTGTTTCAGGCAGATGCATTGGTATTCTTTATTGTATAATGCTGCATTGTTCGTTTTAAAATGGGTGAAATTAAACATAAACTAGCTCTGCTCGTTCATGTAGCCTCAAGTTCATTGACACAGAGAAAATGAACTTTATGATAGAATTTGTTGAACAAAATCGAATGATTTATCAAATCTATGCTATGATCAGCATTCAATAAACTGATAAAAACTGATATTTGAAACGTCTATTTCAAACACGCGGCCGTCCCATTGGTCTCATCTTTCAAGCCGCGTTCCAAAAGACTATTGCTTATATATTCTTTTGTATGGATGTTTGTGTAGTAATATTTTGGCAACTGTATGGAGCTGTTTCGATTTTTCAGGTCCATGTACGATGTAGGCTGTCAATTCGTTAAGAAAGAGGAGAGCACTGTCACTTCAAAGGTGACCAACAATGAAACATCAACGGTAAGGATATATTTTTAATCTATTGCGGTTGATTGGAATTTACGTACGCATTAACGATTGTAAAACAGTACAAATTCGCATTTTAGCTGTTTTCATATTTACCATCATCTGTTTTCATAACATCGGTCATTAATCGTCTTGCTTAAATTAGTTAATATTTTTGCCACTATGTGATTATGGAAACAGACGTTCCAACACCTTTACACCAATTGAAACGCATGTTGATTTCGCGCGCTCTTCGTTTTATTGTCAGGTCAGTAAACGCGCTATATTCTTCAGTTAAATTCTCTTTCCTTTGAATAATTTGTTGCCACAACTTTAGAGATTTGGTTTGTTTGTTGCATATTGCAGAGTTTCTTTCATTACTGAAATTATCGTTGTGTACTATTGCCGTGTTGTGCAATATCCGAAACATTTTAACATGCTTATGCCATCATGCTATTTTGGCATATTGAATAAATGCAATGTAAAAATGTATAGACGTCTTCCTTTAGTGTATATTTCGAATATTACGTAAATTATCATTGTTAATGCTTTGATGCTAACAATGAGTTAATGCTTTCCTTTGCTTTGGATTCATGTTTGACTTTCATTGTCCTTTAAATTACCTTAGAATTCACATTTTGTTTGTTTGTGTATTTTGGGAATATTATGACTGAATGAATGCTGTTGCAATAAGCCAAGCAATGATCTTCAGCTAAGAGTTTGAAGAAATGAATTGATCGCTCAATGAACAAGTGTCGCTTCCTTTGCATAAGAAGACCAATTAACTCTTTCTTTGTTTATCTGCTTGCATGCTTGCACGAAATGTTTGTACAAAACAATGTTTTTGTGTCGTACGAGAGTTTTTATCGATTTTTATTTCATTACAAATTTACCTATATCCGGCTAGTGTTTTTAATATTTGAATGTTTGTCCCAAAATGAAGTCGCCCTTTAAATCTTTGGCAAACTTACAGCATACTTGGAATTACTACGCGTGGATGGTCATTGACATTTTAGTCGACTTGAGCGATTAGCAAGTAGTAATGAGACACATGTTACGCGTTGCGACTTTTGTAAATCATGAACGGTCCATTCTCAGCATGTCTAAGAATTTTTCAACTATGTAAGTTGGAAATGTTTTACCTAGTGCTCTAAGCAAATATGGCACTTTCTACCAATTATTAAATTTTTTCTGAGAAACAGTCATTCAACAGTCTTGTGTGTGTATGTATATGACCTCATGAGGAATGTTATTCAGTCTTCACACATGTAGCATATTTATTATACTTATTATCTTTTTCTTTTGAATCTCTGGCATGTGTGTCAATTTTTTCAATGCTTTATGGTAATGAGAAATACGCTTCCTAACTCCATTGTTCTTTTATCGAAAAGTGTGCCAAAATGTTGTGGTCGGGACTGTGTCGTCTTCACCTTTGTCTGTCTGGCGTTTTAGTGCGAATGAAAAATTTTATGATTTTAGCACATTAGTGCATATTTTCCAGAAATTTTAACACCGTCAGTTACGTTTATAACCATAATTACAATACTTGTAGCTTTTACTGAAAATTGATGGTAATTTTGTGAATTTTACATTTGTATCGATGACTTTTATCAGCAAGATATGAGCTTAACAGGCGGTACCGGAATTGGTTTTGTAAATGCTATCAAAATTCCTTTGAAAATCTAATATAATTTTGTTGAAAATAAAAATAAAGTAAACTGAAAATATCCTTTATCTTTAATTATTATTTTTCGTGTGCGGAAATAAACGTTGTGTGTGAAAATTGTTTTCGCTTCTGCTCGAACTAAAATCAAATTTTGTGTGTGTAAGGTTATCTCCGTGCATATTATTTCACTTCACCACCCACATGCGTTGACTGAAAACTTTGCTTTGATTTAACATTTTAACCGTGAATGTTTTCAAATTTTAATGATTGGTTTTCGTACAATTGAAAAGGATTGCCAAAGTAGTTATTATCTTTGATTATTTTCTTAGAGTTTTGATAAAGATTCTGTCATCGTACGTTTCGACCAAAAAGATGTTCTGGTATTAGACAGAAAGAAGGACCCGAGTCTCGTCTTCTCGGAAAAAGAAGTAGATCCAAAATGGTATGTTTTGAGCGTATATTTAATCTTCTGTATCTATAGGTAACTATGAATGAGATTAGATAAGATTATGAAACTTTAAGCGAACATTTTATCGCATATTTTTCAAATTTTTGTGCACGTGTGGTTTCATGACTGATTGAAATATTTTGCCAATTATCAGTGTCCATCAATCACGACAAGGTCGTAAAAAATCTATGGGGTGTCTTGTCAATTAACATCATCTTATGTTCATCAATCTTTGTCCTTTCTAGCTATGACGTAACGACAGGTTTACCTGAAACAATTCTAGAATATCTTTTGGAAACTCGCCTTGACGGTGATGATGACAATGACAGTTCACATCAGGGTATACTTTCATAATCAAATATTTTATGACTTGACCTTCAAAAGAATGTTATTAATAACCACCACAGGTGACATCTTCGTGACACGATGTTTTCAATAAAAATATTAAATTCTTTCAATTGCATTACGATAAAGTTTCACATCAATTTCAAACATATGCACGTACAATTAAAAACAAGTGTGGCCATGTGTTAGCCGTTAGGGGGAGAGGAGTTTTTGTACAAAAATTTGGATTGCTCTCAATGTCAGGATTAGATGCTAATCGTACATTGTGTAAAATGACTTAATGTTGATTGCAAGTACGATTTTCCATCAGTTTCATTAATCCGTCTGGGTTAATTCATAAGAAAAAAGTACAAAAATACAATATGCTAAAAATCACCACATCACATTATACAAAAGAGTTGTTTAAATTTCTGTTGCTCTAATGTTGATTTAAAGTTCTTTAACAATCTAGTTCATATTTTTTTATCGAGGCTGTCTACTTTTACGAAATTGATTTTCGTTGTTTGCAGAAAAATGTTTCATTTGTTGCTATTTGATGCTATTTTTTCTTTAATAGATTCGTTGGTGGATGATTTTATATTAACATTTCCATTATTTATAAACGAAGAAGAATTATGTGTTATACTTAAAAGATAGTATCTTTTTTATATCTCAATGATGGTGCTCAGCACGACGTTAACTTGTGTTATTTGATTTATGTGTTGTGTTGTATTATTAGACATGTTTTGTCCTTAACTATTAAGCTACCATGGTTCTGTAAGAATACAATACGCTTTCTCGACAAAAGTAAACAAATCTCCTCAGGACGGTGGACACAAACGAAAAAAGCGGTAAAATGCCATAGTAATTAATATATTTCTTCTTACTACGGTGATAATTTATATTTAAATACTTATATATTCCGTGTTTGCAGTTTGGTTCGCTTCATTGTTCGATGGAATCAGCTTTCTTATCACATATTTTACGAAAACGAACATGTCAAGCATCTACTAAAGGTAACTATGTTGCCAAATATTTCTGATAACGTATATAGAAGACTTCGCGCATGCGCTGCTGACGGGAAGTAATACGAGAGTTGAAGTTTGAGTTCAACTCTTTTTATCCCAATGCATGCACCTGCGGCATAAAATTCATTATTGTTGATTATTGTGTATTTTTATAATTATTGTGTCTTTTTTCAAAGTATATGAGTATTGTTAATGAACAAGGGAAGAGTACAGATGAAATGAGCCAAGCAATTGGTGTTTGTTAAATTCGAGAACTTAAATTTTTTAGATAAAAATTGATTGATCTTCACTTTTCCTATTGAAATTTCGCCGACATTTTTACTTTTAGCCCTTTTATATATTTATAACTGAAATTATAACTGAAATTAATATTATGACCGTGATTTATACAGGACTTGGTTAATGATCTTGAAAAAGAAAACTTGCAGGATGAGTTATCGCTGCTGGAGCAGCTTCTTGATCAGACATCCAAGCATCCCAGGTATATTAATAACAAAATAATAACATTTGTCGTCGTATATTTCCTTGATTTACCGCTGGCCTCATTTAGGATCTGATTGTTGAAACTTGCGTGATTTTTTTAGGTATTCCAATGGGTATGATGATTTCATGTCTTCGATGATTTTGGAAAATAAGGTTTGTCTCGAATGTCTTCAAAGTACAATGACTGTATGAAATGAGATAGTTACAGCCATATTCCTTGTTTTGTTCAATCCTAACTTTTCTTTGCGTAATGTTTCGTTCAGGAATTAGCTGATGCAAGCAATAACGATAAATCTCGAAGCTCACTGGATGATGAATTGTTGATGCGTCTCAATGATTGTTGCCCTATTAAAGCGTCTGATAATGGTAAGTATACGAATTTTATTTCTTTAAGAAAAAGCCGTTGCTTTTTGCTCGATATTGTTGTATTTTTTATTGTTTGATGAAGAATTTTCTAAATGAAAACTGTGTATTATGCCGTCTTTCTCTGTCTTAACAACAATAAGCCCTTGAAAATCGTTGTTTTAATCAATTCTGGTGAAAATCACAAAAAATTTGACTTCAAATGATTTTCTTTTCATTTATTTCTCGTTGCAGTTATATTTCAGGTTTATCGTTTCGATCACACCTACTCAAAGTTTCGCTGTCGTCGCGATTCGACTGTTCGTCACATCATTAAAATATGCTGTGAAAAATGGAAGATTGACAGCGAATGCCTTCTTTGTGAGCTTAAATCAAATGGAGGTAAGTCATTTTACTAATTTTGTTTTTGAAACTATTGAACAACAGCAATAATCTATCTTGTTACGTGATGGTTGGTTGTCAAATCACCGAGCCAAGTAATTGATGTATATTGTTCATGATTGAGATAACAAATTACCTGATGACGAATCACCTTGGTAACCATGTAATTATTGATGTACAAAATGTACTTTTGACGATTTGAACTCAATTTACGTAAAATTTACTAGTTTCTCAGTCGGTGAGCAAAAGAAGCAAGCAAACCTGGAGTTTTTATTTCTGTCGTAGTTTAGTTTACATTATGTATTATCTAGTACGTGATAAACATCTTCTTTTCTTGTAGAAAAACAAGTTTTCGGCTATGACGATATAGGGATAGTTTCGCGTGTCAGTGTAAATGGCAGATTGTTTTTAGCTCCTAAAGAAGAACTGGAAAGGCTTGTGAGTAGCGTTTTGTTGTGTATCTGCGCCAGCAATCACTGGTAACAGTCATTTTTTGCAATGCGTCAAAGATTTTTATCAATTATCAATTTGACGTATTCGTACAACTTTTATACAATATGTAACAATTGTCAACGCCTCTAGGAAAACTTTATTTTTACTCAAAATTTAAGGTACCACTACCTGAACAAGAAGGGCCAGAAAGTGAAGTTCAAAGTTCGTTGACCGAACTAAGTGCGAAAGAATTAGCCTACCATTTGACAATTTATGAAAATCAATTATTTAGATCAGTTAGCGTGGTAAGATATCATCATTTATAATTTACAATTCATTCAATTTTTATATCTTTGTAGGTTTTTGTTCATATACGTACATGTATAGATCATATTTATGAACTCTTGCTGGCTTATTTTTATAGTATGAATTTCTTTACCACGTGTTTGGTGTCAAAAATTTTTCTGGAAAAGTTACGACAAACTTGGACTTGTTTCTTAGAAGACTGGACGAGGTGACCGAAATTAATCATAATATATTCTCCTTGTAAGAAAATGCAACAAATGCAGAAAGTTGAAGAAATGAATTATATTGCTCTCTATATTATAAAGATCCAGTTTTGGGTGGCAACAGAGCTGGCTTTGGCATGTCACATTTCGAGAAGAGTCCAACTTCTAAAGAAATTCATAAAGATTGCATCGCAGTAAACGAACTAATTTTATAATGCATGCATTTGACTATTATCTATTTGTATTTTCTTAAGTTTTACTTATGACTAAATCTTGCTATTTCAGCTGTAAAGATTTCAAAAATTGGAACACATTTTTCGCTATTATTTTGGGATTGAATAACTCAGCTGTTAGTCGCATGACAAATACATGGGAGGTTTGTGTTGAAATAATTGATTGAATGTTTTAAGCAACTACAACTTTCATAAAAAATCATGTCACGTCTTGGCGACAGTTTTGAAAAATATAAGAAGTAGCAGATTACGAAGAAAACAGTCATCTTGAAATTAAATATTTGAATTAAAACAAAAGACTTTATTTCATTTTGTCTGACAAAGGTTTGAAATAAACTCAAAATTTGACACCCAATTTTACAAGTCTTGTTTTATTTAAAACATTGAAATTCACAATGGCTTTTTTCTTCGTAATCTGCTTTTTCTTTCAACTTACATTTGTGTTCATTTTATCATTTTATACGCAGGTAAATAAAATATCTATAACTTACGCGAGCTCTTCTTTCTGTGTTTGTCTATTAAAAAAAGATCGAGCTCGAGCTCAATATAATTGTTTTATCATTTGCCTTTTTACGTTTTTAGTGAATTTTAGTGCTGGTACAGTTGAGAGAGCAACTTTTACATTCCGAATTTAGCAACTTTTTTCTTACTCAATTTAGAGATTGCCGACAAAGTTTAAGAAAATGTTTGATGATTTTTCTGGTATTTTGGTCAGTATATTTGTAAACAAAATTTCTCTGATTCATTTGTTTATAACTATTTTCTTATATTTCTATCACTTGAAGAATCCTTCCAGAAATCATAGAGTTTACAGGCTTTCAATGGGTATGTTGTAGATAGAAATGGGAATAATACATTTTCAAACTCGTTACGTTAATTACTGTTACTGACCCACCCCACCCCCTCCCCCCACGAACCATGCGTAAAAAGCCAAGTTGCAAATATCGTGGTTATTAAAACTTATGTAAATTGTGATGGGATTTACTTGCCATGAAGTCAATGATGTTCGCTTAATGATACATGAATCAAAAATTTAACGAGGAAAAATAAAATGAACCTATGAAACATTTTTTATGATGAATTTAAATTACAAATCAAAAGGCTGTTTTTTTTAATTTACACTCTCCTTAGATCACTTGTTTACCATTAAATTCTTATTTTAAATCATTGTTATTGTTTAGGTTCTTTGGAGCCTCCTATAATACCTTTTGCTCCATTGTTCATTAAAGGTAAATATACAATCATCCCATATTACCCTTTTCCCAATTGTTTATCAAAAATTATTCTTCTGCAGACATGACATTTGCTCACGAAGGAAGCGATACATGGACTGGAGATAGTCTAGTGAACTTTACTAAAATGGTATGAACCGACATTTCTGTTCTTGTATATTTTGTGATTGAATTTTTCTTTTAGAAACACATGATTAAAATACATAATGATTTTTTGTTATTTTTAGCGACTCGTCGCCTCTACTCTTAGACTTATACAATTTTGTAGAAGCATTCCACTGAGTAAGTGTAATATCACAGATCTGTAGGAATCGTTTTACAATTGTTTTTTTTTTCTATTTAAATAAACTTACGCATTGTTTTGTAGCTATCGATCCTCCTACAATGTCAAAAGGATTTCGAGAAATCTGCAAACATGTCAGGTAGTCATACGATGTATGTGATTTGCGTTTGAAATTAAGTTCCTAGAAGTACATGGATTGTATCATATGGTAGAGATGATGGCAAGCAACTCTTAAGTTTTTAATACATGGATTGTATCATATGGTAGAGATGATGGCAAGCAACTCTTTAGTTTTTAATACATGGATTGTATCATATGGTAGAGATGATGGCACGCAACTCTTTTGTTTTTACAACGTTAAACATATATTTTCAAAGTTTTTTCTCGCTACAAGCATGCAATTCGGCTGACATTATTTACAATTCTCGATACGACGCGGCCATAATTGGCGATGGTTAATAAATTAGCACAGCGTAATCATTGTGCAGTAAAATCTTATTGCCGACATCATTTTATTGCAGAGATCTTCAAGTGATTGACAAACAAGATAAACTCGATCATTTGGCGTTGGACAATGATTTCAAACCATCGTCACCCACAAGATCTCAAACAATATAGGATGTAATCCGTATAGAAGTGCATTGTTCTGAACAACATTGTCGTGTATTCTTACCTTTATGTTTAAAGACTGCAGTTCTATCTACATGTGCAATGTAATGGCATCCGTTTTTAACTGTTGAGAGTTATTTATTCCCGATGACATTTTCTCAATTCAACCATTAAGTCTTTACGTACTTTATACGTTGAAATATTATTGTCTTTGTATATACATGTGTGTGTAAATAGACGTCTTGACACCATTGAATTGGACAAAAATAATAATACAGTTTTCTACTCCTATAGCGACCGCATGGTGGCAACTCACTATTTATGTTGGTGGATTGTGTCAGATAATTTCGTGGATTTTCAATAGTTTTTTCATAGAATAACACCAAGCAACTATTGCAATTGATTATTTACAAAGACAAAAGAAAACTTTCTTTCATTTTCAGCAAACGGGACTCGTCAAAATAAGACAGTTCCTTTCTTAATACCTCAATGTTGTAGCTACTTCATGAAAAAATATTTCAGCAACATTTTATTTAATACAAAAAATTTGAGGATATTTTAACACCAAACTATGATCAGTCGAACTATTTTATCCTTTGGAGAAGAGAATGTTTTTGAAACCGTTTCCTCAAGTTAAAAACTCTATGATGCTGAAAGAGGCTTTTTGCGTTCTTTTAAATACTTTATGTAAGCACATTCGTGTGGTTCTTTTTGTTTGTATGTTGAGCGATAGACACTTTCCTTGGCGATCTCCCCTTGGGATTTTTTCACTTCTATTTTAGGTTTAAAATTGGTACGTGGACGAATGGCTTCGTGTTGTATGAAATCTTTTGTCGTGACTGAATCACCTTGAAACTTCTGTATTGGCTTAAGATAGAATTTTTGTTCATGGAAATCTCCATATTTCTTGATGAAGCCCGTTGTTTTGTATCGTGGAAATTCCTTTTTATAAGACGTTTCGTCACTTAACTTGATTTTGCTTTTCGGCACAGACTGTGCAGGTTTGGTTAAGCGAATCACTGAGATATCTTTTGGTTGAAAATCTGCCATAGTTTGTGTTGTAGTGTGGAATTTTTCTTTCGGTGGCGAGTAGCGCTCTTTCTGAGCTTTTACTTTTACTGTATTAACGTCCCATTGCCCTTTGTATTGCTCATTGTTGGTGGTCGTGAAATCTCTAGAGTTGTTCATGCTCAGATCAATTGTTGCTGGATAAGGAGGACATGGTTTAGTTGGTGCTGGAAAATCACCTGGTAGAGAAAACGATTGACATGAAATTTAGAAGAACAAAGAGTTGACCATCTCAATAATGTGTTGTTCAATAACAAACCTAAGGATCCCTACAGACCAGCAAGTGGATTAATGATGACAATATTAAATATTCACACAGTTATCAAACATTACTTGCTCAGAGTTAATGAGAATGACGTCGTCAAAACATTGGATAAAACAGGAAAATTGATTTAATTTTTCCCTTTTAAAAACATTACATGCACATGAAACTGGAAGAATAAATATCAAAAATGATATAAAGTGGATGGTTTTGATTTAGGAGTATGGTGAAATGCATGTTCGTAAGGTTTAAGTTGTCCATGTTAGTGCTTTTAAGGACTGTTCGAACGTGAATGATGAACATCTGCAAACATGCATGTAGCTAAAGATGTTTTCTTCTTCCCTGCACATCTTGATGTTATCACGACCACAAAAAACAACCATACAAGCCAGTTTTGCTTGATGACAATACAAAAAGTGAAGATTGTTTTCCTTTTTTAGCTGTTGAAACTAACATTTACCTTTTTCATAACTTGGAAAATCTCTTTGAGCTTGCGTTTTTGCGTCAAATTTCATATGTTGTGATTCCTTAGCCGTCTCTCTTTTTACTTTGGCCGAACGTTTATGCGTGTCGTTGTGTTTCTTGTACGTCGCTTGATGCACTGTTTCATGTTGATAATCACCCTCCATTCCCAGGGTAATGGCTGCTTCACGAGGACCGCAGAACTGACCTTTGGGCGCAAATTTACCTTTATATGATTCTTGATTTACTGAACAGAGGTTTTCTGTCTTTGAGTCAGGATAAAGTATGGAACCCATTAAAGATGGTAATTCAGAATAACCTATAATATGCTCAGTATTCTTGGCTTGAAATGCAACATTGTGCGTTGTTTCATCGCAGAACTTTGGTTTTGGTTGTTGCTCGACTTTCGTTGAAATTTTCGTTAACTTGACTTGATGTGGTTGGTTACTGTTGGTGAATGCAACACCGTAAGAAGTCTTGCCATCAAAATCGCCATTGAAAAATCCTTGATAATTTTCTTCAAGCTGAAAGCAATCAAAAATTTAACGACATACATGCATATATACTTGGTCATTTTACTAAACACGCATTGTGAGTTTGTGTACAGCAGTTACACGCCAACCTTGAATGGCTTAGGAGGGCCTTCAAAGTCATCATGTTTCACATATTCCGTGTTCGTCATTGTTCGGAAATCCATCGGTGGAGGGTTAGGATTTCGTAACCTTGGCAACGGACGTCTTATCTTGCGAAAAATGTTGGATGGTGGAATTTTGTAAGACGCCCGATAATCTGTCGAACAATCCTTCAGACCTGGTCTTGTTGGAGGAGCTTTTGTGTTTTCCTTTCTTTTTGTGCATTTTTCATGTGGATGGTAGCGACTGGAAAATGTTTATTTAAAACAAAATTAGGCTAGGCGTTTAATAAGTATCAGTATTACATTGTCATATTTAGAAATTATGTAAGTAATTGCCCCTCTGGCCTCTCATATTTTTATCAGATATATTTTATGATCCAGTAAAACTCACAGTAAACCAAATCTTGGATATTTGTCCATGAGCTTATCAAGTGATATCAACTTGCTCTAATAGTGGAAAGTTAGTTCACACTAGAACAATACTTAAAATAAGGTAGATCGCTCAACTTGAACGATAAAGAAGATGAAGGATGTACGGAGTGATATTTTCCTAACTACAACTATAATTCCACTCACCCACAATCACATAGTTCACATACACACTGCAAGCCTTCCTTCTTGAGTAACGCTCGCGTCTCGGAGCTATAAATTGCTCGATTTACTCCAGTAGAAACCATTGACGTTGTTCCCTTGAAGACTTAGCATGAAAGAAATATTATAAGCATTTAAATGTTATTGCAAAAGATTAGTCAAACTATAAATGCGGTATTCCAATTTCAAGCAATAGATGTAAGTAATTTTAGCAATCTGTTGATCATTTCAACCTTTCTTCAGTTCATAGTAACTATTGGCAACCGGGTATGATAATTTGTCAGGGTCATAAGATCATCACTGTCTGGCTTGTCCATTTAGAATGTTGCTTAAACTTGCACCTAGTCTGCTACCAGAATATTTTATTTTGTTGAAAAGTTGAAAGTTTGAGCTGTCAAAAAGATGCAAGTCTACATGTTGCTATATGCGCGTAGCGGGCTAAAATTTTGAGATGTGACTTCATATCGCTACCATTTATCCGAATTTCCAGCGAGTAAGTCCTTGCATAATCCTTCAAACGATTGGAAAACTTGTGAAAAAAAATGTGTCTGACATTTGTCCCTGATTATTAGTGAGCACGCGCCTGTTCTGCTAAGTTTCCAAGAACTTTGGTGAGTTTGCCAGAATTATGAAGACATTCAAAGCAAAGTAAACTCTTCATAAATGCAGTAAGATGCGTCAAGAAATTTTTGTGTATGTTTATACCACGTTTATATGATATATTGATAAACACGGCTTTGAATGTATAGTACATTAAAAATTCTGTTAAAATTAAAAGTTTGAATTTGTAATTTAATTACATCTGCGGTGTCTGATTGGTCAACGACCAATGGTGGTAAATTTAAATGCCACGTTTGAATCATACATTTGTGTGGCGATGTCATGTCTAAATTATTTGATTCGAATTAATCAATCGATTTCGTTTGTACGGACGAAGATAGTTCACTGAGTGTTTGGAGTATAACTTTAGTACTTGTTCAAAGCAAAGCATGGATGTCAGCCATCTTCAGTGCACTATCAATATGGAAAAACTCAATGAGCAAGGTATTGTTCGACAACGATCTACTTACAAAAGATGTACCATTGTGCTTGGACGTGATCAATTTCGTGACATTCTCTTAAGAATTATTGTCAAAGATCAAATAGCTCACAGTTTTAATTTAAAAGAAATCATTTTATATCGACGTTTTTTAAAAGAAGGCAAGGCAACCATTAAGCTTTTAACACAAAGCATTCTTATCATGTTGTCGAATTGTCCTCCTGATAGACTCAGTGCCTTTCTTGCCTGTTTGAAGGTCAAACATGCCATAAAATATAACGAAGGTTTAACTTGTGATCGAAAGCGCCTTCGCAGTGATATTCCGAAATGCTTTGATAATATTAGTCCTCTCGTGGAAAATGACTTGAAAAAAGCGAAGGAAAACATTCCCCTACAATCATTGCATGATAAAACTCCCAAACGAAAACGCTTCGAAGGACCAAACGATATTAATCCTCGTAAGCTTATGGTTGTATCCAACAACGCCATCAGTCAGCCAAAATCTAATATGAAGCTAAATAAATCACAATTAAATGCACTAAATGCAGTAAAATGTGGTCAAAATGTTTTCATTACTGGCAGTGGTGGCACTGGAAAATCATTCTTGTTAAAGAAAATTATTGGTTTATTACCACCTCATGATACATTTATAACAGCAAGTACTGGTGTAGCTGCATGTCAAATTGGGGGTATGACATTGCATTCCTTTGCAGGTAGGTTTCATAACCTTACATTGAAAATAATCCCTAAACCTGTATATTTTGGATTTATCTAAAAGTGCAGCAGTATTGAATTCATTTAAGTCATAAAGGACCAGCAATCACTCGTAAAATGTGGAAATTTTTGCAAAAATAGACAACATTAAATAAAACTGATTGCAAATTTAATTTTTCATGCATGATAGAAAGATTGAATAACAACTTTGCCTAGTGATCTTGAAAATTACTTTCCTAACACTCACATTTACTGAATATTATTTTGCAATACTTACAAAAGGTATTGGAAGTGGATCAAGTTCACTTGAGAAATGCATTACTATGGCATCTAGGCATCTCCCATCTGTTCAGTGGAAGAACTGCCAACATTTGATCATTGATGAAATATCAATGATTGATTCAGTTCTATTTGATAAGATTGAAGCAATTGCTCGTGCAATTCGAAAGAATGAAAAACCTTTTGGAGGAATTCAACTTATTATCTGTGGAGATTTTCTTCAACTGCCACCTATTATGAAAAAGAATGAAACAAAAAAGTTTTGTTTTCAGGTGAACTTTTTATTGAATCTTTTGATGAAGTCACTGTGAGAGAATGATAACATTAGAAAGAAACATCGTATATTTTAAATAAATATCTAAATCATTCATACTTTATAAATTTTTTATTTCAATAATTTTATTTAGGTAATCATGTATTTTTCTTCTACCAGGCAGAAAGTTGGTCATTATGTGTACATAAAACAATTGAGTTGACTGAAGTAAAAAGACAATCTGATCCTCTCTTTGTTAACATTCTCAACAATATTCGAGTTGGCAGGTACATATATGAGTTGGCAGGTACATATATGAGTTGGCAGGTACATATATGACAAGTCAAGAATCATAATACCATTAAGTACTTCAGGAATATTCGTTATATACAGTGGCGTAGAAAGGGGACACAGGTAGTCCCAAACTTTCAAATTTAATACAAAAAAGTACCCTTTTTTGCAAGAAAAATGTCCATTTTAAATAAAAAAGTGCCCCAAAAATCTTGAGGCTTGTGCCCTCCCCCAACTTTCACTTGCTTCCTATGCCTCTGTTCGTATACTGTTTTATCACTTTTATATAACTGGATGTTTTTCATTAATAAATTTTTGCTTCCAGATGCCCTGATAACGTAGTAGAAAAACTAAACGAAACAAAAGAAAATAAGATTGATGCCGATGGTATATTAGCAACAAGACTTTGCACTCATAAAGAGAACGTTGATCAGATAAATAAAGTTCAACTGGAAAGCCTGCCGGGGAAAATTATGTCATTTCAAGCCATAGACAGTGATCAAATGTTCACGAAAACCCTTGACTCTTGCTGTCCTGTCGGTGCAACTTTGGAATTAAAGATTGGTGCTCAGGTTTGTATTTGCTATGGGATGATTATTCAGGGTTAAAATTTGGTTTAGCAGAGACTGAAGAGCTGTGGATACGGGGGGAACCATTATCCTCCATCACTTTTTCAATGGATGAGCAATTAGGTAAAATAAGCGTTATCCGTACTTTTATGAATTTTCTGTCCGCTTTCACTTTGTGAAAATATTGATCTTGCATGTAGAAGTATTTTGAAAAACGGCAATGACAAATAGCTGACACAATTAATTTCTGCATTCACATTTTCTGATAAACTTATTTCTTCTTTTAAAGGTGCTGTTGACTAAAAATTTAGACATCGGTCAAGGTTTAGTAAATGGTGCACGTGGCATTGTGGCGAGCTTTTCATCCGGGAATACAGGTGCGAATAGCTGTTAAAGGGAATTTTGCCTTATTTCAATGATTATCTTACAGTCTTTCCAAAACGTTATGTTTAATATCCGCCATTTTTTGTGTGTTTTTCTTATATTTGAGAAACAAGGGAAAGTCAATTTTTCTTGTGGCTGTTTGAAGAGTAACTATACCGGAACCTATACAATTGTGGCAAAGTTTCTTTTTCTCTTTTTTTCTTTCTTTTTTTTTCATTGTTTCTGAGTTCCAGAATTGTCCGAAAACTCCCCTATGTAGAAAAACCTAGCTGCAGGCGAAAATGTTTAATTGATAAAGAGTCAAAACTGCTTAATAAAACATATCGGATGCAAAAAGAACGAGGAAGATTTTTTTATAAAAGATATTTTCATCATAAACAGTTAGAATAATTACAACAGTTTTATCTCGCCATATGATTTCAAGAGCGCGAAATAAATCTACATGCAAAATTAAACTAATTTAGTCACTCCAGTCGTTAAGTTCTCGAACGGATTGAAACGAGTAATTAAAGCAGAAAAGTGGATGATTAAAACTGGATCTTCTGGTCAAGTTACCCGTACACAGCTACCTTTACAGTTAGCCTGGGCTATTTCTATTCATAAAAGTCAGGTAATTGAAATTCTTCTTTTTATGGTACAATTGTTACAATAATGTATTTGATCACATCAACTTGCCTGTGATTTCTGTAATTTTTTTTGTGTAGGGAATGACTCTTGATTGTGTTGAAATATCTCTGTCGAGAGTTTTTGAATGTGGGCAAGCTTATGTTGCTTTGTCACGAGCTAAAACTCTCAGGGGTTTGCGTGTTTTAGACTTTAGTAAAGCTTGCATAAAAGCTCATCCTGATGTTCTTAATTATTACGTTCGACTGCGACGGAGAACCAATCTTCAGAATAGTTTGTAAGATAAGTAAGTGTAAAGAAACCGAGTTATAGCTAGTAGTGTTCCCCTAGCCACGATGGAAGAGAGAAACAGATTGTGTAAATATTATGTTTAATAAAACTCCAAAAATATAATTTATATAAATTTACATAATAATGACGGTAGTTGATGAGCTGTACTTTTTTATCAAACGAGCGAAGATGAAATAAAGACTTTCGTCGGATTATAGAATTTTTTCGTTGAAATCTGCCTATAAGTGCATTTGCATGAATTTTTTTCAAATGAGCAACATTGATTGCCAAACTTGTTCGAACTAACTTGCAATCGCCACAAATTGTAATCATTAATAAAACTTGGTCTTATTTGCATGATCTTTTTAACCATAATCACTGCGACTGGAATTTTAACAGATGGTACTTTTTGAGACGTCACTATAACATTGCTCATTTGCAAACATACCGATTGTTTCATTAAGCATTTCTACGAATTGCACATCCTAAAACTTTAGGGAAAATACAGTTACAGTATTGTTTAACTGTCTTAAAGTCATTGATGTTTTGAGCGCATCCCCCCAGCAAAATGAGGGGATTTTTACGTTTAGGAGCAATTGTATTTGGTAAAAAAATCCACGGTGTTATGCAGACCAACTTTTTTTTCCTCTATCAGTTTTTTTGGGGAAAACCTTATCAGTTTTTCCTTCCTCTATCTTCTAGGGGAAATTTCTCAAGTCATCCACATGTAAGGCAAAAAAACGCTTTGCTTCCGTAAACAAATTCTGCGTTACATGATATGTTGTATAATATGATGCGTTATATGAACTATTTTGAACCCGCGTAATGTTACAATAAACCTCTGCTTCTGCAGACAACTGTATCTTCTCATCATTTGAAAACCATTATTTTTCCATCAACACTCAAAAGGAACTCTGGAGTATGCTTTACTATCTTAAAACGCGAGTAGCATTGTCAATATGTGTGAGGGGGCGTACATAGTTATGTCGATCGTCACGACATTTTGGTCATGTTGACGTTTGTAGAGTCTTAAAAGCATTTTTGATCCTTTAATGGATGTCAACTGCTGATTTTACTCTTGTATCTTATTTCAAGGTCTTTTTGTATCTTGCGTATAATTTTACTTGTTTTCATTGGTATTAAATGTCATTGACATTCGTAGAAATCAAAGGTAACAGACCTATATTTGGATCGATATAAATGAATTTTCTCTTCGTCGTTGGGATTTTTTGTTTTCTGTTTTCGACCTTTTGTGATTCACTAATTATGAATACCTCAACATGTGTTGATGATTGTAAAAAGGTATGATATAAGCAACAAATATTTTATATTGAAGACTGAGAATTTAAATGGTATTTCGGTATGGATCATTGCCAGAAGCGGATCCTGAGTTGTAGCCATAATAACTTGCAAGTTACAACTACCCAATCATTGGCAAGGTTTTATTCTCTTGAATTTATAAACCAGTGGTATTTTTCGAAAGATATTTTGAATTGTAAATTAGCGATTATAGTTTATTTTGTCGTACTGAGTTTGCTGCTGATTGTGTATTTTATTTAAGTGTTCACGATACGCGTTGCATGAAAAATGAACATGAAAATTTTGCAAACTTACAAACAATAGAAAATTATGAGACTATACGGTATTGACGCATTTCAGTGTCGCGTTTAATTCCTTCATTTTAATTTGGGATAAGGCCGTCGGAAGCGCATTAAGATTGGAGAGACTGATAAAAATATGTCGAAACGTTTTAAAGGATTTTTGAGCGCATGTGGAGCGTTTTAATTTTTTCAGTAAACTAATGAGTGAGGGCTACAGCCTTCCCCCCAGCCCGCTTCCGACAGGCCTGTTTTAAAAAGTGTAAACACTTCGTCAAAACACAGAGCCTATTTAGTCAAAGCGTTAATTTATAAAATATTGAAAGTAACTAGTCTATTGTGAATATGATAGTTAAATAACTTAACTTTTTTTATAAATGCCAGTGTTAGTTTTATTTCTTTTTTATTACATAGTATTCGCATTTCATTATATTAAAAATTGTTCTGTAGAAAACAGTTTCCAATGAGGAAAATATTGAACTCTGCAAAACAAGATGCGAACAATCTTTCTTAAACAAGACATTACTAAATAAAGGTAAACAACGATTCCATTATAATTATTGACTTATATTTGATTGTGAGTCTGTGAGTGCGTATGAAATATCAAATACTTACTTTCGAAAACAATGATTTGGACGTACATGCAAAAGGTTTGATTGACGTCTGGCTAATATCAGCCTGCGTCGAGTTGAAAAAAAAGAACGCAAAAGAATTGTATAGGCACTCTTATACCTGGGAATAGACAAACTCAAAATTAAGAAAACTTTGTACTTTTCAATGCAATGTATGAAAGAACTTGAAGATGTTTTTTACACATACGTCATCACTATCTTTCAGAAAGCATTTTACGAAATTTGTCGACGCCAATTGCTCCTAAAATTATTCGAATTGAAGATCAGGCTATACGTTTGAATTTCTTCACTCCTGCTCTTAAAAACATCTCTGAACTGGAGTATATCATAGAAATATACCGAATCAGGAATCATAGTCAAAAAAATGGTTTTGTTATTGTCTATCCATTCAAGCCGAAGTTTCGAATTGTAAGTTCACGGATACATTTCATAATATTAACTAAAGTCTATCTTATAAACATTTGTATTTTTCATATGTTTTATAAGAAATATCGACGTTTTGTTGTTAAAATAGGACAACTAAAAAAGTTATATGCATTTTGAACTTTCGTTTCACTTTAGAAACTACTGTAATGTCCACTGAAATGACTAAAATTGAGAAATTCCTTGACCTTATTTCCAAACACAATCGATCATCATACTGCTTGTAATTTCCAAGAGCATCGTTGTAATGTGCTTTTGATATGCATTATCTTTTGTAAAACCATGCATTTTTTACTTTCTATACGATTGTAATTTGAATTTATTTAGACAAACAAAACCGATTACTCATTTACGGATCTTGAACCAAATGCACAATATAAGTTTCGTGTGGTCGCTCTTCGTTTAAATGGAACAGAACGTTCAGAATTCAGTCAATGGAGCAATATCACGACAACAAAAAGTAAGTTAGTGTCCTCATTTTCAAATTTGAAATATACATGTAGCAGTAACTTAAAATAATATGAAGCATATTCCGAGTAGAAGACTCATGTTTAACTCAATATTTGAGAAAAAAACAAGAAATATTTTATTTGAAAAGTAACTATTCGAATTTGTTACAAATTCATCATCAGACTATATTTACAAGCTAACTGACGCTCTACTTATATGTATGTTACATCATTTCAACGAAAGTGCGGGAATGTGAACTGGATGGGAGGAATTATTAGGTGATTGTGAGGCAGTGAAATCAAATTGTGACAGTTCTTTGCTGGCTTTAAGCCCATTATCAAGTTCTAGTTCGTGTGATTTAATAAAGAGTGCTTCCATTTAGTAAAAGTCGGTTTCTTTTAAAGTTAGTGTTCGAGTAAAGTATGTTGTAGTTGTTAAGTACGAGTTTGGTAATGTTTGAATTACGTTTTTCCACAAGTGATTTCTGATCAAGTGTGTTCTTGTTTTGATATGTAATGTCCTGTGCTTTTTGGTATTGTAAGAAGTGCTGTGCAATAAAGCTTGTTTCATGTTGTGTGGCATGTTTCATGAAGTTGGCAAATGCCAACAATAAAATTATATACTCTCATTCTCGATTCTCAATAACATTTTACAAGCTTCCCAAACGCTTAGTTACCTATTTAATAACTTCAAATGTTTCATGAAGCTTCCATCTGATATTTCACCTTATAACGACTTTAGAAGTCATAGATTGTAAATATTGGAAAAAATTAAATTCATCATTGCAAATGTTTTAAGGTTGCACTACATCTTCCTGTGGTGTCAGCAATATGAGACTTCATGTTACACCTGTTGACCCTGGCCACGGAATGAAGGGTTTGAAATCATTTTTGTTTTGGGATCCCACCAAACGTAAGCTTACATTTAATGTGCTACTTTATGTAAGTTTATTCTATGAACCGGAGGGGGCTTACAAAATTATATACTTTACACATTAAACTGCTGGGCGTAGACAATTTTATTTTTTATTTATTAATACCCTATTTCTCGAATTGTATAATTAGAAATGAAGTTAATAATTTGAAGCTTTTTAAATGAGATGATTTTTTAGTTCAAGAGATATTCATGATTTATTAATTATAGTTAACAAGGAATATCGCAGTAAAAACTCGGTTCTTGAAGGAAGTTGTTTGTCTGGTGGCTGGTGTAGTAAGAATTTTGTTAACTATATAAACTACTACTCTGGATATGAGGTAGGATAGTATGGTTTTTTATGTTGAGTATTTTACGACAAAAACGTTGTGTATTATGAGGATATTTCATCGTGTTTGGAATTGAAAATTAAATAGATTTACACAGCCTGTTTATGACGCTCTAATCAAGATCTGAGATAATTAAATGTTTTTGAGAATCTTAGAATGTAAGGTTTCTATTTTAAGGGCTAATTTTGTAAATACGTTTACTGAAAATTTTCCCTTGTGCATGGTTTTTTCTAGAGCAGTTTATTCTCGCCATATAAATTTGGCTAAAATCCAAGATGTTGGGGGAATATTCTTTACAAGGAAACAGTACACATTACAAATATATGTTACTCAGATATTCTGAGGGTTTTATAGTAGCAATGTTAAGTTTGCTGTGACCCTGCATGAAATTGAAACAATACATCATCATATAAGGAAATCTTCTGATATTTCTTTCAGAAATTCTTCAATGGTAGTACGTTTTTCAACATTTCGACATTTTCATCCAAGCCAACCATCTTTTTTGATTGCTGGTATAAATTTACGGTCAGTGAATAAATCTAACGATGTTTAGGATGTTAAACTAAGGTGATTCTGCTTTAAGTTGTGCTAAACTTCATTAATTTTTTTAGAATACACTTTTGCATGACTGTAAAATAAGATTTTTGTTTGAGCATGTTTTTAAATTCAAAAACAATCTATTGTAGCTACGATGCAGAATCTTTTGTACTTCTGTTGTTCTATAAGTTGGCTTAAATAAACAATTGTTCTATAATGACATTTTACTTCTAATCTCTGCTAAATTTAAAATTTTTCTTTGCGTAGATTTACGCAACAAAATATGGGCTTGACAAACATGCTAGCCGAACTTGGATATTCTACATACCAAGTATGTTTAAATCTGGTTCATAGTTTTGATATAAGCTTTTTTTCTCCTTTGCATGTACGAAGCATACTTTAATTTTCATATTGTTTTGTACAACTACTGCCTTATTCTCACTTTATTTCTTTTTTGCGTTTAGACTGCATTAACGTTAACAAATCTAAGACATGTGGATGTCCTTGTAAGTTTGCTTATTCTAAAATTTTTGGTACCTAGAGATTGTATCTCCCTTTGCTTTTGTGCTAATACGTCTTTAGTTCAGTAAATAATTAAATGATCTTGGTCCACATGGGACGGAAAAAGGCTTGGATCTACTTTGAGATACACGATGTCAATATTCGCAAAAGTTATTCATTTTTGACGTGCAAGAGCTCTTGTTGCACGAGAGATCCATACTTGATTTTGACAAGTATGGACAAAGACCACAGTCAAACATGCATTTCATATCCTTCCTTCGCCTTTATGTACTTCTTCCTCATTTGCTAAACGCGGCGATGATTTGTCAATGATACTTCTCATCTTTTCATAATTATTATGCTTTAAATTACTGACAATGATAACAAAAGTCTTCATTTTATCAAGTTTTTGATGTCGTTGTTTAGATTTTCCAAGAAAGAAGGAAAAAAATCATGACTTATTTGACGTGAACGTATTATCCTCACATAACAATAAATCGGTGGCTCAAGTAAACTGGAAGAAGGAAATATGGCAGGCTGAAAATATCATCAAATTCAAAGTTTCGATGTTGGATGTAAACAGTACTCATCATAATGCTTTCCACAAGATCGTTGATGCCACAACTGAAGTAAGTTATGGAAATTTTTTTGAGGTAAATTACACTAACGAAAAGGTAACCACTACCAGAATCATTTAATATTTATTTTCATTTCACATTAAATCACTGAATGTAAATTCGTCGATTGTGATTGAAAACTTTTTGAAAAGTTTACAATTATGTTAACATCTGAAGAATATATTTGAATTCAAAACTATCATGAAGAAAAGTTTAAAAGCTTCTTCCGATATCAGATAATTAAATTTAATATAGGATTCATTGAGATATTGTTTTTTTTTCCTTAGTCTCTTGATTACAGTGTAAATTTTACAAATCTTATCACATGGAATGTATATGATGCTGTGGTATGTTGTAATTAATGAATTAATGTGTATAGATAGCTTCTTACCTATATTTTTCTTTCATGTTGAGACTGACTTCAGGATGTTGTTTGTACTGCCGACTAATGGCTGTTAGCAAATTGAATATTAAATTAGCAAATTCTGCTGCAGGCTTTTGATCATTGTAATATCTCTTGCCTTCCCTCTCCTCCCTCCCCTTTTTTTCTTCTCCATCCCTCCCCTACCTCCCCTTTTTTCCTCTCCTTCCCCCCTCTCCTTTTCCTTACACTTACGTATATTTTGTACAAACAATATTATGATATTTTGTTAAATTCCCGTTTTGTATTTTGTAATTTGCATAATGTTGACCCTTACTACGGATAATTTTTAAAACTTTCTCACACTTTCACTCAGTTCTGTTTAAAAAATCTGAGAAATAGACATCATTGAAATGAACTATGTAAACCATGGACTCTGTTTGTTTTATAAAAAATTTAGTCTGTTTTAGTTTATAATTTCTTGCAATATTTTTGGCCATTTGTTTCGTTATTTTTTCATAGTTGACTGCATTACATAGTGACCACTGTACTTACGAAGACCGCTACATATTCCGATTTACTGGTAAATATTATCAATGATAATCTGAACAAAATATCAACTGCGTATTCACACGCATTTATTTTTCTATAGCATTGGCAGTTTGTCAATGGAACAACTGCAGGAACAACAGCAAATGTAAACAAATTCTAGGAACAATTAAATACAATTGTCCCTGTAATTATGGGTTTTTTGAATTCAATCTAACATGCAAAAACAGTAAGTCGATTTCATGATTAGTATTTTATTTTATTTTGGTTGAATACTATTTAAAAAAAAAGTTCGTTCGCAGACAGTCACTGTATGTTTGTGTACACATTGTGTACACATTACTAAATATCATTCTTCATTTTTGAATGTGAAATGCTTACTTCCATGTAGACCCCATATATGGACATATCACACGCCATTTTCACAAATTTGATCAAACGCAATGTTGCTAAAATTCTACATTAAATTGACTATTGCACTGTACAATAAGTTGTGTGACTGAAGCAGAAATCGTGCGCAGATAATCCATATGGTGAATTTTATTAGATTGTAAACATAAAGCAAAAGAGACAGCAAATTGATTGTTCTGCAAAAATAATCCATATGGTGAATTATTAGATTGTAAACATAAAGTAAAAGAGACAGCAAATTGATTGTTCTGCAAAAATAATCCATATGGTGAATTATTATATTGTAAACACAAAGTAAAAGAGACAGCAAATTGATTGTTCTGCAAAAATAATCCATATGGTGAATTATTAGATTGTAAACATAAAGTAAAAGAGACAGCAAATTGATTGTTCTGCAAAAATATCAATTCGTTTTGCAACAAATGTGATACTTTGGGCGATAAAGCATTACCGCTTGTCAAAATTATCACGCATGCAACTAAAAAGCAAATCGTGGCAATCACTTGCATTTTCTTTTTTAATAAAACTTTTTTCTCAGCATAAATTGAAAATGAACGACAAAGTAGCTATGAAGATAATTTTTCCTGATCTCTTTTTAATCTTTCTAGTGTCAAACTCACGATTAAATTTTTCACGTATTATAAATAACTTACTCTAAATACATATTTTGCAAAGGATATACGTAAATTCCCAGGATCATATGGTATTTTGAATAAACTATACTTTTCTATATGATAACTTTAAAATCCACCACTCTCCAATGAAAGTTTACTGTGTGGATTTTTAATTGCTAGTTTGAACAAGATTCAACAAGATGAAAATTATTTATGTTTAGCTCCTGAAAATATGACAGAAATCAAAGAGAAAAAATACAAGAAAGGTTTCCTTCTTCTCGATACTTTAATTATCACATTTTCCATTCAAACATTCCTAACATATTAAAATAGTTACTTATTACAATTTTATAATAATCGTACTATAAGTGATAAACAAAGCAAAGAAAAAATGATATAAGTGATTAATTTCTTTTGTAGATACAAAAGATAATGGAATTTTAGCCATAGTTGCCGGAATTGTTCCTGCAGTGATTGTTATCATCGTCATATTTATGGCTATTATAATTTGGTTGCGTTATTTTCATAAAAAGAAAATGAATTCTATGGAAAGAGAATTTGATATTGCGTTGGAGACAAATGCTGGTGGAGCCTTGACTGATCCATATGACTTACAAGATCTGTAAGCTTTTATGACGTTATCACGTTTTAACTTGAAATAAATATGGAATTTCCTCCACGTATTTCATTAGAATGAACGTTGCTTTACCAGAGCAGAATGGAAAAGAGATCAACTTATTGTATGTGATGAAAGATTGTCTTGAAATGCCCGAAAATTTAAGGGTTTCGTTGAGGTTGTTAGAATTGCCATGTGAACGTATTCGACGTAGAGAAATGATAGGTCGTGGAGCATTTGGTGAAGTTTATCTTGGTGAAGCTGAAGAAGTTAATGATTCTCCTGGATGGACCACTGTTGCTATCAAAACTCTTACAGGTTTGGAATACATATTCATATTTACAATCTAGAACTCTTTTCTTTTTCTAATTTCTAAATATAATTATAGATTCATTATACACAGCAAAGTTTGAACAAAAAAATATCCTATCTCTAGTTAAATGTTTTACTATGTTTGATGTTATTTACAGTTACAGAAGCAGTCCATAAGAACGATGTACACGATTTTATGCGTGAAATTGAGCTTATGGCACATATTGGAAAGCATAAAAATGTTATTCATATGTTTGGTTGTTGCACAAAGTCTCTTCCTATATGTCTGGTTCTTGAATATGCACCAGGAGGAAACCTTGTTAATTATCTTCGAGCTCTTAAGAAAAAGGTAAAATGAGATTAGGGAAAATATTGATTTTTAATTGAAAACCCTCGACAATTTTTGACTTAAATAAGTTTCTTATTTATGAAAAAGAATACTGGGAAGCATAATCTCGGAATGTCCAAACAGCTATATTCACAATATACTACCATTCGTGAAAGGAAAAATATATTTGCTTTTTTTATGACCTTCGCCTTATTTAGTGCACAACAATTCTTTTAGTGTAAAGAAATCGCTACGGCACAAGTTTATGCATTTATGGAGACAAAAAGGGTTTGTTGTAATTTAACTTACAGCTTTTAATGGAGGGAGTTTGCAACTCCAAAAAATCATAAACTACAACTTATGTTGTATTGCAGGGATAATTATTTCAATATACGTTCATGTTTGTCAATAAACCCATATATATTACTAATTCCCCCCTTCCCCCAAACTCAAAAATGTCATGCTACATCACTATCGTTTTTGTTGATTTTGTATTCAGTGATTATATTATCTTGTTTTTATATTAAGAATTAATGTGGAAAGCCACGATTTTATCTCTATAATTGTAGGGAAAATTTGAAAAAAATTTTGATTCAAGTGAAACATCTTGTTTTACCAACGATCCTCATAAAAGAAAAAAACAAAATGAAGTAAAGCAAGCTGAAGGTAAGAAATGAAAATCTTGAAGATTGCTCTTATCACAGATATGCATGGTAAATATCTAGAAACTAGAAAGACTGTTAGTCTTTATATTAGCCAGGATTATTTTTATGATCAGTTGGCCGATATATCTGTGTTAAACAAGGAAATAATTCTATAATGCGGAAAGTTTTACCAAAAAGACAAACAAGCAATAAAATTGATAAAAACAATGTTCGAGGTGATCGATATAACTATTTACTGGGATGCAGGTATTTATGAGTCGCAAAGTAGACAATAAATGAGGATAGTCACTTCTATTGAGGGAACTGCTGGGGCTTAGGAAGTTTTTGAAATTTGTGGCTGTTAAATACTTACCATGTCACCACGCACAGCAATTGATCTTGTGATAAACTACTTGATGTTAGCTATTTTAATTTGGTTTTCTTCCTGCCATATGTCGGAGTGAAAGATCTGTTTATTTATTCGAAAATTTATTATCTGGCATTCATTGACATAGTAACAAAACTAGAAATAATGTATATTATCACAAGAAACACCTTTTCACTTCGCAAGAGTTAGCTATTTGGCCATTTTTTTTACTGTTTCTGATCTATTTTATTGGTAAAATTGTATGCAAAGGAGACACTGAAGAGCCTAATTCGTTTTTATTTCATTCCACCTCTAATTAAAATTCAACCATATTTTCATATTTTTTGTTATAACTTCTCGTTATTCTACTACGTATTTTTTGAAAGCCGTGTGCGAATAGAATGATAAAAAACTGCAGCAAAGTGTGAGCTAGAACGGATTCTCTTTATGTTATTTAGAATTAAATGTAAAAATCGCCTCGAAGTTTAAAAATGAGCTTCAAACAGCCCTTGATCCAAAAGAACTTGAATCGTTTGCGCGACAGATTGCTTCGGGAATGGTAAACAACTTAGCCTATGCACATATTTTTTATATTAAATTGAATTACATTAAACATGAATCATGTTTTACCCCAAACTTTATTTTATTGAATTTTTTACAAAAGGAACATGTGTCACAGCTCGGGATTGTCCACCGAGATTTGGCAGCAAGAAACATACTTCTTGGTGAAAACAAGGTGTTGAAAATATCTGATTTCGGTTTGTCACGAGAAGGTTCAACATACATCAAAAAAACGGCAGGAAAGATACCATTTCGATGGCTTTCAATTGAAGCAATCAGAGAACGTCTTTATTCAACTGCTAGTGACGTGTAAGTAATTTTTGTTGGAAATACGTTTGTAATGATATGGAAATAGAGACGAACATGGATTGTTTTTCATGTTTCAAAAAGTTTTTTAAAAAATTAAAACATAGATAGAGCAACGGAAAAGTGTTGACTAGCAAAACTTATTTATTCAGATGGGCATTTGGCATTGTTCTCTGGGAAATATGTACACTTGGTAGGTTAAAGTCATCTTTTGCATTGTTACTAGTTTTTGTGAAAAGGAAACTGTAGCATGTACAGATTTCAGTTAAACTGTGTTTGACAGGTGACATACCTTACCCAACTGTGTCTGATAAAGATCTTGAGCAATTTTTGATGAGTGGTCAAAGGTTGGACAAAGTGAATAGTTGCACCGAAGAAATGTAAGCTGCAAAGATTTGTTTGAGTCATTTACTAAAAACTAATGTTCTTTTTTGATTACAACATCACTAAAATGTATTTGTAACGTAGTAATATAGAATAATTTAAGCATGATCTATTAATATTGCTCTAATAATGATCTAATAATTTAACGTACACATACAATTGGGCACGAAGCGAAATCTTGAAGGGAAAATAAAACAAGCTTAACCCTGAAGAGCCTGGAGTATTTTATCAATTCATTCTTATTTGGATTCCTGATTGTGACTCATTTGTCACACGAAGAAAGTTGTTGTGCCCTAAAATAGACATTTTATACGTTAATAGATATACTATTATGTTGAAATGCTGGAGTCATATACCAGAAGATAGGCCATCGTTCACTGAACTTTCTAAGGAACTTTGGGATCTGGAGCACAAAGGAAATACTTACGTGAATGTTGAAAGTTTAATGAAACAATTAATGAAAGACGATCATGGTAAGAAGAATTTGTATATTTTAATTATGAGTGTTGATAGTTTGATCTTTTCACTTCATGTTGAAACAAATGCCTGAGCACAAGTTAGGACACAAAAGTTCCGTTAATTACGAAACTGCTAAGGTTGAGAATTTTGGAGTTTTATTTTGGTTTGGTAGATGAGAATACATACGCTGTTAAGTGCTGGAAGGTAGTACTTTTTATTGATGAATAAATTAATCTTTTAAAAACACGAACGCTGATTGGTCAAATGCTCGAAAAAACCGTGTTGTTATAACTAATCTCGCAGGTTGCGTGGTTTGTGCGGGAAATTTAATGGCGAAAATATAAACAGCATGCCATTTTTATCTTTTAAATATTGTTTTTCAAAGGCGTTTTTACAATTTCGTAGTCCTCGACAGGTCACAATCGATCAAAGTAAACCAATAAAATCACTCGACTATATGGTTTACAAAGATATATTGACTAACAAAAAATTCTCAAAATAATAAGTGCGTTCGTTACTGTATTATACTTTAGAATTCGTCACGCTCACATACGTCTCACTCTCTCTCAATTATCACTCCCTTTTCTTGACGTCATTTCTGATATGTCGTGCATGCTACAGACGAATAATGAGTGACGTCCTCATAAGTTTCCGACAACAAACGAAATTGAAAACACATTCACTTTTTTCTATTAAGTTATTTAAAAACTTGTGAAAGTTTGGGAGAAACGAGAAATTACTTGAAACATTCACACTTTGTGCTCGTGTTCGCCACGCATTTCTCGTTTCTCCTAAACTTTCTGCACTACCCGAGATAAGATGTAGAAAATTTTTTCTATTTCTTAATTAAAATTATAGGAAATGGCAATGGCACTGAAGAGGTAAATACATTATTCATTTTAAATAAACAATAGATTTTTATTTACAAATGTGACTTTAATGTTTCTATGCTGTGTATAATCAATCTTTCAACTATGCATAATTATATAAAATAGAAAAATAACAACAAAGATGGGGATCATTTACAGTCGGATGTTGTTGGTGAAAATACAGCCTTTGATAACCCTGGTTTTAGTTTGGGCGAAGAGAATTAGACAGAGTGTTGATTAAGGTACAAAGAATAAAATTCATATTTCCATTTGTGACAAGAGCAACTCGAGTTTTTGTCATGTTGTGCAAATAATTTGTGTTTATTTACTTTGAGGAAAAATTAATAAAAGTAAGTGTCTACAGGAAGAAACGTTTTGCTGAAAATTGACGAGAGTAAAAATTCCACCTGGCGGTCTTTTTAGAACACTTCTGATAAAATTGTAATTGAGTATGAATGAAATAACTTTTGAGGAAGTAAAAAATTTCATAAATAGTTAAAAAATACTTTTTGTAATTTGAGAAGTTAACTTTTTTATACAATGAACCTTTGATGAGTTCTCGATCGTTTATTGAATCCTTAATTGACAAGGTTATATTGCCTTTTTTAAGTCATTATAATAAATGTTTTGAGCAATTCCAATTACATTTCAAGTTATCTTATTGTAGATACGTAATTTTAAAGTATTTTAAAGTAGAACGTATACGTCTGTAACTTTACTTCGTAGAAGTACATAATTACGATAATTTGCCAATAACATTTTCTAAGAAGATGTTTGCACATTCGAAAAGCTTTCTATAAAGATATTTAAAACAGTTTTAATAAGCCACTTTTTAGCTTCAAATCACTAAAGAAAACAAATTTTATTATATTTTTGCGTAACAATGGCGGGTGTTGAGAGTCTATTTTTTTAATTAAAGAAGCGATGATAATATTTGCTTTATGTCTGGCTACTAGAACTTTCCATTTGAAGCATACTTACAACTTACAAATACATTTGCATGATTAAAAGCGGCTTAAATACACCACTTTGAATGTTTTAAAAACTTGTTTCAAAAAATTTGTAATGTCAACAAAAGGCATGTGAGTTTTATTCTGTTTATTTTACATGGTTTTTATCTTATAGTATTCAACTATATTCATCAAGCAATTCTGTTAATTCTAATGAATGCATTTTAACAGATGGTACATTTTGGGACATCTGTTAAACATATTGTTTATTTACAAACATCATACCGATTTTTCATTAAGGATTTCTGCGAATTACATTACACATCCTACTATCTATATGAAAAAATCCAGTTACAGTTTAGACTCTCTGTCTTTTCATGTTGTTGACTTTTCAAGGTTATTATTGTTGAGTTAAATTAGATTAAAAAAACATAATTTTAATCCTTGATAAAATTTTTCATCAACATAAACTTTTTATTCTAAATATTTCGTCTTCACATGCATGATAGCCGCATTGTTTAACTTTTTAAGTCACTAACACGTAAAGGCAAACAATGCCTTGATGATGTTGCGCACACTGTTTGAGCTTGAGCATCTTCTTTGTTTTGTTATAAGATCTCTTCAATGTTCAAACATTGATAAGCCATACAAATTTATGCGTATAATATTACACAAGAATGCAATAAGCATTCGCTGTTGAGGACTGTACCCGCTCAATAAGGTCATATTTTTAAAAACCACCGCTTTTGCTGTCCACACTTAGAAAAGCACTTTGCATGGAGTACGTTTAGAAAGACGTTTGCTTGTTTACGAGTTGAAATTGTGTATATGGAAATTGACACGAAATTGGTTGTGTTGAAGTTTAGACAGTTTTAAAAGCGTTTTCAGTCTTAATAAAGGATCAGTTTACATTGTCTTATTGCTTCATATCTCTGGCAGGTGAACGTTCAATGACTGAGGAAATCGTACCACGATCAAAAAAGAAATGAACTTTTTCTTTGTCAACTATATTTTATATTGTTCCCTCGAGTAAGGGATGCCAGGCAACTGCTATTTTTCCTTCACATCTTTTGGTATCAAATGTCGTTAACATTCGTAGACATATTAATAAGAGGAACAGAGTCAACAGACATTTGTTTGGATCGATTATAAAATGAATTTTATCTTCATCTTTGGGACTTTTTGTTTGCTTCTTTCGACTTTTTGTGATACACTAGTTTTGAATACAGAAAAATGCGTTGATCATTGTCAAGAGGTATGATATGAATAACGAATATTTTTAATTGAAAAAGGTTAAAAGATATTTCAGTATGGATTATCATTTGTTTTCATCTAATGATTCACGAGAAGCGAATTCATAAAATTGGCGTCGTTTCCATATGCGTGAGATTATGAGATACAAGAGTTACAGTTGTAGCATAGCTTTGAAGAACAACAAAAATGAACAATAAGCAGCCATAAAATATTTAAACCAGCTAACTTTAATGCTGACACATTTCAGTGTCGCGTCTAAGCCCATCATGATAGTATTTTGGAAAAGTTTAAATAGGTTGTTGTCAAGCTAGTTAAACAAAACATTAAAGTATAAAGTTTAAAATAGGGTGATATTATAAACCATCACAAAAAAATCCCCGTCCAAAAACTCGGTTTTTGTATATTGTTTAACCATGCATGGCCGTTAATGTTTGTAAAGGAATGTGCAGATTACTGGTTTCGTGTCGGTCAAATTTACTCGTCAATACGTTCATACATAACAGAAAGATGATAACCATACTTCTGTGGATACTGGAACAACTTATCTTATATGAATACCATTTGAATCTTTTGATGTTATATCTTTATTGTTATTTAGCGTGTATTTGCAGTGCATTTTTTAAATTATTCTGCAGGAAACTGTTCCTAACTATCGCTACAAAAAGCTATGTAAAACTATATGTGAACAATCTATCCTAAATAAGACCTTAGGCGAAGGTAAGCATTATATTACCATTCCATTATAATTATTTGAGCCTGAGAGAAAATCAAATTATGATTTTCACTATGATGATTTGAGCGTTGTATTAGTAGCTACGAAAGGCTTTAAAGTGCAAATGAAACAAACCATCCTAGCATATTTTGATTTCCGCTTGGGTTGAGTAGGAAAAAAGGAATTTGACAAAATTGTATTTCTATGCATGCTTTAATTGTACTTTAAAGTTGAGAACTATTTAGCAAACATTTCTTTTGCTACAGATTAAACTATAATTAACTTCATACTTTCCTGGTTGTATAATGACACCCGAAACGAAGAATGATTTTCTGCGCTTTTCGTAACTTTAGAATTATTTTCACATGTTTGAAATGTTTATGAAGAGCTCAATCGGTGATATAATTCTCCATAAAGATCTTGTGCTGGGTTTTCAAGAATAAGCATTCATAAGTTTACGAGTTAACTATAAATATACGTCATCCCTCTTTTTTAGAAAACATCCTACGAAATTTGTCGACGCCTATTGCTCCTAAAATTATTGGAATTGATGATAGGACTGTACGCTTGAATTTCTTCACAGCTGCGCTTAAAGATATTTCGGAGTTGAAGTATATCGTGGAAATAAACCGAATCAGGAATCTTAGTGAAAAAGATGGGTTTTTTATTGTGTATCCATTCAAGCCGACGTTTCGTATTGTAAGTTCAAATAACTTAACATCTCTTTATAACTTAACATCTCATGTTCAATAGGTAAAATCCTTAAAAATAAATATCAACGTCATGTAGTGAAGACAAAAATTGTGTTCTGCTTCAAATATTGATTTATAAACTATGTGATGCCCTGTGAAATCCAATAGTGTTGTTTTCAAACATAATCGTTAGCTATATCACAACTTCCGAATGCGTAAAAATGATCTATTTGACGGTTGTCTATGCTTCATATTGTAATTTGAATTCATTCAGACCAATAAAACCGATTACTCATTTACGGATCTTGAACCAAATGCACAATATAAGTTTCGTGTGGTCGCTCTTCGTTTAAATGGAACAGAACGTTCAGAATTCAGTCAATGGAGCAATATTACGACAACAAAAAGTAAGTATGGAGCAATATTACGACAACAAAAAGTAAGTATGGAGCAATATTACGACAACAAAAAGTAAGTTAGTTTCTTCATATTTAACTTTGCCATATACCGTATATAAGCAACTTATAATGAATTCTTTTGCTATCATTCATTCATTCATTATCTTGAAAAGTTTTTACTGTTGTGTGAGAAATTTGAGCTTGTTATGAAAATGGGCGAGGAATAGTTTACAAACATTAATTTATACGCAATGCATTTATAGAAAAGAAGATGTAACTAATGGCTTAAATTTTTTTTGTCGGTTTGACGTACATGCAATTTGATTGGCTGGTAAAGAGACACGATTGTTCTGTATTGCAAACGGTCAAAGATGCAATACCATGTTTTGAAAACATTTGATTTTCCCTTGAAAAGAATGTTTTTTTTGTCTTTTTTAACCAAACGTTTATAAACTTGTATATACTAACTTGTCAGAATATTTCAGCAGAAAAAATTAAATTCATCATTGCAAATGTTTTAAGGTTGCACTACATCTTCTTGTGGTGTCAGCAATATGAGACTACATGTTACACCTCGTTTCCCCGGCCATGGAATGAAGGATTTGAAATCATTTTTGTTTTGGGATCCTACCAAATGTAAGTCTTCAATATATGTGGTAGTTTTGTAAACTTGTGCAGGAAAACGTGCTAAACTCATGTAAGTATAACAATGGACTTAATTATTCATAACTTCCTAAATGACATGAATTTCTTTTTGAATAGATGAATTTTTTAAAATGTATAAATTTCAGTATACGATGAACATCTCGATAAAGATGCAGAACTTGTAGGACAATGTCTGTCTGATGGCTTGTGTCGCAGTAAATTTCAACCTGATCATAGAGAACATACAAAATCATCTACATATAAGGTAAGACATTAAATTTATATTCAATATCTGGTCATAAATTATAAACAAAAATCATGGTCTAAACACTTAAAACAGCACAAATACATCAATATTCAGTTCATTGCAAAGACTTTAAGTTTCGATAATTTAGATAGTATAGAAAAGCATGATTAACAGAGTTATTAGATGACAGATTGACTCATTGATTACCAATTACGGGGCCTTTAGGCTAAGATAAAGTTGTTGGACTTTAAGTCGGATATCTATTCTTCCCACTAAGTTCGGTCTCTTGATGACATTTGCGTTTCTTAGGCTCCTTTGATCTGCATTTCCCAGAGCTTGTTTTTGTAACTCATAGTATCAACAATAAGGAATAAATTTAAAGTTCAAACAGGGAAAACCTAATATTTCATGAGTTCTGAGCGTCGTGCATTTAAACAGTAGATCATACGGTTTTTAACACCATAAATAGACTAAATTAACATCATTGAACCAGTCTGGAATGGCAAAAACTAAAAACTAATTATATCTAGATCCAACACGCCTCTCAAAAGCCTGAGCCTGTAGGCTTAAGTCTGTCACTGAGTATATATATGATATATTGAATGACGTCATCTGGTTGCGAGTTAATCTATAGCAACGAATGAAATCAAGGGATTTATGACGACATTGCTTTAATTAACAAGCCCAAGATATTCCGAGAAGTTTTACAATGGCACTTTGTTAAAGTTTGCTTCAGTCCTGAAATTGAAACATTTAAATAATCGTGTCATGAGATCTTTTGATATTTTTTTCAGAACTTCTTTAATGATAGTACATTTTTCAACATTTCCACATTTGCATCAAAGGCAAGCGTCTTTTTTGATTGCTGGTACAATTTTACGGTAAGTGAATAAATCTAGCGATGTTTAGGATATTAAACCATAAAAAATACTCAAAAAAAATCTGGCAATTCTTTCATTAATTTGTGCTTAACTTTATCGGGTTTTATAGAATACGCTTTTGCATAGCTGTAAAATAAAACGTAAAACTTTGTCTAACGAATGTTCATGTTCTTGAATTCTAAGGCAATCCAATGTACGACTGTTGATATTTAAATTTTTCTTTTTCCAAGATTTATGTAGTCAAATCAAAATCTTTTTGGGGGGTCAAGACGCACGCTAGCCGAAGTTGGATATTTCACGTACCAGGTATGCTTAAATCTTTTCCATAATTGTAACATAAGTACAAACTGGATAACAAAATTGTTTTACTGTAAATTTAGAGAAATTAAAATGGGTTTTGTATAAAGTTTTCTTTTGAGAGTGTTAGGCAATAGGCTACTCGTTTACACTATGCTCCGTTTTCGTTCGACCGCGTTCAGAAAGTGTGATCGTTTTGCTTCAGAAATTGATCTTTAGCAGTGTAAACGATGTCTCAATGCATGCATAAATTCATCTTCTATGGAACATGCGCAAAACATACTTTAATTTCTTTCTTGTTTAGTACAAGTGCGTACAACGTCACACTACAACCTTACCAGTATTCTATTCTGACTTTTTTTTACTTTAGATTGTATTAAAGTTGACAAATTGAGCACTTGTGGATGTTCTTGTAAGATTGCCCAAATGTTTAAACTACCTAGAAGTTTAGTTCCCGTTTTTCTATTTTTTCAACATCTCTTTACGCTAGTGAATGAGCTACAGGCCTCCATACAGTAAATTGTGCCATCACGTCAGTGTTGGCGGTCCAGCTTATATATTTGATCATTGGATGAACATGTGATGAAAGTTTATGATGTCATTGCTTAGATTTTATACGTCCACCGGAGAAAAATCATGAATCACTATACGTGGACGTATTATCATCAAATAACAAAACATCGGTGGCACGAGTAAACTGGAAGAAGCAAATATGGCAAGAAGATATTATTATGTTCCAAGTTGAGATGGTGGATAGGGACAGTAAATTTTATAAGTCCTTTGTTAAGACTGTCAAAGTTAAAACTGAAGTAAGTTGAAAAATCTTTGTTTATGTTTGTTAAAGATAATTGAATTTGAAAAAGCAAAGATATAGAAACTTGATCAAACTTTGTTTTCTTCCTAGTCTGACAAATACAGTGTAAATTTTACAAATCTTCTCACAAGGAATGAATATGATGCTAGGGTATGTTGTAATATGTATAGATATACATATTTTTCTGATATAGTCTTTGTACTGACTAAGGAAGATCGATTTTACAGACTTAATGATTGTTTTCATGATCTCTTTTTCTATAGAAATTATCACCATAAGTTATCTGCCTACACTCTCATCCCCATGTATCATATTTTGTTATTTCTCGCGTAAAATTTTGATGCCTGTCATCTGAAAGCACAATCACATTAACACTCACTGACTGCGATACAGAAATCACGCTCCCACTAATCAGTTGCAAAGTCATTTCTCCATCGATTGTAAGATTTTTGCTAAAATATTCAAAATCAAGCAATCATTACAGTGAAAATTATGTCTTCAAATACCTATGAAGGGTTTTTATGCCCAAATGAGTGAGTGTGAGCGACCCTTTATAATACAGGCGTTATAGAAATACAATTACGTGTCTACGAGTTTGTACAAGGCAAAAATAAAGTTTTCACGGGGAGTGCAGTGTTGTTTTTTTTTTGTGTGGGCTCCTGTGAAAACATTCATTAGACTGATTAGAGACTCCTGCTGTTCAGATTTTGGTGTTATATCAGATGTTCAGATTACACTTCTAAGATAACAAGTTGTTTAAACCCTTGTAATTGTATGGATGCTGTATGTTTTAGAAAGTTAATTTGCCTTTTTGTAATTTCTTACCATCTTTTCTACTTTTGTTCTTTTGTCGTAGTTGACTGCAATACATTCTCATCATTGTCATCACAAAGAACGCTACATTTTCAAATTTACTGGTAAATACATCAATGATAATCTGAACAAAATATCAATATCGTATTCACACGCAATTATTTTTCTATAGCATTGGCAGTTTGTCAATGGAACATGTCGAACAACTGCAGGAACAACAGCAAATGTAAACAAATTCCGGGGACAATTAAGTACAATTGTCCTTGTAATGATGGGTTCTTTGAATTCAATCAAACATGCAGTAAGTTCATATCATTTGATTATTAAGTTTGAAGTTACCTCTACCATCAAACACTGCACTGTCAGATGAGTTGTGTGACCAAAGCAGAAATCGTAGGCTGATAACACAAAGGAAATAATTGTCAATATTAAACAATTATTGGATTAGGTTGAGCATGATGTCAAGAATTATTCAGACGTCTGTCGGTTTCTCTGTTTCAGCCATCCAATAATTGTTTTATTATTCACTTCAACTAACTGAAATATTAATAAAAGATATTAACATTTTTAAAACCTTTGCTAATTGTACTTGTTAGACGGTTTATTTCGCCGCCTTTTTAATGTTTTCCGGATCCTTTATGTTTAAAAGCTTTCACATCGTTTTTAGAAATGGTGGCAAACATCGCTGTTGTTTAATTTTTTTCAAAACTGGCTTTTAATGGCGTCAATAATTGTCGAAACTATTATTTGTAGATATGACGTCATACCTACAGATGTCAAGAATCATTTGTAAATATGACGTCATAATTACAGATATCGAGAATTATATGCTAGTAGTTGGCCAACCAAAATCGACATTGCTTGCATACTGAATAATAAAAATTATTAACAGCAATTTGCATTGCCTTGCGAAAATATCAATTTGTTTTGTCTGTACGTTCCTTTTAATTGTATAACTGAAAGTCCTTATCATTTATACTTGCAACAAATGTAAAATTAACACCCTTAGTGTGATATTCGATTATAGCATGTTAAAATTATTTCTGCAACTAAAACGAACAAAACTCCTTAGAAAGCAAGTTATTACAATTACTTGCTCCATGGTTCATAATGACAACTTTTATTTCTTTTTCGCCAAACATTGTAAAGTAGATCCTATAAGGACGCAGTAGTAAGCAGAAGTATTGACTAACTCGTTTATAAACTTCATTACTCTTTCTCTAATACACATTGTTATCAATATTGCGACAGATTTACTCAGACAAACTTAAGTATGTCATGGATTATAAGTACGGTATATTGAGGGAAACATTCACTTTTCTATCTGATTAATTGTAAATCAAAAACTCGTGGGGTCTGCATGAATATCATTTGATTCAATGTTTCTATTCCACCACTTTCCAAAAAAGTTTACTGCATGAATTTTTGTGGCAAGAATGTTTAACTGGTTAGTTTCTCTGCTAGTTTGAGCAACATTCAACTTAATGAAAATTATTTATGTTTAGCTCCTGAAAATGTGACAGAAATCAAAGAGAAAAAAGACAAGAAAGGTTTCCTTCTGCTTAATAATTTAGATATCAGATTTTTCCTTCATACTTTCCCTAGCATATTTAAATAATTACTTATTACAATTTTATAATAATCGTAATATGAGTGATAACTACAGCCAAATAACAATGGTATAAGTGTTTGATTGCTTTTTTAGAAACAAAAGATAGTAGAATTTTAGCAATAGTTGCTGGAATTGTTCCTGCAGTGATTGTTATCATCGTCCTATTTGTCGCAATTATAATTTGGTTGCGTTATTTTCATAAAAAGAGAATGAATTTTATGGCAAGAGAATTTGATATTGCGCTGGGAACAAATGTTGGTGGAACCTTAACTAATCCATATGATTTACAGCATCCGTAAGTTTCTTGACAATATCACGTTTAGCCTTAAAACATTTTTGTTGTAAAAATATACAGCTTTAGCCAAAACGAAACAATTATATGCTATTAAAGCAAAAAGTGCTTTTGTCTATTGTATTTCATTAGAATGGTCGTCGCTTTACCAGAGCAGAATGGAAAAGAGATCAATTTGTTGTATATGATGAAAGAAGGTCTTGAAATGCCCGAAAATTTGAGGGTTTCGTTGAGGTTGTTAGAATTGCCAGGTGAACGTATTCGACGTAGAGAAATGATAGGTCGTGGAGCATTTGGTGAAGTTTATCTTGGTGAAGCTGAAGGAGTTAATGATTCTCCTGGATGGACCACTGTTGCTATCAAAACTCTTACAGGTTTGGAATACATATTAATATTTACAATCAAGAACTCTACCTTTTTTAAATATAATTATAGATTCATTATACACAGCAAGGTTTGAACAAAAAAATATCCTATCTCTAGCTACATGCTTTACTATGTTTGATGTTATTTACAGTTGCAGTCCATAAGGACGATGTACACGATTTTATGCGTGAAATTGAGCTCATGGCGGATATTGGAAAGCATAAAAACGTTATTCAGATGTTTGGTTGTTGCATAAAGTCTCGTCCTATATGTCTGGTTCTTGAATATGCACCAGGAGGGAATCTTGTTAATTATCTTCGAGCTCTTAAGAAAAAGGTAAAAAACGTGCAACGTTAAAGGGCCTATATCAGGGTCATAAAAAAGACTTCTTTATAGGGTTGAATTGATTTTGAGAACGTTTCCAATATATTTGACTCGTCGAAAATTTTATCTTCATGTGGTTTTTGGGACCAGACCTAGATGACTTTGCGCAGGAAGTTACGTAAAAGGAGAAAATACAGTTCTATTTTTTTAAGCGTTTTCTTTTTTATTCGTTCAAATGATGTCGTCAAGCTATACACCTATGAAGCATCGTAAATTAGTAATTAATGCTATTTTTTAACAGGATTTACTATAACAGTTTTATTCATTGTAATGAAAGCTGTATCGTTAATGTATTTGTTCTCCTTTTTACGTCACTTCCGGTGCAGAATCACCTACTTCTGGGCCAAACAAACTCATGTAAGGAAAATTTTGGACGTATCAAATTTTATTGCTAATTTTCTTGAAATCAACTTAACTATACAAAGAAGTTATCTTCCTAAGCCAGATATAGGCACTTTAATATCAACCATTGTCTTATTTACCACTACCTTCGTTTCACCTGCTCTTTAAAACACGATGCAGTACACCCTTGACACAAAACTTTCCATTCTGTAAAATTGTATCGGAAAGACTGAGCTATACCGTGCTACCGTCCTCTATTTTATGACCTAAACCTGAATTAGTTTACATCACATTTTTTAGTGCAAAGAAATCGCTGCAGCACAAGTTTATGCATTTATGGAAGCAGAAAAGGTTTGTTGAAATCAGTTAATAGGATTTTAATAGGTTTTAATCGGGGAGGTTACATTTCCATAAACTGTATTTATGTATCGATATGTCACGTGTTTAGTTGTAAAACTGCCAGTGAACTAAATATATATAACTGGAATTATATCATAAATACACAAACATGCCTGTATAGTTGCATCAAATCACGCATTCCAGCTTGTCGGAAATGAACTTTCTTTGTGCCATGCGTGGGGAGATTGGGACTCGTTGAATGGCTGGCTTCAAATTTTGGCGGGAAGTAGCATTCCAGTTATGTTCAGTTCAGTGAAAAACTAGAAATTTTACCCCCATTTTCTATCAAAAATGTCAAGCTGCGTCATGCTAACTTCATGGCTTATATTAATTTTCTTGTATTCAGTGATTAATTTGTGCTGTTTTTACATTAAAAATTGAACATACTTAAGCCACAATTATCTCTCATTATAGCAGAAATTTGAGAAATTTTTTGATCCTGGTGAAATGCCTTCTTTTACCGACGATCTTTATAATAAAACAAAAGGAAATGAAGTAAAGCAAGCTGAAGGTATTCAATAGAAGTCTTGTTCTTGTGTTATGCTAGTAAACATTTTGAATTTTAAAATACAAACAACAAAACGCAAGAGAGGATCGGTCTTAAACTGTGTTTGCATTAGCTTGTGCAAAACGATTTGAGATCAACCATCAAATCAATCAATCAATCAATCAATCGAAGAGAATTCGCAAATTAATCAGGAATATATTTTAAAAGACAAATGAAAACGTTTACTTTAAATTTGTCTGTTTCGCATTAGTGTTATTTTATAAAAGAAATAAAAGATGTTTTTGATGTTTGCACTCTTGAGCAGGTGCACTGATCAGCTCTCGAGTTCTCCCAAAGGTCTCCTCGGTTTGCATATATGCCTGTGCAAACACAATAAACATTTTTCATTTCTCAAACCTTAAAGAAAACCCTTACCCAAAGGCTAGTTATTATTCCAATTGCTACATTGGTATTAAAATATATTTTGCAATATATAAGATGAAATCATTTCATAGACTTGAATTAAAGTAAAAGTAATTTTCCAAGAAAAGATAAATAGATGCTAACCGTTACCCAATAAAATTCAAAAAAGTGACTATCGATAGTTGTTTGATGTGGTGAGAAGCCACGAAATGATAAAAATGAGGGTACTTTTTATAAGGAAACTAACTGTTGGCAAATGATTTCGACCTTATAAAACATTTAAAAACACAAAACTAGAAAAACATGTGTACACGTCACGAAACGTACTCCACTTTCTTACTACTTGAAGATTTGTACGCAATTGTTATTTGTACAAGAAAGCAACAAAAGAGGCTAATTTTTTATCTAACTATCTGCTCGTTTCACTATTTTTAAATTGATTTTCAAACTACTAAAAACTTTCAGCTTTTCTAGTCAGTGTGTGAAATTCCGTATGCAAACAACGTCATGAAAAATTGTACCAAGCGGAAGCTTCTTACTAAAAGAGATTATCTACCATTTGTCTTTATGTTCTTTAGCAATAAATGTAGAAATTGCTTCAAGGATTAAAAACGAGCTTCGGGCTGCTCTTGATCCAAAAGAACTTGAATCGTTTGCGCGACAGATTGCTTCGGGAATGGTAAACAACCTAGCCCATGCACATATTTTTTATATTAAATTGAATTACATTAAACATGAATCATGTTTTACCCCAAACTTTATTTTATTTAATTTTTTACAAAAGGAACATGTGTCACAGCTCGGAATTGTCCACCGAGATTTGGCAGCAAGAAACATACTTCTTGGTGAAAACAAGGTGTTGAAAATATCTGATTTCGGTTTGTCACGAGAAGGTTCAACATACATCAAAAAAACGGCAGGAAAGATACCATTTCGATGGCTTTCAATTGAAGCAATCAGAGAACGTCTTTATTCAACTGCTAGTGACGTGTAAGTAATTTTTGTGGTAATGACATTTGTAATGATATAGAAATAGAGACGAACATGTATTGTTTTTCATGTCTCAAAAAGTTTTTTAAAAAATTAAAACATAGATAGAGCAACGGAAAAGTGTTGACTAACAAAACTTATTTATTCAGATGGGCATTTGGCATTGTTCTCTGGGAAATATGTACACTTGGTAGGTTAAAGTCATCTATTGCATTGTTACTAGTTTTTGTGAAAAGGAAACTGTAGCATGTACAGATTTCAGTTAAACTGTGTTTGACAGGTGACATACCTTACCCAACTGTGTCTGATAAAGATCTTGAACAATTTTTGATGAGTGGCCAAAGATTGGACAAAGTGAATAGTTGCACCGACGAAATGTAAGCTGTAAAGCATTTGTTTTAAATATATAAAGTTGAAACCAGGCAAGAAAGTGGTAGTATAGTAAAGTTTTCATGAAGTAATCTAACTTTTATGCCCAAGTCGTTTTGGGGAATTTTGTGAAAGAGTTATGCAATCCTCTTCAATAAACATTTTATACCTTAATAGATATACTATTATGTTGAAATGCTGGAGTCATGTACCAGAAGATAGGCCATCGTTCACTGAACTTTCTAAGGAACTTTGGGATCTGGAGCACAAAGGAAATACTTACGTAAATGTTGAAAGTTTAATGAAACAATCAATGGAAGACGATCATGGTAAGAAGAATTTGTACATTTTAATTATGATTGTTGGGAGTTTGTTCTTTTCATTTTCAAGTTAAAATCTAAGCTTTAAAAACTGCACAACATTGAACAAAAAAATTCTGGTAACTTACCGAAGTTAAGCAGCATTATCTGAAGCTTTTTCTTTATTTTTCTGTGTGTTTTTTGTTTGGGATATGAGGATACATATATTTCCAAGTGCTAAAATGTATTTTACTGATATATTTAAATTAAAATTATAGGAAACGGAAACGGCGTTGACAAGGTAAATTCAATGTTTATTCTAAATAAGCAATACTTTTTTATTTACAAATGTGACTTTGATGTTTCTATACTGTGTATAGTCAATCTTTCAACTATGCATAATTATATAAAATAGAAAAATAACAACAAAGATGGGGATCCTTTACAGTCGGATGTTGCTGGTGAAAATACAGCCTTTGATAACCCTGGTTTTAGTTTGGGCGAAGAGGATTTGACAAACTGTTGATTAAGGTACAAAGAATAAAATTCACATCTCTTTTTGTCATGTTATGCAAATATTTTAGTGTTTATTCACTCAAGAAAAACGTATTGAGAGTAAAAGAAATAAATCAGTTTTGCGGGCAGTTTACATGAATACAAATTTGACCTGGCTTTTCGATAGAATGCGTCTGATAAAATTGTGAATAAGCAATAAATCTTTTTATTTGAAATGGAAAATTGTACGAAATACACTACACACTCACTTTATACTGTAGAGGACATATGTTTGCCAAAATGTGTCTGCAATTAAATTAAAATCATCTTTTTTAACAGCTATAGTGATTGTTACATTTTTTTCTTATTTAATTGTAGCACAATCCTGTCCTGAAAAAAATAAATACGTATGAAGGTAAAAATAAATGGAAAATTTTAGATAGACGAAAGGAATGGAAGTTAGGACTGGTATGCGTTGCAAAATCGTGAAAAAAACGGCCTTTCATATGGTTCATAAACTACGAAATTAATATTAATCATGAAAGAATTCAGTTGACCGTTTTCAAAGCTTTACATAATTTGATTTTAAAAAGAAATAATTTTGGAGAAAGTATTATTTCGTAATTTGTAACCTTTATTCAACAGCACGATGAATAGTTGAAAAATTTTCCTTTATTAGCTAAGCGTTGAATTGACAAGGTTACATTTCCCGCTTCAAAATTATTACAATAAATGTTAAACAAAAGATTAAACACATTTCTAATCATATTTCAGTTATCGTATAGTAAACATGTAATTTTTTAAGTATTTTAAAGTAAAACGTATAAATTCGTCCGTAACTTTAGCTACTTCGTAGAAGTACATGATTACAATTATTTGCCAATAACATTTTCTAAGAAGATGTTTCCACATAATTTCCAGGAAAAAGACCAGTCATGCCATTCATAACACCTTCGTACCAACCATCTTCGTTCTTTTTGAGTACATAAATAATTTCTCCTTCTTTAAAGGAAAGTTCATCCTCCCGCGTTGCTTCGTACTCGTAAATACTTATCACTTAAGTAAAAGAAAAAAAGAAAACGATGTTTACTTTATTTTCACCATTTAATATAGAGGAAGACAGTGCGAAACAAAACAAAACTTATTCCTAAAACGGTTATGTTGAGAGTAAAACATGAGAAACGGAAGGGTTAGGGTAGCGACGAATACATGTCAAGTTAGGGTTGGGAAGTGTAAGTACTAATAAAAAATGAGTTACTGCGCGCACTGACTACTTTCAGACAAAGTGCACCATATCAACAATAATGTTAAAAGTAAAAACCATGAAAGTTAAGGCTTTAAAAAGTGAACAAAAAAATATCGCCAAACTACATTTGATAAAAACTGACAAAGCAACAAATTGTTGAAAATTCAATACCAAATAAAACATTAATACAAGAATCTTTATGAATGCATTTCATTACCTTTTTCCTCATAAGTCTCCGGAATCCACAAGGAAGGGAAGCTATAAGTTTCATCATTCAGCTCAGGTGGTGGTGGAGGCAGTGGACTAAATTGACCTAGAATTAACATATAGTTAACTTTTATACAGGTGAATACAATATAATTAATGACTTATGTATGCAATATTTTACTTTATTACATAGATTTCTAGATATTAACCAAGAATTTACATCTACATGATATTTTACAAGTGAATACAATGAAATTTTCAGATTTTACTTTGTTCTAGTAATCATTCGAAATAACAATGTTTTTTCTTAAACACACAATGTACTCTTTAATGGATAACGAATTACACATGAAAAATTCCTTGTTTAAAATGTTTAATGATTCATGCTGTTTTATAGCCCACAGTTAAAAGAAACATGACAGATAATATCATGGTAAAATCAAACCTGAGCTATTTTCTTCTCCAGTAATAGCACTAGGAGGTCGTGGAAGGCAATCTGAAAATATTACAAAAATAAATACTAAATCTAAAGAATGATAATCATTCTAAAAAGGAGAGTTGGACCGAAAAAGCAGAAACTCAAAGTTCAACAGCAATCTTGCTAGTATGTACCTAACCCTAACCCTATCCCTCATTCCCAAACCAATCTCAGTCTTCATTGTACATGATCATAAACCTTTCTTAACACATGTTCATTTGTTTCAATACACTTCATGTACCTGGGGATGAAGATTGGTTGCCATCAGCCCCTGGTGACATTGTTCCATCATCAGTTGGCAAGTTGGGAATCGGAGGTGGTGGAAGCAAATCTTTAGGAGATCCAGTTATAGGAGGTGGAGGTGGAGCTACGACTGGGTGCATAGAATATGAAGGTGGGGGGCCAATTGGGGGCATAGGAGGTGGAGGTGGCGATCCAATTGGGGGCATTGGAGGTGGAGGTGGCGATCCAATTGGTGCTTTACTCACTTCATGTTGATTACTTGGAATTTTTGGAATTTCAGGGGGTGGTGGTGGCGCACTTGGAGGAGCTTGGTTCCGGGTTCGAACTCTGAGGTTACCAGTAGTAACTGCTTTGGGTGCAACCACAGGTGTTGGTGTTGTGGGTGTAGATGATGCTGAGTTGTGACTACGAATTGATGGTGTACGTTTATTTTCATTAACATTTGTCTTAAGTCCATGCCCTAAAGAAACAGAAAAATATGAAAACTTTCTCTGCTTACCTACATCTATTTACAAATTTATGCACAAGCAATAATTTAATAAATGCAAATACGTAATTACCAATACTATCCAATGAATTGTAATCGATGGGTTGTCTTTCATAGCGTTTTGGTTGCTCTCTTTGTGGAGGAGCAATAATTTTATGACCTCTGGAAGTATTTTTACTAGATGCCAAAACTCCAATCTCACGTCTAGCAACCTTTTCTTTGTGCACTTGAACAACCTTCAATAAAGCAACGAAGATTTCTACTATAGTCGAATTTTGGCTTGTTTTCTGGTCAAAAATACACAACCCTTTTAGCACACTTACTCATTACAACATCACATTTTGTACTTATTGTGTTAGTTTACGTTATTATTAAGAATTAGATCAAGTTATAACTGCCAGAACAAAATATCAATACGCCCTTCGAAAATTGTGAATTCAGTTATCGCTAGCAATTATGAAACCGTAGAAGATACGTACGTTGGAAATGTAGCTGATATCTGAATTCATCTGGTTAAATTGACTAGCCTGATTGTCAAGCAAGTCGAGAACACTAGCAGCCAAGGCATGAATCTGATAAGCTACACTGGCCAAAGATTGTGTCGCGTACTGTTTTGTTTCAGTAAAAACAGCTCGAGTTTCTTCCAATGCTTTTTTCTTGTCATTTGCTTTGTACGTGTTATTCACAGAAACGTACTGCCGTTCACAATAATCGGCTATTTCAGCAAGATTTTTATGACTATCTTGAAGTGCTTTCTTTCCGCTAGGTATATTTTCTTCTATAATTGTTGTGATACTTCTACGCACTCCCTCCATATTCGATTTTCTTTGCTAAAAATATTTCATTACCGGGGGGAGGGGCGGGTAGAGTAGTTTTGGTCCTTTCACGAACTTTCCAAAATTCTTTCAAAATAGAAAGTATCACGTTCGATAATACAAAAAAATCGCAAATGCTCAATGTTCGATGACAGAAATAAGAAGGCTATTTGTGTTATCGTGATCCATAATGGGTTTAGAAGACGGCAAATTAAATGGGGTATATGACTTGAAAGTAATGATTCTTTTTTCACTATATATGGTATGGACAATTTCACTTCAACTTATTGATTCTAACAACTAATTCGTAACAACAAACGAAAAAACGCCAAAACTCTCCGAAACGTTAATTAGTAAAATGCAAAGGCCTAGCAAGATCAGTGCTGCCACTCGTATGGGAGGGAAATTTAGTGGTTTGTAGGTGGTAGGGGAAACCTACGCGGAAAACTGTAAATTGTAGGGGGATTGTAGGGAGAAAAGAAAATCGTTTAAAAATGAGCCTCATTTTTGCCCAAAATACTCTTTTCTTCCTGTGTTCTCACCATTTAGCAAGTGATTGTAACAGAATCTTTCTTTTGGTACATTTTGTGACCATATACGGAATAGAAGATCAGCAACTTAGCATAAACTCAGTGTGTCATTTGCGCCACCTGCATGTCATTACTCCCTACGCCAAATTACTAACTTTGTCGTCTAGATGTTCTTAGTTTTCAATTAACCCTTTTTTGAATGCATTTTTTAAAAACAGACTAAAAATTCAATGGTCTGACCCGACGTAGGTATATAATAGGGGGATATGTTGCTGTGTAGGGGAAAAGTAGGGGAAAACAAGGAAAATAATCTTAGGCGGAGGTAGGGAGAAAATAGAATTTTGGTAGGTGAAATATGCATACACAGAGTGGCAGCACCGAGCAAGATGGCGAAGATTACATGCCAATAACTTGTACTCTTGTCATTGTACAATTGTATTTTTAACGAAGAGCAGAAAAATCATCTTTGTTGTATTATAGGGCGATTAGTCCGTGAGATTTGAATAATGCTGTTATAGTAGATAATAATGGGTGCTATTTTGAAACGATGGAGAGTAAGTTGATGAACTAGATTGAACTCATTGAAGATTTGAAGTTTGAACCAGATTGACAGATTTCAACTGGACGAACCCATTTATTTTTTCTTGTTTTTATGATACTGTTGTTCTTAGTCAAATGGAATGTTCTTTCTAAATAATTTTTTTAGCGTGAAGAACGTCCAGAGGAAGTTTTGGAAATGTTGCAAAAGGTATTAAAAATTAAGCAGAAACTTCGAGCATTTTGTTTTAGCGATGCACGAGTTAAAACTCCCTTAAACGATCTGTTCAGTATAAAAATGATAATATTGCCACCTGGTTTAAAGTACTGAGCTACAAATACGCTGATTGTAAGAAATTATAAAACTTAATATTTAGAACAAAAACTCTCAACGTTTGTCTAGCAATGTTTAAATCATATGTACTTTTATTGTCTTTCTGTATCTCCATCCATTATGACATAGCAAAACCTAGCTTCTTGTAGCTTCTTCTAACACCATTTCCTATGTTTTCTTTCAATTTTAGCAACTAAAAGAACTCGAGACTGCATGCCAAAAAAATGAACAATTTTACCAAAAATTGATTGGTCGTCTCATGCTATATTCAATAGTTATGTACATCATCACAGCAATGGTTGTGTATTTTTACTATTTTCCAAAATATTGGAAAGCAAGGATTGTCAGGTCCTTACCACTATTGGCTTTTCCATTCATGTAAGCAAGTATAGTTTATTCTAAAATAGTGATTTCAACTAAAATCTGGCAAAACTAACTGTTATGCAAATCAATTTTCACCTCAAAATAATATTCCTATTTAATAGTAAACTATTTATCGTTTCAAGTCTGTTGTATAATTTGTTAGTTTTGTCCAGTGACCTGACTGTTATCAAGTTCATCTTTTTTACCCCTAAGTTCATGAGCAATTCCCATGCCTTAATTCAGGGGGGAGGTTATAGGGTCACCATGGGCCTGGCAGTTATAAGGAGGGAGAGAGGTTATGGGGGTCGCCATGGGTCATGCAGTTATAAGGAGGGAGAGAGGTTATGGGGGTCGCCATGGGTCATGCAGTTGTAAGGAGGGGAGGGAGATTATGGGGCTCGCCATAGGCATGCAGTAGTAAGAAGGGGAAGGGAGGTTATGTGGTCACCATGGGCCATGCAGTTTTAAGTAGGGAGAGAGAAGTTATTGGGTCGCCGTGGACCATGGAGTTGTAAGGAGGGGGGAGAGAGGTTATGGGGTGACCATGGGCCATGGAGTTGTAAGGGGCCTTCGGGAAGCGAATTCATTTGTTCTATGGATATACGTCCTTCATGTCTCATAAGCAATACGAAAATCCCAACACAGAAGATCGTATTTTGGTTATTACACAAAAATTTATATTGCAGGCAAAGTTTTAAATATTACATTGGGTGTCAACTTGGTGTTTTGCTATTAAATACGAATGCGATCAAATTTCGCATTAGTAAATTAAATCCTAAAAGAAACGTTGCGAGTCGTCATTGTAAGAAAATCCTTGTAGAAAAATAGCCTTCGTATAAAACGCTTTTGCCGAAACATTCTTTGCATAAAACAATTTGTATTGCACAAGATTTTTCCCCTAAAACAAAAAAATCTTGAATTTTTTGAGTTTTTGTCTATAGACGATTTCAGTAGAGACCTTAAATTTTGATGTAGCTTGAGCCCCACGCAAGTTTTATCCTCCCTTTCCAGTTGCTATATTCTATTGAAAATGATACAAATTTTTAAAAACACAAAGTGCGTTTCCTTTGGTTTTGTTCTTCTTTCGTTTATGAGAGTTATGCTTGCAAAATCAACTTATTGATTGACAGTTTTGTAGAGTCAGAGCTGTTAGGCCAATATGAACATCAAATATTTTAATTGATTTTGCTCGATCAACAATATTGTAAAATGTATATCGCTAAATTTGTCAAATGGATTTACCCTGCTCTTAACGATTGTTTCGTTATTCTTAATTTAGGATTTATGGTGTACGCAGGTTTCTTATGTTCCTGTTTAGTTGGAGAAAAAAATCAAATGGTTTGTTTATTAATTTATTAATTGCTTATTTTATGGCCAGAACGATATAAATTGACAGAAAAAATAATTTTAACATTGTTTCACTGGCATATTACATGTTGCTATGCTGTTGCTATGATAACGGAATTGCGCGTTTTCGTCTTTATAGCACGTAAGCTTGAGGAACTGAAATCAAAGAAAAATAAAGTGGTTTGTATTTAAGAAATAAAATATGTTTAACTTGTTTACATAGGTCTTATACAAACCGAGAATACGTTTGGGAGAACTCGGTAGCAGATCAGTTCAATAATGCAAAACAGATAAATTTGAAAGAAATGTTTTAGTTTTTCCTATAACATGTGTTAATGATGGATTTCAAATTCTCATTATATGATCTAATTGATTGAGCTGAGATCGATTTGCTCAGGAGGTTAATACAAACTCAGCTATTGATCAATCGGCGCAATAAATGATTTTATATCTGATCTGAATTCTGAACATTACAGAATAAATTAAATTGACGTTTTAACTACTGTAAAACTTTTATCCCATTAAAATAAGACTTGAGCATGAATTCAGTTATATTGTTTATATTTCAACTACTTTTGTAACTTCACTTCTTCTTTTGTTTTGTGTCCTGTATACAAATACAATTGTACCTACAATTGGATTCTTGAGTCGTTCTCTTCGGTGTTTTTATTACCCGCTCATATTTATGTTTGAATGATCGTCAGGCATTACTCTGCTTTTTTAGATCGAAAATGTGAAGGAGAAAGAAACGTATAAAAGAGCGAAAGAAATATTAGAGAAATTTAATCCAGATGATGAGAGCCTTAAAAAAGTGATGACATCTCTTCGGTGTTTTGTCTTTCTTGAGTGCGTATTGTGTCTGAGCTAAGAGTTTTTATTTTATGTTTAGCCTGAAGTCAACAGAGGAAACCAAACAGTTGGGAAAATAACATCCGCGACTTCAAGATCAGGTGATATTTTATGTTTCATCTCATTAATGTTTGACGAACTTAAAATCTTGGTACTTTTTTAAATATTTTAGTTGCGTTAGGGGATTGGAACCCAGCACCAATGATTTATTTTGATTTTGCCATTGCATGTTTTTGCATTTGTTTGAACAGAGCTACACAATAGCTATATATGGTTGTAGCAAAAGAAAGATATTTTATTGTATATCTCTCTAACATAATGAAAGTTCTGCTTTCGTTTTTTAAAAAGCATTTTCTCCTTTCACTAGCATACATTGTTAATAGTTTTAGAACTGGCTCTTGGGTTTAAGTCTTATTTCTCAAAAAGTTATTCCAGAAATAAAACATTGTAAGAGAAGCTATTAACTGTTAACTTATGCTTTATAGAAAAGCTGAAAATCCTTACGAGGGATTCAACACTTTAAAAATCTATATTTTTTTCTAGGTGTAAGACATAGAAATATATCTCAGATATCATCGACACCCAACTCCTCCGTTTTAAAACCACCTCCGTCGTTCTCGGCGACGCCAAACGCTCCTGTAATGTCACCACTTCGTGGTTTGAGTCCAGCTATGAAAAAAGATTTTTTTGTAAACAACATGCCTCCTGGTAAATTGTACTGATTGATAAGTTGTATTTCAGTAGAAAAATCTTCCTTTTACCTCTTGCTTCTCCAAGAATATATTTTTCATTTTGCATTTTTACCCCAGGAGTTTCTTTCATAGAGAAATGGTTGTTAATCAATTCACTTATAAATTTATTAAATAAATGAACTCTGCAGGCTGGAATACTTAATAAAGAAAAACCTCCGTAACTCTGTCCAGAGTTAGATTAGTTGATTCATTAAATACTTTATGTAAACCTATTTATAGGTACCCCTCCTGGTCCACCAAAACCAATTCCTGTAACACCAAAAGAAAGGACAATTACAGACAGGGTTGGTACTCGCAATGAATTATCAACGTATTCTTTGTTATTTTTATAACATTTCCCCTTGTCATGGTCATTTGTCATTTTAGTTTGTCGACTATCTAGTTGGCGATGGACCAAATAATCGTTATGCGTTAATTTGTGAACTTTGTTTCTCACACAATGGAATGGCTTTAAAAGAAGATTTCCTGTACACTAGTAAGTAGTTTGTTCCACTGGTCACCTATTAGTGATGTAATACAATTTTGCGGGGTTTTTTTTAGCTTTTCGATGTTGTTATTGTTATCATCTAAATGAAGCCAAAAAGAAGCGTCCTTTTGCACCACCGATTGAAGGACTTTCCACTCCCCCCGTCAAAAGTCGATTTAGTCGTACATCAATCAACGCAACCACGTTACCAGAAGGACCTGAAACCAGTGCAAATCCTGTAGAAGGTATGCCTCGCTATATCGCCATTTCTGCTATTGAAAAACGTGGAATTATACCTAGCCCGTTTAATGGGAGACGGTTCAGATCTTTATTGATTTTTGGTGTAATTGAAATACACCTATGACGCATCATTCAGCCCAATGCAGGAAACTGAGGCAATTGTTCCACTGAACAGATTTTTGTTGGAATCTTCTATTTGCCATTTTCGATTTCAAGCTTCACGTCATGTGAGACTGTCTTTGCTTCTCCCTTCTTTCCTATACATTCTTGGATTAATAGATTGTCTCACAAACATCAGCTCAAGCATTAAAAATCTTAGTTTCATGACTTTATTAACAGGCAATGTTGAAAAGAATTTGCTTGCTGCAAGTGCTAATGTTGAAGAGGAGGAAATTGTACGCGAAACCGACAAAGGCAAAAACGAATAATGATGTATATTTATTTGTACAAGAAAAACGTAGATTTGACAACATTTATGATCGCAGTGAATTAGATTTGCGTTTGTGTAGTACATTCAGAAATCAAAAGAAACATCTCAAAAATCTTCTGCCTTGTTTCTACCTTGTGTGGAAAAGGCAATCAAGTTATCAAGAGATTTGGTTGAACTGTAATTTTACAAAATGCCTAAGGCGTATGATTTCCATATGAAATATTTAATGATTGTACCAAGGCTGACAGAGCTGCCAGCAGCCAAAACGAGGTTTTACGACAGAACAGCACCAAACAACATTCTGCATCGTGTTCTCAAATGCAAAACGTCGCTTATTTAAAAAGGAAATAACTGTTCATTATTATGTCATGTTCATTTGTAAGCCAAATATATTTTTTTCTTAGTTGTTTATACATTAATGTTAAATACAGTCATATGTGCTTAACAATAAACGTATTCGAACGCTACGTTTCTTGTGAAAGAATCTGCAAAGCATTGATTAGTGAGAACACTCTTTCTATAAGAACCAACAACAATATGCCCAGGTTCACTAGCCTCCATTACAGACTATATAACCCCACCACCACCACCCACCCCACACCCGACGTTAGGCTCAAAATGTTTTAAAATTAAATTTTTGACAACAGAAACTTAATCTAAGTGTAACTTGCAAGAATTTGAGTTTTTGATTTTTGGGTTTGTGTAGTTCATACAATTTAAATAATGTTAAAAAGAAAAAGTAAACAAGTGAAAAAACGTTAGCATTATATGGCTTTACAAACTTTATTGTATAAAGTATTGAAATTCAGTTTAGTTATTTACAGTCAACGAAATTACCTTGCATACATTTGCCTCTTATTAATCAACGTGGTTTTAATCTTCTATGGGTTCTTATCATAACGTAGTCCTCACTTTATGTTTGCTCAACAATATACGGACAAATTGGACAGTCTTCTGCGTTAATTTAAAACCCTTTTGCACTCGCGAAAAAATAAGTTTGAAAATACTGTGATAAAATTATTAAAATAAAATACGACCCTTTAACCAAAATAATTTTCAATAGAATTGTCTTCTTTATCTTTCATTGTACTTGCAAATAATCAACACAGCCAATCAGATTGCATATATGCTTTTGTCTTTCTCGCCTCAGTACCCCCGTGCCGCGAATTCATGTTGACTCTTCGCAATGCCGGTTCTTGATGTCCGCTCTAGCCTCAATTTAACTATCAGATTTACCTTCAAACTTTGCGCAATTTTTAGCGGTATTAAGCCAAAATAAGCTGTTGAAGTCTTCCATTAAAACGCACTAAATATGTTGTATTTAGAAAGTGTTAACGTTATGCATTCACGAAGAATTGGAATCTGTGCGGCTGTAGTTTGTTGTCATTCAATACTACGCGTGCTTACCCCGAAACGGGAGTTCAGTGCTCGGGTGTGAATCTTGAGCGCTCGTAGGCTGTAGACAATGCTGCGCGCTAATCGACTAAACAGGTTATCGTCAAGGCAGTTCTACTACAAAATAAAGATCAATTCTTCGGAGAAAAATATTTGTGAAAGAATTCAATTACGAAAACCGTAAGATAGGAGAAGAAATGAAGCCGAAGTAAGTAAAGTGCTAGTCTTACATTCTCACTAATTTGATATTTGTATGCATGGCTTGACCGCTCGTTTCGCGATATACCACGCATTCAATAACCAGCTGTTGAACGAAGGCTATTTCTCGGTAGATATATGTAAGATGTAATACAAGCGTTTTATTGTTGCCCCTCGAAAGTCATTCACAGTTCTGATATTTCATATTGGGTATTTTTATTACTCTTTTAGTCAAATTTTTTGATGATACGTGGACTGTCACGTAATATCAATTTGAGTAATAGCAATGGCGTCTTCAACAAAGACCGGAACACTTGACATAGAACGACCAACAACGATGTATCAGGGGAAAAATATTCATTCTTCGCCTGTGGACGGCAAGTTACTTTGTAGCTTCAGTGAGAAGACGTGTATGCAGCGTCGTTTAAATCATTATGCTTTCTGTATTCGACATGTATTAGAGGATAAAAATTCGCCTTTCAAACAGTGTAAATTTGTTGCCAAATACAATGGCCAACGTTGCACGAACGCTATTCCTTTAAAAGAAGAACGAATGTAAGTATCGACTTTAAACTATATCTTCTTTTTGTTGCTGTGTGTGATTTTAAATATGAAAAGAATATTAGGAATTTTGTTTGTTCAAAGACTGCGATTATCGTTTAAAACTTCTGTTTACGAAAAGATGATGAACATAAACGATGATGATAAATGATCTCCATTTTCTTTTTCAGATACTGCAATAGTCATCTACAGGTTTTAGGACTTGTTCCAAAAAAGTCCCGCAAGAAAAAACATACTGAATCTAACACAGGCACAGGCAAAAACTCACTAAACTCTTCTGTAATGGAAACTTCTCAAATAACTTGTAATTCAACATCAAAAAGTACTTCTTCAATGAAACGAAAAGAAAAATGCAATGAAAGTTTGGAGCATACTAAATTTTCACCACCAAATTTTTGGAAAGCAAAAGTGATGACATCTCATTGTTCACTTTCAAATCGTATTAATACATCACGAAAGATCACCAACACAAGAAATTTGCTTCCTTTTTATGGTAAGTTGTAGTCAACTTTTCAGTAGAATAAAGCCAACCTATGTCATGGATCACGTTAACATCTGTCATTGTGACTTAGATATTCATAATTACAACCAGGGATATACCGGGCAGGAAGCGAATTCTTAATATAAATATCAAAGCCCAGCAAAGTGCTTTTAAAAGAGCCATTTAATACTTTTATTCATAATTTCCTTTGAAAAATTTCTTTCAACAACAACCATAAACCATTTCCAGCGGACAGTTTAAAAACGTAGACCAGAAAACAAATTCCAAAGAAAGAAGACATCTTGAGGTAGCAAAATATGTATCAATACAAGATGCAAAATAAAACTGTTGCCATGAAATGTTGTGATGGCTTTTTACTTGAATTTGAAATGAGGTTGATATGTTTCCCAATAAAGAAATTGATATTACCAATGTGGCAGTTCCTTAAACACTCGTGATGTGAACTTGCGTAGCTGCATGTTTAACATTTGAAATGAATTGTAGTTAATAGTTCCCCACTAAGGACATGCTGGACAATGCATTTTTATAATTTTATAGTCTTCATGTGGAATAAAAATCCACTTCTGTTGATAGATTTAAATATAAGCTAATTAAATATCTCTCCAATAACCATTAAGAAAATACACAGAATATGATACAGTACAACAGTAATTATGTACACATTTAACCCAACATAGTATTATATATAATACAACATAGTAATTTTGGCCTTCTTGTTTTGTTTTATTTGTGATTGGCTCTAAAAAGGCAATTGTGTAGAGCTCAATAATTATTCATTTATTGGTTAAGGACAATGTTTTGAATAAGATTTATCTTTAAAGAAATTATAGTTCATTGGTAGCAAAATGTTTCATTTTTACCTAAGACATTGTGTTGACTATGGTGAAACCTGTTAGTTTTGAATATTGTTCTTAGATATCATAATTGCTCGCAATTTTTCATGTTTTTAGTGTAAAGCTTGATGTCAAAGTGTAGAGATCAATAAATAATTATTTAGAATAAGACAATGCAGCCATTGTCATAGCAATCATAAAAACTTTTTACTTTAAGGTGTTGGATTTAGCTCTGATGAAGAAATGTCCGATGATGATTTCCTTAATGAAACCATTGATCTTAAGTCTTCAAATACATTTTCTGTCAAAAGGTAAAAATGATAAAAATAATTCTCTGAGAAAAAAGCCTTGATATTTATTTCATGCTGGATTTAGCAGTCAATAATGCCATGTGTTTGTCTGATTTCAGGACCCAGGTCAACAAATGCGAATCACATAAAGAAAAATTAAAACAGTTGCGAGAAAATTTGAATTATGAATATGTCAAGATTAAAAAGTCTATTGATGCACAATTTAATGAGAAGAAGCAATCTGACAAAGCTCACAGGTTACTTGCTATTGCTGTGAAAAGCCATCTTTCTCCTATATCCGCTGATTCTACAGAAAATAACTCATCTTTAAGGTAAGTGAGAAAGATGTCACTAGTTTTAACTGTTTTTGTATGTTTGTGCAATATTTTTTCAATTACCCGCAATGTTTAAATATGTTTGGTAGTTATGTATAGATAGAAATAGAGAAAAAATTGGGTAATTCTCTTGATTTCATTTGATAATGTAAATAGTGTTACTCTGAATGGCTTGTTGACTTTGTTAAATTGTTGTCTATGTCATGGTTTTGAGTAATAAAAGATTTGCTGGATATTAGGTTAATTTATTGACATGAAGTCTGTAGAAGAAATGTTGGACTGTTTACAGGAGCTTTCACCACCCAAAACACTTGGGCCGGGGGGGGGATTCTACATTATAGGACTCACTGTTTTAGTGTCTTTATTTCACATAAAAGCCTAAAATATTAGCTCGACTGACTTTCTTAGTGCTTTATAATTTTATAAACCGAATTTTTACACTTATTTTTTAAAAGATGGGGTGTCACCCCCCTGATCTACTCCAACTTTATATTGGGTATGTTAGCAGAACCAAATCTTACACTCAAAATAACATTTTTTTTAAAAAAATCATTTAAAATATTTTGAAACGTTTAACGAAGGTCTTTATTGAGATAGTTTTAACTACATTAATTGAAAATTTGTTTGTGTGATATTGAAAATTATAACGCAATTATTGTTTTCAATTAGCTTCGTTTCAACTCTCTCTGATTGGCTGTAAATAGCCACTGTGAAAAGTAAACTTCTAGGCACAAATTTATCTTCTTATTGTAGTTTTTCCTTAAGATCTAGAAAACGACCTCTTTCATTGGAAAAGAATTATATTCGTTGTACGGCCGAAATTTCGGGAAAAAGAATATGTAAACGACGTTCTCTTCCTTATACGAAGTATTGCTTTTATCGTATCCTTAAAAATGAAAAATTTCACGTACACATTGTTTTTATCCTATGCTAATAAAAATGACACATTTCACACATTTACACATTGTTTTTATCGTATGCTTATAACAATGACACGTTTCACACATTTACACATTGTTTTCATCGTATTTTTAAAAATGTCACATTTCACACATTTACACATTGTTTTTATCGTATAATTTCACACATTTCACATTTCACATTTATTTTCACATTTTTTACACATTTATCGTATTTCACATTTACACATTGTTTTATCACATTTCACACATTTACACATTGTTTTTATCGTATTCTTAAAAAAGACACATTTCACACATTTACACATTGTTTTTATCGTATTTATAAAAATGACAAATTTCACACATTTACACAATATTTTATCGTATTTATAAAAATGACACATTTCACACATTTACACATTGTTTTTATCGTATTCTTAAAAATGACACATTTACACAATGTTTTAATCGTCTTTATAAAAATGACAAATTTCACACATTTACACATTGTTTTTATCGTATTCTTAAAAATGACACATTTACACATTGTTTTTATCGTATTCTTAAAAATGACACATTTACACAATGTTTTTATCGTATTTATAAAAATGACAAATTTCACACATTTACACAATGTTTTAATCGTATTTATAAAAATGACAAATTTCACACATTTACACATTGTTTTTATCGTATTCTTAAAAATGACACATTTACACATTGTTTTTATCGTATTCTTAAAAATGACACATTTACACAATGTTTTTATCGTATTTATAAAAATGACAAATTTCACACATTTACACAATGTTTTTATCGTATTTATAAAAATGACACATTTCACACATTTACACATTGTTTTTATCGTATTCTTAAAAAGGACACCTATTCACGCTCTTTCAATTGGCTTGTTTCCATCTTAAAAAAAACTTTACTGAGCTACCTAGATTGTAAATAGGTAAATACGACAGTCTAGTTTTAGGAGACAAGACCAAGGAGTTTGTGAATTAGTCGTCTTTTTCATAAACATTGTAACCTCGGATTTTTGAAGTATACAGAAAATACTTTTGGTTTATCTTTGATATTTCATCAGACATATTGAACGATTCAAGGCAGAAACTGTTTCAGGAATGCTGTGCTGATATCACAGGTGGTTTGAAATGTTCACGACCCTCGTTGGATGTGCTGTATGGTAAACCACTGTGTTTTGAACATTCCAAAGGAAAGGTGAGTGTGATCTTGATAAATTACTCTTACGTACATTCCAACGGAAAGGTGAGTGTGTGTGATCTTGTTAAATTAAACTTAAATTACATGATTCGAACATCCTCTGTGTTTATTGATTTTTTATTTTTTTTGAAGTGCATATGTCTTTCTGACTTTTAAGTGAGGGCTCCAAGTCTAAAATTTGACCCTTTTGCATTTCGTCATCTCCGTTTTATTTCCTTCAATTTTTTTATGAACTTAGCAAAAGAAAATTTCATTCTATCCTCGTAATTTATCGTAGAAACCCGAAGAACGTTTGGACTGTGTCGAGGCAAACGCTCTTACTACGCAGACTACTGGTCGAAAACAACTTGCAAAGAAAACCAAGCGAAAACCGCAGCAAAAAGTGATTCCTGGAACTAAAGCTGTTAAGAATCAACGCAGAGCCCCGAAGAAAGATAATATTAGGACTAACAGTCTTCCCAGAAAAACGAACACTAATCTGATATTTGATAAAGTGAAGCAAGGTATTTCCTTTGAGCAAACTGTAAATCATGATAGTTTAGAAAAGTCTTTTTTTCCAAGAAGAGACATGGAGAGAGAGCGCCATCATCATGCTGCTCTATACTCGTTAAATGGCGCTTGCCAATTGGATCAACTTTCTTCGAATGAAAAGAGCATTTTTGAAAGAGATGACTTCAAACGTGAAGAAATGTTTGATGGAAGTGACATGGATGCTGATGATACTTTAGAGAATGATGATTTATCAGAAGACATTAGCGACATATCTACGACTGCAATTCTCCGTGAACCAGTTCTGCCTCCGGAAAGTCCAGTTCATAATGTTGCTTCATCTCTTCAAAACTCGCATGAAGAAACATTTGCTATGAATGCCTTCTCTGACGATAGATTTCATAAACCAATGAAAAGGAACAATCTGAATCTTTCTAGGAAAGATAACTTGTTCACAAATGACTTTTCCTCCAGATTGGACAGTAAGAACACATTAGACAGACCTCCGCGTACCACTGTTATCACTTTACCAAAGTATCCTAGTTCCTCGTCTGTGAATCAGCCTCCTCTTAGACAAACCTCGCTTGGATTAAATGCAGATTATCCTGGATTTAAGCCTATCGGTCCTGGTATTATTAAATCGGGTGCATTGACGACGAAACGGTTAGATTCTAGACCTGTTGACATAAACCATGGAGTACAATTACTTCCCATGCCTTACGATCCTGTACTGAACTCTTCCGTTACTTGGGGAACTGGAAATAAGATGTTAATAAATAGCCGAACACGACCATTGTTTATGACCTCTCAAATGAATCCCGTAACCTTTTCCCCTCCGTCTGTCTCTCCTCAAATCAATCTTGGTAGCGCATTTAATTTTGATCGTCCCAGCGTTTTACAACATTCAAATAGTCCATCTCCAACATTGAGTCCTTTCTCTACTCAAATACCCAGTTCTCCACACGGAAAACCTCGAATATTGCGAACGGAAAGTCGTGGTGGCTCCAACGAAATGCATGATTTATTTTTTGGGACATCTTTTGAAAAACCATGATAGCTGCGTAAATTTAAAAAATAGCATGTAATGCATGTTCGCCGAAAAGGTTGTCAACATGTCATCTCTAAAGGTTATAAAGCAACACTGCGGCTTTGTACAAAGTTTAAACTTCGACTTCTGGTCTAACTATTCACCTGTATTGCTATGTAAAAAGTGGAATGTGAATAATGTGTCATAAATGAAGTCGTATTTTTCTTTGCCTGTCGTATGTTGATGTTACCTGCATACTTGATGTGAGTTGTGCAAACATCACCTCCGGGATCACTACGTGGATTACCAAATTAATAACATGTGCGCCATGTTAATTTTGCACAGCAGCAAGTCTGGAAAATGTACAAAAACGCCAGCTTTGTAAATAATTACGTGCAATGATATGTGTTTAGAATATTTTATATAAATATTGACTCCAGAAAAACGGGAGGCTTTTTGTAAAACATGGAACTTTTGTGCTTCAACTTGCACTCATTTAAAACTCTTTAATAACAAATTGAGGTGTCACAAGTATTGTGAGATTGAATGCGCCTTCACCACGTGCAAAAGAGGTGTGTATCGTATCTGGTAAAGGTTCTTTGTAGGTTAATCAATAAGCTAACACCAGTTTTAAATTACACGAGAGCATACATGAGATTTACAAAAGGGAATGGCTGCCCATATTGCTTCATTGCAAGTGTCGAGAAAGCCATCTTAATCATTCAAATTGCAATGATTCTTTCTTTACCTTGTGTTAATTCTTTTTGAATTGATAGTTAGTGTTCAAACATTTTCTGCTACAAGGTAGTGCAAACCATAATGTGTTGAAATTCCTCGTTGCAGTATTAATCCACACATTAAATAAGGAAGTTTTATAGAGAAATATTTCAGAAAGCTAAATGACGTTTTGTTCAGATAAGACGAAGTCGTAAGTCTGAAACCAAAAAGATATGCAAGGCGTTCCCTTTCAACTTGTCTAACAATATCTTTATCTGAGTCAGCATTGATAACTATATATCTAGTTCTCTGCATTTGCATGACTACTTCGAAATACATTATATTCTTTGTAAGTGAATGTTTTGAACATTACGTTAGGTAGCTAGATAAGCCCTGTTTCAACATCGTTAAACGTGTATTATGCTAATTTGATCTATTTTATTTTTTAGTTTTTGTAATTCACGTAATTGTTGACTGTGAACTATAGTGGAGTAAGAGTTCGTTATAACTGAAATACCGGCACTTAGGTAAAAGTTTTGATTGTTTTAACGCATAGCTACCGAGACGAAAATTGCTTCCTTGCCAAAAATTATTTACATAATATCCTTCCGGTGATTTCTAAGAAATGAATTAGCGCAGTCTAACAGCTGTGTCAGCCTGACACTATCAGGACAGCCCATTTTTTACTCTATAAATTTAAATGTTTTTAAGTTCATTTAATGGAAAACAGTGAAAGTAAGTTAATGAATATCTTAAAGAAAGTAGTAGTAATTTTGCTGAAGAATTTGCATATTGGGAGGAAAAAGTTCGGGATCATTTAGTACTTACATAGTCCCATTTCATCCCATCATTGACCAATGGTTTTCTTAGAAAGCATGAAGCATCGGATGGAAAGTTTGCTGACCTTGTATGTTTTCTCATTGTATATTGTGTATCTTTTAGTACTTACATAGTCCCATTTCATCCCATCATTGACCAATGGTTTTCTTAGAAAGCATGAAGCATCGGATGGAAAGTTTGCTGACCTTGTATGTTTTCTCATTGTATATTGTGTATTATTTCTGTAAATGCATTATGCGTTAAATGGCTCTTTTAAAAGCACTTTGCTGGGCTTTGATATTTATATTTAAAGTACGCTTTCCGCCCGGTATATCCCTGGTCACAATTCTGAAAAAAGATAATTCCATCGTCTTTCAGTAAAGATCATCTTGTCTGAATATTTATTCAACGCAGGGGTATTTTCCAGGGAAGTGTAATCATAGGTAAAGTTAGATTCTGTGATTTGACTTATAGCATTAAATGAATATCACACATCCAATAAGCACTTTGGAGCTCTGGATTATAAGACTTTTTTAACTTTGATCTTAGTATGAAATTGATTGATAGTGTCTGTTTTAAGCATTTCAAGAACTTTCATACAAAAACTGCTCCAGAACACGTCGTACACTTTTAAAAAGTTAATTTGTAAAATGAAGCGTGGAGAATATGAAGTATACATTTTTTTATTTCATTTTTCTTAGTACACAATGCAGAAGAATAATTCAACTGAGTTATTGCAAGATATTTAACTTAATATTAATAAATATTTGACTATAGACTTCATATTTACATACATAACAATGAACTTAAAGCAACACATGACAATTGCACAACTTATTTTGAACTTGGTCAAAAATTCTTATAAATTTCGAAAGAAATGATATTATCTTGATATGTCAATAGTTTGTTGCGCCATTCAAAGATTTTACAGTTTAATCCATGAATGGGAGATTTTTTGACATTTATCAAGATATTGGGCTTACTCAAATACCACAATGCAATCAGAATTGTTTGTATAAATTGAATAAAAGACATAGCTTCTCACATGAAAGTTTGAATAAACTTGTAGCAACATACTTTATTATTTGTATGTCGATATGATTCAAGTTTTTTCTTCGGCAACATTTCAGAATGAGCTGGTACTATGCGTATACAGTATGTACCCTGTTGTACCCTGTTGTACCATTCTTGATTGAAATAACTAATTATATTTTCTGTTTCATGTGGGAACCAACTTAAATACGTTCAAAATAGCGTGTCAACTCCGGCTCTTTCTAATCATTCAAATTTACACGCGATTTTTTCAAAACTATTTCGCGCACACGACTCCTGTGTTTGCTTTGTGAAAAAACCGTGTTGAAGTAATGCGAGTTTACTTTTCCATGATCTTACTTCATCATGTGCTCGTACTTGGATGTTGACAAGTTCTTTTATTACAAAGACAGAATATATGTGTGACATTTGTCATTTTTAAATTTATACAACTTGATACTTCCACATCATTCCAACAACCTTTCTGTTGAAGTTGTAAATTCGTTGCATTTTGTTTCCAAATACTAAAACATCCAAAATGACTACATTTTTTGCTTGTTGTTCCGGTGGTGTCGCCAATTTTGAAGTAATCACATTCTATAATAATTAACGATAATCATGTTAATACGTGAAAAAAATCCCATTTAATTTGCTCTAAACTAAAAATATTTTATTTTGCTACTTAATTTCAGCACAATTCGTCATACATTGCAACACATTGCAAACTCTTACATGAAGTTGTATTAGTCAAAGTGAATAGTGATATTTCTGGCCGAGATCAGGTGTTTTACCAAAAGACTCTCTAATATTAATAGGTAAAATAACTACTACCAAACTTGACATTAAATTCTAACAAGGTTCCCCCTCCAGTACGCCCTTGCTTTCTGAGTAAGATCTAATCCAAACTTCAAGTGGCTGATAAATCAGCAGAATTTTTTCACACGCCAAAAGTATGCGCATTATGAGTATGTAAATAATTCGTAGACAACACATACCCACCAGTCTTTGTACTTTCACAAGCAACATACCTACCCATTTATCAGACTCATTGAAATTATTTTTTTTGAAGAAATTGTAAACAATCATAAATTAATAAAACATCACGAATTTGAAATGAATTGCTTTATCTATAATTCACGAAAGAGTGAAACGACAAAATGTGCGAGGTTTTTTGCGTTACCTGGCGTCTTAGTTTTTATAATAACAGAGTTGGATGGTTTTGATGACAATTTTTCACGATATGCTGTAACTTCAATCACATAACGTTTGCCAACGGCAAGTTCATCGTATGTAAATTCCTTGGTATTTACTGGAAGATTCTGAAATATCCTTCCTCGTTCTCCTGGCGTATGCAGAGTAGCAACATAACCATCAATTTTTGATCGAAAATCATCTGAATCCAAAATATTTACTGTGACTATGCGTTTTATGACCCTTGTCAATTTGATTCTAGGGGCTGTGAAAGTTCAAAAATACAAAAACATTAGAATTACGGTAATTCATTGAAATTACAAATTGTACCAAACTTTTTCTGAAAAAATTTACGAAATACGTGATGACAGTGTTTGTATTCAACTATCATTAAATAGGCCGTTATTAAATGGCTGTTCACCATTAACTATTTACATGTAATTTCCGACAATTTTTATCAATGCATAAATGAACGGGAAATTTAGAAATGTCTGCAGTTCCAATAAGGATATCTGAACGTTGTCCCTTCCTCAGATAAACACCTGTTCTTCGTGTTCTTTATAGTATTTTTACTTGAATTTTTATTTTACTTTGCTTACCTGGCAAGTAATGTAAAGGTGACAAACCAACATGATTACAATTGTCTGTTTTGCAGCAATTGTACGTCGTTGAGGCATGTTTTAAATCACACAACCACACTTCAAAGTTACTCGAATGTACACATCCGGCACTTATATTTCCTTTTATTGTTTTTGTGAAACACGAGTTGACTGTGTAACAAGTTGGTAGTTTGTCGTGATCGCAATGTTCTTTTGTGCATCTGCAGTAAAGGGAAGCAGCTATAAAAGAAATTATAGAAGTTTTTTTTATCAATTTGATTGTTAGTCACCGAAGGGTTTTTTGATAAGAAGAAAACAGAGGAAGTTCATTGCTTATCATTTCATTTACTCTTGTAATGTAAAACGTTGACAATTCTGGCTTTTATTGTGTTGTTCAAGAAGTGAATTTTAACCTCCTCCTTAAATGTTTTGGTTAAGAAGATACTCTTATCGTACTAAAGAGGATTTTCAAACATACGGATGAGCTACTAGCTACCAATTTAAGCTCAATTGCAACAATTTTATTTTTCTTCTATTTTTATTGATCTGTTTATGAAATAACTTTCGACAAGGTTCGGTGCTCGCTCATTGGGATCAAAACAACGCCTGGAAAATAAATTTCAACGAAAAGGTTTTTTTTCTAGACTTGACAGAGCTTTGAGCAACCGGCCTCTTTGAATAATGTCGATTTTTTGTTTATGTTTGGTCGATACTAGAAGTCGCGCTGTTTGTAAAATAAACATTAAATGGTATTAAATCCATCTCCTTTTGAGTTTAGCAAGAACACATTGATATCATTGGTCAATTACTAGTACCCAGTACCCAATCCAATATATCGCATAAAGAGATATTGACCACCCAATGAGATAAAAAAGGCTAATCGGTTAAGATATTTTCGTCTAAGCGTATTGTCTTAAAATTATTTAAACTAAAAACGAGGTGATAGACTTGAGGAATGATTGATTGATCATAATTCATAGGTAGAAACTGTATCACTTGCTTTCAATTACTGAAGAAAATATGTATTTCTATTTATTTTCCCTACTTAAACGCCTTTAGCAATATCATCATGCATGTTGGCCTGAGAAATAAAGCAAACTGTTCTCAATTATGTTTGATTTGTTACTTGCGTATTGACTTTGGTTTCAATAATGGTAGAATAATTGAATTGCATTAGTAAATTCTATTCATAAAACATTAAAATCTACATTCAAAAGTTTTGAAATAAACTATAGGAATTTTGCTTGACTTTGTTTATTAAAAAAGTCAAAAATATTTAACTTCGTTATTTTTTCGCAAAAAACAGCACAAATATTTTAATCCAAACTTTGGATGATTTTTAATGCATCTAAATGCTTAGACAGTATAATCCCAGCGTGGTCTATACCAAAAGCACTTTGTTAATCCCAACCGACTAGTCGGGCTGCATGAGAGTATTTCCACTTAGTTAACACCGGCAGATACAGATAATAAGAGAATAATGTTCAATTGGATTTTAAAAAGTGATCTTCTTAGATGTATTTTTATGTTTATAAATATATTACAACTCCATGTATTATACGTTACTTATATATTATTATTTTGTCATAAGCATAGTGTTGAACAGTGTTCAGCAGCTTGTAGACGCTAATCCATATGAATGAAATATAAGCCAAGCTAAAGTTGCTAATAATGACAAGAGCATGTCTGCACTGAAGGAAATCATGCAGTGACCACTCCAATTAATGAGAGAATCACGTATTTAGATCATGGTTGAAAGCTAGTGTACAAGCTCATTTATGTAGGTTGAGGCTTGATGGCTTAACATTCAATCACGTGGTCCCGAATGGATTAAACAGTAGGACAAAAAAAATGGTTAAGGATTGGGTCAAGACACAAGATTAAAGATTCTTTACATAGAAACTGAGCAGGCTTTTTCTTGTTCGTAAGGACAACTATTGTGTCTCCGCGTGTTTCATTTTTGTTTCTTATTTTCATGTTTCAGACACAAGCTCTAGCTGTAGGTAGAATATGTACATTACATACGATGTATAGTTGCAGTTTATACACCTTCGATGGACGCTAGCTGTCTCGCATACATGACAACCATAAATAAACCAATAAATCATGTCTAGTTTGAGCAAATAATCAGTATACTAAGTGTAAAAAAGTAGCTTTATTTTAACTTGATTCTGAATAAACCGATAAAACGACTTTTGTTACAATTTTCTATCGAAATAACGGAAATTAGTCAAATGAAGTTGTGAAATCTTCTTAGTAGTTTACTGACTGTGAAGTTGACGTAGACGCGGCTCATACAAGGGTATAATTTTATTGATGATATTACACAAACTATACGCAGCTTCAAGAAGTTGCACAAATTGATGTAGTTCATTTTATTTGTTTATCATCAATCAAATAATCTGTTTATCGTGGAAGAACGCAACTAATAGAATTATGGCTGAACAGTGTCATTGTTACAAAGGCATTCGATGTATTTCTTAACTTTATAGGTGTCTTGTTTCAAAAATCACCAGACTTTATAGAAATTCATAAAATATCTCAACAAAGAAACAACTAACAACTAAATTTGTTATCACATTGTGCCTTTACTTTATGATCTTTAAAGCAGTATTTCTACTCAGCTAGATATGTGAAATATTCTGTTTAGGAAGACGAGTGCTATTTCAGTTAAGATTGATTCTTATGAGATTAAGATAAACTCATAAGGAGTAAAAAAACACACACGAAGCTTAGAGAATTTTCTGCAAAATACAAACAATGGGAAATTTTCCATTCTTTAAATTGTGTGAAAGTCTGAAAAAATTTGTTAATTATTTTATCTATTCATCAGCCCATTTATGTAATAAATTGTCAATATTTTAAGTTTTAATTCCATTATTTTAAGAAACATTCTAGAAAATTTGCTCATATTTTTCCCTCGGACTAATGAACGCCACTTTTCGCGACACTGCAAAACTTGTCTTTATGCTTCATTCACTTGTATATTTTGTGTTAAAGAAGCAGTTTATTTCGAAATTAGGGGCATCCATGTGCTCATCCACTTAGAACCGGTTCTTTTATGAATTAGATTTTTAAATCAATTAATATAGTGGTGAGATTGTGTAGTATGACAAAATATAGCCTCATAGATTAACACAGTCCGAGCAGGCTTGTGGGTCAGCTAGTTTAGGTAGAAACAGTTCGAACAGCAGCTTTGAATTCTATGAAACATTCTTGTTTTCTGCATTTACATGCATGTCTCTTTTTGTATGATAGACGTTGATGATCTATTTACACAGCTTTATTTGTAGTCTGCACCGGACACCAGAGACCTTTCGAGAAAATTAATTTTTCGAATTTTGCCAGTATATAATTTTATGTGAATGAAGTTTTATTTTTTAAACTGAACAGTCTCTGTGAGTGATTAGTTGAACTTTTTACAACAAAACACGTTTCAACAAACACTTCGTTCACGCTGAAGTGGGGATTAGTCGAATTGTAAATGTTGCGTTTTTCGATAAAATCTTTGTTTGAGACATGAAGTGGGAAATAGCTAACAATTTATTTATTGCATATCATATGATTCCCACTGCAATTTTCTTTTTTAGAAGATAAAACCAAAACGTATTTGACTATTTAATTATAGTGACAAGAATTTGTAGTACTCAGGAAGGAGATCTCTAGCCCATCCGATCTCTTATTTTAAAAAAATTATCTTCAGGAAAGAGTTAAATCTTGTCTGAAATCTAAACTTGCGCATGATGCAAAACATAAAGGACCAAAAATCTTGTGTTTTTCTTTTATTTTACGCTTTAAAGATTGAATTATATTAAATACTTAAACATAGTTATGGTTCTTCCACATGGAAATTCGCACAAATCTTTTAAAGATTTTTACCGACTGTCATTTTTAAGTGCAAGAAAATAAGAGATTTTTTCGTCTAGTTTCAAAGTGTTTCGAGCCCATGTTATGTTTTGCTACGAAGTGTTTCAATTTAGCCAGTAATCTATTATTTTTTCACTTATCTTCCTATCTAATTAAGACAAGGTTGGCTAAGCGTTGAAAGGTTTTGAAAATTTTCATAGCGTTCAGCGAACCGTAAACAGTATAATTGACAATTCACTCTTTTGACTTCTCTGCATGCAGGCTTTTTGTTCGTATAAACTTATTGACTATATGTAAAAAATTCGCCACAAAAGTATCAATAAGTGAAAAGCATGTCATAGATTGCTGTTCAGCAATCTCATGAGTAACCTATCTTCAATTGCTGTAAAGGAAATGCAAAACTAATGGATACTTTTCTGCGCAAGAGTCAGGCAATAGAAGGGAAAATCTCAATCACGCGATGTTAAAACAGCACGCAATCATATCTGACCTTGCTTGAAAACATAAATTTAGATTCAAAATTGAAAAGTTGAAGCTTACCTGTACCAACTGACGTTAAAAATACTATGGCGGACAGTAATTTCATCGTTCGAATAATTTCTTTCAGTCTGTGTGTTGCTCTCGGCTGAAGTGTTTGTGTGACTCTTCCGGACGGTACGACTTGCATTTTATGCTGTTTTGCTAATCCGGTGGCTTGTACGCAACCTCTCAATTAGACAGATGTCGTGGAAGGGACAATTAATCCCGCTAATATCCGCCCGCGCGTTGTGTGTGTTGGGCCTCAATACACATATGGTGTAAACTATTTTGAAAAAAATAATTCTCACATTAAATTAATGCTTAGTTTTTTTTGTGTAATTACGCACTAGTTGCTAATTCTGCATTGTTAACCCTAAATATGGCATCTTGTTCGAGTTCATCACTAGATATTTCTGGACATTGATGCATTTGAATTACAGAAAATCAACACCATTATACTAAAAATTTGTTATAAATTAGGCAATTGTCTGCGTTTTGATTTATTCATTTCCTGTATAAGTAATGAGCTTCAGCTCGTGTAATTTGTATTTAGAACAAATTAAGATTGTGAGCATTTTATCACCTTGGAGGTCCATTGCCTTCGCTGTTTAAATATGTAAGCTATTCATTATGAACGTTACGATAACATAAAAGGAAATGACGTCATACATGTCACAATGTTGGTTTTGCTCAGTCGGAATGAAGCATTTTAGCATCAAGTCAAAACATTCTTACCATTGCACGATTAGAAATTTGGTTTGAAATCAAAACAACTTGTTCTTCAGCGAATTTTTTTCGAATTTTATAAATTTAATAATTTATACGATTAACTATAAAACAAACATGCGTAATACTTGATTAGCATTTTAGAAAATATTCTCGTAAAATAACAAGAACATTTGTACGGCTAGATGGTAAGATAGACATTGATTTTACATCACGTGATCATAAACAGCCAATGAAAAACCAGAATTTAAAAATACGTGGCTTAAAACTAAATAATGCCAACGTAATGTGATTTTTTATGTGGCAATATGTAAGACACGCATTTAAAAAGTTTATTTTACTGCGATTTTTGATCATATATATATATATATATATATATATATATATGTGGATGAGATATCTTTTTCGAAACCTTTTGGCAATATATTACCATTTTGAAAAAGTCATGGTCTAGTAGGGAACACCATACCAAGTTTCCTACAACCACCAATGGTGTCTAAACGGAACAAATTCATACCAAGAAAAAAATTCACTTAGTTTGGACTTATGTTATTATAGTTTGTAGCTATAACTTTTATAATTTCTTTGTAACACTAATCAATTTAAGATAAGAGAGACTTTTTCATATTTACTCTGCTGTGCAGCTGCTAACTTTCTCATTTAAGATACGTTTACACACGATTAGTCGGGTAGACACTTACGCCATATTACGTGATTCTTGCCATGTATGGAACATTTGTCGTGAAAGACAAATCGCTGTGTGTAAATAATGCATACGATGTATTTACGCGATTTCAAAATAGAAAAACAAATATGTCGAAGAACAATAGCGAAGTGAAATTAATAGTTGTCATTGTAGCTATGGAGGCAATGTATATTATTACCTCAAAAAATAAAGAAAAAACGAAAACAAATATAAAGATTGGTGTGAGTAAAGTGCAAATCAAGGTAAATTTGCCGTATTTCTTTTTTAAGAAAATATTCTTGACTTTTTTCTTTTTATGAATCTCTGCAGCTTTTGGTTTTTCAATAAAAACAACGACGCTTTCAGCACTTTCATTTTCCGTGTTGAAAGAAGACATTTCGATGATTTTTCGATAATCATAATTTGCTTGTTTTTGAAGCCATAGCAAGACAGTAAAAATCTGGAACAAATCTATAGTTTGTTACAGATTTTCATCCGATTTTTTGAGTCGGGCGACTTTCCAAATATGGAAAGACACGTAATATGGCGTCAGTGTCGGCCCGACAAATCGTTGTGTGTAAACGTACCTTTCCTCTACACATTTCTGTACTTGATATGAAAAAATTCTTCTTATGTTTTTTTATGCTTTCATGCATTAGTTTGGATGAATTTGACAGCAGACAAAAGTTTGCATATTACCTGTTCGTTTCAATTAATCAAACGACACATGACAGACTCTTTGTTAACAATAGACAATAGTAGCTTTACACACAGTAAATACGTACTGATCGTCCTTGAGTAAATCCCGCCTGCAAGAGCTCGTCACTTAAATGTTTTTTAATATTAAGTTCGAGAGCACATCATACACATCATAGTACATTTTTGACCGAGGCAATGGATAAAAGAGAATGTTTTAGGTTGTTCATGCAATTTTGTGACATGTAGCAGGCAACATTTAGCTATCTCTTTCTCTACGTTGAAATATGATTGATTTCACATCAGATTTAATGCGTTGAAATATATGAATAACAACTGTCTCTTTAAACATTTACGTTTCCAACGGATATTATTATCGACTCGTCCTCATGTTAATAATGGAGGAAGCCATTAATTAGTTCATTTTTCATTATATGGAATTTTTTTGAAATATATATATAATATATGAATTAGGAGGTTCTGGATCTTATTCTGTAGCAGTAATCTAGACGTGTTTTTCTTCAATAGAACTGAAAAGCAATTCATATATTTGCGCTATTGCAAGAAAAATTGAGATACTGTATTGTATATATTTGTAAATGTGTTTTGTGTTCAATGTGTATCCTGTAGCTTTTGTTGACAAACTGGTCAATCACGCCAGATACGGAGTTAGCTTATGTATTTTTAACATTTGCTTAGAAAATGTATGAAAGGTCCGTTGGTTCCCCTAAATTTGTATCACAGAAATGTTTCTGATTAATTTATTGGAAAAGTTGATGATAAGTGTTAGTGAACTTTAATTGTTAAGGATTAAAAGATCAAATATAATTTATCTATTCATAACTCTAATTGATTTAGTTACGTTGCCGTACTCTTTGAGAATGCCAGCACCACTAATTAAAAAGTTAGTGAGAAAGTCAGAGAAAAACAAAATTTCTCTGAAAGTTAGTTATGCTTACATTGTGTTTGTAGTAGCTATAGTTATCTTTATGCTTTTCTTCACAAAATGCTTCCTATTGTTTGTCAAAGAAAAAATGTTGATTATCCGAATACCAACATCTTGAGCACATTATAATTACATTCATTCCTATGTGTTTTTAGAGTTTACGATTTAATTATAAATAATTTTGCGATGATACCACAATCGCCGGAAACTTGAACTCAACAAAACAACCTGTCCGCAAATATCCACTGTAACTGATTATTCATTTTCAATTGGCTATTCTTTGAAATATATTTTTGAACATAATTTTGACTAATAGTTGAAATATATTTCGGAAGTTGCCGCGCTGGGTAAATTGCGGGTCTTCGGATAAATTTATTACAACATTCCACGTTTTTTATGTGCATGTTTTGGCAATGTCATAAGATTAGGAAATGATATGTATATTTGAGTCTAATTAATTGATAAAACTGAATTATTTTTCAGACAAAATAGATAATTAAAACAAACATTGTAAACCAATTAACCTTTTACTAATAACCAGCTCCTTCATCTTATCATAACAGTTATTATTACATGTATTTATATATTCTTATTTATTCTAAAAAGAAAAAAACAATCGTTGAGGCGTAGTTAGCAATTTACTGCATAAATTATAGTCTCGTCACCTTATAAACACATAAAACCTAGTTCTTAGTGCAAAATGAACTTCATGACCGTAAAGAAATTGTAAGCGCGCTCAAAATCGTAATTGTGTGTGATGAACAGTGAAATGAATATAACATATGATCAGAGAAACTTATTCATATCCATGTAGTAGCTCTGTCCATTTACAATATTTGAAATTTCATACAAGTACAATTCTTTATGCAAAAGATGATTTGAAAATCTCAGAAAACCAACCAATGAAAAAGCAATTTGAGTTTCAGAAATTTGAGTTTTTTCATTAATTACAAAAAATTCATAGACACATCTACATAATTCGAGAGACATTAATATAATTCAAGATTAGCAATTTGAGTTTCATTAACTACAAACAAATTCATAACTTATTGCTTTTGAGTGTTAAGCTAAGCTTGACAGTATGGTCACGTGGTGTACGGGAGAAGAAAGTCAATGGAAGGATTATTCAACGGATAAAAAACATTATATTTCACAGTCCTTGATACTATCTTCTTTTATTTTATGCTTTTACTCGATTCGTAACCAATGAAAGTAAGATATTTACAAAATAAGAACTATTTAGCTTTTCCTTTTCAACTTTATATATTCACACACTAAATAACAATTATTTATAATCTTTTGAATACCGTGCGACAGGAGAAAAAAATGATTAAATAAAGATGAAAGGAAATCCAATGCACGTTTAGTAGCTATACTCTATAACTTTGTAGGTACCTTTTTCATTGTTTGTATTGAAGGTGGTCTAAATGTATTTATAGTTAGATTGACATATAAATTTAGCTATTTAACTGGACTGTAAAATGGATGATTAGGATGAGCTTTCTTACAAAACAGTCTCTTTAATATGCCCATCTTTGCAAAAATTGCTTAAATTTATATCTAAATTGCAATCGCCATCATCCCAATTTAACTTCGTGTTTTTTTCAATATCTGGAAGAGAGTGTGTTTCATTCATCGGTAACTCACATGAATGCTTGAAATGTCTCTCCTTATCAACTGATTTCACGTGACCGAATGAAAAATCTTTGCTTTCATTAAAGGAAGATTTGGATGACTGATACGATCCATTGTTTTCATTGCCATTAAAAAGTTTGTCTTCCTCATTCAATAAGCAAACACATTCATCCTGAGAATTAGCTTGGCTGGACTTTTCAAGGTCCTTTGAATTTGATTCGTTGGTGTTTCTAGTTTTTTCATCTCTCTTTTTAGTCAAATTTATTACATCTCTTTGAGAAGATTCATTAAAAGGCTCAGTTTGTGTTTCTTTTTCTTGAGTGAATAAATGATGCCGAAAATTTCTCTGTGTAGACGTGACATCAAAACTATGAGATCGACATTGATTTTTGTTGCTTGAATTATGAGCAGCAGAAAATTGGCTGTTTGGTGCGCTTGTAGCGCAAAGATCACTGAGTAAAGAACCAAGTTGAAAGGAAGCTGCCGCTGCTGAAGTGGAATTGATACCATTGGAAATTCCGAAAGAATACCTGCGTATCTCATTTTGAAATTCTTCTTTTTTGTTTAAGTGTGAACGAAACAACAAGATATGCACTTTAGGACCAAACAAAAGAACCAAGATCATAAGACTGGATATGATCATTGCCAAACAATTTATTTTTACATCGTAGTCCAATGAAGCTCCGTATTGCGCGCACATAAATACCACCCAGACGATATTGAAGGTAAACATGCTTAGTCCAATATGTCGAACTTCATTGAAATTTTTTGGTAATTTTCTACCCTTAACAGCAAATACCGTACACATGATACTGAGAAAGATGAGAAGAATATGTGATCCACCATACCAATATTTATTAAAGTTGCATACAATGTACCGTTTCGTCAGCTTTAAAGAAAGGATTTTAATACCAGGAGGGTCAACTGCAATCCACAACAGGCAATATACAAGTTCACACAGTGTGAACGTAATTGTCATAGCAATTTGATATTTGTTCTTTAGGAGCCAGCATCCTCTATAGGACAAAGTAAACAGCAGCACAATTCGTAGAGTCTTGAATAACATGGCGGAGAGTGCGAGTGCGCATCCGAGGCAAAAAACCACTTGGCTTATGATGCATTTAAATTTTGAAGGTTTGCCAGCAAATGCAAAGGGAGCAATAAAAGTCCAAGATAATCCAACAAGTAGAAGCAGACTTAATTCGCGATTAGCTGATTTCACAACAGGTGTGTTTAAAAAATGTATAAAAACTATCAAGAAGAACAAAAGGATGATTATTGATACAGACGCTAAGATTATGATTGAAATTGTCCAAAAATCCCCCCAGTCGAGATAACTCAATGGTATGTAAACACAACCACTTTGCTGGCTATTTGTTACATAATGTTCAGAACAAGGAGTGCACGTTGTTGCATTTGGTCGATTAGTTATTGTTCCAGGAGGACAGCGTTGACAGTTCCAACAGCATTGAGGATCTTTCTTAGATGCAACTTGATACTCTCCTGGAAGACATAAAATGGAACACACGCCTTTTGGAGGAAACAGACCACTGTGCCATTGAATTTCTTTCTCATTAAGCTCCAAACTAGATCCATTCCAGATTCCTACATGACGTGGAGTTAAATCGGAATAAATATTAACTAAGTTGTACTTACCACCAACATTACCCTTTTTATCAAACTTTACATATTGACCGTTGTATTTCTGGAACGTGATCTCTTCTAATGACTTTAACAATTCTCTGGAAGTGACTGAAACACCAGCGTTTCTTTTATTGTTTAAGCTTTTTGTTATTCCAGCTGCTATAGCAAAAACTCCGTTTATAACGTTGCTTACATAATGGAATCGAGAAAATTGTTCTCTTTTCAGTTTTTGACTTTTTATATTGCAATTAGTTTTGTTTCTAACTGTGTTAACGTTCCTAATAGATTCTGATGGAGATAATTTGCAATCAAACAAATATTCCCAAGTTTCATTAAACCATATATTCCAGGTGTTATTGGTTGGCTTTAAATGAAGGAAATGATCTTCAAACTTTTTTACCGGTGTATAGTGATGGGCTAGTCCCAAAGTTCCAGAAACAATTTTTGAAAGAGTCTTATTCTTAATTGCCTTGGACCATGAATCGCTTGCAATAAGAGTTTTGTTTGCTAACCCAACATCAAGCATGGCTGATAACAAAATCTTTACATCAATCTCTGGCACAAATATTATCAAAATTTCAACATCAACCCTTCTCTTTATTTCTTTTACAATACCCTTTGCTGCATCCAAAGTCACAGAATATGGAACTGAGTAATCGTACGCAATGCAAATTCCCTCTGTTTTTCCTAACGATTTGAATGACTCGACTAATGCTCTTCCATAATCACCACTCGAAAACAAAATTCCAACATAATTCCAAGAAAGTTTTTTGAGTAAAGCCAAAAGCCCGCTGACCTGATTGGTATCAGGAGGGACTGTTCGAAAAAATGAGGAAAATCGCATTTTTTCGCTGAGATAACTTGATGTAGATGCAAATCCTATCTGAGGAATTTGAAATGCACTGAGAACTCTGTTTATTGCAATCGAAATTTCACTATTTCCTGCACCCAGAACAGCGATAACATTGCCACTCAGACGTTTTTCGTCTGTTTTCTTAGCTAAACTAGAGCAAATTTTGACATCTTTTTTATAACCATGTCTTTCCAAGACGATACTTGTTACATGTTGTTGCGCAATAGGAACTAAGTTACACGTGTCTCGTATTTCGTATCCTAGTGAGAATCCTTCTGGTAATAATGATCTTTCCCTCGCTTCTTTTAGGCCAAAAATGAACGCCTGCGTTAGCATCATGCCATCGACATAAAGATTAGAACATGCCCCTTCCTTTGATATATGGATGGGCAACAATGCACCAATAATTAATCGTCCACTTTTTCGAGCAATCTGTTGAGTAAAAGCATTTATCGTCTCGTTCACATAAATTCTGCTTGAGAAATCTTTGGAGTTTACTGCTTCAACAAGATTATTTGAATTACAAACATAACATACTGTTATGACAAAAATGATTAAAAATATAACAAGTCTGCGAGTAGAATTGACGTAAATTGTGATTCGCATTTTTATTAGAGAAGTTTTAAACTTTCTCAAACCCACTCTCTTCTTTCGAGATGAAATAAAATACGTTTTGGAAACTACAGATGATCTCTCATTAACAATAGTGACCTCTTCAATTTATACATTATTGTAATGATAAGCATGTCAACAGGGAGAGATTATTAGCATATCACAACGTCTACAATCGCCAATTCAAAAATAAAAAGTCTGTAAACATCTGCTTTCATTCTAAATGACTTCTGCTTTTGTTCCCATGTATTTATGCTACTCTTAATGATCAAAATTGCGTTTTACTTTCAAATATAAATGATTTATACTTAATTTCCCTTGGAAAATTATGGCTTTTTTGGAAAAAAAGTACTCAACTGGCTGCAATGATGTCCCAATTTGTTTAGGATGATAAAAAATTTATGTCAACATCGAGATGAGCTTTCTTCAGGGAAGCTAAAGAAATTTTCACTTTTAAAATAAGCGTCTTTTCTTGACGTGATTTGGGAAAGCGTTTTATAGGAATCGAGTTTATTTCATAATTATTTTTATATAAATTTAGCATATAATGCACGAAAATTAAATAAAAAATTAAAGATGCGATAAAATCTTTAAGACAATCGAATTTCTGAATTTAGCTCCAAAGTTGTCTTGAATTGTACAATCTAATTATACAGTTGTACTAACATTCAATTTATAAAATAACTTTTAAAAGAATAACGCTACAGGTAAATGTCAAAAGCATGCAGTCAAATGAAACAATGTGAAACATAAATTATAGTGCTTCATCGTCTTTCTCAAAAACATGTTTTCTAAAAACACAATTTTTAAAAGATTTTATTTTACGATCTCGTTCCGTGTATTTTTTTGTCCGTGCCTAACCATCAAGCACCTGCTGTGTAAACAAGGTATTGTCTTCGTCATAACATATGTTTTTTATGAAAGTGTTGTTTTAATGATTTGAATGCATAAGGCTTTCAATGAATGCAAAATGGAGATAGGGAAAATGACAAGCCATTAATTCATATCGTTATATCTTTATTTTAAAATCCGTGCAACTTTTTTTTCCTAAAGCAAATAAATATGTTAACTGTTAAAACACGCTGCTCTTGAACAAGTCTCCAAAATTCAAGTGCTGTGATGATTCATATAAACAGAGTCGACGGCAATTTAATCCCAATTATTCCATACTAACGTCTTAATATATAACTTATAAGTGTCAGTCATACGAAATAATGTGTAAATTATGTGAGTCACATTTTGTGAGGTGCTTTATCCTTGCAAAATAGAAACCTGTCTTTGTCACTGGATATAAATCAGAGGAGGGTTTGAGCTGATTGTGAAACACATTTTGAAATGCTGTGTACATTCTTTGATTTTCCATGTCACCTTGAATCTCAATGTAGATAGGTTAATGACCATTTGTTATGACTAATGTGTTGCTATGCAATGCTTCTCTTTTTTTTTAAAACTTATGTATCCTACGAAACAACAAATTGCTTTTCATTTTCTTTTAATTCAATATACCTATTTTTGTTGCCAAATATTGAATTGTTTCAATTAATGACGACAAAGTCTCCGTTCATCTGACAGAGATTACGGAAATACTAATAATTCCTGTATTTCCAATGTTTAATACTAAAAGTTCAAATCAAAAACCGCTCACATAAATATAAAATCCTTTGTAAAAGGAGGTATTAACTAACTTTTTACGCAAGGCAACCTGCTCGAACACAAATTTTGAGAAAAAGCAATTGACTGTGTTGACACTGGGGGACTGGATTCTAGGCAACATCCAATGATAAATCTTGTTGAAATTACATAAGATTATATTCTGTATTTTGCATGTCAGCAGCTGGCGGAATCTTAGCCTTTCTTGCAAACTGAATTCTACGTAATGAAGGAAAACCCCAAGTTTGCGTTTTCAAGCTCTTAAAAGCGAAGTGAGAACCAGGCGAAGGCGTCTGATTTTGCGTGCTTTTACAAACATTGACAACGTTCCTGCGTGCTTGAATGAAGTCTTTGAAACACTTGAAAACGATAAAGTACTTTTTTGTAAAACTAAACGCCGGATTTCCAGCAATCAAAACACTTGTTTGATATTTCATACATTACAATTACAATCAGGGGGGCCGGGGCGCACACATAAAAAAGGGACGTCATCATTTACCACAACAAAACACTAAAGATGGACGCTGATGTATTAGCTACACTTAAAATTCTTATCATTGGAGAAAGTGGTGTAGGAAAATCGAGGTATTTTCTAAGTATATGATGTATATGATGTTTGCATCATTTAATTATTTTGTATTTTTATTAAATCTAGTAAATATTTTGTTAGCTTTCAAATTTTTTAGTCAACGTTGCTATTTCAATAGTTTAAACGTTTGTACCCAGGACAAAGATATGTTGTAAATTGTTACTGCAACCAAATGAGCATTGTTTTTGAGGCGTTTTCTTTGAATTTTACTACTGTTATATGTTAGTTTGACTTACTACTTTTGATTATGTTTACTTAACTTGTTAAAAACTCAGCATTTATATGTTACATTTATAACTCTGATGCTATTTTATCCAGCCTCCTTCTGAGATTTGTGGATGATACATTTGATCCGGATCTAGGAGCAACTATTGGTAAAAATTATGATTATTGTTTTGGCATAACATTAAAGTTTCATTCGAAATCATGACAAATATTTTAATTGGTTTTCGCATGGATAAACTCAACGTAATGTACACAGTTAGTTTAAATACAAAATGTTTAAGCAATTTGGAAATTGGAAATTTATTTTCTGCTTTTGCTTTCCATTTGTGTACATGATCTATTATTACAATAATATACATATTATGTGACATTGCAAATATCATGATCTTTGAAATTTAAAAAAGTAAACAAATTTGCCCTGTTCTTCCTGGTAAAGAGATTTTATGTAAGGAAGTTTTTGATTACCCTGACAGCTTTCATTTACAGGTGTTGATTTTAAGATCAAGAGTTTAACAATTGATGACAATAGAGTGAAGCTCGCAATTTGGGTTAGTACTTAAAGAGTGAAATGTAATTAGATTCCTATCTTATTTTGTGACTTGTGGTGTCATCAAGTAACCAAAGATGGTAAAATTTAATGAATTCTAACTTTTTATAATTAAAAGGATACTGCAGGACAAGAGAGGTTTCGAACATTGACGCCAAGTTACTATCGTGGTGCTCAAGGATGTATTTTAGGTGGGTATGGAAAAAAAACAAACAAATAATAACCCAATTTAGGCTATTGAAAGGATCCATTGATTAAAGGTTACTTACTGCAGGTTAGAGTTCTGTAGTTGTGTAGTTGTCACCAGTGTAAGTCATAGATAAATGTTTAAAGTTACCTATGAACATGGATGGATTCAGGATGATTGTGTGTGTGGGGAGGGGGAGGGGGTGTGCTCCAGTATTAATAAGTTGTCAGTCAGTCAACGGTCAGTCAGTCTAGTTTGGATTTGTTTAAGTCTAGTCAGATTGTTTAAGATTTGTTTAAGATTTGTTTAAGATTTGATTGGTCTAGTTTGGGCTTGTTTAAGGGTGTTTTTACCCAATTCTAGCTTAGGCTGAGGGGTGCACACCCCAAACACCCCTCCCCTAATTCCATTGCTTTTTATGAAGGCTTGTAAATATTTATTTTGTAAATATTTTGATAGTTTATGATACAAGCAACCGTAGCACATTCAACAAGTTGGAAGAATGGTTAAACGAAGTAGAAGTTTATTCAACAAAACGGGACATTATTAAAATGTTGGTGGGAAATAAAATAGACAAGGTAAACAGATTATCTTTCTTTCATTTGTGCATTAAATATGATAATAAAATTCTTGAATATCTTGGTTTTGATAAATGATAATGACTGACAAGACAACCTAATTTCAAACAAAATGAAATTTGAAAAGAAAAGTGGAAAGTTTGCATCGTGTTTTTAACCATTTCATCATAGACTCATGTGTAGTTTGTCAGTTTTCATTACTCATGATATTTTTTCATTTGCCCTAATAATAGTCTCTTCTACAAAGTTATTGTTAACTATGGGACATTTTCTTTCTTAAAGGAAAATCGTGAAGTGGATCGACAGGAAGGAATGACTTTTGCTAGGAGAAACAAAATGCTTTTCATTGAATGTAGTGCAAAAACAAAAGATGGTGTGCAGTATGCATTTGAAGAGCTTGTTGAAAAGGTTTTGTATGTCTTTTTATTTTGATTATTAGAAATACGTGGAAAAAGAAAGTTTTGGGCAGTATGTGGTTCAAAATTAATATGTGTATTAAGACAAATATGTAAATCATTAAATACTCTTTCATTACCATTTAATGAGAAAGAAACCGCTATTGCAATGCAGTTAAAGGTTTTGCACAGCTGACCTGAGGAGTTGGAGTGCTAGTTGAATCCACCTAACATCAACCATTGTATCGTGCAATCAACGCAATCCAAAATGTTTCTTATAATTTAGATAATCCAAACACCGGGACTTTGGGAAAAAGATCATCAAAATACTGGAGTAGATCTTTCAAGCAGTAGTCAATCAGTTGTGCAGAGTTGCAGTGGGTATTGCTCAATGATTTAATTTTTTTCTTTGCCAAAAGACTAGTTAAGTGCAGCAAATTTAGATGTTTTCATTAATGTGATACTTCCATTGTGAAAAATGTACGTAGACTTGAACCTGGAGACGAGTTGTTTTTGGATTAGTGGTTTGGTATATGTTAGTTTCCTGCATTTTAACATTTGAGAACATGTCAGAAATTCAGCAATTTCTTTCTATGGATGTTATTCCTCAATTGTTATCGTCAAGGACGTTTTTTCTATGACGAGACACGTTGAACAAGTAAAATATTTGTAATAAGAAAGCAGCTTTAGTTAAAATGTAGTTACGAATGTGAAATCAGTTGTGGAAGCCATAAAAATAATCTGGTGCTGACTTTAAATGATATACATACAAGCAATGGGTATGTAATCGTCCGTCAATTCGTTAATTTTTCAAAATTTTGATTTGTGACTGTACAAAATGAAACTGTGCATACTTTACGTGGTGTATTTAATTTGCTGTATTATAAATATTTGCGTATCTTAAAGTTAAAATAATATAATCAAGTATATGAGTAATAAAAAAGCACGTTAATTGTATTTTTAAATTCATGATTGTTCTTTTTCGCGTAAATATTTCTCCCAATTAACATTACAGTAAATGTACATGACTTTAAATGAAACTACAATTGTAAGTAATTATTGCAAGTTGAAAGTGTACGGCATTTTTGTCGCACACGCTTAAATTTGCAATATTCACTTTGCTTAAGTGGTCAGGTTTTATTCTCTGCTATTGCAATCAGAAATTCAATATTAAGATGATTGGGGGAGGGGGTAAGCCCATGCGTGTTGTGCGACAATCATAAAATTCCATTTCTCTGGTGTCTGTTGTTCCCTTCAAAAATTGAAGACCATGAAGTCAGGCATGATGAAGCAACCTCTGATCGACCTTGGTAGCTTCGTTTTATATTTGAGAAGCAGAAGTGATATTCCTTCAATGTTTACATACCCCCTTTATAATAGTGTATCAAAAAAAGTTTTCTTGGAGACCTGGAGAAACTATTTTAAAATAAGTTGCGCGCGCAGATAAATAACAACTTTTGGTGATTCTAAGTACTGAAACGTTTTCTGGCACAGCAGACACTGAATGAAATTTTTGAAAACGCGAGGTGTTTTTTTAACAAGAGAGAGCTGTTGTTAAAAGTCGTAAACAGGTCTTGCGCACAAAAATTAGTCGTAGAAAAACAATTTTAAATTGATTTTATTTCATCGTTTCAAATTAATTGATGCAAACATCTGACAATACACAAGGTTAAATTTAAATGATGTAATTAATTAATAAAATCATTGTATGTATGTGCAACACAGTCCATATTAATGACTCACGTCAGGGTGATCTAATTGTTTTTTATTACTAATTTTGTGTCTGTTTTGAATTACTTTTGACAGCAGTTCTCTCGTTGTCAAAAAAATCTTGTTTTCAAACATTCCAGTGCCCAACTTTTCCAGAAAGACAACGATTCCAAGAATATATTAATTTGTTGTAGCACTTTTCTACAATCTTATATGAAGTATAAGATTTTTTTCAATATGGCTGATCAAGACAGCCATTTTCATGACATTCCCTTTGTTTTTAAATGGATATGATGACTCTACGAAAGTGTTTGTCATATATTTTACATAGAAAGAAATTGAAACTTTCATCTAATGTGCAAATTCTGTTTCAAGCTTCATTTCACAACTCAGCAGCCTTGACACAAAAAGTAAAACAAAAAAACGCAACAAGGCCACAATCTTTGTATGATAGTTTGAGGCTTTTACCCACTGCGACACAAACTGAGATCAAGAATGCTTACTATGAGTTGGCGATAAAATATCATCCGGATACCAGTAAAGAGGTAAACAAAGAAGAAAACTTTAGAGGTAAAAATAGGTTTTCTCTTCATTTTTATGACACTCTAAGCTCTTAGCTCTATTTATATACGTATGCTGTATGAGACTGAGAGTAGAACATATACTTGCGATAGTTTTTGGCACTGTGTGCCTAAATGCTTGCATCCTTTTATAGAAATCACAAATGCCTACCAAGTGCTGGGAAATGTTTCTTCAAGAAAGAAGTACGATGAAGAATTTGGATCATATTTCAATTTTCAAGGTTCCTTTAAGAAAGAAGCAATACGTCCGACATGGAGGTTATTTGACAGCAGAATAGTTAACATTGATGCAAAAAATATAAAGCAGGTGTCATTTTTTTAGTTTAAGATTTATTGGTGTGCAGTTTTTATTAATCACTTTACTTATGGTAGTTACATATGAACTTATACAAACACAGGGCTTTTCATATGTGTTTCTGCATCTTTCCAGACTCAAATGTAGAGAAATTGATTGTACCAGTTTAGAAAGTATTTTTTTGCACACCAGAAATTTTTTCATATTATCTTTTCATACCAAGCAGATTTATCAAGATGTTATATCATCAAAATGAAATGCCATCTTGCACTGTTAAATGACTAGTTGGAGTAATGATGAACTTCCAAATAAATAAATAAAAATGGGCTAAGATTTAGTCTCCAAATCAAAAATGGCTAAAATTTGTTTCTTAAATTCCAACCTCTTTCATATCATGAACATGTGCATAATACTGACATTTTATTTTGCATTGCTTTTGTGAGTGCACCATGAAATTTTATTTTTACAACAGCTCGTCAAATGATTGTACATCAAGTGATTGTTGACTGAGAAATGAAATTTTTTCTGTACTCACATTTTGACTTATGCTTGATGTTTTTGAGTAATGAATTTACTTATATTGTGTTTTAGGGAGAGACATTTATTTGTCATCTAGCATCTTTGAGCAGTATCTTGGGTAAACCATTTCGTGTTACTAATATCTGTCACCATGCTGTAATTCGTGGTATACCAGCCAATGAGATGAGAATAATGATTCTACTCAGACAATTATGCAATGGTTCATTGTCGGGTTCGAGGGGTTCAAAAACTATGACATTCTTACCATCTGATGTTCAGGCAGGAAAGTTTTATGTTGATGCTTATCAATTTGGGTGAGAAAATATTTTCGGATGTTTAGAAAATATTTTGCTCAGTGACTTTAAACTTATTTGTTTCCTGATTTCTTGCTGCTTAGTAACGTTTGTGATATCATTCCATTTTCCATATTGTGTATGATGTTTGCACCTTCTCCAAATCTTGGAAAATATAATATTCTTTTCCTAAATGGACCTACATATACATTTAATGGTTTGCACATTGACCATATTGCAAAGGTAACAGAGCTAGTGATTGCAAAACTTGTTTTCTAAAGCTATGTGCATTCTCATGTCCATCTTTACGTGAGTCAAAGATTACGTACCATTAAATTGATGTTTAAGGTTTATCTTCCTGTTATGAAAAACTTTGGAATGTCCTTTGAAATTGAAGTAAAAAAGAGGTATTTAATAAACTAATTAATGTTGTGCATCTTGTGAATTGTTGTTGTTTTTTCTGAAGAAAAAAATTAATTGTATTAATTGTTATTGCAGAGGCTACTTACCATATGGACGTGGTCGAATTGTGACCAAATCAAAACCAATTTTCAATTTTCAAAGTATTGATCTTACAATGCCAGGAATGGTTGTCAAAATAACTGGGCGAGCCTTTGTAGCTGGTGGAAAACCAATAAAAGTATGTTCTATGTCAATTTTTGAAGCGATCATTTTCATTTATGAAGTTCTAAGTCACATTTTCTTTTGAAATGCAGTAGTCATCAAAACAAACCAATGCCTATAGCTAGAAATGATTGTTTTATATGTAGATTGCACAAAAAATGGCTAGACAAGCATTAAAGTCTTTAAAGAAAAGGTTTAACGATATTCCAATTATGATAGACAGTGCCAGAGAATTGGATAGTCGGTCAGAAGGCATGGGTCAAGGCATTTTGTAAGTAATTAAAACTCACTTTTTGTGAGTCTCAAGTTATTTTTTTGTCTTAGAGTTTCATTTGGCTGATTGTTCAATTTCTACTTTTTCCCTTATGTTATGTTTGATTGAGCTCAGTTAGTAAGGATTCTTTAAGATGAGAAAATATTTTGATAGTCAGTAGCATCTTCAGGCGTCATAACTGTTACAATTCTGAAGTTGTTGCAAATTATTGGTTATGATTTTGATGCTTGAAGGTATTTATAAGTATAAATACAGAAAAGTGCTGAAGTCAGGAACAGCGCCACAAAATTGAACCTGGGTGGAGGGTGGGCTATGACTTATGTTTACTAAATTTACTGCATCTTAATTGTCATTTCTTTGCCTCAAGTTAGGTTAAAAAATCTAAATGTTAGCAAAAATTTTATTTTAGAGCAAAAAGTGGGAGGGGAGGATCGTTTTAATTCGTCAAATCGTTTAACAAATCTGTCTCATCTCGTATATTATTAGCACCAGACTCTTCAATTTTTATGACTCCCTTGAGATAAATTATTTCTGTTTTTATCAGTTGAAAACCAAGTATCTTGATTGTAGGACATGGTTCTGCTTCTGAACAACGTTATATTATTTCAAAAATACGTCTTTTCATATTATTGACTTAGTGAGGATTTTTTAGACTGGTGGCAGAAACATCAACTTCATGCGTGTTTTCGGGCTCTGGATTATGGAAAAAAGGTTCCCAAATAGAGTTAGATGAAGCTTAATATGGTTTATTTTGTATAATGGTCATTTTGTTGACTGTCTAGGTGTTGACACAGACGATATAGTTGAGATGGCAATTTCAGAACTTCTGAGTAACACAAATTCAGGTGGTTGCGTTGACAGTTGGATGCAGGATAAGGTAAAAAATTGTGGCGACTACTATCACATCATCGTTTCTAGACTATTGCAAATTCATCCAAATGTTATCCAATGTTATCCTAAAGTGAACACGATAAAGTACAGAAATCATTTCTATATTCTATCCTGTTGATATCCACACATTAAAGTGCATTCATACATGTGTTGTTGCTTGTTCACTGTTTATGATTTCAGTTTTGTTTTCGCAGCTGCGAGTAAAAGGTTTTTTCTTTTTTAGGTAATTACAGCAATGGCACTTGCACACGGAGAGTCAGTTGTATTATTTGGATCTTTAACACCACAAGCGAAAGCTGCTATAAAAGCATTGAGAATTCTAACAAAGGTATTAAAATGTTTCGTGTTTAAATGAAATTTGGAGGTTGTCGTTTAACAGAAATAGGACAATCTTTGTGACATTCACACTATAATTCTGTTGTCATTCCTACCTGCAACAGTAGACAATAATTAAGATCTTATTAAATATTGGATATTTATCGTGTCTTAGGGTAACTTTATCTGAAAACTCACGATGCTAAATATAGTTTTTCATTATCCTTCTCAAAGATAAAAATGCAAATGTCGTACGTCGAATGCCACCTTTTGTGAATTTTGATGAGGGCAAAGTAATGAAAAATACATGAAGTACCGCGTCCCATAATCTCAATTTAAACAGAAATGGACAAATTAACACATTATACAAGTAGCTTTGAAATATTTCCACGTAGTCTCATGCAGCAGAGTATTTCTCACTCTCAATTCGTTTGATTTTAGGTCCGTATCCAAGTCATCAAACAAAGCCATTCACCAGAAGTAAATATTGTTAAGTGTAAAGGTCTTGGTTTCACTAACTTGTACCTCAATAAAAGGTAAAAATTTTAAATTGTTTTAAGAAATGTCAATATCGTACCAATACTGGTATACATGCTTATGAATTGATTACGTCAACGGTACTCTCACACATATTTCTGTAGTCTCATACGTATGTATGTAAGTATGACAGAAAATTATTGAAACTACTGACTTTGTAAATCATAACGTCGAGTTATTTTAATCATTTCATTAACTTACATATACGTATAGTTATGTATAATATGCATTTGAATCTATTGTTAATTAATAACATGCACATAGTGATATTTATTTGATAAATCTGCATTTGCAATATCTAAATTTTCCCAGACAAAAATACAAACATGAAAAAATGAGCTAGCTATGTATGCCGTACATATTGTCAAATTATTTTGAAGTTTTTTTCACACAACACCCTTGTGAACTGTGCATTCACGTGCATTCCTGATGCACCAAGAAATGATATCACTCAAAGGATATTATGCCTTTTTGTATGCTGCACCATTTCAAAATTATAGTAAAAACATCTATAAATCTGGAAAGCGACATGGATCTTCCTATAAAAAATGTAATATTTATGATTGAAAGATTTCTCCAAAAATAAACGTCAAGCGCAACATGAAATGTCAACTTACCTTAAAATCTTTGGGAATGAGGAATTTCGAATCGGGAATCTTCACCTCGGCCTCAAATTTTTGAAACGTAATTCTTGCGACAATCGTTGGCAGGACAGGAATTTCTGTAAAAATAAACGAAATATCTCGTTGTGGTTTAGTGTCGCAATGCGTAAATAGTGTTGCTAATCTGTTTGTGTTTAAAAAATCTAAACGTTAACTCGTATGTTTGAGAATCACGCATGGCATGGATGCCGGAGTAGAAGAATCACGCATGGCCTGGAGGCCAAGCTAGATGAAATGAATAACGCATAGCTTGAAAACCAGGATAGTTGAAATGAAGAATTGTCATCCCTTTGAAAAAATTATTTTCAGTGCTCAGCTTAGCGAAGATGGAAAATTGATGGAAGATTAAGAAAATGGAAGACTGAGAAAAAATATTGGACTGAAAATTGTTCTCCTTAAGAAAACGGAGGTGGACAAATTGGCTAAAAATTGTTTCACGGTGGTTTTGAGAGGCTTTGGCAAATATATGTGTGGCCTATGTTCATAGAGTACAACGATACTTGATGAGTCATTAAAATGTCTGAAGTCAACAACATACCAACACGGACTGGGAAACCAGGCGGTAACTTCAGTGACACAAAGTCTTTCAATTTATCAAAATGTTTAAAAGGGGCGATAACTTCGAGGACATTTAACAAACTACAAAAAATTACACATTACAATTCACTTGTTGGTAAGAAATATTTGATTAAATTATTCACAATTATGCTTACGGTTCTAGTTTAAGAGGAAAGCCTTCGTTCTAGAAAATAAAAATTAAATTAAGTAGACGTTGGAAGTTCATGCTGAATTGGACATATAATACCATGGCAACAGTGGCCTTCATCGTCTTCTTTTCTTCTTTAAATATTGTTTTACGTCCTAAAGTTGGCATGCTAAAATGAAAATGGATATGTAATTCGTTCATGGAAAAGAAAATTATCAGGACATGCTAAGATTAAAATATTAAATGTCAGTTACTACTGCACAAGAACATTGATATAAGTTTTTTTCTGGCATTTTATCTTACTTTATCGTCTCACTGTCGATATACTTTTCCCATGAACAGCGTTCAACAGCTGGGGCTGATAAAGACTTCTTACGTTTCACCTGTTTTACAGTACACATGTAAGCGATATTTTATTTGATATTCGGGTATAAGCCAATAAATACAAAAAGATAAATTAGGCTGCCATCTTAATGAGGAAAGTTACATCTCCAAGTCATATGCGACAGTCATGTTCATTAAACTGAGTTTTCAGAATTGCTAAGTTCCAGGAAGTAATGTATAGGTTCTAAACACGTATATATTGGATTATTGAACATTTGTAGTTTAAAGACATTGTGAACAAAAACCCGGGCAAATCTACGTGCACACGTGATGCTAATGTTCGCGATAGAATGTAGAAAAGTTTACAAAACTGTCTCAATCCAAGATCCGATCTCTGACATTAGCGTCCGCGATCCATCGCCCGCACAATTGACTCGTGACCCCCCCTACCCTACCCCAATGAACACTTAGTAAAGACATGTTAGATATAGGGCGTATAAGAACAATTCTTTACTACCTCAGGTATACTCTCCACCGTTGATGTTCCCTTACTAATACTTTCAACAACAGCCTGAAAAGTTGTTAGATGAAGTTTGTGTGTTATATAACAGTCAGAAAACATTGACGTTCACCTTATTTTTTACAATATCTTCCTTTGAAAGATGTTCCCTTCTTTTTTTTGTAATTAATGTCATTCCATTTACATCATAAACATTTGCTACATATGATCCAACATTTTCCTAAATTTGAAGCCAGAAATCACCTAAGTTCTGAGATTAATGTAAGCAAAACAGGTATATCAAAGCATAATATATCGATACACATGTAAATTTTAGTCATACAATTTTGTCTTCTTTGAAAAACCAACCATCTTGTGAACGAGAGAAAGTTATTGGTTTTGTTGACATCATTGCTGATACTATGTCACTGGAATAAATGTTTGAACAAGTTACTCAAGGATGGTTTTATATAATGAAAACTAACAGTCTTTTAAAATAAACAACACAACTTTGGTCTTAAACATGTGAACAGATACAATCATCTCTTTTTTTCAAATGCATTATCATAAATTCAGGAAAGTCACTGCACCTTCTTCATAGATAGGCTTCATTGTATGATTTTAAGTTTCTTAGCACTATTTACAAGAAACTCTAACTAACCAGCTCATTAGTAAGTCTACTTCTTCATCAACTTCAGCATCACTGTCCTACAAACATGCAAAAAAAGTTAGAAAAAAAAATGAAATTAAATCCTTTCACCCAAATGTATCATGATCATGCAAGACTTAAAAAAGCTTGACGTACCTCATCTTGCATTCTCTGAAAGACCTTCTTCTCATTATCTAATATGGCAAATGACTTAGTACCTATAGAATTATAAAATAAGCAAAATATTCCAACAAAAACAACTTAATATTTCTCTTCTGTCAAACCTTCTGCATCTCCATTGAAAATTATACTGATGTCACCACGTTGCCATTTCATGTCAGCAAAGTCAATGAGTGTGCTATCTAATCTGATAAGAAATATAATTCATTAAAGATAATTTAAGGAACACACACCTGTCTTATGAACTAGAAATTGAATTCCATAATATACAGTGTACCTTATGCAACATCCTTTCTTAGAAATTTTACACGTGTCTGATGGCAATATCCTGGACACTAGTGGAACTGCAATGTTGGAAAACAAATAAAACTTATAATTCATTTAGGTCACTTAAAACTGAATTATGATCTTAGCCTTGAAACGTTTGTAATTACAGTTCAACTTACTCCAACTTGTAAAATCCCATTTAAGTTCAACATAAAAATCACCAAGCTATAACAATAGAATTAAATAATAAAATTGCAAACTAAAATTATTTAATGAAAAATATTATACATGTTAAATTGAAAAGTGAGCTATAATTAATTGATTGATATTAAATAGAAAGTTTTTGAAATACCCCGTGTAATGCTTTCATAAGTTTTGGTCGATTTCTTTCAATGTTATGCTGGTTCTGTTCTTTCATTTTTCTCAAGACTGCTTTAACTTAATAAATTGAGTAATGATCAAAACAAAGTTATGTAAAGTCATTCATTTATAAAGATTTAACATACCTATAGATCTGCTTCCCCAACTTATTGCCTCTGCTAGTGGACTCCAACCTGAAGCATTTTTCACTTTGATTGTAGCATTTTTTTCAAGAAGTAAATAAACACATTCTAATAAAAAATATTTCTATATTGGTACATATTTTATTAATTTTATCATTAAAATATACATTTTAAGACATACCTTTGTGGCCAAGCATAACTGCTAAGTGCAAAGGAGTATTTCCTGAAAAATCACATAGACAAGCATAATTACTAGAAATTATGGTATCTTTAACTATTTTTCTTAGTTAGCCATTGTATAAGTTGAGAAAGAGAAATATTAGCAAATTTTTTATGCTTGTTTAGGCATTCCTCAATATGAAAATAGTCCAATTGTCGTATTTCCAAAAAATACAAATGACACGGGTTTTATTTTCATGTTTGATGGAAATAATGAATAAAAGATAATATTTCCATGTGCACAAGATCTATAAGTATATCGAATTAAAATATGGCAACTTCAAAAACAAAAACTATATCAATTTGCCATTAATTTCGTTGAATCAATCAATTGAATGAAATACGTAATCCATTTATGCAGTATTTGTGGCATAAGCAGAAATCGCGTTAACGTTTTCAATATTCATAAAGAAATTATACGCAAGCACAAATTACTATGCAGTAGAAAACTAAATAGTACAAAAGAAAACTTGTATTTTAAGTGTCCAAGTGAATGATACATGTCGACAATGGCCAGTATTGAATTCAAATAATTCCGCATGATTCTTGTGTTAAGTAAAAATGGTAAAAACAAATCGCGACTTACCATGACTGTCCCTTTCATCGATATCATGATCATGCAAAAGACTTGAAACTTTCCTGAGGTTTCCTTCAAACACAGCCCTATGCAATGGATATTGATCGCAAACAGTTGTGCTTTCGCTCATTTCTTCATGAAGGTAAGAGCACAGAACAGATTTTCACAATTTCACTGTATGATAATGAGAATGTTTCTGTGATCGTAACTCTTTGAAATTTAGAAACGTTTTTGAATGTTGAGCGCGTAAAATGGAAACATTTGCACATATTGTAAGCACGATTCTCTCCCTGACCAAATGGTGACTACTGGTAACTATGGCTACGACTCAAATGATGGCTGCTCGTTCAAGTTGTCAAATCCGCGGACTCACAGTGTTCACCTGTTCTTCTTGTGCTAGATTTTAATGCTGCCAGTTTTTCTTCAAATTATGGACATCGAGTTTGATAATTTGCAACTCTTTTGAAAAGCTGCATAAAAAATGAAGTCGAGGGCGCAAATGTTGCTTGAAAAAGAGTATGTAAAGTTACAAAGAGAGAACTTCTGGGTAGAGCAAACTTGAAATTTACAAGTTTTAATTGTACTTCGTCATTTAAATAATTGACAATTGACATAGAAAGTAGTAGTATGTGTAATTGATAGTTGGCTGAGAATATTTTCTTCCTGAAAGGAACCGTAAATGTATGATAATATTATAGGGCATAACAGCTTATCCTATTAATGAGGATAATATGTTTTTGTGGGAAGCCAAAATAAATGGTTTAAAGGAAACAATGTGGGAATGTAAGTGTGTAAAATTATTAACTAGACTGATAGACATGATCTTTAAATATTAAATTCTTTGCAATTTCAGGTGGTATATTCAAAATCTACCTTGAGTTTTCAGATTCTTACAACATGACACCACCTAAGGTTTTCTTTGCTACGATACCATATCATCCAAATGGTGAGAGTGTTTCGTGATTTTTATTTTTAAGGTTTGAAGATATGGTACGAAACATCCATGATTTATAAGCATTCTAAAAATATCACAAGTGCTGTTTTGGATGGATTTCATTTAACTATTGTTTATGTGATTTTTTACATAAATTTTACCCACAGTTTACAATAGATACATAATAATGTAATTGCATAAATATATCTGTTTTGGTTGTGTAATAAACATACGGGAAATACAAATTAATTTTTATACGATATGTATAATACATACATATGTGTTTAATATTAAATTACCATAATATATACATATATTCAATATGCTACCACAAAGTTATAGAAGTCTAAACTTTATTTTGTGTGGCAACTAAGAATTTTCTGGAATTCCTCCTTTGAACAATTTAGTTCACAGCTCAACTGGAGTACCATGTCTGGATTTCTTGGATAACCCTGCTGATTGGATGGCAAACTACAGTATTTCATATATTTTACTTTCTATACAGGTACAATATAAATTCTGCCCTTTCACAAATGACATTTGATAATATTTATTTTGTATATCGTAAAAATACATACATTCCCATTTTTATTGCATCCACTACTGAGCTCAAAAACTTCTATGAAACCATGAGTAAGGATGTTGCTACCTTTGATTGTTGGTATATGAATTTAAATTTTTTTTTATATCTCTCATCTACAGAATTACTAAATAGATAATTTATGCAAGTTTTTAGTTTTTATTGCATATTTTATGTATTGTTTAGATATTACTTTCAAATCCAATTTTGCAAGATGCCGTTAATGAAGAAGCAGCTTATGAATATTACCACAATAGAAAAGCTTACAATGAGACTGTAATAAATTGCATCTTGGAGAGCAAAAGAATGGACGGTCAGTGCATGTAATGAAATTTTTGATTTGGCATATTTAATTGGCTGTGTGATCACTAATTAGATACATTTAGACATAATATGTACAAACAAGATTTTAGATTTGCTGAATGGGATGATAAGCTTGTATCTGATATACCGAAAATACTAGCCTAAGCTGTTTTCAAGAATTCATAAGTTAAGGAATTAGCTGTTAAAAATACACAAGCTATTGTTTATACATCAGCTATGATCTGTTTTGCATATATTGCCTATGTTCAAAATTAACAAACTATTACAGCCATGTGCACTTGTTGTTTCAAATATCACATTCGATTCTTCAAGTTGTTTGTAAAAAAAACATCGCAAATATCACATTCACATTGGTCTATTGTATTAGTTTTGCCTCTGTTGCAACACTTACTTTTTCAACTTTGATTTTATTTATGTAGGAAATCTTAAACGAAGCTCGGTTATTAAAAATAACTCCGAGATAGTGGAGGAAGAGAAAAACGATGACATACATTTTCATTTGAAGAAAATATCATTTGAAGACTATTTGAAATTGTGGAAAGGCATTGCAACTTCGAAATTATCCACCACACCGCAGAACGCAATGAGAGTGTATTTGGGGAATAATGATAAACTACAGGAGGCTCATTTTGATTTATCTCAACATGAAGTGGAAAACGAAATCCATTTTCAGTTGACCCAGCACAGAAGGTTAATGTATGGAACATTCGCGTCAAAGAATGACAATCTATCCGAAATTAATTCAAGTCCAAGATCAGTATCTACAAAAAGTCACTTCTTGCGACATTTTTATGAAGGAAAACCAAGTAAGATAGTTATTTTAAGCTACTTTAAAGACTTTAGTTACTAATTTGCAAAAACATTGGCAAGCTGTGTGTTTAATGGTGTTTACTTAAAACCAAGCCTAACAACGTTGTTCCTCGCAAGACTTTGGTGAACAACGAAAATTATACTGGTAATAAACCAAGGTTTTGAGAAATGCGTGTTGTTTCACACCGGCCTTCGGCGAAAGTTTTTTAATTCATCCGATTTGAAGTCAGTTTTGAATCCAGAACATATGATGAATAGCATAATGTCTTTATACGCTTGAACAATAAGTTGTCTAAAAAGTAGTTCGGGCTACTAATTGTAATTAAAGCGAACTGTTTTTTTAAACAACCAATATTGGTAAATTTCTACTTTTTTAGAAACGAACTTTGAACCTTTTAGAGTATTTCAGTGACAATTATAGGATAAAAACAAAACAAAAAAACCTGTTTAGTCTGATTAATGTTGTCATCAGTCTTCGCTGTCACAGTATTATTGGTTAAAGTTGATCACAATAGAGCCAACGTGAAGTAATCATTTGATTTTTGGCGGATTGTTTTAACTATTGCAATCCATTGATCATCTTTTCTTGTTCCTGGTAATGTCAATATTGCACTGTCTGCTATTAATGAAAAAAGTTGGTTTTCAATGTCTATCTAGTCTTTAATTGAATAAACGTTTTAAGAAACTACACAGGTTGGGTGTGGTCATTATCGTGACAGACAGCCGATTCAACATGTTGACATTTTAAAATTAGTTTCAAGTGTTTCGAAATTGTTTTATCTTTCAGATTCGACTGACACCGAACACTTGAACGACTGTAAAGATTTTGAAATAGAGGCAACTGACTTAGTCACTTGGAGTAGAAATCTTTCGGCTGATTAATCCTTTAGATGTTTTCCAAGCTCCAAACAGAATATTCCCATGTTCTGGTCGAAAAGAAAATTTTGTAACTGCAAAATTGGGGATAATACGATGTTCGGATGCATCTATCTCTTGTTTTTGTTCTTAATCAAATGTCCAATTTTATTACATTTATTTTACGTATAAAATTTACTATGCCAAATTAATTTCAGTATGTAAATTCGACCATTCTCGACAAAAACTTCGATGCTGTTACTCGTAAATTAAAAAGAAATTATTTTATAACGCAAGCAAATTGCTCGTTTGGGGCAGTTATCTTGAAGAAAATTTATGGTCCATTTTGTAATGACGTAATGCCAAAGCCATCATCAGAGAATATATATAATATATTAATCCTTATATATTGTGATGACATATGGTAATGAAAGATAGAACTGAAGTTTTGAACACCAGTCATATTTTATTGTCATATTTTACTACTAATGCATGAATATTACTAAAAATTTTATTGCCATTGCTAAACTGTGGCAATAAGAAAACTGTAGATATTTAATTCTTGGAAAAGAAAAAAATCATTTAGCTAGATGTTAACCTTGGACTGACGAAGTGGTTTTTAAAATATCGCTTGTGATCTTTCATTACCGCATTAAACAATGAAAGTTAACGAAAGCCGACGATAGTTTTTTTCATTCGCCTCCTGATACTTGAGTTACAATGACATTGGCGTTAATGGGAAATGAACTAAATGAATCTAAACGTTTAAGGTTGGTTGAAATTACAACTGAAAAAGACAGGAAATTAACTATCCGTGTAAAACAAAATCCAAAGTTTTGAGCCTAAAGTTTTTTACGAAATCTGGACTCATTGTATCAGTCATGAGCGTATCAGATGATATTTTTTAGAGGATGCGGACATTTTCAAACTTGAATGACTTAGTGGCCAATATTGCCTACACACCATGCAAATACTTCCTTGATGTCAGGTATATGCTACGTAAAGAAAGAGAACCATGCGAGATTGAGATTTCAGCCTGTGTCTGTTTGAAAAGAACATGACAATTTAATTTGTCCATTTAGTATAGTTTTCAACAGTTGGTAACGCCTAAATCGGTTCCATCAGACAGAAAATGTTTCCATATGATCGCTTGTGTCGTACTTCCGTCTGGTTGTATGAAAATACCAAAACAATGACGAATAGAGGATTTCATTTAGGGAGGAGTGGCATATTTAAAAGCCTCCTCCAAGTATAACCAAGAAACAAGTGAACAACTGGACATTCTCATCTCATGCAGTGAGAAACCCAAGTCTTTGATTCGACATATGGTGCAAACCGTGTGATACTCCATGTGCTTTGTGCGACGAGGCAAAGCTAGGAATAAATTATGTTCCTGCTGAAGTTTCTTAACGAGATCGATTTTAACATCATTCGGAGCGCTTGCAGTTCATGTTTTGAAGCAATTTTAACATCATTGAAAATACTTCACAGGTTTATTCTCGACAAATCACGCACAACAACTGTTTATGTGACAATATTTTCTTAGTAATTTTACTCCAAAAACTTTTATTAAACTGATGGATTGATAAATAGACGAAGCAATCAAAAAAGATTATTCAAATGTATTTGTAACACTTGTTTCTCTGACTGGTTTTGATTTGTATGAACAAAATTTCCCTTTTGTTATAAACCGTGAGGTCAATGTGGCAAGGGCGGATATTGTCTATAATATTAAGAGCCACGTTTCCTAAACAAAGAAGCATAAAAACAACGTTTGAATAATGAACCACCCGTTGATATGTTTGGTTGTGATGTTGTTATTGCCCTGTTCAATTCTGATTGGACAGCATTTACGTCATGGATTTATGGCACAATAGCATTGGCTATTTGCTCTGGGTTTTAAATACTTTAGGGGCTTTCTCTGATCCTTAGACAAGGTTCTGCATCGCGAGAGAAGGGCGACAAGCACAAGCTAGTAGAAAGAATTGTGATATTTTGTTATCTTCCAGCATAATTTTGGTAAGTTTACACAGAGAAATTCGTGATAGGTTAAATTGTATGAGTACCCGAAATAAAGATCCGATTTAAACGTTCATGCAACTCGAGAAGACGGTCTGTTATTCCTGTAGCTTTGTGAATTAAAATCTATACGAAATGTTAGTTTTCCCTCTACTTCAAATCAATAATCAGTAATTTTACTGAAAGGCTGAAAGGCGAGCGATCGTACTTGCGAGCGACTATGTAGTTTAAGTAGAAGTACTGTAACATTGGTTTGCAGCTTGTAGTCTTGAAAGTAATCTCGTTGGAAAATAACCAAAATTTTGAAGATCTCAAACAAAATGCCGTGTATAGATTTTGTTTAAATTGGAAATTGGCCTAGTGGACTTCAGCTAAATGTCTCTTGTGATATAATATTTATGTATAATAAACGGGGAGACGTGTTCCAAATCGTTTGCGTCACATACCAAATGGATATAATATCACCTTGACAAAATACGCCTCTTGATATTAGCACCGTGTATGTCGAAATATTAGTAGTAGACTAAGTTTGATGTTTCTCAACTGCATTAATAACGTTTGTTTTCGATGCAAGCATAGAAATGCTGCCGTTTTCTGTACTTTTTGCTATTTGTATAATATACTGCATCCATCTTCCACTGAGAAGATCTGCGTAAAACGTTACACTTTTTCATGCAAGAACCGTTTTCAGTTTCGTAATTTGAGTACAGGCTCATAGGACAGGATTGTGTCAAACTGCATGATATTATTCAAGATTGTATGATTTGCATTTCTTCGAGTAATTGTGCTGACAGTTAATTTCTATAAATATCCAATGAGCAAATAGAGATTGAATTGCAACGACAGTTAGATGCAATCAATATTTTTGATTTAAAGTTTGATTCTCCCCGAAGTTTGCTATTGTTATAGTTTGGTTGGGCAACGTTACCAAACATAGACTGTGTTGTGTGCAAAATATTACGAAGTTGAATAACGCAGGTGAAATGATTGGCTGGATTCAAGATAGAAATATATCATTGGGTTTTCTGTATCCCTAGGAAAATACTGTCGAAGGGACAGTGGTTGGGTATAAAGTCATTGGCCTACGCAGGGATACGTTCATATCACATGATTTCATATAGCGTTAGGCTATATGTATAGACTTAATTTGTGAATATCGAACATTTCACAGAAACTACATACTCTAACATGCAATAAAATGAGAGCACTATTTGCTTTGCTTTAAAACAACATTTTCAAATCCACTCATCTTTGTTACGAAATATCAAGTAAATAAAATAAATTGCAAAATGCTTAGCTGTGAGAATGTAAATTATTGGCCCATATCAAGGATATCAAGTCGCTTTTTTAGTGGCTGTGTTTTGTTGGTCTTTGTGTAATGTGTCACATGACTCATGTCTTTCATTAACATTTATACATGTCGCCTGCGTTTAGTTAGCACTGTTGATATGCCATCAGGCCACTGTCAAAAGCAATACAGGTGTATTAAAAATTTTATTGCCACTGTCAACCAGCTGTACATGTCTGTTAATTTTGTCGCACATACAACTACAGTCTACAAGATATATGTTACATGATTTCATAATTGCTGTCTCTTTGTTTTTTTCTTTTCCTTTGTCTTCTCTTCTTTATAATGACTTAATGTATATGCAGTTGTCATAGGCGAACGCTAATTTTCACTTATTTGATTTGTATCTAAGACCTTGTCCACACTAATGCGTTTTCGAAACGCTCCGTTTTCATAGCGTTTTCGGCTGTCCACACTAAAACACTTGAAAACGTTGAATGTGTGATATATTAAACTGCGCATGCTTATACATAAAACGCCAACGGCTGTTGTGACATCAAGTGACATTTTCCAACATTTCAGGACGTCATCGACATCATCGTTTTTAAAAGGCTCCGTTTTTGACTGTCCACACCAAAACAAAACGCATCCGTTTTCAAATTGCTCCACTTTATCGGCAGTGTATCGTTTTTGAGCGTTTCAACGTGGACGGAAAGCAAAAACGCATCAAAAATTATCCGCTTACAAACGAAAACGTATTAGTGTGAACGGGGTTATAATAGGATTGCCAATAATTTGCTCACAACATCCAAATAAGTTCTTGAAGTGTTTAGCTTCTGTTGTTGTGAAACGTAAAATGTTGGATAATTTTTTGCCAAATGACGTTAATTCTGCGATGGATACGAGTATTCGGAATGCAGGCAAACATTAATTAGCAAAATTTTATCCACTGTATTTTTTTAATTGCAGCCGTTTATTGCTTAAACAACAGTTGAGCGATTTGAACCAGAACATTTTATTTTCACAAAAGAGGCATGTAGATTAACTTCTCGCTGTTTGCCCGTCTTTCATTTCGATAATTATGCTAGCTAAAGCTTAATGGTTTCCTGAACATTAACGTTTGTTCCTACATCATAGAACTTCCTGTATTATGTTATTTTATCATTCTGGTTTTACATCAAAAGTCCGCTCAAAGCATGCGAGAAAGCATGAACAGCTAACTTATGTTCATTTATTAATACGCGTATTAATTTCCACATAACCTAACTGTACAAAAACTCGGTAAACTACCGACTGTAATTTTGTGAATATGAAAAGTATTATCAATACTTTTTGGGGAATTGATTTCGCATAAAATTAAAATCATTAAATGTCAGTACTTTGATGAAACGCCGTTCTAGTCAGCCACTTCAATTATTGCAATGATCAACAGAATCTGAATTTCTTATCGGCTATCTTGCCTTGAGGTTACTGTTGTTTCAAAGCAATTTTAGAATTAATTCAGACTTCGGAATTATAATAAAATGTGCAGTTAAACTTGATCGAAGTATTAAGTTCACTAATCAATGCTATAAACGGGTTTGTAAATTTGAAGCTCTTAATTTTAAAGAGGATTTTTCCAGTGGAAGCCTTCGAAAGACTACATGCTGCCCTACGTTTTGACTGATCACTATCTGAGAATAAAAGGAAATAAGATCATCAAGATCACTGTCTATCTTTACCAATATTATTCATTTTGATGAAAGGAAATGCATAATTAACATCTGACATTACATGCCTCTTTTTATTATAAAAGCCCAGCATGATAATAACATCATGTGATGATAGATATAATTATAGTAATGTGATGAAAAAATCTTTGTTTGTTAGCCCAACCTTGACGATTTCATCATATGAATGAGTGGTTGCACATATGTTTTCAATTGTGATATTTTGTATTCTTTTAATCTTGTCGCTACATCATCAGGCTACTTTCATCGTTATTTGACGATTTCCAGCGATACCAAACTTGTTTGAAAAAGATTGGAGCCAATACTACTTTCCAAAGCTTATAATTTTTATAAAAGCTTAGTATTCTCACGCTTACATCAATGCCGTACTTTTTTATTGTATATACTAGACCTACCGTCAGTAACTATAGCTGCCAACACTAGCAGTAAAAATTGAAATGTAGCTACAGAATCACAGTGACGAAGCAAACTTTTTGTAGCAATTCATTATTTCGTTATTAGAATAACAGTCTTTACTTTTTCGATCTCCGATTTTAGGTCACTGCGTGTATTCAAAATTGCACACGAGCGAACTTTCTGGAACGTATAGTGTATTTTGCTCATTTCCTTTGTATGTTTTTAGAGAATGAATGTTGTTTTAATCTTGAATTGCGAAGCTTCTAACAAGAAAGCCGGTTTGACTCAAGCACAGAATGTTTTAAGGCAGCTTTGTGAAAATGGCAACAAAGTTTCAATTTTTGGTGAGTGCTACGTTTTATTTCTGTCATGGGGTCATGACCTAAACTAGCCATGTTATTACTTGTTTATTTGGTTGAGCCGAGCATAGATTTTAGGGCTAATATGGAGGGATTATGGAATGTGACTAGATTCAGTTTTGTGAGATAAAAAAACACAAGTATTGTAGTTCACATATTGGACCTTATGTTCAAACAACATATGCACGTAAACATATAAGTGGAATGTACTTTGACTTCGATTAGCTAAATAAAAAAAATGCTGACAGGAAAGTTAAATTGTCCATTAAATACGTAATTTTACATATCTATTCACATTGTACACGTCAAACTTTTGCTTAGAAGCTTGTAGTCCATTCTTTATTTTTTCGTGACTAAACATATTTTATATTTTCTTCTAACAGATATACCACTTAGGCTGTAGCCACGTTTATTTTTAATTAAAGCAAATTTAAGCAAAATATGAACAATACTTATTTCCGTTCATTGTCTTCATAATACATCAACATTTGACAGTAATGATCAATTGGACGCAGTTATTAATTTTTATGCCATGATTTATTAAAACGTTGCGAAATCATGAAACTTTGCAGTTCTAAATTTCTTCATGAATTTAACTGAACGTTTTTCTGTATTTTGTTATTTGTTAACTTTTGAGCTTGGCTAAGAATTAGCTTACACAACAAATGGACAACTAATGATTCTGATCACACCCACAACAATAGAAAGTTTAGCGAGCATATGAAGTACATACTTAAAAATTTATCAAATGATTCAAACATCAGACTTAATGTTTCCAAAGTTCACATTCACAAAGGCTAGTTGACTGGATTAGAGCACAACGTTTTTAATACAAGATTTTATGTTAACAAATGTGCAAGATTGTCAGTTAATGAAACGTTTCGGCCACCCAAAATTTCGTGGCAGAATTTCCGGCGTTTTATTTTAATTGTTTTGTACAAGCCTTCGCATATTTTTAAATTTAAATTATCGTTGAGTTGAATCTGCAGATTGTGATTTGCATTCGCATAGAAAGCGATAAAAACGAACACAATATATCGGCTCACGTTTCTGTTATTCTTGTTGAATTAATTTTCTCGGGAAGAAGTGACAAAGCCACAGAAATAGGAAATACTTAAATCAATAAACTTGCTCAAGAAAAAAACACAATCATTTATTACGATACTAGTATGGTCCAGTGCTCTGGCCATATAATGGCTATGACGATTATTGAACAAAAAACAAATTGGTCTGAAACCAAAATGCGCGTTTGTCTCAAATTCTTTTGAAGATCTCCCTATGTTCAGAGCCTCAGAGGCTACAAGGAGATCTACTTTAATCCTTTTAAATTCTTGAAATAATACTTCATGATTTATATTTTACTTTCTAATCCTCTTGATAGATATTATAAATGAAAAGCTGCCTATTTGTAACGTATATTCTCGTCAGTTTTGACGAGGTATTGTGATATTAGATTTTAGGCTTTGCTATTCTTGTAATTCATGCATTTTATGAGAACAAAAGAAGCACATTTTTTGTTGTTTTATTTGTGCATATCATTATCAGTTGGATGTATTGAATATAGTTTTATTATATTATTTACTATTTTTATTTCCATAGAGTGCAAGGAACAATCTGTAAAATTTATGTCTGAAGAACCAGCAAGTCTACTTACTGCTAGAAGCCTTGATAAACGACTTCATACACGAATGTCCGAAGCAGATGCGACTCTTTTGATCACAGATAAATCTGCAACAGATTGCCCTTCGTACGTGCGTAAAGTGAAAAGTCTCGACAAAACTGTTTATGTGTGGAACTCGGGTGGTATTAACTGTATTTTATTAGGTGGGTCTATACACTCGCGTCAAGCTGCAATGCAACTTCATGCTATCCTCGAGGAACGAAATTACTACCCGTACATGGCAAATGTTTTGCCTCGTCAATGCTCGTGGCATAATATGTATAGAGTTGATCCCAGCATGGAAACAGCTGGTCCCTGTGTGTTGTGAATGACTCATACAGCGATTATACCACTCTTTTTGTAACTGTAGTATAACTATTACCATGCACTTCTTCCCGGAAAACCATGCATAGAGAGAGAAATATAATGAGGTCTAGCGGCAGCAGTTTAGAACAGTTGGAGGAAATGCTGTCATTGTAAAACTGTATTAGTTAATAGGTAGGGGGTGTATATCTACGTTAAATAGTTTATGTACAGAATTGGGTTATTGTTACATAGTTATGTTTATATGAAAATAAGGACAAAAAATAAACTAGTGATGTTTATTGTAAAAAATGCATTAGATCATAAAAGACTCTGTTTATGTTTGATCAATTCTTGCATTTGTTATTGATGTGGTTTTGTAAGGTTTGTTATGGCTCTAGTTTGCCGCTTTGATTTCTTATTTCATGATCAAATTTCAACAAGTGATCGCAACTTGTGAAACATCTTTACCCGTAATGTTTACATCTGTAAATACTGATTTGACCCAGAGGTAACTGCTATGAGCTATGGGTGGGCGAAGGGGCACCCTGAACGCTGTTATTTATGAAAATATATATAGATAAAAAAGTAGGTTTATATTGGAGAAAATGAAAGCCCTGAATATGTAGGCCTTGATAGTCTTCGAAAAACTCACTCGTGTATGTTTTCCCAAAGTGCACTCGAAACCATGCTATTACATGTACGAAGATCATTTGTGAATTCGTTTTCCTGGTAGTATAAATTGACTACTCTGTATCATTTTAGTGTACAGATGAGGGGGCATCCCATCCTTGAAGAATCACGGGCAGCATGATTGAAACCTACGCCACTGGTTTGACCTGTTACAATGGCGAATCCTAAGTTAGTTAAAATGAAGTATAATTAACATACTTTCTGATCAACACTATTGGCCCTGAATTTCTAAAGGATAAAATTTTACCAATGGATTTGCCTCTAGGGTGTTTGAAAATGTAAATATAAGCAAATATTTTAGCTGCAAGCCTGCAAGAACTTTGACATTACTTATTTGACACAGGTCCTTCATTGTTTTGGTTTGAAATACGAAAAATTATTTTTAATCTTATGACATCTTTGTTCAGCATGCGAACAAGTTTGAATTTCTTGGCTGTCAGCACAATCAGCTGTGAATATCATACGTGAGATCCAGCACATTTTCAACAAACTTGACCTTTTGATTACAGGATTTAACTTACTGGATAGTCGACATGGTGCAGTAACATGGTTAAGCAGGATGTCAATGAAAATTGTCTTTGATTTACCTAAGTCCATCTATAATGTTATTCAATTATACGTGTTGATGGGCACGGAACGACTCTACGCCTCTCGATTATTTGTTAGAAGTTCCGTTGTATAGATAAATCATGAGATAAATGATAAGTGGCGCCATTTAAAGGACACCATAATGGTGACGTCACAAGGAAGACAGAATGCAAACAACCAATACAAACAACCATGAAGCATCAGCATTCAGCATCAATGAACATCCTTCTTTCATTTTCAGTAAATGGTTAATGGTTTTCAAACGAAAATTGCAGCTCGTACTCATCATTCTCCTCTCTCAATTTACGAGTCTAGTGGGCTTGTATACTTAGTATTTGTGCTCAAAAAAGATGTCGAAATATCTAGTGCCTTTATTGCTGTTCTTGATAATTTTGTTTTGCTTCACTAATTCATCTTTATGTGATAATGTTGGTGATGAATGCCCTCAAATGGATAGGGAATGTTTGCTGAAATATTATGAGAATTTAATTTTGCCAAGACGTGACCCTGGTGAGGTAAGTTAAACGAATTTTCAAAAATTATTACTTTATACTTTTTATAAGATTATACAAAAACAAACTGACACGTCAGGACAAAACAGCTGAATCAGGAAGCAGTATTTTTAATTTTTTACCTGCCATGATTTTATTCGCAATCTAACAGATGCACATATTTGTATGCTTTATACGAAAAAAGTACGATGTATAATTAAGTCAATTTTAACAATCCAGGAGAAATTTGATATCAAATCAAATGTCGTTTAGAAAATTACTCTTGAAATGCATTCGAAATTGCTTGTTCATTGTTGCTGCCTAATTCAAAATGACTCTTCAAAGAAAGTTACTGATGCCAAAGGCTCCATTGATGTTGCACATGGTGAAATTATTTAAAACCTGCAAAATTTATCTTTATTTCCAGTTTGAATCCTGGTGCTACATTGTCCATTTAGAATGATAATTATACATCAGATATTTTGCAATTTAATTGCAAAATCCTTGTACATTAACTTGTCATTAACAATGTTTGGCAGATAGGCAAGAGAAGATTATAGGTATCTTAACAAAGTCATGTTTTAAGATCAAATCTTATCATTTTCACTTGTATTAGGTTGGAAAAATCACCAGTTTAACACTTGAGAATGGAGAAGTTCGCAAAATGAAGACTTTGAGTATAAAACCTCCCATATTTGGTAAGGTTGGGTGTTTTTGTAACTTTTCCCTTCATTCGAGTTATTTAAAACGAGTTGTTGAGGAAACATTGTATGGTTTTTGCCTCTGTGTGTTTTTATGTAGAAATTCCAAACTACCTTTCCGAGGCAGAATGTGATGATATAATAGAAATAGCCAAGAACCAGGGCTTAGAGACATCTGTGACTTTCAATGAAGATACAATTGAAGAAATACCTGAGAATAAAGTGGATGATCATGATCTTTTTGTCTATTATGATTATAATAATGATGAGCATTTAGATGTGAAAGAGGTTAGAAAATATTAATGTTTGATTTTGTTTGATGTGGACATCTGAGGTGGATGTTTTCAATTTTTTTTCTTAGGTTTTTAATCTTTTAGATACAGAAATGGACTTTTCTCCTGACAGGGAAGATATCATAGACATGTATGTATTATTTTGTCTACAAAATAATGCTGACATTTTATTGTCTTTCTGTTTTGATCAAAATAACCTGTTCAAAAGTCTAGATAATGATGTATTTATTGTGACCAGACTTATCTTGATGGAGTCTTGAGGCATTTAGTAGCATAGCTAGGCTGCTTATTTTGCTGTAGGTGTTATACAAATGCTTTCATCTTCAGTCACTGTGGAAACAAAATATTTCTAGATTTTTATAAACAAGAAATTTTAATAATTTTCTGAAAGATTTATCAACAAAATGCTCAACAAAATTTGCAATCTATTTATGTTTTATGTTAGTCTCTCAGCAAGAGGATTTTTGTCCAGTAGAAATTTAGCAAACTAACTAAGGAGACAATCTTGATTAGCTTGTTAAACTCAACTTTTGTTTTTTGTTACTCAACCCAGTACTGTTTGTCGCTGTCAACTGGGTATTGACCTGTTTATTACGCTCAAAATTTCTTTTTCAAAAATGGTTTTTAAAATCATGATTGGAAGTAGTTGGGTTATACAAAATTGATTGAAAAATTCATTAAAAAAAACAAATAAAAAGTTAGATGTATTTACTGTTAAAAAATTTTTTTGCAGACATCCAACAAAGACGAACAGACATACTGACTTACGTACAAATAACAAATAATTAAAGTTAGTTGAATAGATTTTAAAAGATTGAAAAAGGTTTTTTAACATTAAAAAAGTGCTGCAAAAATATTAATGCTTGGTATGAAATGCAGTATATTAGAAATTTGTGTTCAACGTCCAGACTCAATTTGTTCAAAATTGTTTAAAGATATTTGTTATTTTAAACTGTTGCTATGTTGTGTTTGTCTCGTTGTTTATTTTGGATGTCTGCAAAATATTTTTCTATCTATAAATACATTTGACTTATTTATTTAATTTTCAAAGTAATTTATAGTTAATTTTATACAACGCAATAAAGTAGGTAGCATACGGGAGGTTGTTTGGTTTTATATTGGTCTGTAATGATATGATTTTCATTTTGCTTTTAAACTAGTAAACCAATTTTCATTATAAAATAATGTTGTCAGAATTTCTTCAAACAAGTTTTGTATTCAACCAATTCATTATCCTTGATATTGCATTAACTGAACATATTTCACCAAATGAGATAAATCCACTGGATAGATCGTCGTGTTCATCAGTAAAATTTGCGCTTTGCACCCCCTCCCCGCTGCAAAAAAAAATTGAATGCTTGGTATGAATGCAGTACGTGTATTGTGTCCATCGTCCAGACTCAATTTGATCGAAATTATTTAACTATTTGTTATTTTAAACCGTTGTTATGTTGAATTTTCTCCATTTATTCTGGATGTCTGCAAAATATTTTCTATAAATACGTTAAATTTATTTATTTAATTTTTTAGTTAATTTCATACAACGCATCAAGGGGGTAGCATACGGGTGGGTGTGGCGAAGTATATTGGTCGATAATGATACGCAGTGACGTAACTGGGAGGTGCTCAGGTGTCAAGTGACGGGGCCCCCCGGGCATAGGGACCCCGAATAAGAATTACCATATAATTTTTTTTAATAAGTATAACACATTCATGGGAAATTGATATTAACACTATTATGACACAACTTTGCAGTTTAAATGTGTTGTGAATGAAATATAAATATTTTCTGTGAAGGAGTCTTTAGAGGTGTACACTCAACAAGCTAACATACAGGGTGTATTAATGAACGAATAAATGTCACGTGAGCTGTGAGTTTAAAAAGAAAATAATTTACGACTCTTCCCAGTTCACTTTATTTTTCATTAAAATTTTCTAAAATATCCATACTTTGTAATAAAAAATTGTGAAAACTATTTTTTTTAATATTTCATGCTTTCACGAGCCATTCAACTATTTAAACATTGTTTGAGGATGATGCTTGAAGCATTGTGAAATAATATATTTATTGCTTTTGTTGCTTTCTAATTTCTTTTCTAAAATCTTAATCTTGTCACTCAAAAACTAGCATTGATCAATCAAAATTATTTTTTTACTGTTACCACAAATAGGGGAACTTAGTGTGCTCGTTTCCTTACATAACGATGGCAACTATAGAAAGCTAACTGAAGCTAACCCGTGTTTAAAAATCAACCTTATAAATCAATTTGCAATGGAGTAAATATCAAGCTAGCTTCACCTAAGTTTTATGTTCCCCATCCAGTCATATCTGTTGTCGACACATCAGTCCACTATTTTTGAATGATTTTGTTTATACTATTCATATTTTATTAGGTTTGAGAAACTTCAATTGGATGAAAATAGCGACCGTAAGTTTTGCGATTTTATTTTTAAACCTAACTTCTTTCAATTATTGCATGTGATGTGCGTGAAATTCCCTGCAAAGAAGGAACGTCTGTTGTAGTGTTTGTAACTGTCTTACTGATGTTTTTCTCTTGACTAAAAAATTTTTTCAAATGAATCCCTGACTTAAACGTCTTTTTAGTAACGTCCTTACTAAAAACATGTTTCTAGCAACTCTCAAAGTTCCAGTTAAACCCAAATCAAAACAGGAAAATTTCTCAAAAAATTTATTTTTAGAAAGTTCCCGAGGTAATATAGTTCATCACGAATCCCAAATAAAAAATACAATAAAGTATAAATTACTTACATACATGGAAAAAAGCACTATTTAAAATAATATAATTTAAATTTTTTATGCAAGTTTGAAGTAGTTTGCTGTTTCTTCATTTTCACCGTTACACTACATCGATAGCTACATGTGAATATTTTTTTAGTTCTTATTAGTATGGAAGAATTTCGGAAAAGAAATTTGCAAAATATTTTTCAATATGTGTCTGAAATCAAAGAACGCAAACCTTATACGAAAAGTCGAAATAGCAATCAAACATGGTTAGATACAGATGATGACAGTGTCAAGACTTTGCAGTCTTTACGATTAAGGTGAATCAAGAAATAAATATGTCACATTTTTATGATAGTTCAGTTTGCTTCCAGTCTTGGTTATAGGTTTTAGGAGGTTTGGATCCTCTCAGCTGCATAGGATCATGTGAAATGTATTGATGATTTTTGAGCATGCGGCTGTAAATAAGGTCGTTGCAGTCTTTGTGACCTTTAGTTCTTCACTTCATTTGTTTCTGAAGTCTGTTTTTCAGCTTTCGTTACTTTTCATATCAAGCGCGTAATTGTTTGTTTCGATGTAGCTATCTACTTTAGACAACGCTGGGTTGAAGAAATGATGTCAATTTTTCATGTTTGTTGAAATGATTTCAAGGATTTTTTGTTATTTTTCTTTTGAAATTCTCATTTCTAAATTGGTGTTTTGCAATTTTGCTTTACGATTGTTCCTACTGAACGAGTATTTCTTTGAAATTTTCAAAAATCTTTTGGAATTAACCTTCTAACTTTCAACATTTTACATTCAAGTGTATAATAAACGCCTCATAACTATGCATTTGTCAATAAACGAGTTTTCAAAAGATTGATTTTGATTTCAGAATGAATTTCGTGGAATATTGAAATCTTCCGTCGTCTGATTACATTTTTTATTTATTATTAACGATTATAGACTGCTAAAGTTGACCCAACTTCCGATGGTACTGTTGAACACTAGTGAGAGTCTTCAGGTATCGTAAATCTAAGAGAGTACACTTGTGCTACTTTGAAATGTAGATGTGCAATTGTTTGCGAATGTATTATCAAAACTTGGTATAACCTTCCTTGCTTCTTTGTTTTGTTTTTTTTTGTTGATTTTTTTTCTTTTTCGTTCAAAAGGTTGTAAAATATGATCCTAAAGGACATTACAACTGTCATTTGGATAGCGATGATATTAGTGATGAGGCACCATGCTGTCATGTTCGTGATGTTGAAAATTGCCGAATTTGTAGGTATGAAACAAAGCAATAGTACTTTTATAATTTTGACGATAAATGAAAGATTATTCCAAATAAAATAAGTGTTATAAGTATTGTGTCTGTAATAATTTATGACACACGTGCAGATTACGTAAAACAAAACTATCTTGCAAAAAAAACAATGTAAACTCTTAATTTGAATTTTTTTAAATCGAATTTAAAATTAAACTATTTTACTTGTTTTAGAAGTATAAGCAAACAAGTTGATGTGATTTATTAAATATTCATATCGTGCATGGACTATAATTCATCTTTGAAAAAATCTTCTTGCACTTTATGTCTTCTTGTACTACATGTTGTATACTTTTTCTTGTGCTTGACAAGTGTACGTCAATTTATGAAACCCATTTGTACGTGCTGCAGTTGTCCGATAAACTGCTAACACAATACACACAATACAATGACCTAAGAACCAGATAACAAATACGGCTAACCTGACGTTTACTCTTCATTTGACTCTGAAGATGACTACCGCTAAGGTTGTCGAAACGTCAGTCAACAACAACAAAAACAGTCCTTCTCAGGACTATACCAACCTGGACGATCTACATTTACAAACATGTAAAACTGCTAACTTAATTTTTTGGAGGGAGAGGCAAACGCTACCCCATACCCCATAGGATTTACACCTCTGCTTTCAACAACCAAAGCTACAAAACAAGATCAGTTAGTTTAGACGGAGTATCTGCATTCTTTGAATAATTTCTTTTAGATATTTGACCGTTTTGTATTTCTTGAATGATGTTGAAGAAGGTGGTGAAACGGCTTTTCCTATCGCTGATAATATTACTTATGACGACGAGGTAAGAACATATTCTGTTGCCATAGCAACTCTTGTGTTTAAGTTCTTCTCTGGACAAAAGAATGATGATTAATGATCGACATGAAGTCACTGCAAACGATCTCAGGAAGTGACCACCAATATGACGAACTGTAAAATTACTATATTAGTTATTACTTTTTGCTGAAAAATGACAATTGCCTGCAATGAAGTTATTTTACCTCGCCCTCGATTTCTTTAAAAATTATGTCCGCCTCCCCCCTCAGAAAGCGACGACCACTCTAACCCCCCCCCAGGAAGAAGCGACCACTCTAAACATTCTAACAATCATTATTAATAATTTTTACTATATTGCTGCAACATTTGTGAGTGAAAATGATTCCCTACGTTCGTTGAAACAATATTTGCGTGTATCAAGGTATGGTCTAAAGACGTTAAACGAATCTGTAATGTCGGTCGTAATTGTCACGAATCAAATATTCGTGTTAAACCCGAGAAAGGGAAGGCTATCATGTGGTACAGTCACGTGATTGACGAGGATACTCATTGGCTTGGTGAAACCGATCCATTCAGTGTTCATGGAGGATGTGATGTGAAAAAAGGAACAAAATGGATAGCGAACAACTGGATTTCATTGAGCGAGAATCGATCTGATGATATCAAAAAATGGATTGATCATCTTCAAAACTCTTTTGGTGAGTTAGCTATCAAAATGTAAAGCAAACTTATTGTTAAATTTTTCAATCTCCAATGAAGTTTTCTATTAAAACGGGAAAGCCTTGACAAGCGAGAAACCTTTTTTGTCAGCTCTACAGAAACCTAATTATGTAGCTATTTACATTGGCGTAGCAAGCTCGCCTATTTAGTCCTGTACTATGTTACTTTTTCTGTGTTCACGTACTGTAAAAACAATACATTTCTGAAGAAACAAATAATGATAATATTCTTAAATCTGCATCGCAGCATGAGTCAGTGGTTGACGATACTGCACTCACATAGCTGTATGTACAAATGTGCTACACTTGTTTATGTCGTATATTATAGATGGAAAGATCACCCTAAGCTCAAGGGACGAAGGTGATAATACAAGGCTTGATAGACTTGATGCAGAAAATAGAGAGAAAGAGGAAGGTATCGATGCAATTTTTGAAATCATTGAACGTAAAGATACGTCAAACATCGATACAAAAAATGAGTTATGAATCAACGATTAGCTGTTTTTCTGAGGTTAGCACCTCAACCTCAAGTAAGAAACTGGTGTAATAAATTCTATAATGAGTCTTGATGTATTTTAAAACAGTTCTGTAAATATAAGCTGTATATGTTCATTTAGATAATAAGTTGGTCTATTATTTGTATCGTCTTCCTTTGTATCGTAATTCCTTTCTTCCATATCTAGTTTGGCTGAGAAAGTATTCCTAATTCAAGTATTTAGAAAAATATATTTTACTTTTACAAGAATTTAATTTAAGCAGTGCATGTGAAATACACACGAAGGACCAATTCATCTGTTAAAATCAGTAACTGTTTACTTTGTTACAGTTAAAAGCTGTCTTGTTTTTTGAAGTGAGAATATCTTTTGATGTTAATATTTCATTTATAATCTTGCTAAAACTTTTCCATGACAATCAAATTTTGGTCAGTGAGCTTTAGCAGTTGTCGAACTGGTTTAGCTCCGACTGATGATGAGATTCAGCGCTAATGTCTACTGCAGCAGTTTCGCTCTGTAAACATTTTTCGTAAGTTTATGAAGTTTAAGTACAAATCCATGTACGCAAGTCGTCTATTGCAAATGGTAATTAGATTGGCGGGGCTGTGCAAGATGTATAAAAAAAAACTGCTACTCCTATCTACCTATCTAATAAACGGACTGCTGCCTCCATCTACTTCCACACTATGTAATGCCTAAAAATGATATTTCTCTAGAATAACTACGATTCATTTTTCAAAATGATATTAATGTTTCTGCTTCTATCAAGTATTCTCATAAACGCTTCATTAAAGAGTAAGAGTGATAATCTCTAAAGCAGTGTGGTAATAAACTATAATGACATTTTATCATAATAGTCCATTTGCCATATTCTTTTCCACTTTATGCACTGTTCTTGACTTTGTCAGTATGTCCAGTAAGAAGGCGAAGTGAAGCAAAATAAAATGTTAGGTACGAAATTCAAGCATCATTTATGAAAAGTCACTTGCAAGACTCCACTTTTGAAATTTCCTTTGGTATTTCCATCTCATTGTTGTAACATACCTGAATTTTGTGCATCTAACATTCTATGTTTTTTTTCACTTAATTTAAACTGGTTTTTACTCGTTCACACTTTTACAAGCCTGGGACCTGACTATGTCAAGGACAGTGAGTGCTGGGAGCGTAAGGAATATAGGCAAATGGTCGGTGGCGGATTGTATGTTATAGTTTAATACACGCCTTGTGGAGTTTGTTACTCTAAATTTATTTTGTTTTAATCCATAGTGCACAATATAATTCTTCTCCAACTTTTGACTCGCATTTCTGTCAATAGGTTACGATCAGCGCGTTGCGTGCATAGATATAGTAGGACTTAGATTGCTAACGAGCCGCCATATTGCGTGACACCCATGATAAATCCAAGATGGCGGAACCGGGCAAAAACATAGAGCCACTATAGGCAATTGATGTTTTCGCAATTTACTTCTTCTCATTGTTTTCAAACTCATCCGATGAAGTTTTATTGGAAACAAATCTTTATTTCAAGTGTTTTGAAACCATATTGACAATTATAATTGAAATTGGCATCCCTTTCGGAAATATTGTGTAAATTGGTTGTTTTGGTTGTCTCGAGTCGTTTGTCCACTGAGAAACAGATTTTTCGTGCTTTAACTCATATAACTGATTTGTTACGCATCGGAATATGTCATATTGACAATTTGCAGAAAGATTGGGAATCAATCTGGAATATTCTGACAAAAAGCGACTTATCTGAAAGCACTCCTAATGTACTCGTACTGATATGTGAGATATGTGATTCAAACACGGTTTGGAAAGGCCATCCGACTTTGAATGAATGAAAGAGGAGCAAGGACATACATAACACTGCAGCACTATTATCTACTGGATCTTAGTGAACTATTAAAGTGCTAGTAAACTTAACTGAAGGAAACTTACCATATCTCAAGTAATTTTTATCCAGGAGCATTGGCTATACTGGATGAGATCTTACAGCCAAGTGGTTCAACAAAAGAGTTACTTAAATGTTCAGAAGCTTGTTATATTAGCAGTGGTTATTTCAAAATCCACATTAATTACAAACATAACCCAAGATACTCGTTACAATACTATTTTTTGAGAGAGTTATAAAGCTCTGTATAAAAGTATTTTTTACCAGAGCTAAGGTGCGTTCATTAAATTTATTACTGGCTTGCGAATATTTATACATTGTCATCGGTGGCATATCCAGAATGAATGTTTTACACTTGCTATGTAACTTCCACTGCATCATTGCTCATTTCATTAGAAATCTGTTTTAACAGTGAGTGAACACAGCAAGATTGATATAGCATGAGCAAATGAAAATCATGAATGTCATTGCCTTAAGCCTAGGCCACACCATTATGTGACCATATCGACGAAAAATTAGAACGAAAAACTTCCGCAACGAAAATTTTGAACGAAAACTCGACGAAATTCTCGTTTTCGTTCATATTAGAAGGGTTGAACTTTGACCTTTTCTGTCAACGAAAACGCATACCATTGGCTAAAAATATCTTGATAATATCAGACTTTGGCATATACAACCACAATACAAATCCATCCGACTGGTGCAGCTTAAAAAGAAATTTCAGGGCTTCCATTTATTACATTTTTCAAAGTTCATGTATAGAACAATATTTCTTCTTCTGTATTCATATTTTCAGGAGTTTGCAACATCAAAAGTTCGAAGCAAGGCAATCGATCAACAGGGCCTTAGCCACCAATACTTTTTAAATATCTATCGGAGAAGTCTGGTTGGGAGAATGGTACTTAGACTAATTCTAGGCTAACTTTGTCAATCCAAGAACTGTGCAGTAATTGGTTTTATAAATCGGGGTAGCTATTTTTGGGTACACTTGCAAAATGTATCAATTCGGGAAGAAATTCAGACGCAATTTGACTTCTTTTACAATAACGTGGAGAGGAAAGGAAACACACAAAAGATGATGCGGTAGGAATTTTAAAGTGTTCTTTTATTGTTTCTGGTTGCACAAGTTCATATTAATTTATATTACACCACAGTTATATTAACAAAAGTATGTGTACAAATTTATTTATGCCCACAATGTGTGTGTAAGGAAAAACGATTATTCTGAGCACATTTTCCAATTTCAAGTCTGGATTCTACATCCTTTAATCACAATGTCATATATGTTAATAGAATAGCAGTGTGTCATATGAATCTCAATTTTTGAACAAGAAAATGAATTTGGGGATTTAGTAAGCCATATATTGCAAAACTATGTAGATATAAAAATACGCTATGTTTATGGTTTTTTCATTTATATGTAGAATGAACAAAGTGAAGATATTGCTGAAAATTATGACAAGCACCAAGAGTTAACCACCAAAACACAGGTTTTAATGTACATATTGATATTGTTCTCATGAAAAGTCATTGGAAATGGTTATATGTAGGACTGCTTTCACTAGAAAAACTAAAAATTTTGAAGTAATTTAAAGAAGGCATGCATTATTTCAACACTTATTAAAAGTCTGTACACATTTTAAATTAAATAATGGTCTTTATTTGTAGGATTCTGAAGATATTTTACCAAGCAATCTATCTCTATTATTACAGAGGAATCTAAACAACCATGTCAACATAGTCAAGTAGTTCTCACTATATAGTTATACTTTATACTGTTTACCACTAGTCATGTTTTTAATGTGTTATAAATTGACAATATGCTTGTTGATTGCTTATGCATGAAACACTGTGTAGCAAAACTTTATTAACATCTGGTAGAAATGTGCTCAACAAACATGAAAATTATATTACAATGGATATTTTGAAACAGTGAACATTAATAATTATTGTATACTTGCTCTTTCAGAGTCATTTGTCACCCACTGGCCACTATACTGGGCTATTGTTACAGTTTGACTTTGCATCAAATGTATCACGTCAGCAACTTTGTTGTTCATGATTATAATGCAAACAAAAGAACAATTATGGTGATGCCACCTTTATTTCCATAATTTCAATGTTGGGTATATATACCCAACTAAAATGATATTACTCAATACTCTTTTGCTGCTATAACCTGCATGTATTTTTCTTCAGCATAATTCATTTGTATTTGTTCATCGATACCCACCTATTGCTTGATGGCTCACGGTTGGATATTGTGCTGCTCATGTGATGCAAATAGAAAGCAATTTTGTTGAAGCCCTACCTAATAATATACAATTAGATCCTCAAAAAGGTATGTAAAATAGATGTTACTGAAATGAAATTATTAAAACAGGCCAAACAACATTTTTATTTTGTCGAGAGTACTATATCCCAGTTGCATACATATTAGCAATGGAAAATATCTGGTTGTGTATGATAGAAAGTTTGGTATTGAAGCCAAAGATTTTATTGAAAAAGTAAGTGTTGTGTGTTACTCTTTCAGGATATAAGGTGTCTGGAACAGCTTCACCCAATTTTGACTTACACTTACATACTATTTGTTTGAAGACCTTTGTCAAAGATGAGAACTTGTTACATATTAATCTGACATTGCATGAAGTGAATGTCTCAAATTTGTATTTGGCTTATTTTTTCAATGTAAGTTCTTCATATGGCGGGGAGGAAATGTCTCATCCTTAAATATCAGTTTATTGTACATTTCAAACCCTTGTGAAGTCATCCTTCTGTGTTTTTACAAGACCCTTGTGAGACATTGTTCTTATTACATGTGGATGTTAACTAGCATAGCTTTACAAGCAAAATATTGTTAAAACTTGTGAATGATTATTTACACAACATATTTATCTCATCCAATTTCTTTTTATGAATGCAGAACCACATCCATGATGCAGTCTGTTTTCAGTGATCATTCCTACCATGAGATAACCTGAAGAAGTATATTTTGTTATGTGAAAATAACTTTTTTTGTACAAACACACGTATAGTTTCTCAACCTTCTAATACCCCACAATTTGTTACCATACATCCTGTGCCTAAGTTCAGGAGCTTCTATAAAGCTATTAGGGTGATAACCAACAGGGCAAATTGAATTTATGACTATTGAGGTATACACATTCATACTCAAATACATACATAGCCACATATTCTACAGTACATACATTAAGTAGTATAAACTAAATGTATGACAAAAATAGTAAAGTCATATTCACCATTTGCTTTACGTGCCTGATATATATATTAAGCATTTCTAATGATTTTGTGAAGTCATATTAATCATAACACATTAATCTGCATACACATACATACATACATATTACACATACATACACACACATAATACAACCTTAAGATAAATGATTTTACATATTTTAGGACTTGTTTAGTGCAATGTGCAGGAGGTTCAGTGGATTGCTGTAAAACCAGTGAATAGTCAATGGGGGTTTGTACTTTTGTATTCAAGTAATGCCGCCCCAGCCCAGTTAAAATGTTGCAGCTGTTCGTCATATCATTGCATTCATGTGACAACCCTTGCAAAGCCATGCAAATCGTTGACGAGGATGAAATGGATTCTCCATTGGCACTTTTAAGTTTTCCTTGGAATTACACCAGATGCGAGACTATTTTGAATTGGCTACACTTAGCAAAGAAAAGGTTTCTTTATTTGAAACAGGTATGCAAGATAATCTGCAATGGTGAACATCCTTTTAGCTTTACATATACTATTTCCTTTATCGGTATGGTATTTAGCACTTTCTAGCATTTTGTAAATATTACAATTTAATTATTTTAGGCAATGAGAATGATGCAAGTTGATTTTACTGATCTTCCTGAAAAAATGGTCATAAAATTTTGGCGCCATCTGAAAGTGGTATTTGTTCTGTGGTGCAGAGTGGATAAACGTTCTATTCAAGATGAATGGTTGTACGTAGACTTGTGTTCAGTTGCGTACTTTTGTTCAATCCATGATGTGAAGGGTAAGTTCTGATTTGTTATAGGTTCTGATTTGTTATTGTAGACCTTGCTCCTCTTGTGCTACGAAAAGCATTATGATGGCATTGAAAACAGGATTGTATGGTTTGGATCATATGCACATCTCATGCCGTTCTAAAAGATTACATTCGGCTTTTCATAACGTCGAGGTACTTTTAATGAAAATTTGCCGAAGCATTTAGCTACGTTTGTCCATTATTTAATTTTCTCGCCCTATCTCTTTGAATGTTTTTTTCTTTTTATTCTTGTTCAGTTTACCTATGTACAAATATTATGTTGCGTATGTACAGCAAGTGTCTTCGGTAGTTTACTTCCTAAAGGAAATAACTTACGCCATGTTTGTCTCGCTATCATTGCCATGATACGGTAAGCATCATTTCATTTTCAGCTGTAAAATATGAATATTCCATTGAGATAGTGATCGCTTGTTTTATTGTTATTGAATTTTCTCTTATTAAGGTTGCTTAATATTGATTTTGACAATGTTTTTTGTGAATTATGTGGAAGAATTCCCTCAAAAGGTGGTGATGGATGGAACAACTCCTGGAATACAGAAAACTTTCTACCAAATAATTGAAGAGTCTATATTAATCTAACTATTCAATTGTTGGATGTCGTAGTTTCCATAAAAACGAACATATCAGTTTACAGGTGGATAGTTGCTTGTTTTGTTAGTCCGTCAACGATTGAAAAGCAATTATACATGTACTTGAAAAGCCATAAAATACGTTATTAAAGATCGTATTTTTACTGACTTGAACGCCAAAGATAATTAATGCCTCTTGCTTGTCTATATAAAATTCTGCATACTTTTCTGTCATTTGTTAATGCATGAAATCGTAAATTTACCCATCTTATTTGCAAAATAGTTTCCCTAAAACTAAAAGCACTCGCACATTTTGCCTGTATAAGTATCAGCAAGAAATGATCAGCCCCAACAGTACTGCATGATTTGGAGCAGAGCTTGTTGTGTTCTATTTGCTGACAACATCCAGGGAAGATAAAGCAGAGTAAAGATGAGAAGATGTCATTGACCAGGCAGAGTCTTTTGTGATAAATGCTTTAAAAGAGTCTTAAATGATAATGCTGTAAAGATAATTGATTTATTGTCTGCCTAATCCAGAGTTATTTAATTGATCATGGTCAAATTCTATGGATGGAGACAATGGATTCACTAAGGATGCCTTGAATGCTTTGAAGTTAAAAGTTCATGAACCAAAGAAAGATGCAAGAAGGTTGTGTGTGTTTAATGCCAATGAAATGTCAATTACAAACATGTAAATGGAAGGCCATAAAGTATATGTGTGTCTATGTAAACATTTGTACTGAGATTGATGATGATTGGATGTGATGTGAAGGAATCAAACTGTATAAGCCATTGGGTTTTATGTAGCTTAATGTTTAAATCATGTCATATCTTTATCAAAAATATTTTAGTTAGTGTTGTTTAATGTTACATTAATATCTAATGCACTATACTGGAGCATTAAAGATTCAGTGACGAAACCTTTAAAGTTACTTTCGTACTGTGCATTCTTCATTATCACAGTTTTGCTTTTAGAAATCAGTTTGAGCTTATTTACCCTATTGGAGTACAGAATGGAAATTTACTTCATATGCATTGCTGCTTTCTTTAAAGAAGTTTAACACTTTTCAAAGCTTTTCTACAATTCATTTATTTTTCATGTGAGTTGATGATATATATAGGTAATATAATCCAATAACTTTTATAATTTCTAAAGCTTTTAAGCTTCTAGCATAAAAAATTACACTATAGGTATTTAATCTCATTTGGTTATATTGTCTTTGCTATGACATATCTACTTGCACTTCACTTCATTCTTGTATTAAAAAACACTAGATGTGGATACTAGAGAGCAAAATGCACTACCAACTGCTTATGAAATTTATTATTGAGGTGAAAACTGTGTTAATCATTCAAATTGTAAATTTATACAAAATATAGGTAAAACAAAAACAAAGGAAAAGAAAGGTAGAAGTATTAAAACTAAAATGAATTATAAACACCATTGAACTTGGAAGCATAAGTGTTTTGATGATTATTTGCATTTTGCCCAATTCATATATATCAACAAAAAAATGTGCCAACTTTACAAGTATTTGATGCAGTTGCACTTCAGAACATCACAAAAAGGTTACTTAAAGTAATTTCTATACAATCTTGTTTGTTTTCATTTACCAAACCTATGTGACTTGAGTCCTTTTGAAATTTGAATGAAACTCAATTACAGAAAATCCGTAAATATCCAAAGATTTAATATTTACTTTTTAAAGAAACAAGTAAAACCCTACAATTTTATGAAAAAGCCATTGCCCATTGCATGAAAAGAAGCCAAAATAGCAATGATACAAATAAGCTAATCCTTTTCTCGTGAACCGTGGAGATGAACTACGATATACTTTTCAGCAGACTAAAGAGTTTAATCGATCAAACAGTTTGACGCTGGTAAGAAAAACGACGCACACGCATTCACATGTAGCCGACATAGCTCTTTCAGTCGATAGTTATAAATGCATCCCTCGTAGGAGTCGATAACCGACAACCACAGTTGACTCGGCTATGAATTTAAGGTTTAATTTTGATTTTCATCAAAAAATTGCTTGCCGAATCCCAAATACACACATACATTTTCTTCACTCTTTCCTCAGGAGGGAAGGAACAAGAAATTTTCGGAAAAGCGGTCAATTTCAGTAAATCTCAGCGGCAACGGACGAAATCCGCCATTTTGGCGTCATCAGATATGTAAGGCCGCGCTTGAGATAGCCGCTCCAGTTATTATAGAACTCAATGTATATGCCAGATTGATGCGATACATATATCGCAAGAGGTTTTGATAAATCTGATGCGAGAAAAACCAATTTTGTATGATAAAGTCACCCGGATTATAAGTGACTTGAGGAACAGAAAGAAATCATTGGCAAGATGTTTTAGATGAATTTAATAAAATTACGGACTTGGCGTGGATAGTG